ACGAAGCGGATCAAAGTTCCACCTGTCGTCACAAAAAGGCTGCCAGCCACCGCAACTGCATTATGGCCACCGAACGCGGCTCCAAGCCCAGCACAGCGCAACCGCGGCGCAAGTCGCAAAACGCGGCGCCCATAGACGACGAAGACACCCGCGCGATCGCTGAATTCACCGAATCGGCCACAAAGCAATATGGGCGCGGCGACCGCATACGGCCGAAAACAGTCAAGGACAAGAAGCTGCGGAGAAATATCACATCGCTTGAGGCAAAGAACAAGCAGGCAGCGATAGAAGCGAAGAATGTCGAAGTTCTGCTCGAGAACAACCCAGGACTACTGGAAACCGAAAATGAGCTGGAAAGGACATATAAGGTGCGACAAGACGAGATCAAGCGGGAAGTTGGTCTGGAAACGGCAAAGAAGGGCTTCGAGTTGAAACTAGATGGTCTCGGTCCTTACGACGTATGCGAATACAGTCGCAACGGCCGCGACTTGTTGATCGCAGGCAGGAAAGGACATGTCGCGACCTTTGACTGGCGAGACGGAAAGGTCGGCTGCGAACTGCAACTAAATGAGACGGTGCGAGATGCGCGATGGCTGCACACGAGCAACCAGAAGAACTTCGCGGTAGCACAGAAAAACTGTGTCTACATCTACTCGGGCGACGGCGTGGAGATGCACAAGCTCAAGAACCACTCTGAAGCCACACACCTCGAATACCTCCCATACCACTTCCTCCTCGCCTCGGTATCGACCGCAGGTATAATACGATATACCGATGTTTCGACCGGACAGTCACTACCACAACTATACACAAAGCTCGGTCCCGCGACAGCTTTCGCACAAAATCCACACAACGCAATCCTGCACGTTGGCCACCAAAAAGGTCTCGTAACACTCTGGTCGCCCAACAGCGCCACGCCCCTCGTCAAACTTCTCCCACATCGCGGCCCCGTCCGAAGCATCGCAGTCGACAGATCAGGAACATACATGGTCAGCACATCCCAAGACCGACGCATGTCCGTCTGGGACGTCCGCATGTTCAAAGAGATGTACCAAACCCACCTTCGCGTCCCGGGCACCACGCTCTCCATCTCGGACCGCAACCTCACAGCCGTCGGCTTCGGCACACAAACCTCCATCTACAAAGATGACATCTTCCGACGGAACCCCGAAGACGCCGCACCCCCCATCATGCCGTACATGGGCTGGGGCGGCGAAGGCCTAAACGTAGGCCGCGTGCGCTTCTGCCCCTTCGAAGACGTTCTCGGCATATCGCACGACAAAGGCTTCTCCTCCATCATCGTGCCCGGCTCCGGAGAACCCAACCCAGACACCCTCGAGCCCGGCACCAACCCCTACGAAACCTCCAAGCAGCGCCGCGAAACTGAAGTGCATGCCCTGCTTGAGAAGATCCAACCTGAGATGATTGCGCTCGACCCCAACTTCGTCGGTAACCTCGATCTCGCGTCTAATGAGGAGAGGCAACGTGAATATCGCGCTGCGAGAGGAGAGAAGGAACCAGATAAGGTGGATATGTTGAAGAAGAGGGGTAAGGGTAGGAATTCGGCGCTGAGGAGGTATTTGAGGAAGAGTGGGACGAAGAATGTGATTGATGAGGAGAAGGAGAGGGCGAGGGAGGCGTTGAAGAATATGCAGAAGAGGCAGATTGAGAGGAAGGAGAGGTTGAAGAAGGATTATGGACCGGCGCTTGAGAGGTTTGCTAGGAAGTAAGGTCTGGGGAGACATGGCTTAATGCAGCTCAAGACTTTGTAAAGGCGTTGGCGGTGAAAAGTATCCTTCGTATAAGCATTTCACGGCGTTTACTTCACGGATGTGGTTCATAGATGTTTGATCCAGGTAACTTATGGAAGACGAACAACAAAACTCCATACCCATTTTAGCCTATCTAAGAGCCCCATGATATCATAAAAGTCATTGACGCGTAGTACCCTTCTAAGCTGCTTGTTGCATCTCACCTGCTTGCTCCAGCTCGCCCCTCCACGCTCTCGCGCCTCTCGGGTAGACCCTCTTGTACAAACTGACAGCAACAGCATCCATAGGGCTGATCTTGCCATCGAAAGTAGCCTTGAAGTATCCGTGCGTACCCAGACTCTCCTTGATGAAACCGCTCCTTCCGCGCTTGGTCCATAGTGGTAAGCTCTTGAACCACTTGACGTCGCCGTCGTTGAAGAACATGTAGCGCACTGTGACGACGCGCTTGTTGATCTTGTAAGGGTGGCCTGTCAGGATGATGCGCTTGGCGATGATGCGGTTGGTGGAGGGTGGGAGTGATGTTCCGGTCGCGATTAGGCGAAGGGAGGAGGGGTGGTCGGGAGAGGGGGTTGTGCGAGTAAAGTAGAGGAGAGGGACGTTGCCCCAGGTTAGCGGTCCGATGAAAGATGCTATGGCCGACTGGCCAGGGTGGAGGAATCGAGAGAACTTGTGCACGTTGTTTGGTGTGTTGCCAGCGTAGGAGAAGAGCTGGGTGCTGTTAGTATCTAGTGATAAGACAGAAGCTCAAGGTAACTTACAGGGTTGATGACTATCCTCCTCGGTCCGCACTGCACGATCATCTCAGTCTTCGACTTGATCGGACCCTCATGCTCAGAGCTGAGTAGTATACTGTAGTTGGCGGCTGTGCGCTTGTGCTCGTGTCTGAGGAGCGAGAACATGGCCATGGGCCGTGACTGCATCTCCTGGAATTGTAGCGGGACACCGCGAATGTGAACGCTGACCCGAGTTCCGGGCTTGACACCACCAGCCCAGGCTTCGCGCATGAATTTGGTCGCTGTGCGCTTGTAGTCGGAGATGTCGAGCAGTCGCTGCCACTCTTCCGGCTCGTATGGTCGATCCTCTTCTGTCTCCCATGTGCTGTTCCTTAGACTCTTCAGTCCTCGGTAGCGAATGAGACGCTCTCGCGCATTCACGTTGGGATGTAGTTCGATCTCGTCAGGGAACTCGAGATCTTCGTCCTCTTCTGTCTTTCTAGACTTCCGGTACTCCTCGATCTGCGCGGCCTCGTCCTCTGGTGATGGGTCTAGGAACATCTCCGACTGCGGGTATTCTGAAGGAGCGCCCTCGGTCATAGCCTTGCCATCAATGTCCATGCCCTCTACACCATCTGCAGGGTGCGCAGGCTGGCTCTGGGCATCTTCGTCAACTTCCATATCAAAATCTTCCAGATCCGATCCCGAATCAGACATGTCGTCGAGGTACCATGCAGACTGGTAGTCACTTGTGCCCTTTGGTAGCCGCCTCTTTTTGGCCGGCGCAACCTCCTCCTCCTCGTCTGAGAAATAGTGGTGGTCGTCTAGTAAGACACCCTTGCGCTCGGATGGCGCAATAGACGTAGCGTAGTTGGTCACGTCGTCCATGATTGTTTCCTCTGGTGCGAGATCTGCTAGGTCGTCCTGGTCTTCTGTGGGACGCTCCAGAATGCCATCGCCGTCTGTGTCAACGGCCATCTCTTCCTCTTTGTGCTTCTTCCTCGTCTCTAGTGGGGCGGCTACGATCTTGTCGACCTGGAAGTCACCCCAATCTCCCACTTGAACCAGCCTGTCGGCCTTCAACCCAAGCCCACGCACGACGCCGGTAATGACAACATCACCGGTGCCGTCCGCGTTGACGACCGACTTGCCTCCAGGCCACGCGATATCCTCAATGAACATGTAGCTCCTCTGGTCCCTCCATCTGACACCCTTTGTGGTAGTTGTGCACAGCGATCGGACGAGGTTTGCGGCTTCTTGGCGGTTATCGAGAGAGTAGACGCGCTCGGTCGAAGGGAGCCAGTGGGTGATGTATGACTTGAGCGACGAGACGACTGAAGGCCTGACCTTGGCGGGTTCGACCTTGTCCAATCCTTGCACGACTGTGAAGGTGTTTGAAATACCCTGGCTTTCAACCGACTTCATGATCAGCTCGCCCTCTGCGTCGACTTCTTCGTGCGCCGACAGAATGAAGACGACAAAATCGGCGACACGGCAGGCGTCGAGAGCGGCCAGAAGATCCCTCTTGACGATCAAATATTGCACCTTTTGCTTAAAACGGTCGACGTTTGTGCGTGTCCATCCTGCCTCGGGAACCTCCTCTTCGATGTCCAGACTGGCGTTCAGGCTGCGGACAGCTTCCGCGGTGGAGACGTCCGAACATAGCGGGATGAGGGCGGTGATCCTCGGCGCACCGTCCTTGCCGGCGAATACGTTGGACGACTTTGCGTGCTCGTGGTCCTTGTTGATGCGCAGCTGCTTGGCGCGGTTGCGGCGGTCGAACTTGCTCATGACTTGCTGGTGGGGGGTTTTGCGACTGCCGAATTCGAACGAGAGGGAGTTGACCTTGCCTAGAAGATTCTGTCAGCAGAGTTGGGTGCGGTGGCGGCGAGGGACTAACCCTTGCTCTGCTCCTTCAGGGCGCCTTTGGTGGCATGGCGGGACTTGAAGCCCTTCTTGTCCTTCTTGGTCGTGCTCCGGTGATGGTGCGCTGTCGCAGCGATGGGCGCCATATTGTTGCCGCTGCCACCTGATTTGAATCGGAAAGGAATCGACGCCACCTTGACTATGCAATGTCAGAAGCACTGCGCTGCACTGTCTGGTGGGTGGTAGAGAGTGGGACGGCGATAATTTTGATTATCGATAAGCCGAGACAATTTTGGCTCCTCCACGCCTCGGCTGTGGCGTCATGCATGATATCCCTGCATTCACCCCTCGCCTTTCTACTTTCACATGTCCAACTCCAATCTTCCCATGACTTCTCACATCACGCTTCAATGAATTCTCCAGTACGCCATGGAACGCAGGCTCACCCATAAACTGTTTGCACGACAATCATGTCTCTTGAGCATGTCGCCCCTTCAGCCTCCTCTACTAAACCATACTTTAGTAGAGTCAATTGGCGTATTGGTCCATCACGAATAACGCAGCTTAACGGTTAAGATAAGCTGGATGATACAAATATTATCGGCTCTGAACATGTGATCCAGACTTTTCCAACAAATCATCCGCTGCAATGACGGAAACCGCGCAACTTCGGGCTGTGGATAGGTCAGTCAAACGACCAATGACTCCGCTTCGGACCCCTACAGGTCGCAACCTGACGATGGTTACGTTGATCGTGGTAAGGAAATTCAATAGGGTCACAGCGACACCCTCGCGCTTGTTGCTAAGCTTCCCTCATTCTTTCCTTTCAGCCCTGTGGGCAATTGCAGTCGGTATCAGCGTCGTCTCTCTCGCTATCCTCAGCAACATTCATTTCCTCACAAGGGGCTTTCGTAATGCCAGAACTGTCTCAGGAGGGTGTAGGCAACCTGAGCGCAGGGTCAACGAAACAAACGTACAGCGCAAGCCACCACCCGCCCATCACACCACGTAATTCGATCGAAACCTCCCACCACCCCTTTGAATCATACCCCTTCCGACCAGATCAGATCTTAGGCCATGATACAAACTTGGAGCTACCTCAGGACAAGGCTGCCGCAGTCGATCTTCTTGTCCGCCTTCTCCTCGACATATTGGTATACAGCTACGACGTCGACTTTCACGAGCTTCATTATGCTCTCGCTGCATGTTCTCCCAATCTGTTCACCACAAACCTCTTTACGCGGAACACCAGCCTTTTGAATTTTCAAGGGACGCGCGTAGTTCTCGAATATGCTGATGTCATCCACAAAGCATGTGAGACTGTCGTCGACAACACCCAGAGCCTGCTAAAGGATAGCGACCGCGAGTTCATCAGTACTTTCATCATGGAGCCAGCACGAACTATTGGAATCGACATCTCGTACGTCTTCGAGCAGCTGTACGCTTTCCGGTTGCACAGGTGCGAAGGCGGAAACCATCACAAGACATTACTCTACACTAAGCCGTCCTTCTGGACGCGTGGACGCAGCCTCCTGCCGGGGAAATTGGGTATGGACAAAAGTCAAAAGTTACTTGCACGTCGACTCGTCTCGGACGACATGGTTGTTGCCCAGCTTGGGACAAGATCGTGCGAGGCGCTTCGGCTAGTGCTCGGCAAGGCAATCAAGGATTACAACCGCAAGCATTGCAAATACGGCATGGCCAAGACCAATCGAGAGGTCTATGCAGAGCCGAAGTTCGTCGCTTTGAAGAAAGAGCTGAAATGGAGGGATTTTGTCTTTACAAAATACCTCTACGATGAACAGCAGGCTGCGATGGCAAGTGGTCAGTCAAATCTCAGAGCGAGCAACCAAGGAGAGCCCAGGATGAGTAGTCGGTTATACGATGCATCACGACGAAACAGCGATCATTTGCGCAGGCCAAGCTCCCTCCACGATCTGCACAGTATAAGCGAACGGCCTGAGAGGCCCCCAAGGCCGCTATCGACCTCCAACATACGCCTAGGATCACCTCGATCAAGGCCGGTGCGGCCGGGACTGTGGACCAACTATTAGTGGCTTATGCCGACTCTGACGCTACCCTCGGTATTGCATATGGTTCATTTGTACAACATTAGCATCGTGGATGGGTCTCAACAACCGGTCATTATGTTTCTAGGAGTATGATGAGAACACATATCAGCACACCGTCACATCGTTGAGGAAAGTGCGTCGTAGCACACAAGTAGCAATGCATGAATGAATTCATCTTCGAGCATCTAGTCTGCTGAACAGATCCGCTACCATCAGTTGTCCGTTGCAAGAAAGTATGCTATAGGGATCCACAAGAGAAAGCTTTCCTCTTCAATCGGCTACAAGTACGGCAAGCCCTCTACAAATCCCCACCCACCAACCACCCTCAACACTACTACTCCCAAAAAGCAACAACCCTCGCCTCAATACTCTCCCTCGGCTCCTCCCCCTCACTCCCCTCCACCCTAAACGCCGTATGCGGACACCTCCACCCCTTCTCCTCCCTCTTCGAATCCAAGCCCTTGAAAACTACCATCTCCCACGGCTGCATCCCACTCATATACCACCACTCATGCATCTTCCCCTCCCCCATGTCCATCCCCTTGTTCTCCTCCAGCGCCCCACAACTCAAAACATAATTCTCACTCTTATTTCCTGTGCGACTGAACTCCCTAAGTCTGACTTGGTAATCACTATCTGCCACTGTGGTCGCGTCGCACACGGCGAGTGGATCTCGACGGACTGTTTTGAGGGGCCGCCAGCAGTTTAGGAAGGCGTAGCGGGTGGATGTGGTGAAGAGGGTATGTATGTGTGGGGGGAGGGAAAGTTCAGTGAGCGTGCCGGAGAGGGCGGACGCGGAGCCTGCGTAGTCGACGTGTGGGTGGCCGGAGGGTATGTCTTGCCAGCGGCCTTGGGCGTCTTGGATGCCTTTTTGAGAGGGGGAGGTGTGGGCGCGGATTACGTGGTTGAAGACGTGGACAGTTGATGCGCCGGTTCTGGTGGAGTTGTTAGATCCCTTGCTTCTTATGACGAAGTCGTTCACGTAGAACATCGGTGGGGCTATACAATTTCTTGACCACTTCTTCCAACTCAGGGTAGTATCCTCGTTTTACGTCTTCTTCGCTGCTGTGTCGGCCGACTCTATCTTTGTGCGGTAATGTGACGAATGTGAAGCCGTTGACGTCTAGATCGAATGTCTTATTGGCTTTTCGTACGTCGCGGATGAGCATGGGACGAGTGTATTCATCTCTGTCGTCTAGGTATTTGACTTTCCATTCTGACTTTGGGATGGGGACGCCGGTGGCAGGGAAGTAATTTATGTTCGTGATGACGTCGGTACTGTGTGGATCTTGTTGCATGGTAACTTTATTTAGACAGATGTTCGACCTCAATGATTGTCCTAGAAGTGAGATGCGAATTATTCGCAGTAAATCCAGATCCACTCCAAAGCATATGGTTCATTGCGATGTGAAGGCGGATCCGCTGGCTAGATGAAGTGGGGTAAGCACATGCGAACAGCACACACAAGGAACAGATTCCATCATCACTAAACATCTTAGTGGTGTAGTATTCATTTCTCATATCTCATAACCTGTGATCATCCTGAATTTTGTCTAAACCCGTTTTTGGCGTCGCTTGGCAGGCCTCTCCTCTAGAGAATCGTCTTCAAGATGTCGATTTGCTCCATGACGGCGCTCTTGCTTGTACCACCAGTGGCGTTTTTCAGCTCTACCGCGCGCTCGTAGTCCAAGCACTCAACCACGTCGTCGCCTAACCTGGAGTCAATACCCTTCAGCTGCTCCAAGCTCAGCTTGTCCATGGGCACGTTCTGGTCCTCTGCCAAGGCAACAACACGGCCAGAGATGTGATGACCCTCACGGAAAGGCACGCCTTTTCGGACAAGGTAGTCTGCAAACTCTGTGGCTAGCATCTCTGGGGCAAGTGCAGCGTGCATCTTGTCGGCATTGATCTTCAGGGTTGACAGGACACCGGTGGCGATCTGGATGGAGTCGCTGACCGTCTTGATGTGGTCGATGAGAGGCTCAACAGACTCTTGCAGATCCTTGTTGTAAGTTGTGGGCAGACCCTTGATGGTGACATACAAACCCGCCATGTGTCCGAAAGCACGACCGCTCTTTCCTCGAATGAGTTCTAGAGAGTCTGCGTTCTTCTTTTGGGGCATGAGGGAGCTTCCGGTAGAGTAGGCGTCGGCCAACCGCACGAAGCCAAACTCCAGACTCGAGTAGATGATCAAATCCTCCGCCCAGCGCGACATCTTGAGCATGAAGCTCGATCCCCATTGTAGAGTTTCGAAGACGAAGTCGCGGTCTCCGACAGCGTTGAGAGAGTTGGTCAGCAGGCCCTCAAATCCAAGCTCCTTAGCCATGGCATCGCGGTCGATGTTGAAGGGGTTGCCTGCCAACGCGCCGCAACCGAGTGGGGAACGGTTGACGCGTTTAATGACTTCGCGAAGGCGCTCGAGCTCGGATGCGAAAGCGGTGGCATGCGATAGGATCCAGTGCGACCATCGGACGGGCTGCGCCTTCTGGAGATGTGTGTAGCCAGGCATAAGCACGTCGATCTCGGCCTCTGCTCGCTGCACCGATGTCTTGATCAAAAGCTTCAAGTAGCCCTCTAGTGTCCTGAGCTGCTCCCTCAGCCATAACCGCATATCGGTCGCGACTTGCTCGTTCCTGCTTCGCCCTGTGTGGAGCTTGCCTCCAATGTCCTTGCCGATGATTTCGCTTAGCCGTCGCTCGTTGGCAGTGTGAATATCTTCATCGTTCGCCTTGACCTCAAAGGAGTTTGATGCCCACTCCTCTTTAATCTGTGCCATGCCCTTCTCGATGGCAGCAAACTCGTCAGCGGTGAGGATGCCATTGTTCTTGTTGGCGCGAGCGAATGCGATGGAACCGGCGATATCTTCGGCGTAGAAGAGACGGTCGTAGGGGAGAGACGCATTGTATTGCTCCATGACTGGGTCAAGGCCCTCTGCAACGCGTCTTAGTGTCCAGTCATCTCAAGTATCGGTGGACTCATTGAAGCCGTTGGCTGCACAAACCTGTGAAACGACCTCCCCAGAGCATGTTCTCTGCTACTTTCTTTTCGGATGCCATCTTGAGATCTATGAGAGAATAAGGTGTGGAATTGGATTGTGACTGTTTGCGCGTTCAAGAAAAAGATATGACGCTCCGCATCGGCGGCAGGGGTGCGATAGCGCTAAACGGTCGCGGGGAACTTTCCCTCGTCTCCACATCGGCTGCCCCTCAGCCACAGACCCATCACCATCAGGTACACATCAAGCTTGCAGTGTCCACCAAGAAAAGACCTCATATTAAGGCATACCATTGATTCAAAACTATTGTGCGCGCTCTCGACGCGGTTCAAACGGAAGTCCTCCGGGACATCAAACACGGGCTATCCCATTCACTTCCAAAAGGAATCAAGAACTCTAGAGAACCGTCTGGTTAAAAGTTTAGCAATGCTTCTAATCGGAATTTCCTAGGATTAGGGCTTACAAAAGAAGCGACGCCAGTTGGAATTCCTGTGAGAAATCGCCTGGTTGAACCCAGCTTCTAACAAGCCCGAGTTGGAGAAATGCTCCGGCACATGCTTATGCGACAATAAAGCAACCTCATCCCCGGCGCCTTGCTCGTATTGTTCCGAGATAGGTGAGCCACAACATAATGAAGGTGCCGCGCTGTCTTTTCGCTTTCGCTGGAGGGGTTCGTCTGGTTTCGTCTGTGGCTGTGACTGTGGCTGTTGCTGCGTCTCGAAGGCTAGGTCTATAGAAGCTTGTTTTTCAGCGTTGGCTGCCATACTTTCTATTCTGACGATGGGCACCAGATGCCGAGGTGATGGTTGCATCCGTTGTTGGTCACAGTATTTGATAATGTGTGGTTGCTCCGGCATTATTGACATGATTCCGGTTGAAGGCTTGAAGGGTACTTGTGAGAAGAACAAACACCAGGGCTGTTGATAATTTATCGCAGCCACTACATCACTACTTAGTGCAGTCATGAAGGGATCTGCGCCAGTGTTCTTAGCTCACAATGTTGTTGAGACGCTTTGTGACTGTGCGGAATGTCTTTCTTTGCTCACTCACCGCCTATCGTAGCTGTCGAAGACGATTTGAGGCTGGGTAGATGATTGCTTTTTAGTTTTGGGACTGGACGGATATATCTGCGGTTCGGATGCGCAACCAAGTCGTTCAGACAATCGTATCGTAGATCTCATTAGTTTTGTCGTCCCACACCGCTACTATAGTCAAGGAATTGGAATATGTCATTATTCATTACGTCCAGCGTCAACGCCAGGAGATGCTAGAGAAAACCCTGGGTATACAACTCAATCAAACATTTCGCATCCTTTCACGGTCTTGCCATCTACCAGTCTCTTTAATCGTGCTCAAATACCTCCCACGACTGCACCAATAACACTCAGACCCAGCAGCGATGAGACCACCCAACTCGCAGCCCCACTGATCCTCACACCTGCACTAGCATATCCTCGCTCCTCGTCGATCTTCCTCGCACCGACCGCCTTCTCCGTGTTGAAGCAGCTAAACATACCCCTGCCACTTGCACCTTCCTTCTCATATTCTTCCATCTTCTGTGCCAAGCAACTTTGAACGATGTCTGGTGAATCGGTGATGCAATATTGGAAGCAACCGTCGTTGTCTTCTGAGTTAACGATGACTGGTGTTGAGGATGCTGATGGTGATGATGTGGTCGAGTCGGGGGCGGAGTATGTCGCGATAGCGTTGATGTGTCCGTTGCAGCATGCGTCTAGTATTGAAGAGTTCGAGCCGCCGATAGGTACGGCGCACGATGGGAGTGTGGTGGGTGGTTGAGGAACCGAAGTGAATGGCTGGCAGGACATTTTTGCGTTGTTACAGAGAGTTTATCGTGTTGGTGTGGATATTCGGGATCCCTAAAGAGGCCGTCGAGGAGTCTTGCGAACGTTTCGTAGATGAGTCGATGGTTTAGTTGTAATTCGAGATGACGATGTAGGTACTAGACACGACTTGCGCGCTACTCCAAAATTTCTCGCAACGAGAAAATGGGAAATGACGAAAGATAATAGATGAGAGAACAACTCCGTCGCTATGCTGAGACTTGACTGAAGGAAACAAGCAAGTTACGTTGCGAATGAAACACAGAGTTGTTCACAGAACGGACTCAAAAGAAAAGAACCGAATGAGAATTGACGGAAGCAAAGAAAAGATGGTCGAGGCTGGAGAATACTGCACCATCTTCGCAAGAGCAGAGCCTCATATGTAGACTTCGTGCGGTCTAAGAATATCTCAGGTGGATACGCGGGTGGGTAGTCGGCAGCGCGAGATCTAGCGTTACGCGCCGACCCTCTCGGCTGCGCGACGCGTTGGTTGGCCCGCAACGTTCAATGGGATTACGCGCTAAAACCACGGGCAGATCCGAAACAACACGTTCTGTCGTGGTTGAAACGCTGTTATGCTGATTTTGGGTAACGTTCATGCTTTGTGCTGTCCAATGGGTGTGTTGGGTTTGCTGTGTAGTGAATGTCACGTGCGACCGATCGAACCCCCTGGGTCGCTATATTGCCGCTGCCTAGACGACTGCAGGGCTGAGTAAGGAGGGATGCATATCAGTGGCTGATGACAAGATTGAACGCGAGTAGGCCAGGTCTCTCTAATTCGATTATAATGTGGAGTTCGTCAGGTACAAAGTCCGTTCCACATGCTTGCCCAGATATAGAGTTGCGAAGACATTTGTGCTTGACCCGGCACACTGCGGCTATCATTGGCGTATGAGATGGTGTACGAGTGGTCCGTAGTCGAGGCATATGACAGCCGAATTCTTCAAATCCAGACGTGAATCTGACGCGCAACAAACGTCTTGCGGTAAACAGGACAGGCTGAGCCCTACAATGCGAGACCAACTGTCGCAAGCGGTATGGGGCTCAGCTATTCTCGTCTTCATCCTCATGCGCGGCCGCCCATGGGCTTCTCTTGCGTAATGATACACCTCTTCTCTCAAGCACGAATGGTATTGGCGCTAGACAGATGGCGATTGCCATCAGTACCAGACTCGCGTTCCTGGTGCCTACGTTCAAGAATAGGTGTCTCCCGACGAGTGGGAACCCAGCACCAGCGAGATTCCGAATGAGTCCAATTCCGGCAAGCGCTGATGCTGAGTACGTTTTGTAGGCGTCTTCGGTGTACGTGAGAGTCATGAGAACTAGATCGAATTGTTAGTGCAGCATGATTGACGTTGATCATCTGTGTAACTTACTGAGGGTGTAGAATGACCAACCCCAGAACGCGCTGGCGAGGACTGCGAAGAAGGGGTGTATGTTCGGCGTTGCGGTAAGTGCGAAAGCCAGAAGAGACACTGGTAGCACAATAGCTGCCAGCTTCGCGTGATGCACTCGCGCCTCAGGTACGTCACGATGGCCGGCCTGAGATACTTGTCTTTGATAGTATCGTTCCTGTAAGACGTTCGTAGCTAGACCAAGCGTGATGCCAACAACAATTCCCAGGAAGGAGATACCGACGCCGATAGTATCGAAACCGTACCCGCTTGGGCCAAAGATCATGTGGAAGGCGCCGTTGAAGAGGAAGCTCAGGCCGTAAAGGAATCCGTTGTAGAGTGCACCAAATTGCACGATAGCTTCAGAGCCTAAGAACCTGAATGGACGGGCGAGTGCTGTGCTGAACAGTTGCTTCGGTCCTCGTTGCTTCATTTCATCCGGCACCTCAATCTCCTCGTCTCCTGTTTGCTGTCGCAAGGCTCTTGCTCTCCGCAAAAGGATTACACTATGTCGTGTCTCTCCGAGGCTGTAAAGCGCGACAACCATGACCACCCAGAAGGTCAAGCAGATGAAAAACATGATGCGGAACACAGTGTGCCATGATCTTCCATTGGCGATGAATGAGAAGAGCACAAAGCCAGTCGGACTGCCCCCTGTCGCTGCCCAGAGGAACCAAGACATGGCTGGCCCAGTATCATGGTGATGAAAGAGATCCGCGATGGTGCCTCCAAAGTTCGAAATGGTCGTAGATGAGAAATAACCCGAGAACAGACGCAGGACAAGAAACGGCCCAAGGCGTTCTACATATGTCGTCCCCAAAAGAAGCAAGAGGAAGATGCCATAAGACACAATATAGACAGGTCTCCTTCCAAAGTATTCGGAAAGAGGAGCCAAAGTCATAGGACCAAAAGCCAACCCAAGAACATACATGCTCAGTCCCAGAACTGCGACGCTCGGTGACACGCCCATGTCTTTGGCAAAGTCGCTCGCGACAGGACTAAAGCCACTCGCACCCCAGGAGACACTGAGGTCTATGGGGACAATGGCGGCGACCATTAGCCATTTGCGTGCTTTCGACCAGTTCCGGGGATCGTCTGGATCGTGGGGCTCGAAAGCTATGACCTTGGTTGGAGAGCTGTGCAGCAGCGGCTGGCTCTCTGGTTGAGAAGAGCTCATCGCTGCAGAAAGAAAGCCGCATAAGCTGACAGTATCCCGGGGTTTCTGATGTTTGGTGTTGATGATTTAGAGTGCAGGTACACAAGGCGGATTCGGTTCCCCCCAAATGATGACGTCACTGGTCATTCGTCCCGGATTAGCACCGAAACGCTGGAACACGGCGTTTGGGATGAGTACATCGTCCTCAGTTCGTGCCTTCCTACAGCTTCCTCGCCCTATTACACCGGACGATTATATACATCCTTCAGATCATATTACTATCTATGTATGCTATGGAGAAGTATACCTTATCTCAGATGCATTGATCCTGGGTTGTTTTGATACAATACTATGTATTTAGTAATGCGACATGAACAGCGTATCTCTTGACGATGCGCATTGCCTGCCAATACAATGTCTAGTTATAATCGCTCCTTCGTTCCATGGTTCTTCTCAAAACAAAAGGCCATTGCCTTCCTCCTTCTACTTCTTCGCCGAGTTCCCAACTGATGAACACATCAAACTGTTGCAAGCCTTTAACTTTCTTCAAGGGGGTGAACAAGGCATCCTCATATATATGATACGGTCGAGGGCGCGACGGCCATGTCACCAGATTGACCCTTATGCATCTTAGGGCCTCCATTTTTGATATCGTCATCCAGGTACGAGTCCAGCAGGACATGTCGTAAGGCGGTACACCTTGAACCAACTCCCATAGCATGCTTATTTTATCACTTCTCCGCCTCAGATGTAGCGATTGAATTGCTTGAAAGTGCCGGGAAGGTACTAAACGGTGAAGGCAGAAGAATGCTGTACTGGTAGGGACATAGAAAGTGTTGGATGCGTAGAGATGCTGTATGGATTCGAAATACCTAGCGCAAACAAGTCAGTCATATTCTGTAGACCAGCGAGGCCTCAGGTAGGGAAACAGACATACGTGATCTTACACGGCCGTGGAAAGGCCAGAAGCTGCTGGAACTTCGCGCATCTCAGATTGAAGGACGGCACCGGGCTTCACTTCTAGTTCTTCGTTCCCGACAGCGTATAGATAGATCGTCGTCCGCAACTCTGGAGGCAACTTCGTGAAAAACAAGCATTGTGGCTGGGTGAAGAGAACATTTGTTGCTACGCTCAATGCCGGGACTTCCATCGTGGCGGAGCGTATAGGTGGTAAAGATACGTTTTAGTTCGCTCGAAGCGTGTTCTGCCTTTCTATCTTTCCTCGTCTTCGCCTCTGCAGCTTCTTGGCTATGGCCCTGTTATATGAAGGTACGATCACTACTTGCACAAACTTGTTGAGCACATACCAGGCTACGTCTTTGATAGGTCGTATGGCCACTGACAAAGAGTGGAAAGAGAAAACATGTAGTAAGAGAAGAAAAAGCGATAAAAATAAGTACCGTTGAGCCGATGTTTTGTTCGTTGGACGCTTGTTGGCAATATAGCGAGCGTCCACTTCGAACGCGATCTATAAGTGATACGGTAAGCTGGTGCCTAGCTACCTGGTATGACCAAGTTGATGCGGCATAGCGCCCTCCATCTTGAGGCATAGCTAGAGAGGCGCACATCCCTTCGCCCTGTTCGCGATGGTGATCTAGCCCTTTGCGGACGCGACAAAATCCTGGAGCCCTTTCGTTCTCTGGAACTCGCATCGCATTTCGATTGACATTTTGTTATGTTGGGAGCTGACAGTAATAGCCGGATGTTACGCAGCGTGCGTACACACAGCACCTGCCTGCTAGAGCGATCGGCTTTATACCACATCCGAGATCTGGCGTCGTTCAGAATCACAGGTATAATCATCATGACAATGGTGATAGCCATGTGTGAAGATCTAAGCATGTCCATTGAATCATCATGCGCGGCGACTGTGCTGCAACAGATGTTGTCAAGAAGGAGGTATTAATGTTCGTCATTGTTGTTCGGGCGCGTTACCTGGTACCCAGGCCGGGAGACGCTGTTGCTTGCCGACCTTGGGAGGTACATACCTAGGTAGTGTCACCATAGCTGTAGTTTAGTCACAATAACACTTGTCATGTTGCCTGAACTAAGCTAAAAAAAACCTCACAACAGCAAACCACAAACGTATCAATCTAGCCAGCTATCAGTCCTATTTCCCTCCAGAGTCGGGTATGCATGTTCCCATATCAGTTGGGTTTTCACAACCCGGCCCCTTGAAAGCCATGATGCTGAACCACTGGCAACCAATCGACACCGAACCTCCCATCTTCTTCTCTTCTGTGTTCGTATCGCCTGCAACACGCGTAAGTATGTTTTTTCCCCGCAGTACCTCGTATGAAACAACTTACAATCATGCATGATACTATCCAATGCCATGGCGCATTCCTCTCCATTCAGATGCGTGATTCCCTGGCTCTGGCACGATTCGTCTAGATAAGCAAAAATCGAGACCAGCGGATCTTTGTCAACGTTGAAAGATTGCTCATAAGCACTCGCGAAGCCAGATGCGGGTCTCGGCATCAGCACCTCCCCTTCTCCGCGGTTACAGAATTGGCTAGCGAAGTCGTATCCGTCAGTCGAGCTAAACCACCTCTCCCGCGGCTCGCTGCATGTCACGATCGGGCTTGCTGAGGGCGTTGATCTAGTTGTCATAGTCGATGCGGCCTGGAAAGTGACCGTAGGCCCATCATCCGTTGTGTATGGACATGCGTTGTACGGCGAGGTCGTCGATTTCGCTTCTGAGTAAGTCAATGTTTTCTCGTCATCTCCACAGTTGCAATACCCTCTGGGAATGCGATCTCCTCTCGGGCTCGCGCCGTGTATGCAGAAAGGTCGTTCGTCGCCCAGGGCATCGATCAGTTGTTGTTGTTCATCGAGCCATGTCTTGCCGTTGTCGTACAAATTCATGTCTCCAACAATAGCGCTGCCAATTTCCGCTATGGCCAGACAGTCGCAGCCTTTCCAGCTACCCTGCAACGTGTTAGGCAGTGTCGGTGCCGTTGGCAGAAAGGGCCATAACACATACCTGTGAGCATTTTTGGTTGCGTTGGGTATCATCTCCTTTGCAATCGGCATCTGTACAAAATGGCTATAATTTCGTTAGCAGTGCACGAGTTCTGGCTCCTGTTAGTCTGGCATGTACTTACAGCATCTACTCCCTTTGGAGCGTCTTCTGGGCAACCATCATCATCGTCATCATCACCATCTCCACCAACAGTGGAATCGGATCCAGGGGCCATTGTCCAGGCCGAAAGCTGCCCCTTGATTTGCCACCAAAGGAAGATACCAATTCCCGCTGTCGGTAGGATTCGTGCATTACTCAATATGCTCGCTATTTGGGGTCCGTTGACTGTGGGTATCGTGGCCAGAATTCCAGTGTCGATAAATCCCAGTCTTCCTCCGGGTGACAACTCTTCGAAAACTCTTTGCGCAAATCTCTCATTCACGTTGCATGTCGTTCGTCTTCTTCGGATGCTGCAAGCCGACTCCGCCTCCGCTGCCAGGCTTTTCAAGGTGTCAACTAACTTTGGAGAAAACGCGACGCTGACATCACCAGGTACGAGGCCGTCCACAGTAGCTGTCGCAGTAGTTGCGACAATCGCTGCTGGGATAGTCGTGACGGCTGGTTGATTGTCGACAGTAGTGGTGTACACTACATCGGTAAGATATTCGGTATTCACACCAATCCACTGATACATGAGTGAGCTGATCACAGAAGTCATCGCAGTGTACATACTTTGGTTGTACTTCCATCTGATTGGTACCACTGCGTGTTTGGACCAATGTTCAGGCTTCAGATATCGTCAGTAGTGTGCTCAGACAGCGCAAAGTCTATTGAACTTACTAGATATCTGGGCCGACGTCTGTCACTGGATTGACACCTATCTGTCCAGATGCAGTCGGGGTGACAGCATTCTGCTGGAAGGAGACCGTGATATCTTGGCTCCGCACCCAACAGACAAATAGTATCGCGAAAACGACGAAGCGGCTCTGTGCCATGATTAATAGATGCGTTGAAAGAATAGCAAAGGTCCACAACACGCTCAAGATCTGATTTATATGTCTTCTGGTCTATGGCCGGCCAATAATGATACCCGATTATTCCCAGCTGCCCCAATCTCTGAGGATCATGGACCCAGCTTGAGAATGCAAACTGTCATAATATTACAGGCCGCCCTTGGGGTTGGCGGTTGTCGCCCCGCTTCAAAACGTCAACATCTGCACACCAAGTGGCACTGAGAAACATCGGGGTGCCACTGCAAGATTTGAAACGCCGCCCCTAGCCAATTGGGCAATTCAGCAACATACTGGCTAGCAGAAAGCGCAAGACGCAATTTGCGTTCTTGCGGTTTTCAGCGATCCTTCCGAGACTTCGGGGACCGAGTTTTGGCCCTCATCGCGGCGTAGTGCAGAACATGAGTTTCATTCGAGTATGCAGCTACCTTGTTGTGGCCCCAATCTGTCCCGAGATATATCCCATATGCGGCGTCACTGATATCACTTGCAATAGTAGCCACTCACGTACCTACTTGCGCCATCATCCAGTCCCCTCACCAGGTTTGAAACGAGCCAGATTGCTACGCAACCCTGAGCTGACATCACAGCGACTCCTCACGAGAGGAACAAGCCTTCCTTCCACAGCATGAAAGTTATGATGTCCGATGCTAGCATGCGGCGTGCTCATGTACAGCCTTGACACGGTGTTAGAAGCCATTTGAAGGCAATCGAGCGATGAAGACGTACGACCTTGACTGTTGTGAGGTCACTGTCTCAGATTCTATACCCTAAGCCTACATGCAATGAGCGAATACACGGGGCCAGGTTGAGAAGAGGAGGTACAGCATGGCTTCGTGGGATTCCGAATAGCTCAGGCCAATGAACAGGCCTGGTAGCTTCTAAAAAAATGACATGATCTTGTTAAACGGCCCCAGGGCTTTTTTGCATCCGTTCAGTATATATTTGCAACCTCCGGAGATGTGGAAGTATCAGTATTAGAGCTATTGCAAGCCTTCGTCTGGTTGTTTTGCACATCTTCTTTCGTCACCACTCAACATCATCTATCAGTCGAGCTCACCATGACTCTACTATGGAGACACCTTGCGCTAATGATACTGGCCCTCATATGTGGCGTCGATGCGTACATGATTGACGACGATTGTGGTGGTTAGTATTCCGTTCATGGCGTATCAAGGTCCTCAGCTTACGGACGCATTCGATGCGCAGAGAATACAGGCTTCGTGGAGAAAAAGATCGATTCAGCTTTTCGATTGATTTCTACGGTTATAACTGAGCTCGAAAAGACTCCCGTCAACGCAGATGTCGACGACTTGTTTAACACGCTGTTTGGAGAGACCGCGACCAGCATCGGAAATAATGGCGCACGAACAGACCACTTTCTACCACGCATGAAAAGATTAGCAGCCATTCAGAAACGAATCGACAGCGACCAAACCAGCTCAGAAGCCGATATTTACGACGTTCGATTTTATTGCACAACCAATCGTATTGTTAAGCGCAGCGACGGAGAGTATGTCAACAAAGACCGCAACAACCTCGCCTATAACCCAAAAGAGCTGAAATCCGAGTTCGCACACTGTTACAACATCGAGCAACCTACCTTGATGATAACAATGACTACTACTGGAGGTCACAGTGAGATCCAGATATGCCCATGGTTTTTACGGAAATCGCGAGGGTTCAAGTTCACAGATCTCCAGGATACGAGCCAACCATTCTACGCAATGCTTAGCAAGTTAATTATACCAATCGCAGCCGTAACAAGATACAGACCCATCGATGCGCTGGTACTGATGGACAAAGTCATCGTACACGAGTTGACTCACACAACACAGGCCAGGCCTGCAACAAGCGACATGACCGACAACGCTTATGGTAAGCGCATGAATTTCCTTCTGCGAGCACGTTGAATTTGTCTGTCATTCTTTTGATGCCCTTCTAACCATTGTTTCCACCTGAATAGGCTTCAAGAACGCGAGGAGACTCGTACAGGCATGGCAAGCCGATAAATCTCTTGAACGAGACCCCATCTTCAACGCCGATTCGAACGCACTCTTCGCAGTTGGGACCTGGATCATTATCAATACAGGTTCAGGCATAGGCACGGATGGCTCTTTCACAAAGCCTTCTGGAAACCCGAAGGCAGTCAAACCAAGAATGCGAGCTATAAGCACATCAAGTTGAATGATAGCAAGACGAGTAAGTGGAAAACATCCGAAAGACGATGATGAATTGGGGTCACGACCTACATCAGATTGCAAGATGGAACGCATACTATTCATCGCCCTGTTTTTTTCCTTACCGAAGGAAGCTCGTGTCAGTCGTTTGTGTAGTCTAGGGTAGTGCTTGGTCGATAATTCTTCGGTCTTAGCAATCCAATGTGCACGCTACAAACTTTGTGGAACGCATCTATTGGGTTTGCGGATTGGCAATGAAAATATGCTTACCCCTCAAGATCTAATCGCGGCTAAGAAGACTGTAATTCACATTCCGGGTCAAAACGCATCGTTCGACTCGATCGTACTGTGAAATTACGGAGATTATGATCCAAATAAGACGGGATTATACAGGTGCAGTGACATCGCTCGTGATGCAGTCAGATCTCCATACCCATTCCCCGCGTGATTTTGAACGGCCATGTCTTCCCTTGACGTTGAAGATCTTTATGTTCGCTCCAACTAGCGTATACTTCGAGTTCTTTCGACCCCTGGGCAGATTCTAGTGGAGCGAACAAAGCATGTTCATAATCAGCATATACGTATGTCGTCCCGGGTACCATATCTACCCTCACACGCTCCAATGCTCTCATTTTGGAGATTTCCGACCACATTAGCGACCAGCAAGAGGCATTGTAAGGCGGATATCCGTGGACAAACTCCCGCATTTCGCCCGTCTCCATGTATGCCCATCTCAGTCTCATGAAACGGATGGTATGAAACCAGCGCGCAGGAAGAACGCGGTGGAGGCAGAAAAATGCTGTGATGTTGGGGATGCAAAACGTATTGTCCCCGTAGATATACTGTGTCGCTTCGACATATCTGTGGCGGCTCAGTCAGACGCTGAAACATGGAGCCACGAACTGGGCCTGTCAACAGGTTTAGTTTACTCACGCAATTCTGCATGATCTCGTGAAAGCCAAGGTCCTTTGTGCCTCAACACATCTCATGCTAAACGGGGCGTCGGTATCACTATCTTCATGAAGTTCAAGCTGTAGTTCTTCCCCACCAATGGCATAAGCGTAAATAAGCCTCCGCAGCTCTAGAGGCAGCTTTGCGAAGAGCGGGGATTGTCGCTGAATTGAGACGTCTGCGCTTGAGAAGAGGTCGAAGAGGTCCTTACTTTCCGCGCTCGTTCCAGACGGGAGGCGTCCGTTCCATTTAGCACTAGCCGCAGCTCCGAGTTTATCGTGGAATTCTCTTCGTTTGCGTCCATTTCTCTCCGCTATACGGTCACAAGGAGCGTCGATCAGAGTTTCGATGAGGTATTCTTTCAGAGAGCGCATCAGGGTTGAAGGGGAACGCATTTTGCACTGATGCCTCCTTTCTCGAGGGAGCGCGTGAAGACGTCCTCGGCCGTGTGCGATGGATGAGTACCGGTATCTGAGTTTGAGACTGTCCTAGCTGTGATCATCTGCCCCGAGCTGCGGCGTCAAGGCTGGCTATAACTGTCGGACACCGAAGGCAAACACCATGGAGCGTGTATATCAGTTGGGGCGATTTGATGCCCTGTCCAGGTGTAACCGCCCCCCACGAGGAGCAGAATCCCTGCTCTGACTGCAGCACAGCAGCCCCCGCGTGCGGCGCGACCGTCACATCAGAACATTGGAACAATTTGTACAGCAAAACTTCTTGGTAGCCTAGGTGTCAAAATACTAGAATGAAGCGGTCCCATGCAACAGTAAGAAGCACGTACCGTTCATGTCTCGCCCGAAGCAGACCTGGGGAGGCTAGTCGAGGGCATAGAACCACAACGACGTCAACGGCGCCAATGACCCTGCATCATCGCAAACAATACTTGTGACCTTCACCAGCAGGCCATGCAGCGCGATCTGTTTACTCATCGCATCTCCCGAAAGGAACCTGTGGGCCACTCCGTCCTCCAACAGACCCTGTCCTCGGTCGCTTTCACGCCGAAGGGCCGAGTGGCGCGTCTTCCCCATAGCAGTCTCTCCTCCTTTACCCCGGATTACGGCCAGGATCATCAAGCTTGGCTTCAATTAATTTTCCCGTGTACCTGGCTATGACTTGTATAAGAATGAGGAGCGAAGTACTTCCGAGGGCAAGTAGTGCTTGTTGGTGCCTTCCGTTCACAATATGCGCTCTACGACAGCGACCGCGGTGGCGCTCTTGTTATCTTCGAAAACATGGGCGTTTCTGGATGCGAGCCAGAACAACCAAAGTCTTACCATTGCCAATGACCGTCTCGTTGCGTCGGTGAGCAAGACACGAGGATACATCAATGTTCTTACTCTTGACGGCCAGAACCTCCTCGGAACGGAAGATGGCAACACTGGAGTTGGTCCATATCTCGACTGTTACTGCACTCCATCTGGCTTCTGGACACCCGGTCGAGGAAGCAATGTTCAGTATCAACTGTTTAATGGCGCGGATTCCACTGGAAACCCATATGGTGGCATCAGTATGGGCGAGACGTACGCCCCGACTGGTCAGAGGCTAGAGCAATACTGGTTTCTGAGAGAGGGGGAAACAGGTCTGCATACCTTCAGTCGTGTGGTATACAATAACAAGACTACTCCCTTTTTGCGCAACCTGCAAGAGTTCCGCACGCTGTTCAGACCCAACCACGAACCCGCGCTCTTCACGCACTTCGTTACAAACGAGAAGTTTGCTGCACCCCGCCCAGATACCGAGGGACAGGTCACTGTTCAAGACGCTACATGGTGGTTAGCCAACAAGGAAGATCCTTACGTTACTGGTGTAGGAGACTACTTCACCAAGTACACCTTTCAAGACACGTGGCGTGATCACAAGGCCCATGGTATGTACGCCGACGGTACCGGTAGCGCCAACGGCTCAACCTACGGCGCCTGGCTCGTACATAATACGGTCGAGACATATTTCAACGGCCCCGTGCATTCCGACCTCGTCGTCGATGGCATCGTGTACAACTACATGGTCTCCAACCACCATGGCGATCAGACACCTAACATTACCGATGGTTTCGACCGTACCTTTGGGCCACAATACTTCCACTTCAACTCAGGCGGCTCGCTCGAAGAACTCCGAGAAGATGCCGAGCAGTACGGTCTTCGTCCAGAATGGAACGCCGACTTCTATGATTCCATTGCAAAGCACGTCCCAAACCTCGTCCCAACATCCGGTCGCGGTACCTTCAACGCAAAGATCAACCTGCCCAAGGGAGCCAAGAACCCCATCGCTATTCTCACCGAAAGTGGTCACAACTTCCAAGATAACGTCTTCGACACGAAAGCATACCAATACTGGGAAGACATCTCCCCCACCGGCGAAGTCACGATCCCCCGTGTAAAAGCCGGAAACTACCGCCTGACAGTCTACGCCGACGGTATCTTTGGCGACTACATCCAAGACGACGTTTCCGTCTCCGCAGGAGAAGACACTTCCATAACAGCGACATGGACCCCCGAATCCGCCGGCACAGAACTCTTCCGCATCGGCACCCCCGATAAATCCTCGGGCGAATACCGCCATGGCTACGCTCAATCCCCCACGCATCCCCTCCTCACAGAAGAATACCGGCTCTACTGGGGTGCTTACGATTTCATTGACGAGTTCCCCGAAGGCGTGACGTATAAAGTCGGTACGGATGACGAGTCCCAAGCACTCAACTACGTACACTGGGCTGTCTACGGCGGAAAAGCAAACTACGAGCGTCCGGAACCTGTTCCTGATCATCCTTACAACTGGACTATTCTGTTTGATGCCAAGGCGAACGAATTGAGGAACAGGACTACGGCGACGTTTACCGTGCAGCTTGCTGGTGCGAAGACAGCGGCAGGGAACACGGATGTGTTTAATGCGAGTGAGCCGTATTCAAATCTGCCGTACACGGTTAATGTGAATGGGGTGGATCTTGAACCTTGGGTTATTCCGTGAGTCCTCCACTATGCTTTAAACATTCCCTGACGAACAGTGTGCTAATAAGTGTGTCAGATACAATCAATCCTCATCCTGCGCCGTCCGCTCAGCGGTCATATGCTACAATCTCGCGCACAAGTTCCTTTTCCCAAGTTCTATGCTGAAGGAAGGAGAGAACAGTCTAGTTCTTAGCTTGCCGTACAACGGTACCAATTATGAGAGTGCATTATTGCCGGAATCGGTGTATGTCCAGTATGACGCGATGAGATTGGAGGTGAAGTAGATAGAGAAAGTATGAGGTATTTGTTCTATCGAAGTTCAATATGTGAGAAAAGACAATCAACGCCGTGATTATGCACCGCTAAATGTACATCTATTCTTCTCCCTGGTTGGCATTTGGCCACTCCAAGAATGGGCTAAGCAACTTCCTCAACCATGCGTCCACTGAAAGGCTTCTGCGCACCCTTCTGCATCTCCCCAGAGAACACTCTGCCAACAGGGGCTTGGAGCCACTCGTCTGGCACAGCGAGTTGCGTCCCCTTGGCATTCTGGATGTAGCGTGTGAATAGCGGATTCGCTCGCTCAGGCTCCTGTTCCACCTCCTCGCCGTCCTCGTTGAGCTCGATCATGGATTTACGGCCGCGCTTCGGGGGTTGTTTCTTGAGTAGACGGTTGATGGTGTCGAGCTAGGGGTGGAAGGTCAGTGACTGTATATACGAAAAGATACTGGGGTTCAACAAACCTTCTCCTCTTCGTTCCTCTTCTCGCTGAGGTTCTTCCTTCGCCTGGCCATCTCTGCCCTTCGCATGGCGTGTTCTTCGGCCGTGAGGTGTTTCTTCTTTTGTGCCTCGTTTGAGAGCGCTAGGAGAGCGCCATCTTCTTCCTCATTGATCAAGGCACGTTGGCGCTTCGTCATCTTGCTGACGTCGGGGGTCTGGTCGCGACTGAGGTCTTCGTCGCTGTCCATCTCCTCGTCCATGTCTCCACCTGGTGTGACACCCATGTCGTCGTCTTCCTCGCCCTCAGCATCTTCGTCTTCGCCCTCTGCGTCTTCTTCCTCAAGGTCAGAGTCGGGGTCGCTGAGGTCATCGTCATCGTCGTCGTCCATGGCCATTTCCTTGGCCTCGACTTTGTCTTGTGCTTTGGTAAGCTTTATGGCTGGCGCTGGCTGGACGGGGATCCCTCTATTCGCGTTTACAGTAATCCGTGGTGCTGGCGTGTCCTCCATGTCGTCATCTTCATCCCCCTCGGCGTCCATGTCCTCATCCTCGTCCCCTTCAGCGTCTGGCTCGTCAGAGTCGTCATCCACATCCATAGCATCAACTTCTTCGGCGTCATCGTCATCTTCGTCTTCGTCGTCCTCACTGTCGATCTCCCTCACTACGCGACTGCTCCTAGAAGCGCGTTTGCCCGCGACTATATTCTGCCTGCTGACGCCTGCCTTTGGTACGACTCCACCAGTGGCTTGTCTGAGCTTATTCGGCGATGATTTGACGGTGAGGTGGATCGACTGGCGCGTCTCTTCGGGCGAGGAGCGCTGTATGACAGCAGCAGCGGGCGACTGGTTGGCAGTGCCTCGGCGTGGGCGGGTCGAGGAGGCGGTAGGGGCACTGGAGGCTGTTAGAGGAGCTGGAGGTGCGCGCGCGCGGAGGCGAGGCATGATTGCAGAGGAGCGAAGAGCAAGGCCGGCAAAAGCGGGAGAAGGCAGATAGGAAGGATTGCGACGGCGTCAGATAGGCCGTCGGGTCCGTTGGCCTGGGGCAGGGGTGTGCAGGCGGGTGGCACAAAGGTGGTGGTGAGATGGGCGCCTCTGGTGGCAGTGACAGCCTCTTGGGGACGTTGTACTCGATGCGCTTCCCTTGGCGATGGGTGCAAGCTATTCGCTCGCCTTGTCAGCCACATACCTGGTGCTGTTTCCTCGCTGGTCCCATCCCTCGCCCTCGGATTCGTCATGCTCGGTGCTTATCCGTCGCATTCGTTTCGCCGCGCGATCTGCCATCTTTGCGATTGGTACGATGATATTCTCTAGATTAAAAGTGGTTCCAATGGTCCGTTGCGACAATTCTACGCGTGTTGGTCATCGGCCATTCCATCAACCTTCAGATGGAGATTCGCCGGGATCTTCCCCAGGTCCTGATTAGGCCTAAAGAGGCTAGTGCGAATCATATCCTACGTGGAACGAATGATGGTCTTCCTCACATTTCAACATTCACAAGGGATTACAATTGATGGTCACATAATGTATTATTTGCAACTAGTTTGAACACCGATTATAAGACATGTTGCATATTAGGACTACATCGGACGACTGACTAGATCGACCATCACCAACCCACTGCTCAAGTAAACACTGCCTTGACAGTCTCCTCAAGATCTTCTTTAGGCACACCCAGCTTTTCATTCCAAAGCCCCATATACGCGAAGTCGCCAAGTTGCTGCTCCTTGCCAAACGTCGCACCTTGAATCAAGTACATGATGCCGCTATGATCTCCCGACTGGAGCTTGGCACGGCCTTGCTCGATATGTTCCTTCACATTAACCTTCTTGACAGTCCACTTCGTGCCAGTGACCTTTTCTGCCGCGGCCAAGATCTCCTTCTGCGTCGTCTGGAATCCACTGACGTAGACATATTGGTTCTTAGTCAAGTCGGGGTTCTTGAGTGCGTTGACGGTCGCAACACCGATTTGGTTGAGATTTGTGCTTGAGAAAACAGCTTCGCCATCATCAAAGAGGGTAGCAGTCCTGGACTCGCCGTCAAAACCCAAGAACGCTACCCTGAGGCCCCAGTCGAGGAAGGGGCCAGTGGCGATGCCAGTCCAGCTAATCTCCTTCTCCTTGGTTTTCAGGTACTTGATCGTCTCGAATTTCGCCCTGAATACGGGCACGATCTCGTGACCGCGCTCGTCAAGGTTGTTGCTTCCATACTCTGAAGGAAGGAAGCGCTTCACGCCCGCTGCGATGGCGGCATCGATCAGTTTGTTTTGGTCGCCCAGTGCCATGCCGCCGACAAGTGACAGAACAGCATCTTGGCCCTGGAAAGCTTCTTTCAAGCTATCGTGGGACTCATAGTCGGCGCGGATAACCTTGACGCTTGCGGGAAAGGTCGAGCTGGAGCCTTGGCGCGAGAGGACAGTAGTGTTGAAGGAGGAGTCTTTGAGGAAAGCGTCCAGAATGGAGGGTCCAAGGTTGCCGCTCGCCTAATATCGTTAGTGATCGTACATAGGAGTAGCCAGGGAGGTATACATACACCGATGATGATGACGTTTTTGATAGACATGTTCTACAAGTGTTGATAGTGGAGTCTAGAACAAATCGGATGCTTGATTGGGTTGTAGAGCGGATAGTGATCTTGAGGGTGTGAGTATCGTTGATTGTGTGATTGACTCTACCGATGAAGACGCTCTCTCATATATACCACGACGAAGACGTGATTATGCGTGCCTATGATGCAGGTACAGGGCCCCACATCCCCAAATCCGCGTTGCTTTTCAATCCGCGTCGTACAACCGCGTTACCTTAGTAATGAAGCGCGAATCAAAGCCGCACATGGCATGCAGTTTAGTTACGATGTGGCGCCATTGCTTACGGTACTAGTATTGGTCGGTATTTAGGTCCTTGGTCGGTGTACTCAATCTCTCCGACAATCACTCTCTAGAAGCTTCGCTGCGGAAGTAATGCGTAGCAAGGCTCTATCGCCGCAAGCTAATCCCGTAATCGCACCGAAGTCAGCATGCCAACAGATGAAGTCGATGTCATTAGAAGGCTGATGTTGGGGTTGCTTAGCACATCGCGCGGAAATGCACCGCCAAGCCAAGGCGCTAGCCAGGTTCAGGATCATTGGCAGTCGCGCGGTCATCCATCTCCTGGACTTACTTTGCGCTTTCACAGCAACTTCGTTAGACCACCAGTGCAAATGCGTACGTTACAGTACTAATCACATTGCAGCACCATGGACCTTTACATTCGGGCCTTAATGCCCAGAGCGAACGCGCGTACAATCTTTGTCGTCAAGACTCATTCGGTTCTCGATAATCTCCCATCTCTCGAGCTGCTCATGCAGCTCGAGTGGATCTGCTGCGTTCCAAGCGCTGATTTCCCACTCTGTACGATTCCTCCCGCCCCCTTTTCTCGTAGACCCAGGGTATCTTCTCAATGGTCCACATGAGTTCTTGTTGTGAAGCGTTCAGTCGTCGGATATACTCCCTCGCTTTTATCACCGCGTCCTTCGTCCCCTTTCGCCGGACCTTATTCAAAGACGACACCATACGCATCATCGGACATCTTGAGCTGAGGCGCATGCTGCTGTGCAATCGGTCGAGGTTCGTCAAGATTGCGTGGTAAGCATGCTTATTGAGACCAAGCGCGTCCATCTCAGGTGTATGAGGCGGATGAATGGGATGCCTAAATGCGAAGCGCAGTACTCGAAGTCTGGTCCCTCGTTCTACCGTCTGACGGCATTCCAATCTTCTGTTATTCTCGTACCTGGTTCTGTTCACAGCACTGGGAAACTGCTCCTTCGACGCTCGGTCATCGCTCACCAGCGCGGCAACGATATCTTGCTTTAGTGTAGTATCGGCATACTGCTTCCTCCTATTCACTAGGGGATTGTCTTCCACCTCAGCCAGATACTTTGCATATGTACTGCGCCGCGTGCTGGCATTGATGCTTGCTCTCATCCAGGCTCGAAAGTAAGGATCGACATCATATCGATCGATGTTGGCACCTAAAACCTCCCGCTTGCGAAGCGGGATAGCATTGGGCTAAAGAGGATATGGCTTCGAACGATCTCGACATTGTGCGTGGTGGGGGATAGAGTCGTCCACACACCTGATCGTTTCCGCCACAGACATCGCTCGACGCTCAAGTGTTGGTCATGGCTCAGACCCAGCGGCTGGGAACACATCAACGAAGGACAAAAGCTGCCCCATACGCTGACTAGATTTGCCCGGAGGCGCAGACATCAGTGCCGCCTGCAAGGTTTGGTCGCGGTCGACATGGAAAATCTGGATATGTGACTCTGAGACACGAGATGGCGCGAAAAGCGAAATTGAATGGACGCAAACCATCACCAAAACACCCCTAGCTTGAAGATTCCATGTTATCTCTTCGAGTAGCTGGTTGAGCGCGACGGCCTCTTGCTGGTTCTTCTTCATCTGTTCAATTGTGTCCCAAAACCTGCCGCATTTGAATGGCCGTGCTTCGTTCCGGAGGTCTTGCATTCACAGGCTTCAGTAGGGAATGCCGCGACTGGTCCTGCACATTTCCTTCTCTTTATTCCCATCCAGATCTTGTTCAGGAAGTTCCACAGCGCAGTTATCAAGCGACAATAATCTTCGTACGTAAGGCCGTGGTCTGCTAGCGCAGTTGTGTACTCTGTAGGTTCGCAGAGACGAAAGGATGTCACAAAATGCGCTTTGGATCGAGTACATTACTGACGGTCGGAGACCCCAGGGAACAACATCCCGATGTCGTCAATGAAGCAATTCTCTGGCTGTTGAGGAGGCAGACGAAAGTCGCTTGCCTGTACGGCGGATTTGCGAATATTCTCCAATGTCGAGTGCCTCATGCAAATCTTCGATTTCAAAAGGCTTCTTGCTGTAGCTTCAATACGCTCGTCAATGACGCGGTGATCGTCTGAGAGGCGGGCATCAGGCCATGCGGCTGACGAGATTAGGCTGCTCTTTGGGTACGAAGACTCTCACTGCAGTGGCGGATCTTCGATCGTACTCTCCGAGCACTATTTCCCGGAGGACTGCGCGTAGAGTGCGTGTTGATAAGCCAGCGAATTCGCCTCTTCAATAGCGTCGTGAGAGTCGCTATCGGATATGTTGTCCGTTGCGATCTGCAGATTTGGCTTCGTGGTTCGAATAGGTATCGGATCAGTATGTCTGCGAGATACCATGGGTCCAGCGTGCTTGTCTTCTTCTTCTCTTTCCGCGCATCTCGTCTTCTCCTTCTCGCTACCCGAATTCGTCATACAATCCGCCGACAGTCGCTGAGCCATCTTGGAGATGTGGACGTCATGGGTCTCTTTCTCTCGCGTCTTTCCAGTCGTCATACAGTACTGATGGGGTCTCCACTCGCCATAAGCATATCAAATCGATCCGCAGTTCTCTCCAGTCATTCGAAGCTCGTTGAGGATGCTGGTTGACAAGACTCTGGACGACAACCCACTAGATAAGCGCCAGAAGCGACCACCAGCTGCTAAATTTACATGTGCGGCAGCCGCCCGGTAATTTTTCTCCTCCTGCAGCGCAGTTGACTCTGGACCAATCTGCATTCAGATACCTCGGCCGAACGTGAGGCCATGGGTGTATGCGAGAACAAAGGGCTTCAGCAAGGGGCTCCCCTTTGCGCACGTCCTGAGCCACTACATAGGTAGGTTTCAACGTACGATGACATTCTAACACCACAAGCATTAAGTCTTTACCCAAAAGAGCCGCGTCAAGTGCCTACTGATTGCACGGTCGATACTGAGACGCCCCGCGGATCTAGGGTGCTCTGCGCATTCCTATTCATGGTGAAGGGCCTCAGCGATCCTCTTACGAAGTAAATTCACATACGTGTCATCTCTGCGTTGGATCTTTACCGCTGCCTTGATTGATTCGAATTTTGGGTCAAAGCCCACCGCGGTTGTTGTCGGCCCCGTATGCGACATAATCTGGTGGTGGCGCAAAGGATCTGGCAATGTATGCGCCCAAAACGCCACAATTTCATGGGCCAGTATTTGCAGGCATCTTCGCAGGGTCTCTTCCTCCAATTCAGCCTTCTCAGCCGATATCTGATGAGAAGTAAAACATCTCAGTCACACCGTTCGCGTATTGTCATACACCGATCTGCGTCAAACGAAGACTCAACATGTACACTTTTGACGTAGCTTCTCTCACATGTTTCTCACAGACCTCGTCACCGATTGTGAGTTTTCCTACTTGTACCAGTCATTCGACTACTGTGATGGAAACATTCAGACGTGATTTAAAAATCCTTGGATTTTGAGGACCTCTCCTGAACGTCGCCAACCTCACAGCCATATTTACGATCTCGGAACCATGGATCGGGGAGTCTATAAGGACGCTGTACGATCATATAAAGAATGCATTAATGTAAGAGGTAGTTGTAGGCAATAGTACTCGCATTACACTACGAGAGAATAGTCGAGGACAGCTCTGTATTACTACGTTTAGTAAGGGTTGTTGTCTCTTAAGGAAAGAATAATTCTTGTCTTCTCCCTTGCGGGCGGAGCGCAGGTTAAGAGCAAGTTTCTAGGCTAAGACGCAAGCGAGAGAAGCAAGCATATCATGTGATTGTTCTCTTTACTCTGCCTTCGCCATCTTATGTTACAATTAATGCGCCGTTCACGCACAAGGAGACACCCGGACTTCGCCAAGCTGGTGAGCCTAGAGCGAGGTCATCAAAAGGGTCTTTTGTTGACGATGCGCCCGTAGACGATCCAGAACGCGATCGGGTACGTAAGTGGTTCAAAAAACATGACCGTTTGCGAGATGAAGCACAAACGAACCTCAGTCGAAGAGCGGTACCCTGAGACACTTTAGCGTCGTCTTTGGCAAGAAGAAGTTGCTGAGAGCAACCTTGGCACAAAACGTGAGAGCAGTGGGTCAAAGCGGACATCGAGATCCAAACAAGAAGGCTGAGTCTTGACTTCAGGGAATGCTAATACTGATGGAGAGGCTATGAAACATCAAGGAAAAGCTCGAGCTCCTCTCTCCACAGCTCGGCATGTTGTTGATGGCGAGTGTCACCGCAGTAAGCTGTCTATGCCCGTACTTTCCATGCGTATCGCTGACTACGGTGAAGACAGTTACAGGACTTTCTTTAGACTTGCTCAGGATCTAGGCTACTTCTTTCTCACTCTCAGTCATCATGGCAGAGAAGAAGAGAAACGGGAGAGAGCAGGAATCAAGGCAATTAAGGGAAACCACAAGATTTTACAGAAACACCGCCAGAAAAAGGCTGCTCGTGATGCAGCGACTCTCGCCTCAGTACAGACACTAGACGCGAAACCAGGCATCGCACACGGCATGAGTAGTTCGCGGAGTACCGTACGTCATCCCAAAGATCGCGGACCGAGCGCATCGTCCCGTACTCGTGCCCAAGTCTCGCCGATCAGATCTACCCCAGACGCGCCGAGTTTTCGACGCACTGGGCCAGACCACACAACGAGAGAACGGAAGACGGTAGTCGAACGGTCACCTCTTATCCATTGTCCCCGTCGTCCCGATTACAGTCTTGAAGTCAAGATTATTGAAGTCAAGATTACTCCCAACGGTCCCGGACCATCTTCGCATCGCGGAAACAATAGCCGAAACGAACCTCATTTCGTTGACGGGGCTTGCCAGACCAACCTCCTGCTACTGGAAGCTGACCCTAGAATCAACGGGTCGTTCTTGCAGAGAGAAGATGCGGCGTAGGAGTGCAGCTTCTGGATCCTGTTGTGGAGAGGCTTCAGTTTGTACGTCTAATGCTCTGTCGCGAGCCTTGGCCACTTCGGTAACATCCCAATATCGACGTACTTCCACTGGCTTGTCTGCCCACTCTGGAATTTGTTGATCGAGTTAGCTAGCGGTGTCTCGAGGATGTTAGCTCTTTGACAATTATATTGGCGTTAACATCCGAAAACTTGCACTTACCTGATAGTGTTGATGTTCGAAGTTTGCGATTTCGAAAGGTAAGTAGGGCGGTGGCGACATCGACTGATGCGAGCTGAGGGAAGCAGGTACGTGCCATCTGCAGCGCTAGCTTGATCTCTTGTTTGCTTGTTCCTCTTTTCTCTGACCAGTCTTGGCGCAATGCAAGTACCCTTTTGGCCCATCGTGTTCTACCCCCAGCGTCTTCGAATTCCGGATATAGTTCGAAGAGTCCAGCTTCTTCCAAGAGCTTTAGGGAAGTGACGCATGATCGATCGGCAATGCTCACGGCTCCTTGGGAAAGGTATTCGCCGTTGTAATAGTCTTCATAGTGCAGACGGAAGTTGAAAAAATCCTGCGCTTCATACTGTCCGACTCCATCGGACCTGTACCTTGGAATCAACCAGATGTCTCGTGCAAATTGTCCTTGGGGAAACTTCCTGGTTTCTACGGCGCATATCTTGTACCCAGATGCGTCGCCTTGTCCGCATTGTTGCCTGTAGAGTGCGTATTGGATGGCGAAGAGCAAAGAGCTTGTCCAGGATACCAGGTTATCTTTTTCCCGTGAGAAACAGGTTTTTTTTAGGTGTGCGTGTAGCAATGTCGTTGCTTGGTCGGTGTTCAAGGACAACAAATCGGTTCGACTCTTTCCCTTCGGTCCGATGCTGCTCTCGATAGAACGCATAACGCCATCAGTTCCCAATATAAATGCATCGAAAGCCCGGAACAGGTATTGAGGGACGTCTTCGAATTTGAGCGAGTGGTTATTGAAACTTGTTGGTGGGTAAAACAGTGTTGGCCCGTTCGGTGCATTGTTCAAAATTGTGAGCCAGTAATCGATCCAAGTCTGCTCTTTTTGCATGCGATCCTGGCTTTGGGGCTCTCGTTTGCCTTCTTCCGGGGACTCAAAGTAGTCGCTGGCGCGAAGGGCGCCGAAGTCGCTAGCGGCTTCGTCGTAACATTCTTCGGCGACCTTCCACAGTAGATTACGGTCGCTGGTGGTGTCGAGAAGCTCATGGATGGTGTTTCTGATTTTTCTGCCGAAATGAGAGAATAGTTTTGTGATCAGGGTCCGTTTCTATGAGTCTCCAGCTACACTCTGGCGTCCAAGGGGTCTGATGCTTCTGATAACCAAGCGTTCTGCCGCGTGATTCAATGCGTCGATGGAACTGGCTAGACTTTTGGCGGCATTTGAGAGCTCTTTACCACTGCTATGAAGCCAGTAGATCGCTTCTATCGAAAGAGTCTCAGAGGGACTCGTTTGGTCAGATAATGGCCTGATATTCTGCTCTTGGAGGGAAATGGTGCCAGAAGCTTCAGTAAGTGCATGAGTGGCATCCTGAATTGCAGTTACATAAGTGCGTTTTGATCGCCGAGATTCTTGATCCTGTTCCGGGGGTGGTCTCTGGACGATTTGCAGGTCGCGCATAGGACTTGCGATGCCCTGACCGTTGGCCGCCATCTTAGTCAATGAATTTGGGACATAGGATATGCAGTATCTCCTACTTCGATTGAGGTGAGGTTGGAGCGGGGTTCATGTTTTCGTCTGAATCAGTCAGGCTATGCTATTGGCTTCCTTCACGTAGAGGCTACTATTGGATGTGAACAGCAGTAGGATGAATGCGTCATCTACCGTAATATGAAGTGAAGTCTGTCTGTGATAGTTGAAGCCATTGCTATATACAAAGCTTTGCGACACCAGGCGTATAGCAAGCTGATTGCACAACAGCTAGACGCTATGAAACTGAAGATCATCAAGCCTTACACAGTCGATATAGCAATCTACGGGTTCGAAAACTGATCTTCGAGTGCGGAAGAAACAAGTCTTCAGTTGCAGCCTAGCATGAACGGATAGGATACCTCAACTGACAGCAAGCGCTTCTCTTTCGCACATTTCACTGCTATACTCTTCCGTGCAAGCCTTGGCATAAACAGAATAGTACAAGCGGCTAGTGAGTTACCAATTCCGAAGACTAGGCAGCAGCCTAAGCTAGAGATGTTAGCTATTCTCTATCTGTCGGTTTCCATCCGCGTGACAGGTTATCTTGATCTGGATTGGCTCAGCCTGGTTACACAACGCTTATGCGCTGCAATATTAGCCAGGGTCTGAACGGAGTTAGCATACTGTTCCAGAAGATTCCACGGATGGATTATCAATCAAAGATGCCTATATATTGTACGGTTCTGCAGCTCGAAGTCCTTGTGTTTTGCAGCGACCGCAGAGACCTCGGGATGATGGAGAAGACGGCGAGGAGGCAAGATGGGAAAATGCAGTGGGTTAGACGGAGGAATGGCTCGCAGAAAGTTGGCAGTGCTAGTAGCCAAAGGAAGAGCCTGAAAAGTGCGAAGATGCACGCTACCGTTAGCAGACCGCTGTCGCCATCACCAACGGGGCATGTTGAGGAAGCTTCGAACATCGAAAGTGCTGGTGAGTGGGGTGTCTGGCAGCAATGAACAGAGTTCTATGTTTTGCAATGTGAAAGTCGAACTCTAGTCGTCGTGCAGTGTTAGCGGTTATAGTAGTGGTTGGAGGGCTAATGGATGTTGTTGTAGATGAGGCGACAGCGGGTACAAGCAATGGAGAGCAGTGGCCTTTGTGCACAAGTTGTGAGAGGAGCGCAGGATACCGAGGGTGCAGATGGTGTGGGAGGCTAGATTGTCCAGGCTGCAAGCAGTTGCCGTGCATTGGCTTGGGCTGCGAGGCGTATCGTCGAGTTTTCGTTGGTGGAGCTAGTGTCCATGAACTTCCCTAGATACACACAATCTAGGAAACGTCAGTGGTTTAGCAGTAGTAGTAGTAACGACCCTGGAATGAACTTTGATGTATTCGTAACTTCTATCATATTTTAGTTACTATGCATTTTATCTACTGGTACTGCGATAACCATCCTCTACGAGCAGGTACTCTCGAATGAGAGAAAGCACAATTATCAGAGACTGTCGTAACTTCTACGTTTAGGCGTTCATTAATACGAGAAATCGTTCAATGCAAAAATTACACATTAGTGAATTGTATAGTGATTTTGCGCTCACTGCTGTGTGAGTACCAATCGTCAGTCGCGCACTCGTTGCGCCACATCGCACCTTCCCTGCGGGTAGGCAGCTCAATTTACCCTCATCGGCGCACTCTTTCGCATTCCCGTAACAGCAACTCCACCCATTGAGATAGAACGCGCATTCGCACTCACAAACCATCAGTTCCACGCAGCGGCCAAAATGGAGTAACTACATCCTGCTGTCCATGGATCTACTCACAGTCACTAACAGACGTAGTCCGACCGACCCAATCATCCAGCTAGTAGTCTCGAGCCGTGTTGGGGAGACAGCACGTCTCAATGTTCACCGCGGTGTTCTCTGCAAGAGCTCAGAATTCTTCCAAAATGCTGTAAAGCCAGAGTGGACCACCGAAGGAGAAAGAGTCGTCAATCTTCCAGAGGATTCGGCACCTCTGGTCACCGGCTACGTCAAGTGGCTTTATCATGACAAGATCACCATCAAGCTCTACGAAGCGAGGAAACACACAACGGAGGAGAGGGCCGACGAAGCGGAGAAGGTCTTCATTCTGCTTGCAGAAGCATACGTCTTTGGAGAAAAGATCATCGACGCGAAGTACAAAAATGCGGTGATAGAGACAATAATAGCAGCCTGCGAGGCTTCGAGCTGGAATATGGGTCCTGAGAGTGTCAGCATCGCTTACGAAGGCACCCCTCCAGGATCTCCGTTGCGGCGCATGATTGCTGAGAGTATCGCGTACAAAGCTTTTGTCGACTCAAAAGAAGGTGTCGGTTGGTTACATTTCATCGAAGGATACCCGAGGGATGTTTTGGTAGACGCGCTGAAGGCCATGGTACGGGTACGTCCAAAGCCGAGTGGTAAACTTTGTCCTTCTGTCTATTGGTACCTCGAGAAAGCATAGGCATGTCTCATTTAGATCTGCGAACTAGAAACGCTAAATCGCTACAAGGCTCAAAAATCGTAGACCCCTGAAAGGAAAGCAACTGATCACTGTCTTCAATCATAAACATTGAAATCTGTTCAAACTCATGTGATTCTTCTACACCTCACTAGGCAACAACCTCCATGTATCATAAAATTTCCTCTTGACCTCATCACTCAATACATCGTTCGCCTGATTAATCTCCGCCATCCTCTCAGTAGCTTTCCTCTTGTCTTGTCCACGACAGCGATCAGGATGCCACTTCAGGCTCATAGCACGGTGCGCTTTCTTGATATCAGCGGCTGTGGCGCTTCGACTGAGACCAAGCATGATATAGAAATCTGTGTTGGGTTTGATACCCTGCGGAGGTGGCATGGCTGGCTGTTGAGATGATGATGGCGGCGGTGTTACATAAGAAGTTTTAGGTGGGGCGCTGGGGCGGAAAGAATAAGAAGAGTTGGTCGGGTACGAATCGGACGACGAATAGAATGTATAACTGGGTGTTGATGAAGAGTGCGAGGAGCGACTCGACTCTGCACTCCAATACCTATAGCCTGAAGGTGGCTCGCGGTCTTTATTACTGGAGTGAGACCAACTGTATGGATGACTACGAGGGCCATAAGAGGATGAACGCTGCGGGTCATAATCTCTGGTAGTATATCTGTCGGAGTTTTCACGCGATTGCCGAGCATTGCTCTGATAGTCGTAGGCAGAAGGGATGTAATCTGGACGGCGATAGCTCGGTGTACTCCAATCCTCCGCGTGTTGCCTTTGTGGCTCCCGACTATTATCCCGGTAGTCGTAATGGGAGGGGATGTATTGAGGAGCGCGATATCCTGGTACACTTGGTATGCTCCAGTCTTCTTCTTGCGTTCGCATCTCTGCAAATGTTTTGTCGTTGTCGTCAAAAAGACTCTCCATCATACCGGAGAACCCATTAAAGGCATCATGTATACCTTTATCTCTAGCTTTCAATGAGCTATACTTAGGCGATTCATCGTCGTATGAGGATGGAGACGATGAATAGATATGGTGCGCTACACTCGCTTGATATAGCTCTTCTAGGTATCTTTTCGAGGTGAGCGAATCTGCGTTGAGAACACGCCTAACGTAGGTGAGACTGCGTTCAGAGGCTTCGTCGATGGTGTAGCCCCTGTTGCGGCAGTGGATGTAATAGCTTTCCCGAAGCTCTTCTTCTGCATGTCTACCCATGGGAGATATGTAAGCAAGTGGCTCCTAGAAAAAGCTTTACTGTGCGGTTTGAACTATGAGGGTGGCGAGTCCGGCTCTGTGTGAAATTCGTTGAGTTTCCGGACTGGCCAGATTCTTATGAAGTCGGTGCACGGGTGATGCACTGTATGGATCGATGCTATTTCACAATGGTAGTTTAGTGGGTGACAAAAGTTGCCATTGTGCTCGGACCTAATTTGGCTTGGTATATGACTTAGGTAAAGGGGTGTGGTGCTTGATATGACGCATTCCTACATCAGCCTTACAGCGTAGTCTCGCTTCCCACAGGTATTGTGTACACATATCGTACATGCTCTCAACCTTTCTTCACATAGGGACAGGCGTCAGATGGCCGTCCTTGTCATACTTCGCCTTGAAGAACGTATAGCTCAATGTAACAGTCTCGATGCCCTTCATGCTAGGATCCTTTGTAAATTCGGGATCGATGTAGAAGAAGACAGGCATATCCACCGTTTCCCCAGCATTCAATCGCTGCTCCTCGAAGCAGAAACATTGAATCTTGCTAAAGTATGGAGCGACTTGTCCCGGTGTAACGGAGTAGGTGGCTACGCCAATGATGTCTTCTGGCGATTTGTTGGTTGCAGTATAGAAAGCGAGGGCGGTCTCGCCGGGGAGGACTCGGACTTCGCGCTGTTGGGGAACGAATTTCCAAGGTAGGACATCGGATACGGAGCCGTTGAATGTGATTCGGATACGTGGGTGGTGTTCTACGGGCTTTAGGCGCTCGGAGGGATCAACGGAAGTATCGCCGCCGTGTGCCGCAGACTTTATGGGCTGGCCTCCCCAACCGGTCTCCTGGCAAATCTGACGGATATGTTAGAGTTGGGTTCCTGTCAATAAGGGGGTGATCTATAGCCATACCATCTTGTAAAACGGCACTGAGCCATAACTGAGCGCTGTGAAGCCTATTATTACACTAAAGACATAGTTCCTAGACTACCGTCAGTGATTGCGCCTTCTACCGACAGAACCATTCACATACATGACTGTGCGGTTCTTCATCTTATATTGCGCATGCATCTGATCCATTCTGGGCACGGTACCATGCTGCCGCGCGGAATTCGTGGAGTTTATCCATCTTCGTGCGATCAAGGCGGGATTGCGGGCGCGCGGAATCCTATTGAGCGAGCGAGAGCATGATAGGCAAGTCCAGGATCCCAGCGACCGTGAGGGAAGTTGTCGTAATGGCGATGCGGCAGACATGTTGTGTTGTAAGAGTCAACGAGCCAATGGAGGAAACCTCGGCGGAGTGATGAGCAATGGAAGTTCGCCGCGGGATTTAGCCCGATTCGGAACGCGTCTTGGAGCGCAAAAGTCGCGATTGATTGCGAACGTCATCTTCGATACTCTCAGCACAACCATTCTTACGACACACATTCCTCCGCTCCCCCCAGCTTTGACGTCACGATCACCGCAAACGAACAGCACAATGTCAGAAGTCCTCTGCGGCGTCTGCAACGCAGAGCCCAAGAAATACAAGTGCCCGACTTGCGCGCTTCCATAGTTCGTTGCTATTTGTGATCTCTTAAATCTACGATACTGACCGCGTAAAGTTGTTCATTATTGTGCTTCAAATCGCACAAAACAACACATCCCGATACCACGTCAGTCGCCCCAAAACCAGCAGGACCAGCTCTCCCACAACCACCTCCTCCCGCCCCAGTACCGCGCTACCTGAAGAAGCGGACCGACTTCTCTGTCTTAGCAACGAATCCGAAATTTCAAGAGCTACTCAAAACACATCCAACACTACTCCCGTCACTCCAACGCGTATACGCGAAGACCATAAAACCAGATCCCGAAGCTGAGAGGCGGCGGCGCATGCTCGAACAGAACGCTTCCCGAGGAAGAGGCATGAGGGGAAGGGGCCGGGGAGCCAGGAGAGGTGGACATGGAGGTTGGAATGGAGGGCAGGGGAAGGAAGAGAAATGGACCCAGAAGAAGGGAGACAAAAACGCGATGGAGGAGTTGAAGGGCATAAGAGAAGGAGAGGGCAACGAGGGAGAGAAAGACGCCATGGCCGAGTTTGTTGGGTTGGTCGAAGAACTCTTTGGGCAACATGAGAAGGACGCGATGGAAGATGTTTGACGCTCAAGCCACAAACCCACGACATCGCAACAACGTTTGAGAACGAATTCGGGTACTGCAACAGCGAAAAAGAATACATACGACCAAACCACGACAAGTTCACTGCCAAAGATACGGGCGCTTCGGAAGAGCAGTCAAGGTATCATACCTCGCCAGCTAGCTAGCACGTATACCTAATCTCCAACTCCACCCTCGGCACGCCTTCAAAGTCCTCTGGAACCACATACGAGATGTTGTAGAACAGGTGGTTCCTCAGCGCCGTACCATACGTCACATTCTGCTTCACCAGCCCCGCTGCCTCGACCTCAATCTCCACACACGGCAAATCCTCAAACCCAGTAATCCGTCTTCCGGTTCCCAGCGTCCAACTCGGCGGCACATTTGACAGCGCAAATGTGAAGATATCGCTTCCTTCCTGCGTCCGGTTGGGATAGCTGACGGACAGATGATTCGGCGAGGCGACGGCGTGGATCGACGACGCAGACGGGTACAGGGCAAAGAAGGTGTTAAGCGGATAAGGCTTATGCTCCTTATCACCCGCCCAGTGAACAATAGCAGGAACAAACTGATCCCCTCTGTTCACATCTTCATCCACCTGTTGTCCCCCGATCATCAACTCTTTGCTGACCCAACTGGACGCAATCCTCGGTTCACCTCCCTCCAGCTCATCCCAGACCGTGCGGTTCAGCCACCTCGGCTCACCAACGAAGTCTCTTGTCGTAAACACCTCTTCCACATGCGCCGGCAAAAGTTTCTCCACGCCCCCAAGGACGAGTGCCATAGCCGCCCCTTGAGCGACATCAAACAGCAAATCCCCCTCCATCTTCTTCGGTTGGCTAGTCCGCTCCCTGCCCCAAAGACCCCACAGTACCAAGGATAGAACGGAAGAATGCTGCGTGATATCCCTCGTATACGCCCTATCATACGGCCCAACGACGTTCCCCAGATACCCGTTGTAATGCTCCGCCAAATCACCCATCATCTTCGGCAGGATATACTTCGCCGCCTTCGTCATGCTAGAATCACTTACCCCGTACTTGATCTGTGCGCCCATGGCCCAAACATCGATACCATAGTACGTAGGCGCATTGTACTCGCTCAACGTCTCCGCGCCTTCTCGTTGAAACAATTGCAATATCTTCTTTCCTTGATCTTCCGCAAAGGACAGGAAAGTTGAGTTGGATCGACGTGTGCCGATGTATTCACAGAGGAGAGCGCGCATCATAGCTGGGTTTGTGTAGCCAATTGTTAAGTTGTCGTCGATTGTGGGGTAAGTGCCATTGCGACGCATACTGCCCACAGCGGCGATTTCGAGCGAGTCTTCGATGGAGGTTATGAGGGAGGGGGCGAGGAGGGGGGAGAACTCGGAGAGGATTTGGATTAGTTGCGTGCCAATGAAGTCGCGCCAATTGGGGTCGTAGGTCGTCTTTTTGGGGGGTTGATGTTAGCTTGGAGGTTGATGGTTATGATGGTAGATGTTTGGGAACGTACGTATATCTTTGGTACATATAAACCTGAATCGAGCGTTGGATCTGGTTCATCGGGAGATAGCTTGTATGTTCCGTACCATGGAGCGTCGAAGTCTTCTGTCATCTGACATGCCAGTCTGATGTCACATTATCAGCCTCCGTTCCTTCGCTTTCAGCTCTCTGCACTCTGATACGTACATGTTCCTAATAGAAGCTTCCGCATGTTTTAAATCGTCTCCCTGATTTCTGTGCAATAATCCGGCAACATACCAGGCTGTGAAGCGAGTCGACCAGGGTCCTTTGTCTGAGTACTGGATGAAGTTGTAGGATGCATCGTAGCGGTTATCTTGGATGTGCATAGACCAATCGAATAGATCTTGTGCGTCTATTTGAGAAGGTTAGAAGGTATTGATGTTAGACAGCAAAGCCTGATTGACGTACTCGAAGATAGTACTGTACTGCCACGTTTCGTTGCTGCAGCACTTACATGTGTGGCGAGACATGCTACGACGAAGCTGATTGCCCTCATCTCGGTCTACAGAAGATTCAAACGCGCTCAAGGACATCGTTGCCTCCATCACATCGTCGTCTTAAATACCTTTTAAGACAAATGCACGCCTAAACCGGATAATTGCACCCGCAATCAAATATCTCCGCATCGTGAGCGGCGATCTACCCCAGACTTCAAATATTCGGCGCAGTGCTCGCCGAAGGGTAGCCTCGTGTGTTCTAGTGATGCTTGGTAGGATCAGGTAGTTGCATGTGTAGTGTGACTTTTCGTTGGCGCTAATGACGCACCGGGAAATTTTCCCGGATGTATTCCTCTGGGCGTTCATACTTCCGAGGTTGTCTGCACTCAATTCTTGGAAAAGGTATTGATCGATCAAAGAATAACGCGTATCGCGGATAGGAATGTGGTATCATAGAGTCAACAGTAGTTTACGTCGTGAAAAGATTCCACCTCTTTCCTCAATCTTACCTACATCATAAACAAGAATCTATACCGTCTCGATGTACCTTCTGACTTCCCAGTCAGTGACCGCTTCATCCCACAGCCTAATCTCGTGTTGTCTGGTGCCGCCAAAGTGGTCCACAAACTGATCGCCGAAGACCTCTCTCGCCACACTTTCTTTCCTCATGAACCGTTCTGTGGCTTCCTTGAGGCTCTTGGCAAGTCGCTCGCCCTTGTCTGCTTCCCCGCCAACGTCTTCGCCTTTGCCTAGAGGCGGTATGCTAATCTCCATCTTCTTCTCAATACCTCGCCAGCCGAGAGCTAGAATGGCAGCGAGAACGAAATGCGGATTTGTGTCTGCGCCCGGCACACGGACTTCGAAGCGCGTTGCCTTACCAGAAGAGGTGGGAGGAGAAATAAGACGGATGGACGCTGCACGATGCTCAAGACCCCATGATACCGTAACAGGTGCCCAGAAGTTCTCTACTAGCCGTTTGTAGCTGTTAACATTGGGTGCGAGAATAGGCATGATGTCGGGGAGACCGTCGATCAAACCTGCGAGGAAATGCCGACCAAGGTCCGAAAGGTACGCGATGTCGGAGTATGGCGCGTTCTTGTCCTCCTCGCCGCGGTAGAAGAGGTTTTTATTTTCTTTATCGACAATTGAGACGTGCATATGGCCGCTGTTTCCTGGCAGGCCTTCGCGCGGCTTTGCCATGAAGCATGGTGTTATGCCGTACTTGGATCCGAGCGACTTGACGACAAGTTTGAACAGCGAGGCTTTATCCGCCATCTGCTGGATCTCGCCGAACTCGAGAGCCTATACTACGTCAGCCTGCTTTGTCCGTATCCAAGAGTTGGTACACCCACCGCTTCAAAGACGCCCGGGCCGGACTCTGTATGCCATCCTTCGATCCCACAGCCAAACTGGGCACATGTGTTGAAGATGCCGTAGTAGTACTCCTGGTTGTGAACGGGCCGCGTGATGCTGTATCCGAACATGCCTTCGGTAAGGCTGGGGAGCGAGTTGACGGGGTTGTCGCGCAAGAAGGCGGCGGTGCTCGATGTGTTTCTCTCTGAGCCATCGTGGCTCTGGGGTGCGCGGAATTGGTAGAACTCGTACTCGGCTACACAGTAACACATCAGCTTCATTGACGACGTGCAGCACCCGCTCTTCAACCGGCGTTGGACTCACCACCAGCCATGGCGCCATATCCATTCTCCTTCAGCTTGTCCACGGCGCGCTTCAACAGACTTCTCGGGCATGCGCTGAGGGTGCCCTTGGTGTCCGGGTCGTGGAAACTGATGAGGAAGAAAGGCACGTTGTCCTCCCACGGTATCCTCCTGAAGGACGTCAGGTCAGGTATGGCGAGCAAGTCGCGGTATCCGTTCTCCTTGTTGGAGATGGCCAGCTCCTTGAAGTATGTCTGGTCGTGCATGTCCCATCCGAAGATGACGCTGCAGAAACCGAAGCCCTCGTTGGCTATGCTGAGGAACTTTTTCTTGGCCATGAGCTTTCCGCGCAACACGCCGTCGACATCGATGCCCGCGACCTTGACTGCGAGGTCATTTTTGAGTAGTTCGGGCAGTTGCTCGGCCGTCAGCTTGGAGGCATCGAATTCGGCGGCCATGGTGAGGATGTAGGGGGCTGGAGAGATGTAGCTGTTGAAGCTTACGAGTGAAAGGAGTGTCGTTGGTAAGAGAAATCGCGTCGCAATCAGGTTTGCGCGGATAGAGAGCTTAAGGGCCCAAGGCGTTTAGGATGCGATAGGCGGGACAGCTGGGGTGGGCCAATGAGGGGTTATCGGGATGCGGGCTGCGATGCATCCAACGACATCATAGCCTGGCCTTGCATGCGCGTACAGGCTATATCTTGCATAGTCACGCGTATGTGTGCTATCTCTCCTACGCGACACCTCGACACCCTCCCAATGCGACAACATGAATCCCTATGCGACAATCGTGATGATGCGCCGGCACACAAGAGACGGGCAAACACGCACGTCATCCATCATGGCGGGGTAATGACCATACTTCATCAGCCCTGACGTGTAACGGTGTTTGGCGCATCCATGCTGTGTAGGACAGTTGTTAATTCGAGGCTGCTATCGTGCCTTCGCCCACCGCTCCTTCGTCGTGTGTGCCCAAGGATGACAGCCGCCAACGCGATAGCCCGCCCTTATCGTAGTCTATCAATGCAATGGGCCGATTTCGGGACCCTTGATGTTTGAATGACTTGCTCGCTGTCCGAGACTACCCGTTCGTCATCTCCATCTCCTCGCACTCTCGATCCCGACAGCGCCCCTCATACGCCAGCCCGCACTACAGAGTCCGATTCATAGGTGAGTGTGGAGACTGAGACTGTTTGCGCCTTTGGCAAACCTTCCCCATTCACAGGCCCGTGTGCTGTTCTCATGACGCTTCCTCTAGCAAAATATTAGTCATATCTCACAGCTTCCACAAAACTTTGCCTCGCCCTTCACATCCATTGACCGCATTGCAGCACCTTCAATACACTTCTATCAGCACAATAACCAGACCAAACATTCAACATGGGTCGTCTTGAAGGCAAGAACTGCATCATCACTGGAGGCGCTGGGTAAGCACCGATCCCGCACATACCACGACACATTTCCGATCAGCATTTCTTTTGCAGTCATCTACCCTTTTGACCATGTTTCATTACTGGCTTCAACGCCGATGTTTTCATCTTTCAACGCGGGGAGCAGCACACACAGAATCATGCCGCATACCGCAACTATCTGCTAACAACAACTAGCGGTATCGGTCTCGAGACTGCCATCCTCTTTGCTCGGGAAGGCGCCAATGTCCTTCTCTCTGATATCTCCGGCCCAGCCCTGGAGAAGGCTTCGGCCAAGCTGAAAGAGATCGTCCCAGAGGCCAAAAAGGTCGAGACTAAGATTACCGATGTTTCCAAGGAGGCCGATGTGCAGGCTATGGTTGAGCACGTGGATTCATGGGGTGGTCTGGATGTACTGTTCAACAACGCAGGCATTATGCACTCAGACGACGATGACGCTGTCAACACACCCGAGAAGATCTGGGACCTGACACAAGCCATCAACGTCAAGGGTGTATGGTTCGGCTGCAAGCACGCAGTCAACAGCTTCAGGAAGAACGGCAAGAAGAAGACGAGTGTCATCAACACCGCCAGCGTTGTCGCGTTGGTCGGTAGCGCAACACCGCAGCTCGCATACACCGCCAGCAAGGGTGCTGTACTGGCCATGACACGGGAGTTGGCCATGGTTCACGCACGTGAGGGCTTCAGATTCAACGCGCTCTGCCCTGCACCATTGAAGTAGGTTCACTCCCGATCAATATGCTGATTAAGATATACTGACAGCAACAGCACACCACTCTTGCAAGATTGGCTCGGCGACGACCAAGCTAAGCGTCACCGCCGCGAAGTCCACTTCCCTACTGGCCGCTTCGGCGAGGCTATCGAGCAGGCGCAGGGTGTTCTTTTCCTCGCCAGCGATGAGAGTAGCTTCGTCAGCGGCACTGACTTCGTCATCGATGGTGGTATGACGAGGTGTTACACCACGCCTGACGGACCACCTACTGAGGCGCCCAAGAACAACGCAAAGTAAGCGCGAATTCAAAGGGTCAAGTTATTGAGGAAACAGAAGAGCACCAAGGTCCACGGATAGGAAATGGTAGCTATGACAGATGTATGATATATGAGATCAGATACTTATGACGAACAATATCATCAGTTAAACACTTGCTCTTCTTAACGATCGTGTTGTATGCTAGCGCGACTTGCTTATTACCACAGAGGTCGCAACAACACAAGAGCCCTTGGGATCTAATGGAGTCAGGAACGCGGCTTATGCAGCCGTCACAGAAGCTCATGGATGGCTATTCACAGTGGACGAGTGCACTGAGTGGCTACGGGACGTCTTCCACCGCAATCAACACTTCATTGAAATTACCTGACAGCGTAAGTGAGAAGCTCTACCCAATTCGCTCGGGCAAATCTGACCGATCGTGACAGATGGGAAATGGAGTTGAGATGGCAGAGTGATTCGTTCGGTCAAGCATGCCTTCGACGCCTGCAGTAGTTGCAGATGACCACGCGTCTTAGCGCATCCGCGTTGGGATGGCGTTTCAGGGTCCAGGCCAGGATCGGACTTTCTTGGACCACGCGACATCTGGTCAGACCGCCATCGGCAACATGGACCGCATTACCGCACGCGCTGACAATGACTTCAACGTCCCCTTATACGGCGCGCTCTGGATAGCTGCGCTTGCATTCATCTGGATTACCTGTCGCGCTGATCCCGAGGAGCCTGTCAAGTATGAAGTTGAGACACCTGAGCAGGCGAGGAAAGGATGGAAGGGCCAGGTGCTTGAGAAGCCGCAATTGAAGGTATGCATACACTCCCTTATCATAGATCATGGTTACTGACTTGGAAAGGTACCGGGCTCTTCCCTGATCCAATGCTACGCTCCCGCAACTGGTGAAGCCCTCGGGCGCATCAACCCCTCCACGGCCGACGGCATCGACCGCGCAATCGCAAAAGCCAAGGCAGCTCAGGTACAATGGGCTCAGACAAGCTTCCTCAGGCGGCGAAAGGTGCTGCGCACTATGCTCAAGTTCATCCTGGAGAACCAAGAAGAGATTGCGCGAGTCGCATGTCTGGACTCAGGCAAGACAATGGTGGACGCGAGCCTGGGCGAGATCCTGGTGACGGTAGAAAAGCTGAGGTGGACGATAAAACACGGCGAAAAGAGCCTAAAGGCTGAGAAGAGGGACACAAGCTTCCTCATGATGTACAAGTGGAATGAGGTTGTTTATGAGCCGCTGGGCGTCGTTGCGGCTTGCGTGAGCTGGAAGTGAGTGTCCAACGTCACTGAATCTGATCCTGGCAACTAACAGTCCTACAGTTACCCTTTCCACAACCTTATAAGCCCCGTGATAGCCTCCATCTTCGCCGGCAACGCCATCGTAGTCAAAGGCTCGGAAGCGACTGCTTGGTCTTCGTCCTACTTCGCTTCGATTGCTACTCGCGCCCTCGAAGCCTGCGGTCACTCGCCCGATATCGTCCAGTCTGTTGTCTGCTGGCCTGACGTTGCCGATCACCTTACGTCACACCCGTCGATATCACACATAACATTCATCGGATCGCGACCAGTAGCACACCATGTCTGCGCATCGGCGGCGAAGGCCCTGACACCAGTGTGCGTGGAATTGGGCGGCAAAGACCCGGCGGTAGTACTGGATGACCTATCGAACAGCGACTTCAAGCGCGTGGCCAGTATCCTCATGAGGGGCACATTCCAGTCTGCCGGCCAGAACTGCATCGGCATCGAGCGCGTAATCGCCCTACCCAAAGTCTACGACCGCTTCGTCGAGTACCTCACACCCAAGATCCTCGCGCTCCGTCCAGGCTCCGTTCTGAACAATACCTCAGATACACCCATCGACATTGGCGCATCGATATCCGATGTGAGTTACACGAAGCTCGAAGAGCTCATCCAAGATGCTGTCAACAACGGTGCCCGACTCCTAGCAGGCGGAAAACGCTACACCCACCCCGACCACCCCCAAGGCCACTACTTCACCCCCACCTTCATGGCCGACGTAACCCCAATCATGAAGATCGCGCAGACCGAACTCTTCGCCCCCGTCTTCCTACTCATGCGCGCCGAATCCGTCACAGACGCCATCACAATCGCGAACAGCACCTCCTACGCCCTCGGCTCCTCCGTCTTCGGCACCTCGACCCGCGACCTCGAACTCGTCGTCCGTTCCCTACAAGCTGGCATGGTCGCCGTCAACGATTTCGCGGTCTACTACATGGTCCAGATGCCTTTTGGTGGTACAAAGGGTAGTGGCTACGGTCGTTTTGCGGGTAAAGAGGGACTGAGGAGTCTGTGTAATCAAAAGAGTATTACGAGGGATCGGTGGGCTTGGGCGGGGATTAAGACGGGCATTCCGCCGCCTATGGATATTCCGCTTGAGGGAGAGGGAGCGGGGGAGAAGGCGTGGAAAATGGCTGAGGGGATTGTTTGGTTGGGGTATGGGGATCTGAGGGGGAAGATTAGGGGGTTGAGGGGGATGGTAGGGGTGTAGATGTTGAACTTGTGGGATACGCCCGATGATAGTAGTATATAGATAATATAAACCATTATCATTTTGTTTGCACATTTAAGCGTATTGATTGCGGCCTAAGTACGAAGGGGTAACGATGTCTATCTCTATTCCGGTCTCAGGGCTCGTTTCGTCAAAGAGATATATCACCGTATCGAGGAAGGCTGATCTGACACAGCATCACGAGAGGACGCCGAATCAAGAGCATAACCCATTCCCATCCTCTCTCCTGCTCACTCAAGTAACAGATTCATCTCGCAACTTTCCGAACACCCTCCATCTACGTCCTTGAATCCCTGCGCGCCCGTATCCGGTCTTTGGCTGACTGCCCGACTGCTGCAAATGATCCTGGGTACTTTGTCAGCAAACAAGTCGTAACGCAAAGCGCAGTACGGTAATTGACTTACCTGCGACCAAAATTGCCGTATAAAGCACGATCGTGGGTGCAAAGAGGGGGACTAAGGCAATGAGGACGCAGATCCCGAGCGCAGATCTCGTTTTGCTGTCCTTGCGGACGTTTTCGTCAGTGTGGTGTTCCTCGTGAACTTCGGAGTCAGCTGAGGTGTTGAAGTCGTTGCCGTTACAAGAGTTTTTTGGATGCCATGGTCTTCAGTATGAGGAGGTGCTGTTGTTGAGATGTGGAGAACCTGGGTTTGGGGGTAGGAAGTTGGTAGGTCAAGACGATGGGAGTTTCATGAACCGGTATTGGAATGTTCGCGAACGATGAGGGATAAGTGGTGAGTAGTAGGTGGTTAAGGTAACTGGAATGATGAACATAGAAATAGCGCCCATGATGTGTTTAAAGTAGATTTCGGTTTGGAAGAAAGAGCTACCATTCATCACTCTTCCAGGCCACCTTCCCATTCGTGACAGATCAATCCTTCCGCCCGCATCTTCGTATCAACTGACTACTCTCCTCACTCCTTGTACCGGTTTCTAAAAAGATACGGTAGCATGAAGTCGAGATCGTTGTCCTTGCTCTTCTAAAAGTTTTCATGCTTTCCGACCATGCTTTTGATTTCCTCGAGCATGATCTTCCGACAATCGTAAGTCGAATCCAATCGCTTCGACAAGGTTCTTGAATAATTTGAGACGAATTCGGTAGGCCCTTGCGATTGCCATGCAGTGATGGTGTCGAACCTCGAGATCAAGTGCCCTATTCTGACTGTTAGCTCATTCTCAAGGGACATTGCTGCGGGCAATTTACATGTTGAGCCGACAACAGGATACACGTAAAGCGACAGGTTGAGACCTGACTTGGCGAACATGGATGGCAGTTTGCGCAGTTTTGGACACTTGTGGTCTGGCTTCTTGTAGTGCCGATACTTCAGTGTCACGCTGAGGTTTGATCGCTTGCTGAACTCTTGTGCTAGTATTTCCATGTCTTTCATGATACATACTTTGTCACGAGTGGTTGCGCGTACGATGAGCCGGCAGAGGTTTGGCGGAAGGAGGTTGTCCGCGACATGAGAGTAGTGCACCTCAAGCTCGGTCAGAGCGGTGAAGTCGGTTAATATCCCATTGGTCCATTGCGGCAGTGCAGAGCGTCCTGCCAGAATGCCCCGGATGGGTTCGAGGTAGATAGGGAGCCGGAATATGTGCCCTTTCTTCCTGGGGTTCGGAGGATGCAGAGCACGAATAGAGTATATCTTAGGTTCCAAACTCAGTAACAGAGCAATAACCAAGTCTGGTCCATACGAAAAATAATCGTAAGCGAGATTGAGATGATGTTCATGAAGTCGATGAACCCAGCTCTCTTTGTCTAATTTCCGGAGACATTTCCGTACTTGCTTGTGAATTATCCTGATGGAACCCTGGATAGTAACCTCGCGGAGATGCTTAGCTAATTCAGGCTCTCGTACCGCGGTCCTGAAGTACTGTCGAACTTGCATGCTGTCGCCTCCATTTTGGCAGAAGAAACTGTACAAGACCGGTACTACGAACTGATTGACGTGTTTGTTGACGAGTGTCAGTTGGTAGAGAGCCCCTTGCGGTAGGTAACTGCAGACGCTTGACAGGATCTTTTCTGGCAGAGACTGGAGGGGCGGGGTGCTTTTCTTGGGAGCTTGACCATCCATGGCCGTATAAGACAAGGAGAGCGGTCGGTGGGAATCAAGTTTTGGTCGGGAAGAATTGGTCAAGCTAAATGCTACATTTGCTGGCGGCGTAACTGGACGTGCGTGGAACTACCACAGTTCGAAGAGGCGGCGAATGCTTTTCGTATGTTTCACTGCGATTTCTAAGGTTTAGACCATAGTAGCCTATGTATTCTTCTCTGGTGAAACGATTCTGGCATAGTTCTCGAAGCCCTCGTAGGTTTCTCGATTGAGTGATTCAAGCGTTGCGTGTAGCGAATGAGTGAAGTCAATCATAAAATGACCTTGAATCACTCCGTACCCGTGGCAAGGGTAGTCTCGGAGCATTGGCCATCTTCTGAAGCAGTTTTTGACAACATGGCTGTATGGGTAGTCCTCCTCTTAGCCTTCTTGAGTTGTTTCGTTGTACCTACGGGAAACCTCTTCTTGCCGCCACAGATGAGACAAACAACGACGAGCACATCTGCCCAAGGCTTCTTGCCACCTTTGCTGGGGTTTTCAATACTCTGAGTAAGAGTGCGTCCAGGAATGAGAACTGTATTGCAGCTTTTGCACATAGAGCGCTTCAAGTCGACAGCGAGCCGTAGCTGGCCTTTCCGTGATACCTGTTGGAGATCGGATCCGAGCTCGAGTGCGAGCGGTGAATGTAGCTGAGTCTCGATCGAGTCATCCTCTTTGTCTCGTGCGACCTCAGCTGCGACGTGCTCTTGAGTAGCCGCTTGCAGCGTCAGATAGGTGGCTGCTTGGTAGAGAAAAGTCGAGCGGGCGTGCAGATGCTTGTTTGGTATGCCCTTCGTCTTTGGTGCTTTGACCTTGCTCATGATGCTGTGCTGTATTGTCGTCTGGCCTTGTACGTAAATTACGGTTTCACAGATGGATAACAGAAGATCAGAGGATTTGGCAGTGGTGGGTTGTGATTCAGAGCCGTCCGTTTGCAGCCTAGTGCGCGCCGAGCAAGGCGCCCCGAGCTTTTTACCTCGACATCAGCGACCGGCGACCGCTCTTATCCACCGCCCACCACGAACCTTTTAAGCCACAGCAACCTCGTCGAATTCGCGTCACCGTGAAATCGCGATACAATTGCTGATCTCTTCTACTCGTAGCTCTTAGTATAATACCTCGCCTCGGCACCGTCGCGACTCCACTTCGTTTGCCAGCCTTACTTGCGACACGCGCAACCACCAACTCTACACACGACACACTCTTACGCGGACACATAATCCATCATGTCTCACGAGGAAGATCTCATCGACTACTCCGACGAGGAGATTCAGACGACTGATGCGCCCGCCAACGGCAGCGCAGCTGCAAACAAGGGCGGCGTCACTGCCGGTGATGCTGCAGGCGACAAGAAGGGCAGCTACGTCGGCATCCACTCGACCGGTTTCCGCGACTTCTTGCTCAAGGACGAGCTCGTACGAGCAATCACGGACTGTGGCTTCGAACATCCTTCCGAGGGTTAGTCTAATAATTCCCCTCAGCCTTATCCACCTACAAGCGTCTGTCCATCTACGAAACGAGCACTGTCTGTAATGCGGCCTGGTCTGTCTATATACGAGCAAAGTGGCGAGGGACCGAGTGCCTTCCGCTACCTACGAGCGTCGACGCGCACTGCATTTTCGCAGGCGCACCGGTATATGCATCGAGAAGCCAGTGGTGCCTATTGGCTCACTACCGTGGTCCCGAAGGACTGGTTTCAGAGGAGGAGTGCATGTTGTGGGTGTACAAGAGGAGGCACACCATTGAGCGTATGGGGAGGAAAGACAGACTGGCACGCGCGCTAGATGGAAAACCTCGGCTACACAAGATGGACGGACGCTTCGCTTCCCACGCTTCGTTTCGACCGTTTTAAAGATCATTCTGACATAACGTGTGCCCTACAGTCCAGCAAGTTACCATTCCCCAGGCCATCCTAGGAAACGATGTCCTCTGCCAGGCCAAGTCTGGTCTCGGAAAGACTGCCGTCTTCGTTCTCGCAACCCTCCAGCAGATGGACGAGAAGCCCGAACCCGGCACTGCCACTATCCTGGTCATGTGCCACACCCGCGAGTTGGCCTACCAGATCCGCAACGAATACAACCGCTTCGCCAAGTTCCTGCCTGACGTCAAGGTTGGTGTCTTCTACGGAGGAACTCCCGTTCAGAAGGACATCGAGCTCCTTAGCAACAAGGACACTCACCCTCACATCATCGTCGGTACTCCCGGTCGTATCAACGCCCTCGTCCGCGATAGGCATCTCCGCCTTGCCAACCTGAAGCACTTCGTCCTCGATGAGTGTGACAAGATGTTGGATCAGCCCGGTCAGTATACTTGTCTGTTTCAACCTACTTCTGCTAACACATTGCAGATATGCGCAACGACGTTCAGGCCATCTTCCGCGCTACACCTCAGCACAAGCAGGTGATGATGTTCTCGGCCACCCTCAACAAGGAGGTGCGCGTTGTCTGCAAGAAGTTTATGCAGAACCCGCTCGAGATCTACGTCGATGACGAGAAGAAGTTGACGCTTCACGGTCTCCAGCAGTACTACATGAAGCTTGACGAGAAGGAGAAGAACCGGAAGCTTAACGACCTGCTCGACAGCTTGGAGTTCAACCAGGTCATCATCTTCGTTCGCTCCACTCTGCGCTGCTCTGAGCTCGACAAGCTTCTCCGCGAGTGCAACTTCCCCAGCACTGCTGTCCACTCTGGCATTAGCCAAGAAGAGCGGTATGTACTCAACGGTTTCTGCTCATTAGTTCAATACTGATTCACCTATAGTATCAAGCGCTACAAGGAGTTCAAGGAGTTCCAGACCCGTATCTGTGTCTCCACCGACATCTTCGGTCGTGGTATCGACGTCGAGCGCATCAACGTGGCCATCAACTACGACATGCCCGACAAGGCCGATGCCTACCTCCACCGCGTCGGTCGTGCCGGTCGTTTCGGAACCAAGGGTCTCAGTATCTCCTTCGTGAGCAGCCCAGATGATGAGGCCGTCCTCAAGTCTATCGAGGAACGTTTCCAAGTCGAGCTTCCTGAGTTCCCCGAGGATGGTATCAACTCGTCCACCTACATGGACAACTAAAATCCGCTCGGACGGAGTGACGGAAAAGGTGCAGGAGAGGGTTCTTTCTTTTGGACAAAAGTCACGATTAACCTTCTGTGCCATGAACACGTAAGCAACGGCGCAAGGTGGTTCTTAAGTTGGTGAAGTCTGTTCTGAATTGCAGGCTTCAAGAGTTATTATCTCATTATGAGAGGAACCAAAGAAATTGATATGCGAACCTTCTGTCCACAATGACTTCTTTTGCGCAAATGTGATCTTAACGTTCCGACACTCTAGACATCAAGCACGAACGTGACACTGTACCTTGTTTCTTTTTCTCTTACCCGCATTGCTTTGGCTGAGCACGACATTTTTTCGGCTCGGGCAATCGCAAAAGCAGGCTCAACACGCCCTGCTCCCGAAGAGTGCCGCGTGCCGAAGAAGAATAGAAAGGACATCGGAGTCCGAAGCTCTGTATCGCTCTTTTCCTAAATATAGGCCCATCTGTGCTCGAGCGCAGAAGCTAGAAGAGGGCTTTTCCCGTTTGCTTCTTCCTCAACCACGGCTACTGCCGCAGTAAGCGACCATCGTCGCTCAGGGTCTGTAGATCAGCTGTCTGAAAAGGGTATATGTGCATTTTGATAGAGAAAAGAGTAAATGGCTTGTGGATGGGTTACCGAACGCGTGGGACAGTAGCCTGGCGTACTTGTTGGATTCTTTCATGGTGTTACAGAGGGCTGAGACATGATCCTGTAGGTGAAGGCTGTTGAATACACATTTGTTTGCTCTTGGGGGTTTGCGGGGAATTTATAAGCAGTTTCATTATGCGACAGACATTCAGCCTACTCTGAGCGGCATCGAAAGACTATGGAGCTTGGTGTCAAAGTGTCATCTGGAAGCAACCAGCCAGAAGACCATGCAGCGAACGCGACTATAGGCTCTAGCGATGGCTTGGTTTCTGAGATGTTATGATCCTATCGCGAGCTTGAAGGCTTTGGTATTTCATGTTGTGCCTACTAGACTCATGCAATCTTCTTGAAGAACTTGTAGGATAGTCGGCCAGTCTTGTAGCAAGGGTAGTGGAGTCGCTGCAATAGAGACAGCCCTCTACGAAAGTAGATCAAAAAAATAGCTCATCCTATCTAGATCGCGGATTCCGAGCCGCGCACCAGCTATATGCAAGCCCCCAGTCTATATGTTCACGGGGAACCTGTACCGATCTACGAGCCGATACATTACCAGAACATGACATAAGACTCGCCTCTCCACTTGGTGTATACTACTTCTGTTTATATTATGGGTATCGCATAAATTACTCATACCGGATATGAGCACAGCAGTTGGTGCAGCAGGTCAGCGGAGAAAAGTTGGCGTGATGTCTGCGGGCTCCATATGCTGAGCGGTCTCAAAGGTAAGGGCTGTTACCAAAGCTCATCTCGCTTCTGCAACTTCCGTTCGAGTATTGGCGGCATGTCCGTACCTGCACATTATATCAATAAGATTTGATAGACGTTAAAATATGATTACGGAACATAGAGCACGGCTGCGACAAGTTCCGAGCAAGCGATTGGAGCCGCGGGTGCCCCTAGACGAGACGATTGGTGAATTGGAGATCATCGGTATTTTGTCAACATAAAGGACTATTGGTCCCTCTTTAGCCGACAGACAGAAGTTGGGAAAGTTGGTAAGCGGTGTATGCGGGAGGCAAAGGTTTGGAGGGGCCTGCCACGCATCGCGACCACCATCCGCAAGGCCGGGCTCAACATAAGGCGATGATCACCGCGTTGCTATTTCGATATTTCTCTTGCGGAAATTCGTGATGTGAAGATCGACAGCGGCGACCCAGTCCCTTGTTCGGCAGCCGCGCACATTGCCGGGCCGCAGTGGCGCCACATGTCAGGAACAAGAGCAGAGTGACTCGCGTGGCGGGGCTGCGCTCAGAAGCACGAGCGAGGATCTCGGAAACGGTTAGTGAGGTTGAAATGAGACATGGGTAGCGAAATGTCAGAAGGCTAAAGCCACATAGTTTGTGATTCGATAAGAGGTAACGAGATGCAAAGTCGTGTTTCAATAATGCAGTGACTATCGCGAGACGTCTATCAAATTGATTTGCTGATAATGTGGCGAGCCGTTTCGCCCCTTTGCAGATGAAGCTTCAGCGAGCGTGCAAAGTGATGGGCAGAGGGGGAAGAGATCTATTTTGAGATCGCGTTCCGAAAGTGGTTGCCTGACCGCATATGGTAGGGCCTTGCATTATAGGCAGGCTTGCAAAATCGCAATCGTCATTTCCCATACATGTTCGATCGCATTTATGTGGCGTCTCGACTGTAGTGTTAGCGCGTATGATTGCTGTGTTAGCGGTTGAAACACCTAGGCTGACCCGTTCCCCGTGTATACGACGCGTGCTATGGAACATGCTGAGCGACCGTTGGCCGAAACGCGTACATCCTAGCTGGACGCGTTTTCCACGCCCGCCGTCTGCTAGTAGTTCGACTGCTTCCAACGCGGCGGGAGGATACGAATAACGGGATCCCTTGCCCCGGGCGCAGGGAACATCAAAGACGCGATTGCTTGGCTAGGTTAAGGCGTTAAGCTTTTCAACGTTTTACGGACGAAATGGAGTGGTTGTAATTCCCGTCTGGCGCCCGCTGTCAGAGTCGCCGGCATCGCGCGGCAACTTCTGTGAGATGTACCATGGTTAGAAAGGAGACAGTGAGCGAGTCCAAAGAGTGGGCTAAGTAAGTGAAGGCTAGCGTTGATGTGCTGCGTAACGGAAGTAGAAGGAGCGACTACCGAGCAAGTGCAACTGGCTGTGTTAGAGTCGCGTGCGGCCAAGGCAGAGATGAGATGGGCGAGGAAGGAGCGGTCGCGTCTGAAGCGAGATCTCGATCGCAGTGGGTCGGCAGTTGACAGCGCGAGAGCGATGGCTTCGCTTCCAGATAAACTCGCACAGTTTGATCATGTGAAGCTGTTGAAGCTCAGCTGTGCGGGTAGGAGTACACATAGCAGGCGAAGGAAGCAGTGATCATTGACAGTGATTCGCGCATGTCTTGGCGAGATGTCCTATCCAGGAGCAAGTCGCGGATCTGCTGCATGCGGCGATATCACAGGCTGCTGACAGTGGTCCACGCAGCTGGTGGCGTATTAGAATGTGGCAAGAGCGACAGCTAGTTATTGGCGTGCAGATTGATGGGTTGCTCAACCTCAGACACGGCGAGCGCTGTGTATTGCTGCTGTCGTGTTGGCTGCTGGCACATGTACCCGGGGCTAAGTTGGGCGCTCCAGTTCTGGTCTGATTTTGTAAGCTCACAAGGTGGCTCGGATGCGGGAAGCAAGTCGAGCCGTGCATTTCCAGTCGGTGGATTTAGTCGCAGGAATCGTACGGTAGTGGCTCCGGGCGGCACTGCCGCTCGCGGTGAGGTGCTGGTGGAAAGACCGAGTCCAAGGTACAGCAAGGCCCACAGGTTATTCTACCGAGTAAGGCTGCGCGAGGACTAAACTCGTCCGAGCAGCGACGGGCGTAATGAAGCTCCGAGAAGTCCAAACGGCCCAGGTGGAAATTAGCCATAGGCGTATCTGGGCGGGGCTGTATCTCGGACAGTGGCAGCCCCTTTTAGAGGATTTTCAGGCTGCCCGTTGAGAGATGGACCAAGGATGGGAATTGACAGCGGTCGCACGGCCCCCAGTTCGACGGTGGAATAGGCGTTGGGACGGTCTGGTCTTGGCCCAGACGTAGCGAACGTCGACGTCAGACGCGCGGAGCTGCAGTGACGACTAGCACGCGAGTTTGACTGGTGCTAGCACGGTTGCGGGCTGGCGCTGACGGTGGTGAGTTGTGAACCAGACGCGCGCAGGATGGTTGAGGCAGCGTGCAAGCGCCGTGTATGAAGGGCGACATAAAGCTAGCCATGGCCGGCGCGCTCGACACCAAGCGCGAGGTGCAGCAGGTTTTCGTGGTAGGCGACGGCTTCAGATCGTCGAATGCATGTGGGCGAAGCTGATCTCCCTGGCTCGCCGGGATGATGCCGCGCAAGCATCCGGCAGCCAGGGCTTGCGAGGTGGATTTGTTTCCAGCGTGTTTCTCAGCAAAACGCTCAGTTTGCAGCGCGACGCAGAGGCAATGGCTTGCGGCCGGCTGCTCTGCGTTCGCGCGCGATGGCCGGGCCCGCTGCTGTCGCAATCATGAGCACCGTGAGCGCGATGTGCACGCCACGCCGCGCATATGCCTTTTTATGAAGCAAAAAAACAATGACGACGGGCACGGCCCCGCCCATAATAAATCAACGATGGATTTGGCGTCGACAGCGATAAGTGCAGGGCCTGTGCCCAAAGCATTCTAGTGGGCACCAGCAGGCAGTCAGCGGGATATCAATCCAGCTCTGCGTGGCAGCGCATCAACCTTGCTTGCACTTGCTTGCTTGTCTGCTACTGCTACTGCTACCGCTACCTCGACACCCAGCATCCTCACCCATCCTCTCTGCCCTGCACTGCATCTTTGCTGCCTGCGTCCGCTCGCTTTGCCAGAGACTCTGCCGTGGAACCCGCGTCCCGCCGTGCGCTCCTTCTCACGCTGACCCGACTGCAGTAGTCGTGGTAGCTTCCTGACCCTCCGCCGTCTGCGCCCGTCACGACCCAGTCCGTCTGGTCTTGTCCCCGTCCTGCCTCCTCACCCGCGCCTCTCTCTTAATGTTCTGCTACGAGTCGCCCCAGTGATTCATCTCCCAGGCCGCCGCACACTCGTTTCCGCTACTATCTTAATCGATAATTCACCTGCCGCTGTCCGTTGTTGCCCGCAAACTGCGCTACATCGAAGCGCGCTCCCAACGCCAACTTTTTGGCTCTCCTTACCCTCACCACGCCGCCGCTGTCGTCTGTCACCTCGCGGCCCACCCTAAGGCGATCCAAACATGGCCCCAGCAGTCCCCCGATTACGCATTCTGTCAGGTGCGTCATCTCCCCGCGAGCGTCGCACGGCACCCGAGGGCTCCGTTGCCCTCGCACACGCTCTGCCTGTACCATATACGCCGCCCACGCCTGCTCTTGCATCGTGGGCGTTGGGCCGCGTCATCACAGCGCCCGAACAACTGCTGACTCTCTACAGTGGGCGGTAATGCCGTCTCGGCCTTCTTATCATGGCGACTGCAAGCAACCAATGCCTGCGACGTCACCCTCGTATGGAAGTCGGGATACGAGAGCGTCGCCCAGTACGGCATATCATTCAAGTAGGCCCTCCTGCCAGCGTACCTCTCATGGCCTCTCACTTACCCGTCATAGATCTGCCCTCTACGGCAACGAGCGGTTCAAGCCCCATGCTGGTAAGCCAACTAGGTCACTCTTACTCTTGAGTACAGCTCACACTCCACAGTCGTCCGCACACCCGAAGATGCCGCCCATTCTTCCAAGCAGCCTTTTGATTACGTCCTTCTTTGCGTAAAAGCCCTGCCCGATGTATACGATATCGCCAACATCATCGAGTCGGTCGTCTCCCCTCAGCATACCTGCATCCTTATGAACACTACACACAGCCTTGGCGTTGAATCCTATCTCGAGCAGCGTTTCCCCACAAACGTAGTGCTTTCATTAGTATCGGGAGCAGAAATTTCGCAGCTCGGAGCTAGCGAATTTGAGCACAAAGGCGCGACCGACATCTGGGTTGGTCCTGCCAACAGGAATGCCAACATTCCTGCGCAGATCCAGTCAGACATGGCTGAAGCCCTGGCCATGACATTGAGTTCCGGACAGGTTGACTGCAAGGTCTCATCCAACATACGACAACAGCAGTTCGAGCGAATGATAGGGTATGTCATTTGTGCCATGGTCGCACATCATCAACTAACGTTAGACAGTCCAATCGCTTTCCACCCTGCCAGTGTTGTATTCGAGACACCCAACCACGCTGAACTGATGGACAAGGTTGGCGTGCGTGCTCTCATCACCGGAGTGCTTGATGAGATGATCGCGCTTGCAAATGCTTCCGACTGCACATTCCCCGAAGATTTCCGCGAAACAACGCTTCAAGAGATGACCCGTCCACAGGACAACAACAGCACTATGTGGATGGACTTTGAGGCCAAGCGCCCGATGGAGATCGAGACGTATCTTGGATCCCCTCTCAAGATTGCACAAGAAACTGGTGTCGCTGTGCCTCGGATCGAGACTCTGTATGCCACACTCCATCACCTCAACATCGTCAACCGCACACGCCCAGCTGCTCCAGCTCCCGCCACACAATCTCCTCAAAATGGCATGCAACCTCCCCCTAGACAATCCTCGGCGCCGATGCCTCGTGGGCCCCCTACCCAAGGGCCCATGATGAACGGTAACGGTATGAAGGGCGGCCCTCGTCCAGGAAGCCGTGCTCCGTCAATCAATGGGGGTCCTCCAATGATGCGTCGTGGTCCACCCCCGGGCCCCAACGGCTATCCTCCTAGGATGAACGGAGGTCCTAATCGGCGTCCCTCTTTCGAGGACCCTGGCAATCTTGAGGAGTTTTCCCATCTCATGCTCTACGACGACATGGTTCCAGACGGTGCCGTCAATGGCGGCCCTTACGAGAGCGCCGGAAACTCTTCCAACAACATTGCACTTCGCGAGAGAGAATTGATGCTTAGGCAGAGAGAACTCCAGATCAGAGAGCAGGAGATGAACATGCGAGGCGGACGTGGCGGTCCAATGGGTCCAGGCCCTATGGGACCTCCGATGGGACCTCCAATGGGACCCATGGGTCGTGGTCGAGGACGTCCCCCGCCACCCCCATCAATGGGCGGATTCGATGACGATGACGATGATGGCGATGACTTCTTCGATCCTATGGGAGGCCGCGGAGGCCCAATTATCGACCCCGACAACTTCGACATGATGAGCGTCACGTCGCGTCGCAACCGCTCAGCACCCAGCGCCAAGCAGATTCGTCAAAACCCCGAGGGTGCAGGCTTCGCGCCTGGACCGAACAGGGGCGGCAGGGGCCCCTTTGGACGTCCGGGGATGAACAAAAATCGGAGTAGTGCTCGGTTGATGGCAGATGTTCCTGGCCTCCACGACTCTATCATGAACAACCCCCTCATGGGCTACTCCTCCGACCGCTACGGACACGTCGATCGCGGTGCTATGGGCGCGCAATCCAGAACCAACTCACTAACATCGGCTCGTTTAGATGAGCTTTCAGGGGGCGCAGGCTACGGTGCTTATCCTGCACCAAACGCCCGCCGCATGAGCCAGTCACCTGGCAACCCGCTCAGTCCGGGCCCGCGACCTATGGGCCGACCCTCACCACCAAACGGCTTCAATGGCATGCCCCCGAACGGCATGGTCCCCAATGGCATGCCTCCAAATGGAATGATTCCTAACGGGCGGCCATCGCCTCCTGGCATGAGGCAGCCCATGCCACGAAACCCTGGAAACGAGGTGGCACCACAACAAGTTGAACAACACGCTGGGGTGAGCAATCTCTACCCGCCCAAGTCTCGTACCCAAGTTCGCAGTCTGACTGGAAGCGCATCAAATAGTTCCGCTAGCGCAAAAGCAGTAGATTCTACGGAAAACTCTGCGCACAGCAGCCAAAGCAGCCTTGGACCCCGTCCCCCCGTTGGCGTTCGGTAATTGGGATAATGTTCGACTCAGATTTGGTGGCCATCCGTTTTGAATGTTGGCATCTGGCATGGACACTGTTTCAACCTCGACGACATTGCCGAAATCATCTACTGGTCCTCACTCGACACACATCCTTTCTCGTCTAAGACAGCTAGCGAAGCAGTCTAGACGTCTCTTTCGACACCTTTTTCCACAAACACGTATACGCACCGAAGCATCACCATCCAGCCGACAAGACTCTCTACGGCGGTCCGGGCGGCTTCATGGACAGCCAGAGGCTCGTCCAGATGGTGGATGTCCTAATGACGAATAGAATTGGGCCGGCAAGGGACACATTTTGACGTACACAAACCGGCCTCGCACGACTGAAGCCTTTGCTTTCGGGTTTTCTCTTTTGTCTATATCGTACATACTTGTAGAACGCTCTTACGGCGGCGGCAACAGCCTCCCTTTTTCTCCTACACACACAGACTGTGGCAGCCCGCTAATCATGTTTTCCTTGTTTGCATGGATGGGTTTTATGCTCAGTGGAGGTTGGGTTATTTCCCTTTACCACTTGTTTGCTATGCTACGGAGTTTTCGATACATGCATATGGATTTTGCTTGCTTGTACCTTGTCATTCATTTTTCCTTTGTTTGCTCCCATGGGCTTATCCTATTCCCAAGTGCTGTGTATACCTACCATAGCTACACAAACCGTAGCGCGTACCATGTTGAAGGCTGGATGGAGAAGCATCTTCGTAGTTGAGCATATGTAGGCCGACGAGCACAAAAGCAAGCAAGACGTTCCTTTCTCCTGACAATGTTCCCCTATGCTCTATTGGTGACCAGCTAGGTGTCTGCCCGAGCTGACTTCTTGTCAGGGGAGGCAAGAAATTAATAGAGCATATCAAGCTGTTGCCAAGTTCTGGGCTCTGTGATTGTACGGAGACTGTGTTGTGCCGTTGTTCCGGAGCCAGCCGCTTACGTAGATCACGGGAGATTGTGCACGTGCTCAAGCTCCTCACTTCACGATGCCGACGGCTAGGTCGCTCGTTACTTTCACTAGCGCATCGTGCCGTGCAAAGAGCTTCCGGAAGTGAGGCAATGCTCTCGTTCCGCCTTTAAACCAATTGCACGTCTCGGGAGTGATTTTGACTCGTATCCCAACGCGTTGGCATGCAAGTGATGGTGTTCATGCATGGTAATTGCACGCCCAAGCTTGCCTACCCCTCGTTCTCCGTCATAGCTGGACAACGCGGGGCAGAATGAGCATCAGCTCGCTGTCACGCCCCAATAAAGCCACGCGCCCGCTTCAGAGCCCGACACAGAGCGCGCGACCCGATCGCCCAAGACCTACAAGAAGTCCCTTCGCGACCCACACGGTAGTCACCGTCCTTGTTCTGCTGCTAGCGCTGGGTACCGGTTTCTTCGCACCCCACTTCTCCAACGCCGTCTTACGCACTGTTATCAACAAACAAGCTCCCTCCTTCTCACTCCGAAATCCGATCGTCCTCCAGGAACCGAGTATCTGCCCGAAGCCTGAGCAGCAGGTCGAGTTCGTCGGTACCTTCAACACACAACATAAGCGCAGCATGACACTCGCAGACCAGGCGAAGCGCGTCGCCGCGGAGTTCGACTTCGACGACAATGCTGTCAACAAGGCCGTCAAGGAGTTTATTCGGGAGATGGGTACGCACAAGAATATGGACTGGGCAATTGGCCACTGACGACGCGCAGACGAAGGTCTAGAGAAGGAAGGCACTGAGATGAGCCAGATCCCGACATACGTCACTGCCGTCCCCAATGGCACGGAAAAGGTATGGGTTCTATATACGCCGGTATCCACCCTCATCTAATGCTGTACAGGGCCTCTACATGGCCGTCGATCTCGGGGGTACCAACTTCCGCGTCTGCTCCATCGAGCTCCACGGCAACACCACCTTCTCCCTCACTCAGAGCAAGGTAGCCATCCCGCGCGAGCTCATGGTCGCGAAGACATCGAAAGAGCTCTTCTCCTTCCTCGCGAGACAGATCGAAGCCTTCCTCAAATTGCACCACGAAGAACACTACGCCGGAACACTCAGGCGCAGAGAGGGAAAGGCAGGCGAGCCAGAAGATGAGGAGATATTCAACCTGGGCTTCACCTTCTCATTCCCCGTACACCAGATTGGAATCAACAAGGGTATGCTGATGCGCTGGACAAAGGGTTTTGACATTCAAGACGCAGTTGGCAAGGATGTATGCGCCCTGCTTCAGCAGGAGATTGACGAGCTCCATCTCCCCGTCAAGGTGGCTGCGTTGGTAAACGACACTGTCGGAACCCTCATGGCCCGCTCATACACTTCGCCTGGCAAGACTGGCACATTACTCGGTGCTATCTTTGGAACTGGTACCAACGGAGCCTACGTTGAGAAGCTGGACAAGGTCAAGAAGATGTCGAAGGACACCAGCACTGGCGCATACGACAAGTCAACTGGAGAGATGATTGTCAACACTGAGTGGGGCTCCTTTGACAACTCTCTCCGCACGCTGCCCAACAGCCCCTATGACGTTCAGCTTGACAAGGACTCTGTGAACCCTGGGATCCAAATGTTCGAAAAGCGCGTGTCAGGCATGTTCTTGGGAGAGCTTCTACGTCTTGCCCTGCTCAAGCTCGTTAAGGACCCCAATGTTCCGCTTTTCACCGACGATAACTCGTCTTCAAACGATGTCCACAGCACCACCCAAATTCACGACAGTAGCCCGATATGGAAGCAGTGGGGTCTCGACACTAGCTTCCTCAGCGTATGCGCTGGCGATAACAGCCCTGGCTACCGCATGCTCCGACAGACACTTGACAAGGACTATGACATCTCCGCCGTCAGTGCAGAGGACGCAGAAGCAGTCCGCGAAATTGCTGGAGCAATCGGTCGCCGCGCGGCGCGTCTTGCTGCCGTCGCCATCGCCGGTATTGTCATCAACACTGGTCGTCTGGACAGGTCTTCGGGATCAGCTACCACAGAGCAAAAGTCAGGCATCGAGCCTGCACGTGGGGATGTCGAAGCCACTGAAGGCGACGAGATCGATGTCGGTGTCGATGGCTCGCTCGTTGAATTCTACCCTAACTTTGAGGAGTACATTCGTGAGGCGCTACGTGCGGTGCCCGAAATTGGTGCAAAGGGCGAGAAGAGAGTCAGGATCGGTATCGCGAAGGATGGATCCGGTGTTGGTGCTGCGCTCATTGCGCTTGTTGCTGGAAAGGTCAACGCGCCGCAGTAAGTGTGGTTGCCTGGGGCATCTACGATGTGACGACTTGAACATGTTGGATATATAGCACAAAAGTGCTTTCTTCTGTAAATGGATCTGGGAGATGTGTAATTACATCTAACTACATACAAACATCTTATTTGACTTTCGCTCAACGCTTTAGCTGTGAGGTATGTAAATGTCTACAATCTTTATTGGTTTTGCCTACCTAATTCCTCTGATGGAGGAAATCGATGACGCATAATGCGTGGACCCCACCGGAGCACCAAGCACTAAGGAAGCGACTAAAAGCATGACTCCACCAACCCCACCATCATTCTTTGTGTTGACCGTCCAACGAGCAGCACCGTCAATGCAAACCTGTGGCTCAAATATGGAAGTTATAAATATCATACCGCTGACTTTGCTCATCAACCACATCACAGCCCGGCTGGCACAGTAAGAACTCACCGTTCCTTACTACCACAACTCAACAGTTGACTAACGGGCATACTTTAGATTGGTTAGCGCGTGAGACTTTTAATCTCAAGGCTCAGGGTTCGAGTCCCTGGTCGGGCGACGTTCTTTTTGATCTCAGGATGCCGCTAGAATGCCTGCCTAAAGTTTCGGAACGACACACTTTCTTTTTTGCTAATAAAGTTTGTAAAGAATACTAGGCTCGCAGAATAGTATAATAACTATAGAAATCTTTTTAACGTAGGTGCATGCTTTGAAGGTTACTCATACTAAGACTCTACTAAAACTACCTCTATCACAGTCTATTATAACCTACTTTAGTATAACCCTAACCCGACTCATGAATGATATCGTGCAGTTGCGGATTGAGAAGATTAAGCTGCTTGAGCGACTGACAGACTTGGAAAAGAAGAAAAGAGACCTGGAGAAAGTGATTGACAAAACAGAGAATGGGAACATGTTCCGACATACATGGTTGGATGAGAAGGAAGATGAAGACAAGGCGCAGCTGCGATTGTTGCTCAATCAATCTATGGACGGATGTAAAACATTGACAAAGCGAGTCGAATACTATGCAGAGCCTTTGGGTTGAGTAAGGTACACAGACGCGGAAGCTATAACGGCAGCTTGTAGCAAAAGGAGCAAGAATCTCCGAGAGCACCTGTAATCTGGTAATAAGATTATTGCGTTACATTCATCCTCATATCCTTCCTTTGGTGAGACCACCAGGTCTGTTCCTTGTTGGATGCACTGGTGTATCCCCTATGTCTGCCATCTTATCCTCCAGCAACCGTGTCATATGTTCTACCACATCCCTGTATCCTGCATCGGCATACACGTTGAACAGCTCCAGCGGGTCTTCCTGGCAATCGAACAGCTCCCACTCTTTATGCTCGGCATCCGCTGGTCTCGCACCCTCAATCCCAAAGTCCTCATTGTACCAGTAAATGAGCTTGTATCGCTGGTCTCTCACACCGTAATGCGCATATGCCGCATGAATCATGTCGTTGTGCATCCAGTACCGGTGGTATGCAACTTGTTGCCAATCCGAAGGTATCTGGCCTTGTAGCAGCTTGCGGAAGGATACGCCCTGCATATAGCTCGGTATGCGCAGACCCGCAGCATCAAGAAACGTTGGCGCGAAGTCCACGTTGCAAATGATGTCGTCGCATACGGATCCCGCTTTAATCTCCTTGGGCCAGCGTACCAGAAACGGCATCTGGAAACTCTCTTCATACATGAAGCGCTTATCGAACCAACCATGCTCTCCAAGGAAGAAGCCTTGGTCTGAGGTGTAGATTACAATTGTGTTCTCTGCCAGACCCTCTGCGTCCAGGTAGTCTAGCATTCGGCCCGTGTTATCGTCAATAGATTGGATGGTGCGAAGATAGCGTTGCATATATCGTTGGTACTTGAACTCGGCGAGCTCTGCGGGGGTTTTGAAAGTAAAGACGGTTCCGTCGTCTTTATCGAGAAGGCGCATCTTAGTAACATCTTCAGGGTTAGGAATCTTTCGATCGTCTAGTAGCAAAATCAGCACGCCGAGAAGTAGAAACGAAATGGATGGGCTGCGCTCACTCCACCAGTATATATCGATCAGTTTCTCACCGACTTCGTTGCCGCCATCTGGCTGGACCAATCCCAAGTCATGATATGTGATGTCGTCTGCAATGCGCATCTTCGCGATCTTGGCAGCCCTGGCTCTATTCTTGTAGTCGTCTGTAAAGGTATCCGGTAATCGAACTGGATCTTTGTACAGATGCTTGTGCTTCGGGTCGCATTCCCAACTACGATGCGGCGCCTTGTGATGGCACATGACGAAGAAAGGTCTCGATTTGTCCCTGTTCTTGATAAAGTCCAGGCTCTTCTCGGCAATGATATCTGTTGCATATCCTGGAACCCGCTTTGTACCTGATGGCTCGATAAACATAGGATCGTAGTACTCGCCCTGCCCAGGCACAATACTCCAGTAGTCAAAACCTGTTGGCTCATGTCCCTTACCTTCGCCAAGGTGCCATTTCCCCACCATTGCTGTCTGGTAGCCTCCCGCTTGCAAGGCTTTGGCCACGTTGGGAAGGCGTTCGTTGATCTCGGAGTTGAGTGTCATGACCAGATTGACGTGGTTGTGGGTTCCTGTCAAAATTGCAGCACGCGACGGAGTACAAATACTGTTCGTTACATAACAATGATTGAATAGCATGCCCTCTTTGGCAATCCTGTCAAGATTCGGGGTGTGGTTGATGCCAGCGCCGTAGGCGGAGATGGACTTTGAGGCGTGATCGTCCGCCATCATGAAGATGATGTTTGGGCGGTCTTGTGTCGCCATCTTCGGTATAATACTGAGAAAGCCTTTAACGCGCGCTCACTTTCGTAATCTCTGTCAGGATGGTTGGAATAACTTTAATAATCATAAATGAAGGAATGGTGGAAGAAGGGAGATGTCATGTTAGGGCACTACGCGTCTCTTAAACGCGTGATTAGCCGTCACGCGGACAAGCATAAGCCGCAACTGGCTCGAAGAAACTCGGAAATCCATCCTGCACTGTCTCATCGGTAATGCAAACTGATAGTAGCTTGGGCGCAAGAGAGCAGACGGGCTGAGGAGACACGCGATGCGGAGGTCTGAGTGGAGCGATCCCACGCTACGGGTGTCGGGCTCGTCCAAATCTGGTAACCGACGCCTGTCGGTGGCTCAACCAAGTGAGCATTCGTCCGACAAGACTTTGGCGCGTACCACATGATCCTGAGAAAGTACCGCGACTCATGTGGTATTGGATATCGTCATTATGGCTAGAGGCACGACTTGATCGCTGTTTAGGCGCGACCAACCGGAGCTGCAAACGGCCGACAATCCTAGGTGGCTTAATGAAATCCTGCAGGACATCTTTGCATCCCCAGGTTTTGCCCCAGCTTCTATTACCCGCTTGCCGAAGAAGGCCCAGAGAGGCTTGACTCAGTGCTGTATATAAGGTTGACTAGAAGTGATCCATGCAGATATAACGCAGTTCAAACGCTGTGGATATCATATTTCACTCCTGCCCAGACAAGAACGAAGTACATCGACAGACTCTGATATTATGGCACCAAATGATTCACAAGAGGAAAAGAACACCATGACCACGATGGAAGCTGTGGAACCAGATAAACACGTTACAGGGTATGAAGACGAAGCTGCCCGAGGCACAGAACAGGAGAAGACCATGCCTCTGAAGGCTGCCTTCAAGTATTATCGAAAAGCCGTGTTTTGGTCTATTACTATTTGTGAGTAGGCGGGGTTGTGATCTTGTAATTGTTACTTACATTGTCAACAGCCATGGCCACCATCATGGAGTCTTACGACATGCAGCTCATCAGCTCCTTCTACGCATTTCCCCAGTTTAATCGAAAGTACGGTGAACAATTGCCAAACGGTACATGGCAGGTCGATGCAGACTGGCAGCTGGGCCTAAGTCTAGCATCACTGATCGGTCTCATCTTTGGCGTGTTTGCCAGTGGATACCTTGGTGATCGCTACGGACCCCGATATGTCATGATCGCAGCGCATTGCTTCCTGGCTGGATTTGTCGCTATAATTTTTACAGCGCAGAGCGTTGAGATACTGTTTGCGGGCGAGTTGTTATGGTACTTGATGGCACCGAAAAAATGATGCCTGGAAAGCTCTAACAAGCATAGTGCGTGTACCTGGGGCCTCTTCGCTGCAGCAACACCGACATACGCCGCTGAGATCGTCCCTATGGCACTAAGAGGATACCTTACGACATACGTCAATCTTTGCTGGGTCATCGGACGAATCCTTGCGACCGGTGTCCTACGAGGCATGCTACCGGTGCAGTCGGAGTGGTCTTTCAGGGTCCCGTTCGCGCTCCAGTGGATGTGGCCACCAGTATTGATTTTTGCCACCTGGTTCTCACCAGAGAGCCCGTGGTGGCTCGTTCGCAAAGGGCGTATCGATGAAGCAAGGAAGACGCTGGACCGCCTGGTAAGCGCACCTTCTGGGATAGTTAACAACGACCATCGTCTTGCCATGATGCAGCATACCATTGCACTGGAGCGTAAATTGAAAGTTGGTGGATCTTTCCTGGATTGCTTCAAAGGCACGAATCTGCGTAGGACGGAGATCGCAATGCTCTCTTGGGGCGGACAAATACTTCCTGGCTTCATCATCCAGGGATACACGACCTACTTCTTCACCCTCGCCGGACTTGCTCCAAGTGACTCTTTCAACCTTACGATGGGCGTCTTTGGTATGGCTTTTGTTGGCACATGCGCATCGTGGTTCTTGCAGCCTCGGATGGGGCGGCGCACCATCTACATTGCAGGTCTAGCCATCATGCTGCCAATCATGTGGATTGTTGCTTTTCTCGAGTTCGCGCCAAACGCAGGCAGCAACTCCAGCATCAAATGGGCACAATCCTCCATATTGATGATTTGGTTCTTCACCTACGGTAAGTATAAGCTCCTGATTTCGAATACTTGTCAGAGCTAACGCTGGGTTAGGCATAACGATTGGTCCAATTCCTTATGCTATCGCCGCTGAAGTCGGCGCAGTACAGTTGCGCTATAAGACAATCGCTCTTGGTCGTAACATGTACTACTTCCTTTCTATCATCAACGTCGTTATCTCGCCATACATGCTCAATCCGAGCAAGTGGGATCTTAAGGGGAAAGCTGCGTTTCCTGCTGCTATTTTAAATGTATGTCTGTTGATTTGGGCCTACTATAGGCTACCAGAAACAAAGGGCATGACACCGGAGACCCTGGATCATCTGTTTCATGAGAAGATCAGCGCTCGGAAGTTCAAAGCAGAGGCATCCAGATTCCAATAGAGTATCATGGAGCGCAGAGTCGCTTGAGTTCGGAAACATTGAGGTGCGGGGATATGAAGTCCATGTAACGGTCCAGTAGATTGCATCCATTTGCTGTATATCAGTCCACAGCCATGATGTGACTAGAACTACGAAAGTATTATCATTGCATTCATGATTTGGTTCTCGTGAATGACAACCCTGAAATTGAGCAGACAGTCGTTGGTTGTATGTCCAAGGTCCACGGACGCGCTCGTTCTGGCAGTGCCTCTCGAGGATTGAGGGGATTGGTGTCAATGACAGCTGTCCGGGTCGCACTTGATGAGTGGCAGTTGCGGTGGGGTGATAATTCCCTGATCGTCTTTCCAAACTATACAAATCATGGTGCATGGAGAGAATGCGACGAATTCTGGTGAGCTTGGCCGTCGACTATGCGGTAGAATGGATGGAATTGAACCTTGCAGGAGTCAAAGTCGTCGGGCTTGTTACAGACTGTGTAGTCCGCTCCAGCCATGTGGCCAATCGGCGCTCGTAGATGCCGACAGCCGGACGCTAATTCCTAGTTCGACTTCATCCACTCTTCGCCATATGCCCCCTGTTTAGACACATCCAGCACGACCCGTAGGCCCGTACCGGGTCTCAATAACCGACGGTCTTGAGAGTATGATCACTGTCTGGAACTGTTGTGTTGCTACCATGTGGTGGTGGCTAGAATCTTTGGCGGCGACAACTCGCTCGGAAATTTGATGATAACGAAAGACCTGGTCCCACCTAGCAAACCTGTTCTGGCTGCAAAGAACGTCCAAAATGGTAGCCTGCGCTCAGTGTAGGCAAAGAAAGGTAATGATCCTCGACTGTCTATAAAGTAAATGCTTACCTCAGGTTACAGGTTCGATGTGAAGGCGGCCCAGTTAGTTGCGATGCATGTAAGCGACTGGGGTTTCAATGCTCCTTGGGCCTTGCTACTACCCCAATCGCCGACGTTGGCAACCTACCGGTGGCATCTCGAAAGCGAGGCACGCGAGCATGTGATGCATGTCGTTCTCAGAGATCGCGATGCACAGGTGAAACTCCTAGCTGTCGCCGCTGTCGAGAGCTCAACATTCCATGCAACTATACGCTTTCGGTTCGCCAATACCGCGCTGGAGAACGTCACAAAAGAAGTCTGGTTTCTGCCGAACAAGTTATTAACCAGTCGGGAGGGGATGACGTCGGCAGGGCAATGCATGGCACGCCGACAACCGGGAGTGAGGTTACAGCGAGTCCAGATACTTCTTCCACTGAACATATTGACAAGTATATGAGCTCACTCAATTGAGTCTATTATAGCTAATGGACCCAGAATTCTTGGGTGCGATCGAGCCGTCATCCGACAACATATTGACGCTTATTACGACTACATTTACCCAGTTCCGATTTTCAGCTTCTTGCATCGAGCAGAATTCTTGGGACAGTACACGGCTGGCATTGTTTCACCAGCGCTGCTTCTTGCCGTATGCGGTGTGTCGTCACGCTTCCTGTCATCTGCTAGGGAACGAGCAGGCATGATCAAATCATGGATCGAACAGGCTGAGACGATCATATTCCAGAACATGGGGAAAATGAATGTTTCTGATGTTCAGGCGTTGATGCTCCTTGAGCTGCATTGCATGTATAATCACCAGAACGGCAAAAGTTTCACGTATATATCGTTGGCAGTCAGGATGGCTTACTTACTCAAGCTGCACAAAGAGGACAGACAGCTGCCATTTGTTGAACAGGAATCTCGACGGAGGCTCTTGTGGTGCATGTTTGCATTGGATAGACTCCATGCTGGTGGTGTTCCGGTAAGTCCACGCCCAAGACGTCAATCTTCAGCGTTATCCGCTTGAATCTCTTCTGTGAAGAGAGGTTGGCGGATTTTCCATGACTTCGCTCACTTGATGCTGAATCAGTGTTGATTTGATAGCAGGAATACATCCTTCTGCCCGCGACTTCAGTACATGTACAACTTCCGTGCCCAGAACACTTTTTCCAAATCGACACTCCTGTCGCGACACCACACATCCATGAAACCCAAGCGGACAACTCCAAGCTTACACCCGCGGCGTTTTTGCTGCGTATCTTCAACACCCGCAACCATGTACTCCAGTAAAGCTACCCGACTATGGCCATGTGTTGAGATTTCGCTAATATGGCAGGTATACGAAACAACTCCTGGACGCTTCGCTTAGCCCGGAGACTTCCCTAGCACAGTTCCAAATGCTTGAAGGAGAGCTTAGGGAGATACACGAGTCTTTGCCCGCAGCGCTGGTATTCAGCACACGTGCCTATCAACTCCGGACGTTCTCTCCCGAGCGCACGACTTTCACTATTTTACATCTTTACTTCCACCACTGTCATTGCGAACTTTATCGGTTGCTCAATCCAGGATACCGCGAGGCTCTTCCGCAATCGGTTATCTACTCCAGTTCACCCGAACTTGTTGCATACGCGCAGTCGAAATGCCTCGAGCACGCAATCTCCATAGGCGAGATCGTTGCATCAACCTACGGTCTGGTGGAGATCAGTCCTTATGTCAGCGATACATCTTGCTTCGTTATCTTGTATCAGGCCTCGTGTGCTATACTCTACGCATGCCACCGTGACAGTCCTGCTTACGTCATGAAACCCGAAACCGCACGGCGATACCTAGTCGCATTCATCGCGACATTGCAAAGTCTACTCTCTTACTTCCCAAGGTATGCTATATACGTCAAAGACATCCGTAATATGCTTCGTAGCATCGACGAGCCGAATGTACCGCTCCCAGCTCAGAAGGCGTCAAATGAGGTGGATTTCCGCGCACGTATAGTGCCTAGCGAAGAGAACTCGGATGAGGACAATTTGGTCAGCGAGATTGCGGGCTCTACTTCTAATCTCAGAGACGATACAGCGCATTCTACGTCTCAGACCGCTGAGGTACCCGTTGGACCACTACCAGAACTCGTGGAAACGTCGCTTCATACACCATCCACCCTGGAAGAACAGGATCATTTATTCGCTGATTTGGAGACATCTCAGTACAACATGGACCTTGCAATGGATCTTGATCAAGGCTTGCTTTGGGATTGGGCAGATGCTTTGGAATCGGGCTTCAGCATATGAGTTCGATTGGCGAAAGCTTGTCTCAAGCTGTTGCGGCACTCCAAGAATACACCGTTCATTGAATGACATGTGTGTGCGTCCATTGGTGTAATGCGCTACATAACTTCCACCAACGGTTCATCATTCGAATTTATTTACACCCGAAGTTCTACAAAGTCTATGCATAACCTTACAGCGAAACATATGGAGAAACTGGATGATGCAAACTACATCTAATACGAACCGAGTACGTCGCAATGGAGACAGTAATCCCACCAGTATTTGAGAGTGCAAATACTATCGACTTGGCCTTTCCTCATCCAGAGCTTCTAGGTGTGTATGATCCTCCACCTTCTCTCTATCGTGCCTACGAGTCTCTGCCAGCGCATCATACCGACCGTCTTCTACGACAGCGGCACAAACTCCGCTGAGACATCGTATACGATGCGGGCTACAATCAAGACAACCTTCCTCAATCTGCACGACTGCGGAGATAACAGTCGAGATGAAGTGTACGGCTAAAGAGGATATCGTCCATCAGTCGCTCGATGACAGCCTGCTAACATAATTACACTGCTTAATGACGACTCCCGAGTTAGCTCGTCGCGAACCTACTCGCCGTGCAGAACTATCGATCGTAAAGCCGATTATTTGCTCTTGCACCCGCATCGTAACAGTGCAATCGAATGCGCACAACATTTGCGCTAACCTTTACATAGATGTGGTATCGACCCAACAACACGCGATGAATGAGGAATTGTGACGGATATTGCGACTTAGGTCGTAGGGAAGTTGAATGGCAATTACAGCAGAGGCCGTATCGCATTTACGCAGAAATCATTTGCGGTTGTTCTGCACAGGCTCTACTTGCCTTTTACGCAGCGACACCACAGACCTTCTCGCTTTCTCGGATTTGTGTCGTGAGGAACGCGTGGCAGACCGACAGTCACACAAACTACGAGCGTCGAAACCGCAACCACACATCGGCGCTGTGGTCCGGGCACCGCCTACGCAATCACATTTATCTGTTCTACAACACAAGTCAACTGCAAAGATTTAACTGTACGCGAGCCCCGATATCATGAGATACACAACGCTAGTCTAGAATAGCTGCGGCCGGGACTAGGAGACGCAAAGAGACATGTGCGCCTCTGTAGCTCAACGAGGAAGAACTCGCTAACTCAGTGCTACTGCAAACTAGGAGAATGGTCGGGACAGTGATACTCTGGGAGTCGAAGCGACGGATAGAGCAAGCCGGTCGCAATGCATGATCTTTGAGGCAATTCGCGTGGCGCTAGAAACAGTATTTGCAACTCTCTAAAGTAGTCTGCCTCACTCAACAACTAGCTGTACGTCAAAGATCTATGAAATTGACTTCTCCTTGTCAAGTATGTGCTGTTCGATCACTTTCTTCAACTGATTTGCAGTCTTCTTCCTTTGAGCCGATAGTGTATCGCGGTCTAGATTGAGCTTTTTCATTCTATCCAACGCAATAGCTGATAAGGAATGCCTACAACGGTCTTGATATTCCTCATTATCAACCTGTTGCCAGGTTCGCACCTGGTTGTAAGGCAAGAAATCCGTGAACACGGTATTCGTGCGATGGAAAGACGGCCTGCGGCCGTGCGTTGGATGCGCAAGTGTGTGGTTTTGATGGGAAGCTTCATCTCCGCTGTTTCCAAACGACTCTACATCGGTCTCATTTCTCATCTCTATGATTGCTTTTTGCGCTGTATCTGGCAGCGGCTTACGTTTGATGAGAGATGCCGTTGCACCGGGAGACGGTCTGAGGTGCAACTCGCCGTCTAGAGGTGATGTAGGCTGAGATTGTACGTCATTGTAACCAGCCTGCAGTGCAGCGAGGTTCCCCACGGTCAGCTGCTTCACGCTCTCGAATCGCTCGATGAAACGACTTTGCCTAGGCTTAGGAGGTATATCGGCGTACGCAGTACGAAAAGATTGCTCCGTACCGGAAGACCCACCATCCCCATTGCTTGTTTCGTTTGATACTCTCCGCTCCAGCTTACCAGACTCTGAGGAGTTCAGCTCGCTTAATGGAGTGGTTGAGGGTCCATGGAAGGCTGCCATGGCGTTTTGAATGTTGAGTGTTGAAGCCGATGGGATGTTTGCTGTCGTTTTGGTAAATGTCTTTCTGAGCCGCACCTGAGACCTCGCAGTTGAAAGTGTGTAGTTGCGTTGAAGTGACTGGAACGTGTTTCTGATTCATTGTGAGTGAGGAAGAACATTATAATATACCGTACTGTATGATCTAGGTGATTCCACAGCGTGATAGAACTCTGCCCAGATGTGATAGCGACTGGTAAATGTGCTCTGACTGTTGCACGACTCATACCAACTGAACGTGGCTAAGATGGTGCTTTCACCTAGTTCCTGGGGTCGAAATTCGGATCATAAGACGTCTTACTTGCATGCAAGTGTTCAGTCCCATGGAGCCTGAATCTGCAGCAGGTTTAAGATATCTCTGGCGTATACGCGTGCTTTCGAGGAAAAAAGCGCTAGATGCCGGAACGAAAGTCGAACCCGACTCAGATAATAATGCCAGATTCTCGAACACAACCCTTCTATTAGTCCATATCTCTATCGTTGTCATGAAGGCCGGAGTATACGTAATGAGCTACTCGCGATAGAATGCTGGAAGGAATCTTTGTAGTAGACAGCCCCAGCTATATTGTACGAGATTGATTCATTAGTTTCCTTGAAGTACATCCGGCTTGCGCGACGACACTAGCACGTGTCTTCTTCTAGGCGTTGCAGGCTGGCTTGGATTCCATTGGGAAAGACACGCCTCGGTGATGGGTTTATGGCTCGAGCGACGGACGGAAAATGCATTTGGTAGAGTACTAAATGGCTGGTCTGTCTGCGAGTAAGGGAGACGTTGCACTAGAAATCCAAGAAACGTGGTTTTAAGATGGAGTGTGACGAAGAGCGCGATCAGGCGTCGACGTGTGGGCTGCCAAGCTAGCCCACCACTTTACGCGTCGCCCGGACGCGTCCAACTCACCATCCACTGATACCCGCAAATTCACGAACAACACCACGACGTATCCACACAATGGCGCTTCTAGTAGATAAACACCGACCGCGCAATCTCGAGGCGCTCAGTTACCATCCCGAGCTTTCAGATCGTCTTCGAGCCCTTGTAAGGAATCCATCCACCTCCCCGTTGGACATGGCAACTAACGCAACACCCTATAGGCACAAAGCGGCGACTTCCCACATCTCCTCGTATACGGTCCTTCCGGTGCAGGAAAGAAGACGCGAATCGTCGCAACACTCAAAGAACTATACGGTCCTGGTGTCGAAAAGATCAAGATCGACGCGCGCGTCTTCCAGACCACCACGAACCGCAAACTCGAATTCAACATCGTCGCTTCTGTATATCACCTCGAAATCACACCTTCAGATGTCGGAAACTATGACAGAGTGGTTGTCCAAGACCTGCTGAAGGAGGTTGCGCAAACACAACAAGTCGACTTGGGCGCAAAGCAGCGCTTCAAGGTGGTGGTGATCAACGAGGCAGACCACTTGACAAGAGATGCGCAGGCAGCGCTGAGACGGACCATGGAGAAATACAGTCCCAACTTGCGATTGATCCTGCTCGCCAATTCGACAAGCAACATCATTGCGCCCATCAGGAGTAGAACGCTACTTGTGAGGGTGTCAGCGCCTACAGAGACCGAGATCTGCAGTGTTTTGAGCAAAGTGGGCAAGAAGGAGGGATGGAAGGATGTTGAGAGTCTGAACCAGAGGATAGCGAGGGACAGCGGGCGAAACCTGAGGAAAGCGCTGTTGATGTTCGAAGCAGTACACGCTCAAAAGTATGGCTTCATCTCTTTCTACACCCCCAACCTCATACTAATGTATCAACAGCGAGAAAATCACGGACCAGACGCACATCCCACCGCCAGACTGGGAAGCACTCATCCAGCAAATCGCCCGCCAAATCGTCGAGGAGCGATCTCCTCAACGCCTTCTGCAAGTCCGCGCATCACTGTACGATCTGCTATCGCATTGCATCGACTCCACGACCATCATAAAAACGCTTACCTGGAAACTCATACCCATGACAGAAGATGCGCTGAAGCCGGAGGTCATCAAGTGGGCAGCGTTCTACGAGCACAGGTGTAAGATGGGCGCCAAGCAGATCTTTCATTTGGAAGCTTTCGTCGCAAAGTACATGAGATTGTACGAGAGGTACGTACTGGACTCCAGAAAGTTAGGCCTGTACTAACAACTGTCGCAGCTACGCCATGGGCATCGATTTCGATTCGTCATAGTCGGACATTTACAGGCATACGGTCCAGGCGTGGAGGAAAAGTAGATAATGTGTCATCATACCAGGGTGTTCTGGCGCTGCAGAGCGCGTCTCGCGTTCGGCGTTTGGCGGTTACGTCATAGCATGGAGCTTTCCCCATACCTAGAGTTTCTCAGCTTCAATACCACTACAGGCTCACACAATCGAAATACTCTTTACATTCTCCACATATAAGCCTTCCAATATCCACAGCAAAACAATCTCCGTACTTGCAAATATGTCAGACAAACTCATGGACACCGAGCCCGGCGGCGAGCGCCAGAACCAGTACGAAGGCGTTCACACCTTTGTCGAGCCTCACGCGAAGGAAGCTGGTCAACTAGGTGGTATGACTTCCTCTCTCTTGCCAACTTCATTGTGCAACTGCTAACCAATGGCCTCTGCAGACCCCTCAACAGGCACCTCAGTGAACACCAAGACCTCCGACCCCGGCGCACCCAACACCCAAGGCATTACCCCCGCGGACAAGATCCGATATGGCCAGAGTATCCAAGAAGGCGGTATGGGTGGCAAGACAACAAGTTCAACGGGCCAGGCCAACGCGGAAGGTACGTCAACGGCAGATAAGTGTTATAGTTGCGAACGGCAAGCTAATCATAACCAGGCGGATTCGGTGGTACTGAAGCATTGAAGGACGATGATGAGAATGCGGCGAAGCAGAGGAGAGAGCAGGGATACGGTGGAGACAAGGACATGGACAGGACTATTGGCGCATAGTGGCAGCAGGCCAGGCTTCACGAACAAAAGGACGCGAGGGATGGATGCACACCAACTATGATAGCTTGGAAGACAGGAGAAGCTTGAGCAGGGCATGAACACATACACTATTGTACATTGACGATATACCCTGAGTATCCCGTCTAAGAATGCTCGTCTTATCATCAGTCCCAAACGCCATCGCTATGCAGCCGAACCCGTACGTTACTCATACAAAAAGCGTCTAAGAAAGAGGAGGGATATCTGAGCAGAGATCGAAACCAGATCGAAGAAATGCAGGAACCTTCCACACAGGCAGATGGAGCCAACCTCAACGTCTCGTAGCATCGTCAGCCCTCTGCTCGACCTTTGCCAACTTCCTTGCCAACGCCCTCTCTCTTTCCATAACGCTGGCTAGCGTATCGCCTCTCTTCGTTATACCTCCCAGATCAGGCGCTCCGGTAGGCATCGTACTGCCCATATCCCCTCGACTGACCCCGTTTCTACTGCCACCACCCCATGCACCAAGACCCCATCCTCCGCCTGGGGTTACTGTTGGCCTGGTCGGCTCTCTGCTAACGAGCGCACCAGGTCCGTGACCATACATGCTGACTCTTTGTACCTTTCGAAGCCTTGACAGTCCGTATACAGCGACAAAGAAGCCGAAGACTGAACACCAGGCGCTTATGCCGAAGAAACCAAGATCGGACTCTTCGATGAAGTTCTTCAAGTTCATACCGTAGAGAGCAGCGACGAAGGTTCCGGCTGTGATCGCGAGGGTGAGAATGGAGAATTTGAGATCGAGAAGCATGAGGGAGTTGCGGTTAGCGTCGAGAATGGCTTTGACACTGTGGAAGGTTAGCGATATAAAACGGATTAAGACGAATAGAACACATACATCTCCTCAGTGTTCCTGATGCTCGACACCAAGTTCTCGGCTGCTTGTACGATTTCGTCGGCGACCTTGTGGTAAGACTCCAGGAGCATCTCAACTTCTGTATGATCGTCGTCTTCGCGCGTCTTGCCCTCGGCCTTCTCAGTCAGGTACATGGCGCTGAGATCATCATCTGCTTCCAGCAATTCTTCCAGCGCGTTCCTGACCAATCGTGCCTTTTGTTCGAAACTACCCAGCTTCTTACTGTAGATGAGCAGGTACCGTAGCTTGTCCCTGTCTATGTCTTCCTCGAGCTCCCTGAGAACTCTCACCACTGGCTCACTGACACCTTCAAACTCCTTCTCCAGACTCAATGTTACGCTTATAAGGACAGCTTCGAGTGCTCGAAATTCGTAGGCGAGGGTGCCGTTGACAGTGGACTCTTTCTGGCGGAGTTTGAGATCTAGATCGTACATGAAGACAGACTGCGACTTTGAGTCAGTGGTGCCGTAGGCGTCAAAGACAAGTACGCGGTTGTGCTTCAGAAGGACACGAAGGTTGAGGAGGTTTATCAGGATCGCAGAAGGCCGGACGAGAATATGTGGGAGGAGCGAGGAATCGATTTTGCGGAGATCGCGAGGAAGTAGACCGTACTGTTTTCAACTATCAGTTATATAGTCTAGATAGACTCGTCGCCATGCGTACCTTAGCGATCAACTCGCTCTTCTTGAACTCTCCACTGACAAGTGTAACGTTGCCGTGCTCGTCAAGTTCCGTACACCGCATCTTGAGCTCGTTCGTGGGTCGCATTATACGTCCCAGACTGCTTCCGAACCCTGTTGAACCTGACGAAGTTTCATCCGGTGGCGGCTGCGGTGCTTGCAGTTGGGCCAGTTTTCGCATCTTTGCTGAATTGAAAATGTTCCACCCATTGTTCGAAGGTGTTGTAGAGAAACTGCGGTGACCCTGAGGGTCGACGTCTCTAACTGAAAGAGCCGTAGCCTGTCGAACAGAAAGCGAAGTCTCGAGGACTGGTTGCGAAACCTTCCTGGCCGGGAGACATTGCGAAGTTGCGAATGTCCTACTGCCCTCTCTCCTCTTGCAACTTTGTGTCTTTATCCTGCATGTCGCATCATCAGAAGTCCATCTCATCCCAAGACTCGTCCTATATCCGCGTCGTTGCTCGGTTACTTGTGCGCATTGCGCCAGCGGTCGCTCGAATGCATTGGTGACTTGGGCCCTCAGGAAGCTCAGAACCGACGGTGATGGGGCGGCGACTCTATGAAGCAAGGTAGGCTTCATAACTTTCCATACGTACAGTTCCGTATACGGCAGCGATCCATACGGTCGTTGTTGAAGTCGTTCGAGAATATCGCTCACGTCTCGCCCGCACGTCATTGGCGTTCGGCGATCCTTGGAAAATCATTTTGCGCTAGTGACGTCACGTGCGGCCGCATCCATGCCCGTGGATCGTTCGCCAAACATGACAGTACAAAGACAACTCCCATCTTCTGCATCGGGTATTACCCCTATTGATGGCATGTCTCATCCGATCTACAACGCTCTAATACGAACTCATCACATAACTTCCCGCAAGAAAGTGGCCAAGTTGAAAGCTGCTGCATCCAACTGTCACATATACGCTCTACTACGGTATGGTGGCTGTCCAGGCATCATGTATTGCCAAGGCTCTGAAACAGGTGTAAAGGAATGGGTAGCAAGCGTTCAGAGGCTGCGTTACAAGGATTTTCAGCTGGTAAAGAAGCCTGCCGGAAAGGGGGTTGAAGAGAAAGAGGCGGAAGACCACGTCGCGTATGGAAAATTAGAAGAAGTGGAGAGCGTGAAAGACTTCGGGATTAGTATGCAGAGGATGGGTGTCTGGAGCTGGTGGAGGAAGGGCATGGGCTACGTTGGTGACGACTCAAGCTTCTAACTACTGGAAGTTATGATCTTGCAATCACTGAAGGAGTCGGTAAAGGAACTTCCACGATACGTGAAGTCATTACCTCAGATCCGGTGGCGAATAGACGACGTCGGAGAAGATGGTATCGTTCAAGCTTCTCTCACCTGTCTGCCAGATTCGGCTAGTACTAGCTGATCGTCCGACCGGTAATATATACCTACCGCCTACGTGATCTGTTCCAGGTCTCTACCATCAACTCTATCCTATACTTTGGGTATACAGTACCGACGAAGCATCCTTCAAAAAAACATCACGAGTCGTCGGACCTCCTACATCATGGCTACACCAACAAGTGCCTCCAGCGCTGGCGATAGCCCGCAGGATACAACTGACGTTCAACCCATCCAGACTTCTGTAGTTACCAACGGCTCCTCCATCTTTGGTAGCGGACAGGTCGATGATGAGCCATCCGACCTCCAGAGCAAGAGGAAGATTACCGACCCGGACCTCGAAGTCATAACGATAGACAGATACTACGACCTTACCCTCATAGTAGGGTCTCCGGAGCATGCTGATGGTCAAAAAGCCTACAAAGTGAACAAGGGCGTCTTCCGACATGCCAGCAAAGTATGGGATGCCATGATGAACGGCAACTGGGCTGAGAGCGGCATGTCCGAAATCGCCTTTCCTGAAGACTCATCCTACGCCTTTCACATTGTCCTCCGAATTGCTCACTGGCAACTTCAAGAGCTGCCTGCGACGCTATCGCAGCAGGAGCTGGTACAGATTGCAGTCTTGTCAGACAAGTACGACCTAGAGCGTCTCCTGCATGCTGCAGCCGAGCTGAAGAATTGGATCCAACAACACAAAGACGGTGGTACATTCTGGCCTTCCGACATCGATCTTCAAGACTTTACGATGATTACGGCCGCGTTCGGGTTCACGGCTGACTACGAATACCTTGTTAACAAGCTGGCCATGGAGATCTCCGTCGACAAAGACAAGCGCTACTGCGTGGTATACGACCATAAGTTGGTGCATGTTCGAGCTGATTTCCCCACGCGTATTCAAGGTGAGTACATAGGCCCAGATCATTCAAGAAAGGACAAAGCACTGAGCACCCTGGAGCCTAGGTTGACGTTGGATCATCCACTTTGCATGTTTTCATCTTGATGTAGGCTGCAGGCCTGTTCAGCTTTTTTCCTGCATGAGGTGGTCATATTAATGTGGTCTCATCGATGCTAATCTTGAGTATAGATGAAGCCGGCCAAGCCCGTACTGCAGTACTCCAAGACCTCCTACAGACGTGCAAAACCGCCTTGCATAACACTTTTACTAAGGACGTCGGCAAATGTGGATCAAAACTTTGTCCATTGACCCAATTTGGCTTGACGACTAAAGTATTGGATGCAGCAGAGCTTCATCCACTTCCAGAAAGTGTGAATTCGATGCATCTCAGTGTTTTGGTATACTGGGCCCACTTGAACAACACCAGAACCGATTATGACGGTCTCCTACCATCCCGCTGCCGGGCCGCAAAACTCGATTGCGTAGGAGACTACGGCATTTTGAAGAAAGCTCGTGAAACCATGAAGCGCTACGCCCATCAGGATCTCTGGGCCGGATGGAAGGCTGTACGTATGCATCCTCAAACCAGAATCTCCGACTAACGATGGTGTAGAAGCAATACATCTGACAAGGGGGCATCCGTTCCGCCTTGAGCTGGTCAACCATCCCTTCATCTTGTTACATCGAGTCTTACCAAAAGTTACATGCTCTCTATTCTTTATTTGCGCTATGACAGTTCCCGGGATTACTTGATTTCAGCCAAAAATAGAAGTTCATCTTTGTAAAATTCGTGCCACAGTTTGCAGTATACATACTACTGTAACTTAATAACTATACAGACTAGAAGATGATGTAGGCTCCTGCCCTGATATTTTTTTTCCGAAGAATGCGACAGAAATTGAGGCTAGCCGTAGTCACGAGCTCACCCCAACCGGATCTTCCTGCGGACTTTGAGAACCTCCTCTCTTTTCAAGCCCCTTCTACTCCCCAACAAGCAGACTCGTTCCCAATGGTCTCCAAGATCTCTGATGAGGAGTGCGCATCCATCGTTCCAGAACGAATAGTGCGACTTACTATTGACGCCTCCTCTCAAGCTCGAGCTATCGAGTGGGGGGAGATGCAATGCCAGAAGTGAGCCAAGAGGGAGACTCTCCTCGATCTCTGCATTAGACTTTGTGCGGCTTGGACTCTCCACTGAACCGAAGTACTCCATTATACCGGGCGCTATTGTTGACGCGTCGATAGAGTAGTAATTGATACCTCCGTTGGTCGGGTGCTTCGCAATAATCCGAGATGTAAGCGCTTCGAGGTGGATGAATCGACTCGGTTGATTAGCATTCTCATTTGGTGAGTGAGCGCGACCATAATCTTGCATGTTCGCGTAGTCGACTTGATAGTCGGACCACTTCAAGACTCGACCAGATGTAAGCTCTACCTCGATCTTGATGGCCTCCTCTTTAGTCCTAGCTACGTTGTACCGAGTCCCCCGATTTATGCCAAGATATTGTACATAACCGTGGCAACCAGTCCAGGACCAGCTGGGAAATCCTTCCCGGCGAGAGGAAGGACCATTAACGATCCAGCGCAGGCCCAGATCGAAATCGAGATGGGTGGGCTGCGCTGGCGTTGGAGCTAGGACAAACGTAGAGAACGGAATGCCCCACAGATGGCAGACACCGTTTTCCCGCCGATAGTATGCCAAGATACCGAGTAAAGCATTGAGAATATCGCCCTGATACGATAGGGTCCGCATGGAGTAGTTGGAAATGCACTCCCATATGTGCAGTCTTCCGAGTAAATATTTTCTGAGGTTCCGGTCCCGCGCAGTGCTCGTAGTTTCCGGGACTGGATATCCGGTACGCAAATATCCAGGCAGAAATTGCTCTAAACTACTTTTATTAATTACCCCTCTCTCCCCTTGGATGCCGTCAGCTGACCCAAAGAATGTCTCTTTGTCCGTGAAGTAGATTTGCCGTTGGGAGAGGAGGGCTTCTTGATATGTCCACGCACGTGTCGCCCAGATACCAGCATGGATCTCGATAGACTGCGATAGCGCTCCTATACAGCCAAGTCCAACAACTTCGATACAAGGGTTCGGATTTCGCCGTCTAGAAATTCCTGGCAAACCAGAGTTAGGATCATCAGCTGCACATGCCACAATTGTAAGGAACGAGTTCTGGTATACTTCGTCCATCCTACTGATCTGTAGACTTCGAAGATGGCTACTTTCAGCTGATATACAATACCTGTCAACCCATAGGTAACGGATGCTCAGCACGTTGCAAACGTCGATACTGTCTTGAATCGTATCTGGTAGATGTCGGGGCAATCGGTTACCATTAGTGTTATCCAATGGAGGCTGGACAGCTCTTCCCCAGACGTAGCTCAACGTTGCGTAAAGCTCTTCTTTGAGCAAGGGCACAAGCGTGCGCTCAGCGCAGTTAATGACGGTGAGATCTAAGCTCTCGCCATCTTCCCCCTTGTACCACTGAGCCTGTTGCGTGCATCTTTCTTTCTTCAACCAATCAGATATCGGTGCCAGATCGAGGTGTGCGGCTGGTGCTTGCAGCTCGTGAGTCTGTGAATCTTCGATAGATACACACACAAACGGTGAGACTTCAACATGTTCGCTCCCAATGAGGATCTTATCAGAATATACGATCATCTCTAGACCCCCTAGGCTTCCCTCTTGTTTCTTAGGCGGGTAGCACGAGACCTCTACATGTGCAGGATCTCTCGCGTCGGCAGAAGAGGCAGAGTTCATACAGACAGACCATGTGCCATCCGCACCGCGTATTTTGCATCGTTCCGGTAAACATTCCATGAAGAAGTCGCACAGCCCACATCCTCCCGGTACCAGGCGGGTACGGTACTTTCCGCTAATCAGATCAGTATTTCCAGTTTTCTTCGCCTCGGTAACGCCAAACAAACGCCCAATCTGAAAGTTCTGGCAATTTTCGCAAATTGAGCTCAGAGTGACAGGTTTCATTGTCGCAACTGGAAGACCTCGTCTTTTTGGTATGTTTCGAAGGTAACATATGATGTGTTCTCGGAAAAGAATGGGTTGCGACCTGCTAGCATTCGTGGATTGTGGGCCGAGCGCTATCTGCGATAATCTCGCTCTTTTCGGAGGGAAAGCCGCTTCTGTAGCTAAGAGAACAATGAATAAGAAGATGCGGTCGGGGTGAGTGCATGTTGTAAAACTGTAGTCGTTTGTAAGGTCTTACGTAGAAGGCTACGTCGCTGTTGCCTGTTGTTTCGCGTAGGGCTGAAGAGTTTCACCTGTAGGAAGTCACCCACGTGCCCTTCCTTGTCATCATCTGCATCATCAGGGAACGGCGAAAACATCAACCAGCGACATGCCCTTAACAATTTGTGCAAGAGAGAATGCAACAAGGTAATTGATTAATATGCGACGCTAATGCGCTATGAATATCTGAACGACTCTCCCCTACTAATACTCCTTTGCTAACTTACTCCTCGCGCGGAGCAGATGCCCGTACTTGAACATGACGAACGGAATCAAACTCAACACCGTTCCGAACATCGCAAGGATTAAACCCGCATACTGGCTTCCTACGTTGTGGAAGAAAGCGCTCGCGAAAAGTGGCGTAACAGCACCAAGCGTGTTCCTCATCAATCCCTGACCAGCGATAGCCGAGGAAGACGTCTCGCCATAACAATCGGCAGTGTAGGAGTAAGTGCTCTCGAAAACGAAGAAGATACCGAATGCGATGGGCGCGAGACCGATGACGGGGCCAACCCAGCTCAGGTATCCGTATTGCGTGAAGGAGTAGATGAAGAGACCGATAGGCAGCCAGACAGCGCCGAACATGGCGCCATAGAGACGGTGTTCGGGAACGATGCGGACGTTGGGATCTTCTTGGAGTTGGTTGTACTTGCGCATCTGGAGGTGGTGGGCAGCCCAGCCGAGGAAAGTACCGATGGCAAGAGAGATGTAAGGCAGACCACTGACACCTTCAGACCAACCACGCTTCTCGGTGAAAGTAATTGGAATGACCGAAAGGAACAGGAAGACGACGGCCCAGCAGAAGGCGATCCAGAGACCGAAGGCAAAGACGACGGGTTCTGTGACAAGCATGCGGATGGCCTTGACGGACGAAGCCTTCAGCATGGACTTGACATCGGGGGTGTAAATGTCGTCTTCCGCAACGTATCGCTCATCGCCAGTTGCCTTTTGCAGCTGCTTGGCTCGCTTGTGTAGTCTGGCACCGCCGCGTGTCTCGGGAAAGGCGACGAAGATGAGGATCAGGAGAGGAATGTTGGCGAGACCCTGGATACCTTCAACCCATCGCCATCCGAGCGATTGGTCGATGAACCCGGCGTAGATGGGTGCAGCGACAGTACCGAAGATAGCGACGAAAGCGAACATGGCCATGGGTCGACCACGCTTGTGGGGTTCGTACATGTCGTCGAAAGTACCACCGACGAGGATGGTACCGACACAACCGAAGAGACCAAGCAGTAGACGGAGGCCGATGATGGTGGATATGTTCTGTGCGAGCGCGAGACCGATGAAGATGAGCGAGAAGCAGAGAAAGGCACTGGCGTATACGATCTTACGGCCTACAAGCTCGCAGAAGGGAGCCAGTACCATGGGAGCGATGGCACACGAAATGTTGAAGGTGAACAGTCCAAGCTGACCGTAAATTGTGTCGACACCGAACTCCTCGCACATCCTGTTGATGCCCGAACTATATGCCGTTGTCGCGAGACCGATGAACAGAGTCATCAAGTTCAGCATCGTGGTGATACTGCGCTTGTACCAGGGGTTCCAGTTGAACGGGTTCTCTTTGTCACCAGTGGCAAAGCTGAGTACGATGTAGTCCTTGCCCTCATGGTGGACCATCTCGGTCAATGTAAGAGGCATGTCGCAGTCGACCTTCTTGATCTCACCACAACCAGGATCGATGTCCTCGATATCGTCGGTAAGATGCTTGCCGCCCGCGATCCTTCCAACAATGAGCTCGCCCTTCTCGTTGCGCAATACTTCCGAGTTCATGGAAGGGGCTTCTTCTTTGCCGTTGGCTTCCTCCTCTAGTTTGCTGTTCACTCTCGAGAGCAACGCGGGTGTCGTAGCACCTGTGTTGGCCGCGGTGTTGGCTGCTGTTTGTGCTGCAGTCGTGCCGGCGATTGTAGCGGCAATGGAACCATTGCGAGGGGTGATGATCGAACCATTGCGAGGTGTGACGGGTGCACTGCGAGCTACTCTGTATGATGAATTTGCTCTCGAGGCAGCAAGAGATGGAGGTCGCGAAGACTTGTGGTTGAAGGAGGGACCGTAGTACCCAGACATGTTGATCGAAGATTAAAGTGGGGGTTCCTATTTGGAAAACAAAGGAATGGGCGCGGAGTGACGACCGTAATCAGAGAGAGGAATGGGATTTGGGAGCCGGAAAGCAGATATGTATATCCTGCTCCTCAAGACCGGCGAGGGACGGCATCGTCGCCACTAGGGGCGGTGTGTGGGATGGCATTCATCCCGTCCATGGCCTGACCGTAAACACCCGACAGGCTGGCACGAGGGACGATGTGCCATTACAAAGGGGTATCCCAGGTTTATCAGCTTTGACGTCATAGTATGAGTGCACAAATGCCCAATAGATTCACTTAGTGTCATTACGAAGCGTGGACGGACGAGAAAAATCTGCTATCTCTAACGTGTACGGACACTATGTGCTCTAGCGTTCCAGGACTGTGAGAAGAGTTTGGTGTTGAGGCTCTGCGGGACTCCACTTAGTGGGCGGTCCGGTCGGCAGGATCACGGCATGACGTCGCGCGTGGATGGCCTATGCCAAAATTTGCATATGTTTCGGAGAGGCCTAGATTGTAGCCTATCTTCGTCAGCCGTGCATGTCCGAGCACGCGTGTAACGGGCGTTCAGGTGGTCTGATCCAGATGTTCTTCGCGTATGACTTCAGTCGCATCGATGATCGTAGAGTGACCTCCACCGTGTGCCTCACGATTTTACGATAGCAACGCTCGGTTGGCTCAGTCACTCCTGCATAATATGGCAAATATACGGGGCTGTCGCATAATACATTCGTACCTCACACATATGCCTAATCCACCTTGGGGCAATACCGACCTCTCCGATGACAGCGCGAACCATCTTGTGTACGGTCTGTCCGTCCTCGAGTATGTGCACTGGCGATTATAGCGCCATCTGAAGTAACGTTGTTGAACCGATGGATGTGAGATGGATGTGAGCCGAAGCGACGATAGAAGCTTTCCTTCTCGAATCCAAGGTGGCACGTGGGAGAGTGGTGAGTTTGCATCTGCACGGACTAGACTTCTACGAGCCGAAGATTACCCACGACTTGTTCAGCGCGAGCACCTCACAAATCGAGCAGACTGAACCCGTGTTCTGGCAGTCTACATTGTTGTCAAAACTGAAATCAAAGAAATCTCGAGGCATTATAGACATCTAGATAAAGTCGCCCCTATTAGTCTCTGTAGGTGTGTATATCATTCATTGGTGAAATGTGGTGCAAGTGACGAAACAAGGTATTATGACTACAACACTCTGGGTGCAAAAAACGGTGCAGTTGTCAGTATGATGACACCAATGTAGATCCATATAGTCGGCGCAGTGTCCATGCCTGCTGCAACGGTACCGCTGCATACCCCAGGAATGCGACGAACCTACAGGATTAGCGAGTTGACTAAGACGATGGGCACGACGCGTGGTAAGAGAGCACAAGCCTTAGAGGATAAATCCGATGACGTGCCCAGATCATCGACGTATTCATCACAGCTTGTAGGCGCGCAAAGAACGAGGTGGTTGTTTTGTCATGATCGTGCCATTGTTTTGTATGATTCCCTGATGAACCCCTGGTCGTTATGAGACCAGCATCCGAATGCTGCGATGAGCCTTTTATCGGATTATGGCTGCCGATGCAGAGAAAACTCTCGAAGAACTCCACCCAATGCTCATTGTTCCCTTAAACCTCAGCAATCTCTCGGAGACGACGGATCGTTGACCTAGTGGCGGCAGCAGCGGGAGTTCTGTGGGTAGCGGTTAGCTTTGTCCTGTTCTGTATCGATACGGCCAGTCTTTGCGCATCGACATATGGGTGCGGTGGTGTGCGGGGAGTCTTACGAGACGGTGTAGGCTCCTCCAGCGGTGGTCTTGCGGCAAGACCTGCAGTTCCAGATACCGACGGCCTCACGCTTGACAGAGTTCTTTCCGCAGAATTGGCAGACGTAGCGGGCGTGTTGTGTGATCTATTGTAGGTGAGTGACTTGTTCTACTGAGGTTGTACAGGTCGTGTGGGATTGCGCACCTCCATCTTCTTGACCCTAGATATTGTCAGTATAGCTGTCCCTGGCTCTGCGATTGCGGCGAGGGAGTACTTACTGCTTACGGAGCGAGGCACCGTAACGGGTACCGTACTTTCCGGTGATGCCGACCTTCTTTGTGCGCTTCGTCATTTTGGCGGTTGTGATGAGTTGACGAGAGTGGGAGCGTCTGGGTGTCGAATTCGATGACCTTCAAGTTGTGTGGGGCGCCAAAAATCGCTAAGCAGAGCCTTGGCGTGGTGCGGCGCCGGAACAACCCCGCCTCCGGTGCGCCGTGAGTCCTGAGATACCAAGACACAGCATCGCATTCGTTTCTCAAAGTACTGTATAATCGTCGCCGGCTTCCAATCAAGCTTTTCGTAGTGTTAGCATCGCGCGGATGCGATAAATGTATCCCACACCCAAGTGTCGCTGTCGCACCGTGCACAGTTGAGTACTCTCCCTAATGCTAGCCCACTTCCAAACTGTTCCTACAAGTAGGATAAGGATTGGTTCCTCTCATACTGGATGCTGCAAGTGTACGAGAATTTGGAAGTCTGGGAGTAGTTCCCGTGGAGTCTCTGCGTTGGTACACGCGTTTTGAAGACCCGAAGGGCTCGGCAGTGACACCTGAGTTTCGCAACAATATCTCAGGCACAGTACCGTCTCGTCTACTTGTCGCAACCCAGAGGCAACCAAGGGTACGCCGCCGATGCGCAAATCTTAGTAAAGCCGATCGTTTGTCAGAAGCGCCCGGCTGCCTGATTGCCGAAACGACATGAAACCAAAACAGCTGACAAGCACAGCCGGGCGCCAACAAACCACCTAAAATGGTATGATTGTGCGCTTATCGTCTGGAGATCAAGCAATATTGAACTGCCAAGGTCTATTTTCACCGACATCTGCCGGACACAACGGCCTTCCGGGGTTTGGGGCGCAGTGGACTGTGTGGGGAGGACAACGCGGCGTAAACTTCGCCCTAGGTTCACAGAGTATGCAGAAATTATGGAGGGTGTATATATCCTGGGGCTCCAATGTGCTTTAGAAGGGAGTAAAACACCATCGACAGCGCGCCAGACCTGAACCCTTTCCGCCTAGCATCTTCTCAAATCTACACACCATGGCTATTCGCTTTCTCAAGCATGCAACATTCATTGCTGCCTTCGCGGCATTCGTCGCAGCGCAAGACGACACAATTATACCCGAAGATCTTCGATCTGGCTTCCGTTCAGGTGGAGACGAGGTACAGGTCTCTTTCACAGGCGAAGCAATCAATGGCTTCAAGGACGGAACAGTGTTCGAGAAAGATGGTGAGTCGTTCAGCTCAACATAGAATACAAAAACTCACATCGTTTAGCTGTAGCAAAGGAGCCCACGTTCGCTCTTGGTGATAGCAGTGGCATCTCCCCTGGCACGCTGTACACAATCATCATGGTGGATAGCACATGTCCAAACGCTCGGAAACTCCACTACGCTCGGGCGAACTTCAAGAACAACTTCGACATCACCAACATCGAAACCGATTCACCTGCTCTTCTGGATTACGTTGCTCCTGGCTCCGTCGGCGAGAAAGGAGATGACCGACAGTACAGTTTCCTCATGTACACGAACCCGGGACGGAAAGAGATCACAGATCTGCAATTGCCAGGAGACGACGAGGCCTTTGATATCACGAAATTCCAAGATGACAATGGTTTAGGGGACGCGATGGCTGGAGTAGGAATGGTTGTGAAGCTTGGTGGTCAGGCAGATTGTGCAGGTGACAGCGCAGAAGCGTTACCTAGTAGCCTACCAACACCGAGACCAGCGAGTAGCACGACGGCCAGAGTGTCTACTGCTACTGGTGGGTCAGATGCGGCTGCGAGTGCTACACCCACGGATGATGCGAACGTGCCTGGAAACGCGGACTCCCCTTCTTCAGCTGCGACCCCTACCCCTACATCAGCAGCATCAGGTAGCCCAGTGAACTCGGTCGTCCCGTCGAGCGGCATTCCTGCATCTTCAGCCGCAGAACCGCCGGCTACTGTGTCAACAATTGTTTTGTCAAGTGCGGAGGGAACAGGCTCTCCAACGGCAGCTGCTACTGCGCCAGAGCAGACTACGAATGCTGCCCCGGAAAAAATGTATTGGCCACGATGGGCTGTGGTCTCTTTGCTGTTGGTTTTCGGCAACGCGATTATCTCATGAAACGGAGTGTAATAAGTAATGCGATGGGGAAATGAACACTGGCTTTTTTTTGTTTGAGCGGAACTCTACTGCACATGTACAACAGTACCAACTTAAGCAACCTAATGTCCCTTCAAGCAAAGCCATACCTGCGATATCTACGCAGCACTTTTATGTACTAGATCTGGCGGCCTTACATCTACAGTAATTTTACAACCACTTCACCACATCTTGATCCTCCATTCACTCTTTGACAGCCTCAGCGTAACTCTTGTCTAACGAACCATTCTTCTTGATCAGCTCTCCAACGATGAACGGTATACAGTCTTGCGGACCGTAGTACTTCAGATCAAATTTATCCCATTCACCTGCGTCCCTCAAGAAGTCCGGCGTATGCCTCTGAAGCTCACACCCACCCATGAAGAATGGCCACCCAAGAATCGTATACACCAGTTGCATAAAGCGTGCAGAGACTCTACCTTCGGTCCTCCAGGGGTTCGCTACGTGTTCGCAGATCACCATGCGACCGCCAGGCTTGAGAAGGTTGTAGAGTCCCTTGATAGTTTGCTCTGGATGGGGAACGCCACAAAGCACGCGAGTGCAGCAGATCTCATCGAACACACCATCGGACGCCAGCCCGCCTTTTCCACTAACATCCAGGATCCCGCTCTTGTGCAATGCTGGAATTAGACTCTCTGGCTCAGCGCCACAGACCATGGCATGGAACTTGCTACCAAACCCTCTCTTCTCCGCGTTCTTCAATAACCCTGGATGCAAGTCTTCGGCAGGCTCAGCCCCATACACAGCAGTAATGATATCCGGGTTAAAACGTGAAAGCATCTCTCCGGATCCAGGGCCGATGTCAAGAATAACGCCTTTGCACTGGGCCAAAAGCGAGAATGTCGGGCCTGGCATTTCAGCAGACATTGCTTCGCCGTTGTTCTTCCAGAGGCGGGCGAAGGCCTTGAATCGGAGTTTGGTGACGTTGAAAAGTGAGAATGGGCGCCAGTCATAGAACACGACTTCAAACATGGTCATTACGAAGTCTATGTACGAGTCAGTATAGGTACTCTAGATGATAGCTGCAATGCTACTCACGATATGCTGCAATGAAAAGCAAAATGGACGGGCGAAGAAGCGTCGGAATGTGCTCGCTCAGCCATTGTGACGCCGTCATGATGTCTTTGAATCCTGTATATCTCAAAATTACGATTGTAGGATACTTCGGAAGCGGATCCGCGGTCGCAACGGCAATCAATCGATGAGGATGCAAGGGCAAGAGTGGAGGAAAGGAAACATAAAACAGAATCCAAAAAGGAACATTATCAGCTAAGCTCCATCTTCTAATGGAACGCTCGGGAACATATGCTAGTCAGGCATTATGGTAGTCGATGACATGATAGGTCAGTTGGTGGGTTCAAGATACGGACAGGGCGTGTGTGACGTCGACGCGCTAGTGGCAGGAACAACCGAGGCGGATCTGCATAATGCGCCTCGTGGGCTGTGACACCTGCTACCATTAACACATTGGCAGCTGTTAACACACACACACAATGGCTGAAGGAAAGAGAACGCAATTCGCTTTGGTCACGGGGTAAGTACTGCTACAAGTCGCGACAGTCGTAGGCTTAGCTCTTTCTAGCTCCAACTGACGCGAGCAGATGTACGCCCGGCGGCATTGGGCACTATCTCGCGCTGGAATTCGCCGAACGAGGTCAGTATAACACCATGTCTCCATGATTCTTGGTTACTAATCGGTGTATACAGGCTTCCAAGTTCTGGGAACCGTTCGCGATCCGTCCAAATACACCTCGCCGCACCCTAACATCACATATCTACCCCTCGAACTTCCCCACAAGGAATCCATACGCGCACTCCACCAGCGCGTCACTGAGATCACGAGTGGAAAACTTGACATACTATACAACAATGCCGGACGCAACTACGTTATACCAGCGCTGGACTACGACGAGGATGAGCTGCAGGAGCTTTTCCAAGTCAACGTCTTCTCTGTCATGGAGATGTGCAAGACCTTTACCCCTCTTGTAGTAGAAGCAAAGGGTACAATCGTACAAACTGGATCGTTAGCTGGTATCATGCCCTATGTTTGGGGTGCACCATACAATGCCTCTAAAGCTGCGCTGCACGCCTACTCCGACACCCTACGCGTCGAACTCGCTCCTCTGGGCGTACGCGTTATCAACGTCGTGACTGGCGGCGTCACATCGAACATCGCGCGAACGCACCGAACTCTGCCGCCGGGCTCCTACATGCAACCGCTTGCTACCGAGTACGAGCGAAGATTAAAACACAGTCAAGAGTTGGGCATGGATACCAAGCAATACGCAAGCAGTTGCGTGAGGCAGGTGCTTGCTGGAGACGGCATACTCTCCAAGACGAGATGGATATGGGAGGGCAAGATGAGCTGGGTCGTATGGTTCGCGTGGACATATCTACCGACTGCGGCGCTTGATCTTTACTTCACAAGGACGTTCAAGCTAAACAAGCTGAGAGGGACTGCTGGACCGGATAAAAAGACACGATAAGGAAACACGGTGGCCATGGGCGGCTACAAGCACTTGGACGATGCCGATCAGACCCACTTCTCGTGTGGCCTAATTCTTTATGGAACAGACCGGACATATGGTCTGGATATAATCAGTCTTACTCTTTGCCAACACACCGTATTCCATGCCCCGAAGACACAGATTCATTTGCTGATGGGCTATGTTGAGCAGAGTTAGCATGCGTCATGTATGCTGTAGCACAAACGAAGATATCTATCACTTTCTCGATGCACGATTCTAACGACTACACGTCGTCGCCCGGCAGAGTGCATGCATGTGTCAAGAGTCCCAGCCACGCAGTAATCTCCTGTTTGTTTGCTTGAAGACATTTCACCAACCTTCACACCCGCACATTGCAAACCTCTGCGTCTGTTCAACCACTGCGAGTAAGACGACAGCATGTCCACCGAGGCCATTGCAAGTCGTCCATAGCTTCCCGAACTTTCCAATGAAATCCTCACTCTTGTCTTCAATCAATTGTTTGACGACCACCGTGGGCAAGCTAGGCTGCATGAGCGTGATCGCAAATACAGCCTCTCGACGGCCTACGCAACTCTCTATTCTTTAGCACGCGCCTGTCGCACTCTGTCGCACTCTGTCCCACGTCGCAAGAGATACCCTCCGTCAGAAGTTCATCTGGGAGTTCCGCCACCCGTTTGGAACTCTCGCACAGGGAGCTCGGCCTGGGCCTTATCATGATACATATCCAGATTGCAGGCACATCGAGGTGTTGAGCGATGCTGAGATCGATGGAAGGCCACTTTACGAGGGAGCACCAAAAGAGGTGCTCGAGTCAGCCTTGGTGACCCGACGAGGCTGGCCAGATGATGTACGGCATATACTTGCGGAAGCACTCGAGGAACACCCCGCTCAGGTTGAGTTCGCATTGGTGGTTGCCAGATCACCCAATCTACGAGAGTTCATCATGGACGCCCTTCATGTGGAATCGCGCTTTGGCGCGTTCCTAGGCGATGCCCCCCATATAGCTTTATCCTGTCATCCAGGTTACGCAAAGCAGTCTAATCAACGGAGTCAATAATTCATCCTACGACGAGATCCGGACTATCGGTATAAATATGCAGGATGGATCTTACTCCAGTTCAATTGTGGCATGCCACTTTGCTTTACCGAGTCTTCGAACACTTCGGCTGAGTGTGAAAATTGGTATGTGGATGATGGACAAAGGAGAAGATTGGCCAATTCAGAAGAGGTTCTCATCGGTCTCCAGCGCGATTTCCTTGCAAACAAATGGTCTACACCTCAAGAAGGTCCATGTAGCATACTCAGACAAAACAATGAGCGCTCCTCCGTTGCCCTTCAGTTTCTGGGACATCGAGGACTTGTATGCCGCACACGGAGTCAAGTTTGACTATTACATATTGATCATCACCAAGCTAGGAGGTACTCAAGCCCTCATTTTAGCCCTTCATCTCCAGTCCCTCATCTTCAATCCTTCATCTTCAGCCATAACTCCAGCCATAACTCCAGCTACTATTGGCAAACGCTTGTACTTTAACATGAACTGCCTTACATCAACATATGTTACTGCCTTATTTACGTATCGCTGACATTGCTACACAGAATATGCTTACATCAACGATATGGCTTCAGTGCTCAAGAGATACGGGCCAAAGGCAGTCGAAGTGGCTCATCACTTCTACTTTCATCCAACCCAACTCGTGCAGAAAGTACTATCTGAACTAGGCTATCCTGAAGATTGGATAAGCAGCGAGGAAGGACGGAAGTATATGTTTGCGTCGTGAACTATTTATAAGGTTGGCATCACTAGCAAGACCCTGGTTCTTCGATTTTCTACATCCTGCTGCGTAAGACCGATGCTTGTTGGGGTGGACAAAAGCTTAAGTTCTGCTTGTTGAACGGGACCATCGCACCGAGCCGGAGGTCTCCGTTCTGTAACGTAGCATCGTATGCCTGAAGATCTCCCGTGTCAGAGATATTCTTGGGTGAAGCAACGACCTATATCTCCGTTTCTTCCTTTCAATACACCAAGACTCAAACTATGACGTCGCAACTACTACATCCACACTCCATCTCACTAACGGAATCTCGCTCCGAAAAGCAATCCCACCCGCAAGCGAAAACCCTCATCGCAGCCCAACCCCACGCAGCGCCACAATGCCCTCAGGTACATGACACTTGTACCTCCACCATCGCCTTCCTGTTTCGCATCGACGATGAAAGGCGCACCGCATGTGATGATATACATATACATGTTCTAGGGCGTTTCCATGCATCGCACTGTCCCCACCCAATCGTAGCCGCGCAATCTAACATATATTGCGAGTATACTCCAATAGCGCCATTTTCGCGGATCAGGTACATATATCAGCCGGTTGTTATTACCACGTGAGGGAATGCGCACTTGGCGATCGGACGGTATGAACTATGTGGGGCCAAGACTACCGTGCGCCGTGTATGTGGTAGTAGGTGGGCTGTAGCAGAGTGGGTAGTACTTGCGAGGATGGTGGGTGCGATAGCGGGATCTAGAACATAGGGCGCTATGGTGAACCGGCTATGTGGTAGGTGGTCGGAATCGTTATCTAAGATTGTATTACACCGAGATATGGGATTTCGTTTTGCTGACTGTGTTCTTGGATTGCTTTGGTGTCACATGTCAAATTGGTCGCTGTGAGAGCTGGAGTTGATGCGATGATGTTGCATGTTTTGCTATTATACTTGCACTATTACCAACATGAAAGTAAAGCCAGAAATGCCCTTTGTCTACCCAATGCACCTCTAAGAGAAAGTTCAAAACTCCATCCGCAAGATGCGCAATGCCGCTATGTTCCTTAACATCTCGTACCTCATATCCCTGTACTCTGTTGAACCAGCCGCTCCCACTCCAACTTTGATATCGAGCCGAAACTTTAAAAGTCCCAAAGTGTACCGAAAGCATGCATACCCTCCTTGGCGCACCCCTGCATCATCTCATCGTTGCCTTGGCTGTTACTCGTGATGAAGATGACCTCAGCGCCGAATCTCTTCCATGTATCTCTCAACAACTCCATTGTGTCCGGGCGGCCGCCGCGCTTCTTGCTGTCCCAGAGGATCATGCGCTCAGGCTCAATGTGCTTGTGGATGAGGCCTGTGACGGTGGGGCCAAATGTGCGTTCTTGGTCGGAGCCGATCCAGATGAGGAACCAGTTGGGAGATTGGATGCAGGTTGAGAGTGCGGCGCCGATACCTGTACCAGTACAGATACGAATACCGCGCTTGAACATTGCAGAGGCGTGGCCGACGCCGGCTGGGATCATGTTAGTCAATGTAGCTTGTGACGAAGGAGGGAGGATAATACCGAACTTGAGCTGCCGTGTCCATACAGTCTTCGGTGGGTTGGCGACAAGGTTCTTCGTGAAGTCCCCTTGAACACCGCAGATCATGTAGTGATGGGTAGCATTGCGTCCCTCGCTGATGATGCCGAAAGCGTGGTACTCCATGATGGACGTGCGGCTGATTCGTCCTAGAAGACCTTGCTGCATGCCGCGCTCGAACTTGAGGACAGCGACTTTTGGTGAGGGGATCTCGACTTCGACTGGCACCTCTCTGAGGGTGACCCATGGGATGAGAATGCTAAGCTTGGTCAGTACGAGAAACTGGTTGAAGTGTGGGCATCCTTACAATACTGTCATGAAGACAGCGAACCAAAGCTCTTGCGCACTGAGTAAGCTGTGCGTGTCGGTCCTCCACTCGCCACGCTTGATGTCGTAGGTGTTACCCATGACCACGAAAACCCATGTCATCTAGCAGGCATTAGTATGAGTTCTCGGAAGAACGCAATCGGGATACATACTGCGAGGCCTAGCCATCCAACAAATCGGTGATGCTTCTCGAAAACATTGTGATAGGTGCTGACCAGGGCGTAAGCATGGTATCACAGAGTAACACGTCCATCGGAGCTACTCACTTGCGAACCCATGGGAAGGCGCTCAGGACCGAGATGATGATGAAAACGTTGGTGATGATACCGCTAGCGATTACAGCAGGGTGCTGTACGGCACGGTATCGGATGATGTCGACGCACTTGTAGATGAGCCAACTAAGGATTTATTAGTGCTGTTCGAATTGGCTGGAGAAGATATGCTTACGCAGCACCAGACAATGCGCATCCAGAATGTATTCCTCCGACGTGCTGTAGGACAGAGGTCGCAGCTAGCTTTACGCATACTGGTGCCCACTACAATAACTGGTCAGAAGGACTCGTGATGGAGACAGAAGAAGTACATACCCCTAGTCCATATATGGCGACCATGTATAAGAAGCGCATCCATAACTCGTTTCTGAACAAGATGGCGGAAAGTAGGTTTCCCAGTACCAAAGCACCGAGGTGTTCCTCTCCATATTTGAAGCGACCACACGCTGTCAAGACAATCCCGGTGAGGTTGAGTGAGACGACGAATGTGAAGAACTTCCTGTAGGTGTTGAACCAGAGGTCGAAAAGGATCCACCGACTGATCTTTGGCTTTTGAGGTTTGGCTCCTGCAGGTTTCTTCACGGTAGTGTCCAGTGCGGCAGCATCGGTAGGTTTCCGTCCCTTTGGCAGTGAGAGTGAGAGTTCCGGTACACTTGTACATGGTGTTATGCCTTGGTGAACAGGGGAAGCGGGCAGCAACGATGCAACAATATATGTCGGCCTCTTTGGCTCCATATACACAAAGCCAGGTGCAGTCAACTCCAACGTACTATCGTACATGCCCTTTTCTGCATCATCGAGCGAATCATCGCTACGATGGCTAGTAAGAGGGCTCTTCGGTGTGAGTGACATATTGCTGGCACTAGGGGACGAGACCAGGGTCCAAGGAGATAGGCGGGAGGACGGTAAGGCAAGGACAACGGACAGGTGACGTTGGCCAAATTGGTAACAACGCAGGAGCGTTCGAGTGAACAAAGATTGGTAATGAGCACAGGCTAGACTGGGTGCTTTCAAGAAGTACTTATTGGGGAAGCAGCCATGAGGCGCACTGTCGTGTCATCTGGATCATCAAACCTTGCGGCGACACCATCCACAATTCATCTCTGGAGTATACGGTACCAATGTCCGTAAGCATTGCAGTCAGACGAGCCCGATGATGGCACATTGTCCCAGACCAGCTTCCGTCGATCCCGACCAGACAGCTCCCAAGCTGAACCAGTTGGCAGTCGGCGCCCCCGCTCCGTGCTCAGCTCGTGAGGGATTCCCCGTGGGGAGGACATGGAAACCCGGGACGGCCTATGTCGGTAGTTTCTGCTCAATGTTGGGTTAGGAAGACAACCCCACAGCCTCGATATCGATCCGGAGACTTCTCTCGGCCGTGACGACGTCGTCATAACGCATCCGATATTACGGTCGTACAGACATGTCGGCAGGCTAGGATCACGCGACGGAGGTGGAATATTGCAAAAATATACTAGGGGGTCAATGCGGTGGTTAGGTGTGACGGCTGGAAGTAACTTTTGGTGAAAAAGACAGGGATATAGAAAGCAGTAATAAGGCGGAAGCGCACGTTCCCGATTTCGGGAGCTCGTTCAACCGCGTCTAGTTGCATTAGCGAAAACGCGATAACGCGATAGTCAGCCATGCCGAGGCGCGCCCATCGCGAAGTCACTCAATCTAGCTAGTCTTGATTTCTAGTTCTTCACGTACAGATCGACGTACTCATCGATGTCCATGTTGTCGAGCGACTTGGTGTCCTGCGCTAATGCCACGAGCTTGTCAACGTGTTGCGACGGGTAGTGCGGGCCGAGATGCCTCTTGTACTTGGCAAGAATCTCAGGCTTTGCTTCCTCACGACGCAACCGATGGCCAAGCGGAGCCTCGACGACCTCCTCCTCCAGCACGGTTCCATCCTTGAGCGTTACGGTCAAGGCGTTGGAGATGGTGCGCTTCTCAGGGTCGTGGTAATCCTTGGTGAATTGCGGGTCCTCTACACAGCTAATGCGCTGGCGGAGAGACTCGACGAGTTCCGAAGTAGCAGCTTCGCTGTCATCTGGGTAGTCAGTGGCTTCAAGGCGGTTGAAGACAAACATGGTGGAGACCATGTACTACCATGATGTCAGCATAGGCGGCGAACCACGAAGGGTGAGACTTACTTGAACGCAGTGATCACGGTCAGCAAAGTTCTCCATAGGCTTGAACTGCTTATCGATGATACGAATGCAGGCCTCATGCGTTCGGTTCACTACACCCTCAATGTCTTTGGCGCTCTTGCCCATCGCTGCCAGCTTCTTGTTCAGCCGCTGCGCCGCTTCGACCGCAGTCTGTGAGTGGAACTCAGCTGGACCAAATTAGCAAATGGCTCACAAGTAGCATTGACCTGAAGGAGTCGTCTTACCCGGATAAGAGACCTTGAAGAGAACGTTCTCCATGACGTAGCTGCCATAGCCTCTCTGGAACTGGAAGGGCTTGCCGCCAAAGTTGACGTCGTAGAAACCCCACGTAGGAGCTGAGAGAACAGTAGGCAGACCCTGCTCGCCCTTCATAACCTTCAGCACGAGGTTAACGGCCGTCTGGCAAGCATCACCAGCAGCCCAGGATTTGCGCGACATGGTGTTGGGCGAGTGCCTGTAAGTACGCATAGACTGGCCATCGACAAACGCTTGCGAGATGGCATCCCGAGTCTGAGCCTCGCTGAGACCCATCATCTTGGACACGACAGCCGTCGAGGCTAGCTTGACCAGAATGACGTGGTCCAGGCCGACCTTGTTGAAGGAGTTCTCCAGGGCCATGCAGCCCTGGATTTCGTGTGCCCTGATCATTGCCTCGAGCACATCTCTGACCTTGAAGATCTTGCCATTGCCGAGATTGCCTCCAGCCTTGTTTGTGCGTGTAATCCAGTCGGCAGTTGCGAGGATCGCTCCCAGGTTGTCGGAGGGGTGGCCCCACTCGGCAGCTAGCCAGCAGTCGTTGAAGTCGAGCCATCGGATCATGGCACCAATGTTGAAGGCGCCGTTTATGGGGTCGAGCTGGTAGTTGGTACCGGGCACCTTGCAGCCGTTGGGGACGGTCGTGCCTTCCACAGTGGGACCGAGGATCTTCCTGCACTGCTCGAACTGCAGCCCCTCAAGACCGCAACCGAGCGTGTCAACGAACACCCAGCGGGCGGTGTCGAACTATATGAAGCTTGATTAGCCGTGATACTCGCTGAGAGACGAATTAACCTTACCGCAAGCTCGGAATCGATAGGGGTGTTGTGGATGTAGTTCGCCATGTCCTTGATCTCAGGATCATACTCGCGCTTGCTCAGCGTCTGAGGCATGGAGCTCTTGAGGGCTGTCATGGTGGAGAAGGAGGACGCGGCTGCTGTGCGCGAAGTGATTGGGTTCGAGGGAGCAGTTCGCAGGGCAATTGGCCTTATGGCTCTCGATACGACGCTGGACCGTGATCGGAGGTTTCGTGAAGCGGTGCTGCACAGGTTGCGACTGAAGGCCGACATGTTGATTAGCGTCTGCCGTGCCGGACGACGTCAATGCAGCTTTGAAGAAAAGGGACAGTCGTACTTCGCGCTTTTGAGGGAACTGTAGGTCTTTGAGGAAGTTCAGGACATGAACATGGCTCGGCTCGCAGAATTCGGGAGGATGGATAGACCGCCGTCAACCGAGGCAGTACATATCCGCCATCCGCACGGAAATGTCTTGCAGCGCCAGCGCGACAGGCTGCACGATGATTTTCTTTCACTGCACATGTCTTTGATGGTAATACTACGCTTTTATGGCTGCCGCCATGACCTCATCTTGTGTGCGACTGTCTGCCCGCAATCTCCCTTGACTTGCTACCCCGCATCATCCCGCACATGTGCGCGCCAGGTACGCTTCGGCTACGGTGGCTGGGTCCCGCTTCCACATGCCTGCAAAGCCGCAGAGCCTCCGAAAACTAGATGTTGAATCGTCTTTCTAAATCTCTAAACTCGTCGTCGATTTCCCGGTCAAGCGCTTCTTCCGATGCTCTTGCACTTTCCTCGAACGCCTCCTCTGCCCAACTAGCAATCTCATATTGCACATGCACCTGGGCGCTCAAGGGCCATAGATCCGACCTACCAGCCAACGCTCGGCCAGGACGCTTGGAGTCAACAGCATGTTCCCTATAGCCAACCAACATGCTCAATCTGCCCAGCCTCAGCATCCATCGCCTGACGTCTGCGAGTTGATATCCAATAACCAATAGCAGGGAGACTTCTAGGAGAATATCCTGCTCCCTTGGAAATGCACCACTGTGGTCGACACAATGCACGAAGGCATCGCCGTTACTGTACCGGAGAGTGAAGATGTAGTTCCAGCAACAGGGCGATGCAGAAACAACGGTGCAAAGCTTCTTGTACAGCAACTGCTCGTTTTGCACGCTGTAGTCGGCTGATAGATGCTGGGCGATGAGGACACAGTTCTTGATGCGGTATGCCATGAGCTGTGCTGGGCGGTCTCCAGGATAAAGCTGCGTTTCGCGGTACAATGCCGATGCGAGAAGAGCATCGCGCAAGGTGGGATCCAAGCTTGATCTCCTATGTATGTCATGTACCAGGAAATATCGGTATGGGATTTGGGACATACTTAGTTGCCGATGCAACACCCGCTGTATCTCGTTATCAAAGGCATCTAGTTTGAGAGTCAGCTCTTGAACGTGGTAGGCAATACATTCCTGTACTCACGACACACGAACCTCAGATCTAGCACTGTATGTAGGCCATCACATTGCAGCTCTTTGTGCTGCAAACAGGGGTCCACAAGGAATCCAATGACCTGACTCCACAGCTCTACCGGCAAAGCTTCGACACCATTGATACATGATTGTGGAATCTGTCTCAATCTCTCTTTCACCTCTTTCGCAAACCTCGCTTTTTCTCGTGCGCTCTCAATCAAGCGAATGATGTACATGGGGCAGGAGCTGATGGCGCAAAGACCAACCATGAACCCGTTGAAAATTGAGATCGGGATCTCGGGGCTGATACAATACCATTCTTGCAGAAAAATATACAAAGTCCTAGAACCCAAAGTTTTGCCATCAGGATACATTGCGGTAAAGAGAGTATGCTGGGTTCACCAACTCGCGGGGCGCGATCCACAGAGTTAACGAATCCTGGTGCCTGATTTCCCAGCCATCGACACGCGTCTGTGCTTGGCTATCCGTCGCTCCTTCCACAACCTCAATATGGAGAGACGGCAGCTCTTCGGTTAACATGCGAAAACATTTTCAATAGTCACTACTATGAACACTATCCTCCTCCTAAAGTCTCTCGTTCGAAAGCCACTAGATAACTTGACGCAAGAGCCCTCATCTACCCCAATACCTACATCACAACTCGCAGGCATCACCGCCCTCCCTACGGAACTCTGGAGTATCATCATCGATTACACAGTTACACAGCTCGTAAACGAAGACATACCTCCATTCGACGAGCTTACAAAAGCACTTGATCTGCGACTCGTGTGCCGTGAGTAACTGCTCTGCACGAAGACACTAACGCAGAACCGGGCCAACTAATATATATCTTAGGGACGTTCAACAAAGAAGTCCTACACGCTTTGAACACGAATATAACACTCGAACATTTCCCTCGTACATCATCTACCTACTTACTCCTTTGGTGGTCTCATACGCAGCGCAAATCTGGCCTCCATACCAACCTCTTCACCTCTGCGATTCTAAACACAGCCCATACTACCAGTCTCCCCATTGTCTCCCAGAAGCTAGCTACGCGTCTTCTGAATTGTCTCACAGTAGCCGACAGTCTATCCAGATTACATCATGCGCCATTCTATGAATACATCGGAAGCCTAGAAGAACCTCCGCTATGGGATTTCTATGCGGTGGATAAGCTGCGCCGGCTATGCCATGCAGCAGCATTGTCAGCCTGCTGTCAAGAGTACATGTGTTGGCCTGAACAATTTTACGCTAGATATGGGGAAGAGGAGAGACTAATGGCGGATGTGTGTCTAGAGGTTGCGCTGTTGGTGACTTGTGGATATGAAGTCAAGAGGATTAAGAACGTGATGATTCGGCTTGCGAAGGCAGGGGAACTAATAGGGCATGAGACGGTGTCCAAGCGGTGAAGACGACGAGTTTGAAGACGAAGAATATACTTTATCATTCTTGGTATCAACTATCATTTTCACACTAATCAGCCAAGCGGCTCTGCTCTTGAAATTGCTTGTGGCGCTCCTGCCACGTTACATCACCCGGGTACACGTTCTGATGGCCCTTCCCACATCCTCATATCTTATGACTGGGCGTCGCGGGTTTCTCGGCGTTTGGATGAGGTTGTGATTGGCCTGGCTTGTCGATTTGTCGCTACTTCTGAGTTCTATACGTTTACCAATCATCTTTGTCGGATTCATCGTCTGTAAACACGTCAGTATACTGCTAATCCAGCAAATATGATTGTACTTACCACTGTGACTAACTTTTGACTTTCTTGCCGCAAGAGCACTAGCCAGTGCTCCAGCCAAGCCAGCATCTCCAGGTGTAGCCGCGCCACTGGCTCCTCCAGAGGCGCCTCCAGCAGGTTCCGCACCAGGAACTGCGGCTCCACTGCGATCCTTCTTTTCTGAATCCGAAACCTTTTTCAACCTCGCTCCTCCTCGAATATCCGCTAGCAAGCCGTCTCGTCCTGGCGCTGGTTTGGGCAGAGGTGCGCCGCCGCTCGGTGGGGGAGGGGGGCCAGGTGGAGGAGGTGCCACAGCGCTTCGTGAAGGCATTGGCGGCGGCGGAGGAGGTACAGAGCCAGGAGGCATTGGCGGTGGCGGTGGTGCGCCTGTGCTTGGCATAGGTGGTGGAGGGGGTGCTGAGCTGTTGGGCATCGGTGGAGGAGGAGGAATCGATCGTCCCGGCATGGGCGGCGGCGGAGGTGGTGTCGGCGCTACATTGCTTGTTGGGGGTAGAGGCGGCGGGACTGGTGCCGCGCTCGAAGGGGGTGCTGGTGTAGGTCGAGATGAAGATGGCGGTAGCGGAGGAGGCGGCGGTATGTTGTGGACCGGGGGTGGTGTCGGGGCTGCCGAGGTCTTGGGTGGAAGTGGAGGAGGCGCAGATGGCGTGTCTCTTGCGGGAGGCGGTGGAGGAACTGGCCCTCGGCTTGGGGGTGGTGGAGGTGGGCCAGACGGTACGCGGTTGCCTGTGAAGGGCGGAGGTACACCGAACTTGCCTCCCACTGGCCTCTCTTCGTCGGGTACGGGTGTCTTGGGTGGGCGTGGCGGCGGTGGAGGACCTGGGTTGGCGGCGTTGGATGAGGCTCGCGCCCTGCCTGGTGGTGCAGGAGGTAGATTCGCGAACTTTCCTGCTTCTGCAAGTGGAGGAGGCGCTCTGAAGACTGGTTTGGGCGGTCCTGGAGACGGTGAAGCTTCGCGCGGTGGTGATGGCGGCGCAGGGCTTCCTGAAGAGTTGCGGTTGAGGGCTGCGTCCGTCCTTGTCCTTCGCGCTGGCGGAGGTGCGGGCGGAGGACCTCGTTTGGAACCGCCTGTGTTCTGAGGGCTGAGAGATGCGGCCATGGGAGGCGCACTCGGTGGTGGAGGCGGAGGCGCTCTGGATTTGCGCTGGTTGTTCTCATCCTTGAGCTTCTCCTCTTGCTTCCGCTGCTCAATGTATAGCTTGATGAAATCGGCGTTTTCTTCGATCTGGTCTTCGGTGATGCCCATTGCCAGCAGTTCCTTCAACAGCGGCTTCCATGATGGGTCGGTGGTGTCGATGGCGGAGTTGCGAGCGCTGGTAGCGTTGGAGTGGGTGCTCTGCACAGGCGATGTGACGTTGGTGGGTGGAATGATGGACGCTGGCGGCGGGCCGGGTGAGGAAGGATGGCGGTGTCCGGTGAGCCTTCCCAGCAGGCCGTGGCCATGGCCTCCGCTCTTGCCGTTGGCTGTAGGCGCGCTGGTGCCTGCGGATGCGCTGAAGGGTTTGTTCTTGGTGTTCTTGTGGGCGTTCTTTTCGCGGTCGTCGAGCTTCTTCTTGAATGTCTTGGCTTCCTTCTCGTCGGCAAAAGACAGGCCGGCCAGACAGTCCTCGAGCTCAAAGGTGTGGAAGAAGACGCGGTCCTGGTTGTACGAGAAGGTGTCGTAGATCTCCTGGTCCCATATGACACCGCGACTTTGGGGCTGCATCCGTCAGTCGTGCATTCTGTGCTATGGCGTCCCTCGCACCTACCGATATGTCCACCATCTTGAGCCAGAAGGTGTTGCCGACCAGGTCGTTTGCCAGCACGACGGCGCCCTGCAGGCCCGTGTAGGTCCATCGGTGCCGGTCGGGGTAGGCGATGTACAACTTGGCGACGGCGACGGTGTGGATCTTGTTGGCCGACTTGGGCACGGTGCGCTTCACCGTCTGCTTGTCCTCGTCGGAGAGAATCGAAGGCATTGCGGCGTGCTTCGCGACCTCGAGCGAGGAGTTGGTCGAGGTTTGGGCGTGCTCGAGTGCTCAGCCGTTGGGCTTGGGCGTGGCTGGTGGGGCGTGCTCCTCACTCCACTATTAGGCAGCACATGGGAAGAGTCGCAGTCCGCTTGGTAAGCCAGTCGAGGCTGCGTGCGGATGGCGAGGTGAATGTCGAGGTGCCGCGTGGAGATTGCCACGGTGTTGGTAAGAAGAATGGCGGTGCTGGTGAAGGGGAGACGTCACTTGCGGCTAACCACCCGACTGGGCGGACAAGGGAGAAACCCATCCAACGCTTTCTGCCCCGTCAGGTTTGCCGACCCACAGCACACCATATCCGTAATCCACACAACTACTTCGGATGATCACGAGATTCCAACATCGTCCTGCTCTTGGAAATGTGACATTGACCCAGCATTTCAGCCATTGCACTCACTGAAAGCGTCGCGACCTTCTCACGCGACATTGCGTCCGCGAGGCCAATGTGGGACTAGTATCCTGTCAAGATGACGACTTCTCAAGTTCCTTCATGCCTCCGCTTCATGCATATGCATATATCTGTATGAGAAGACATGCACGCACCCAGAGTTCATGGCCTCTAGCGTCAAGTGTCTTTGTAATACTCGGATCCAGCGCCGCTGACGCCGACTTCCGACTACAAGGCCTCCAACGAACGATGACACCTTGACAGCTTGGCATCATCCCAGCTGATTCAGGCAACACCACCCGTGACATGGAAAACTGTAGATTGCATCGTTATACCTTTCTCCTTAGTTGATATATTCGCAGTCATGGACGACTTGTTCGATGGCTACATGGTACTGGATGGCATCGGAGACTTTCTTGGGGACAGCGTTCTTGCCAAAGATCCCAAAGCACCTGACGATGTTCCGCAAACAATACACGATGCGGGAGTATCGAAGCAACCCATACGATCAAAAGAAAACAACGTGAATGGGTCTGACCAATCGTATGCTTCTTACGCAATGCACAGAACTATGCCTAACTCACACCTAGCAGCACCACCGTATCTAGCGGCAACACACCCGCACCGGCAGGATTACGACAGCGACGCGGTCACACTAAAAGCCGTCTGGGCTGCATACCGTGCAAGCGACGCAAGATTAAGGTACTGCATCTATTTCCCGGTGCCTCATCATATCGCTAAACTATGTTAGTGTCCAGAGACATGGCCTTCATGCGCGAACTGCGACAAGCGCGGACGTAAGTGTGGCGTCGTGAATTATCATCAGAACCTCACCAACTCTTGTAGTGGTTTGCAGATACCCCGATGTATTCAAGCATGCACGACGTGACTACATCGAGTCAGAAGCGTCAAGTCCTCGTCAACTCGTTAAGCTCTCGGACACACCTACTATCTACAGCTCAGAAGACATGCAGCTGTTTCATCACTATCTCATCTCAGCACGTCCTTGGATCCCGCATGATTGGGAGGAACTCTGGGTCAAAGATGTCCCAGCCGCATGTCATCAAGTAAGTGTAACCTCATGTTCACGGTGCAAAAGGCCTGATACTGACTGCTCAGTACCCGTACCTCATGGATGCTATGCTTGCTTTGGCAGGATCTCATCTTGCCGTTCAAGTTGAAAATCCACAGACTGCTCTTGCACTGCAGCATCGACAAAAAGCAATCGTCGGCCTAGAGGATGCCTTCGCTAGTTGGCCTCCAACAGCCGAGGAATCGCATATCATGTTAGCAACCTCTTACCTCCTGTGCTTTCAGTCGAGCTACATAGAAGATGGCTTTCTTGAACACTTTCTGTCTCTACGAGGGTGTTCATTTCTTTCTCAGCTTATCATAGGCCAGGGCTTCCGCAGCCCTTTCTCCACGCAAAAAGGTCTGAGCACGATAGCCATGGACACATCATTTCGTAACTGTCCAGATATGGATCAGGAACTTCTACATGAGCCTCTACTGTCTTTGAGAGAATTTTCCGGTGTACTGACTGGAACTGGTGAGCACTCCATCGAGAAGGCCATTGTTGGCAAGCTCGTCGAAACGCTTCGATTTCTGCTGCATTCGGATATGCAGGACGAAAATGACGGAATTCCAACAACGGATCACACAGAAGCCAGCACTATGTCGCAAGCAGCTTTCAGATCTAGCTCACAATTACATCTGTTTCCCTTCGCCAACCCAATTTTACCAGCAGATCTCAGGATGGTGTTTGACGAGATCGACTGGGAAAACATTACAGATGCGCCACCAGGCGCTCCGGACTCCGATCGGTCCTTTGTCTCTATCTTGGCCATCCTCACTATCTTCTCTACCTGGCCACATGAGGCACTTATGCACATCTTCGATCCTACAAATCAGATCGGCAACGTCGTCTTAGCGCATTTCTGCGCCGTACGGTTTCTTCTGTCGACACTATCGGCGCCAAAGAATGCGTTGAAATCGCCTATCAGGGCGACTGTCCAATGGAATGCCCGGATCATAGCAGCTGTAGACGCCGATGCGAGTGGACAATGGGTGAAGTATGTGGAATGGCCGAGGAAGATATTGCAGTGTATGGAGGCTTGTGTTGAGAAACACAAAGGCTTTACCATGGAGGACGTGCGCAATATGCTCTTACGCGATCCCGGAGCGTTCAAAGAAGGAAGAGCACGAAGATACTGATTGTCGAAACATCAAGGCTGGGCAAACCAGCTACGCTTTGGCCGCGGATCTTGGTTCATTTCCCTGTCAATTCTACTCTGTGTACACTGGGAACGATATATACCCCCCTCTTATTTCTCGATACATATCCAACCAAGATGCCGAGTTCATCAGTGAAACTTGCGATTCAGCAGTACCATGTAGCCGCTATGTGGTATGTGCGTACTTGTCACTCACCTAATATTAATACGACTAGACCGCAAAGAACCCGCATACGGTTGTGTGCCCCAGTGAAGGACAAAGTATGCGGTCAGTCTCTGTTGGCTAGTTTCTGTTGTGTCGCCGCTCTCACCTCTTTCAACCGCGACCGAAAAGTACCCCCACTCTCGTTCTCCTACGCAAAGCGAAAGCCCCCAACGGCTACCAGAAACAGCAACGCCCACTATCTTCGCCATGCTGGAAGCTCTTGTGATGTCTGTCCTGAGGCTTCTGGCTCGCATCCTGCTACTATGCCTCGACTTCTGGACTTTCATCACCAATTTACCTGCGAGATGCACACGCCTTGTGCTAGACCTTCTTGCTTTCGAACCAAACGCCTGGGTCGGCTCGTCGTTTGCGCTTGCCTTATTCATCGCGTTTCGCACATGGTACCAAATGGTGAAAGAAACCGAGAAGCTCCTCGAACTCAGAGCTGAGCTCGAGGCTGAGCTCGAATGTAACGTCGCGCGCAGAACAATCAGATGTACGAATTTATTTACCTATCTTCGACAAGTCACTGATGTTTTACAGTCAATCGGGTGCGCGCAGGTACTTACGCCGAAGGAACTGTCGTGCAGGGTATCCACATCATTGCAGCGCACAAGTGGGACATGGTGATCTGTGGAATGGAGATTGCAAGTGGATGCCGTGATGGACATTATTGGGCTCGCGTACGTGGAGCGGATGAGTGGATCAAGTTCGGAAGCCAGCTCGTCATCAACGGTAACGACATCACTGAAGAGGTAGTGAAGTCAGGTGGTTACGTAGATCTTCAGTGGGCAGAGACAGAGACACCACCAGAGTAGAAACGGGATGTAGCGAGGTTACCACATGTACACAGGGCACTTGACGACTATCCAGTCGTCAGCCCAACTCTATTCAAACAAACCGGTTCCACAACCCTAGCCTTATCATCACATTTACATCTACACCCCAACTCCTTTCTCCCATCCCCATAACTATCCTCGTACCTGGGTATCTTGACCCCTCTTGCCTTTTCTTCCTCAGTACTGGCAAATGTACAAACCTGCAACCCATCGTGAACATATCCCCAATCACTAAAATGATGCAGTTCCTGCGGCTGTAGCAACATCGCCGCGGCCAGCGAATGCACAGGCGCATCACCCCACCTCTCGTAATAAAACCCGCCATCGCGGTCCAGATAGTCAAAGACAGCACGATAAGCATCCCCGCGGAAGAAATCCATATCCGCAATCTCAAAATTTGACCAGAAATGACACATGTTCCACAAATCGCCGCGCTCGTCCCTATTACGCAGCGCAGCTAGCATGCGACGAAAGGGCCATGGCATCCAGCTTGCGTCGATCATGGCGGTCCAGAGCGTGGAAGTGGGGATCGAGTATTCGTTCTTGAAGAGGGAGAGTTTGCGGAAGAGGGAGGGGACGGTTTGACCGCGCTCCCAGAGGGCGGTTGTGTAGCCGTAGCGTTTTTTGTGGCGGGCCATTTCGACGAAGGGGTCGTAGGTTATGGCGCACGTGAAGGATATGCTGGGTTCGACGCGCCAGTAGTATTTGTACGGGAGGAGGGCGGGGTGATCGTAGAAGAAGCTGTGGGGTTGCTGTCAGTGTTGTGTGCTAAGTATGTGTGTGAGAGAGGGTTGGGGTGGACGATGCGACGTACCCAGATTGAAAGCGGCACATGTGGTGGTAGCTCTCTTGTCCTCCGTATTGTATACCCCGGCTTTTCATATCCTGCATGCTCTTCTTCGCGCGGTCTTGATCGATCCATTCGGGATATCCCCACATCTCCTTGGGTATAACTTCGAACTTGACGTCTGCGCCTTCTCCGACTGCCTTGCCCACCTTCCGCTTAAAGTCTTCAGTCCATTCTTCGTCGTTAAGGAATACCCAGGGATACCCAAAGTTGTCGTTGAATTGCTCCTGAACGCTTCGCACGCTCGAGACTGCACCCTTGACTTCCGAGTTGCGCGCGAGCATCATGAAGACGGCGGATTCGCGCGCAGTTGTGTTTAGGACGGGATCCTGACATCCTGTGTAGAAGGGCGCATCGAGGGGCGGCGACGGGCGAGGGACATCGTAGTTGCGTCTGTGGACGTATGCTTCGATAAACAATAACGAAACAATAACCGAAATCAACTTCCAGTGCAAGCGCGCTGCGCGCGAAAATGAGCGTAACGGATTGCTCCCTGGTCGCGTAAGAAGTTTGGGCATAGCGACGAACCCATGATGTTCAACAGGAAGTGGAGAGAGGACACAGAGCGAAAATGCGAGGACGCCCAGCCCATTCCTTCTTCACGGGTGGCTGCATGATGGCCATCATAGTTGCTGCGCCCGTCCCCTAAGTCCGAATAGGGCCTAATTGTCCGCCTGAACAGGGCCGTTCTAGCCGTTTGATGCATCCCCGGACCCGGTGGGCGTCAGCAAATGGCTGTTAAAGGAGCAAATACACACTAGGATCTCCCCTTCCCCTAGGGCGAGACGTGAACAAGAGGCATACTTGGAGATCGATAAACGATGGCAACCGGATGTCCTGCATAACGTCGAGGTTCTGCTCAGTACGGTACAGTGATGGCAGTACCAACTCAACAGCCAAGAGAGTGGATAGCTGCAGGGCAGCCTAGCCATGCCAGGTTAGCTCAGGGCTGTCAGGGGCCTAAACTCGAAAGAGGCATGCATGTGTTTACATACAAATGGCGATTGAGACAGCGTTCTTGAATACGTGTAATTGGCTGTAATGCTCTAGAGAAGTTTGGGAATAATGCGGCCTTCTGGGCTTGCGCGAAGTGTTGTAGCTGCTTGCGACTATGCTTCGCCTCGTGCCACCATATCTATAGGTACATGTCTAAGATCAATGGACACGGCAACACGGACATTGAGCTGTAGAATGCATCGAAGGTTCGTTCGGTCACCACATTTGTAAAGCCACGTCTTTGTGGCATCTGGAAGAACACAAAGTAGTAGGCTGCTCGACACGCAATGGAAACAGACAACGTGAGTTCAAGATAGAAGCATCATCAACATCACCCAGCAAGGAGACTTGTCAATCCACCGTGCGATTTTCGTCTTAATCACAAAGAAGAGAAGAACACGAAGCAGGTGTTGCAAATTACTCGAAGGGGCAAAGCATACATACGGAAGCTGAACAGGGTATCGGGTCGTGCAACAGCGATCCACAATGACGTACAACAGGCGGTGGTTCGCAGCAATACGCAGCAATCCAAAGTGTCACAAACGACACGAGATGGGTATGGTATACGAATCAAACTGAGACACGAGCAAAACAAGACGTGGGTATCCCCAAAAGCAAAACATCCTGCAAAAGGCAACCGAAACGCCATTAGCCGTGAGGCTTTCCAATTTCTCAGGTATCCCCCAGTGTTTTCCATGCCGCGAGGCTTTCCATTCTTAGTAGGTATAGTGTGTGTGCGTCCTTGGGGACGAGGTATGTCTGTTCGTAGTGGTAAAGGAGTGTAGGTAGGTCGGTGGGTGTAAGGTAGCTTGCGGTACTGGGAGGTGCCGGTCCAGCGCACTGGAATGCGTTCATATCCGGCGGTCTAGACGGTCGACGCGCGACTTGAAGCCCTTGACGATCTCTCCAATGCGACGGACTTTGTCGAATTCCACTTGAAGCTCGTCGATTTCGCGGAGGATGGCACGGAAGCGGGCGATTTCAGCGTCGGCCATTTGCATGGCGTTGCCAGCGCGGTCGTACTGTATTTGGGTTGCTGTTTGTGTCTGCTGGGTGAGCTGGCCATTGTCAGTACTACATCATGCAAAACCAAGGCACATCGAGGCTAAGAACATGCAAACTCACATACTGCCAGCGCTGCTGGATGGAGTACATCAAACGGTCAAAGTGGGCGCTGAGCGCCTGCAAACTAGAAGGATCCAGGAGGAGACGGCCTTGGCTGGAGGCGTGAGAGGCAGCGCGCGAGGAATTGGAGCCTTGCTGCGAGGCGGCGATTTGCTGCTGGAGATATCTGCTCTCGCTCGAGTTGAGGCCCAGGTCAGACACTGGGATGGCGGACATGTGCACATAATTATCTTAAGAACATGGTCGATCGGGAAGTCTGCGCCCTGGCTTCCGCGTGTGCGACGGCTGGAGAGGATGCGGGTGGAGCAATTGTTACTAGTGGGCTACGACTGCTGGGAAACGTTGCAGCAGGCCTGCGTGGAGGAGGAAGGGGAGATATGCACGCTGATGTGGTTTGGGACGAAAGGGCGAGTGAGATGCGCCAAGCGGCCAGTCCGGCCTCCCAAACCCTCTCACCAAAAAGCAAAGGCCTGCGAACGCCCATCTATCCCACACCCTCATCTCCTCTTAGCCGGCTGCAGCCCTATGTACTGCCGTCCTCATGCGCCCGTACGCAGCCGCCCTGAGCTGTCGCCCAAGCTGCACATGCTGACATCCGCGACGCAGCGCGTATCGCACCGGGCGAGCAGGCGGTCGGCGATTTCACCCACTGCAACATGATGCTGAACCACGACTGCTTGCTTTTGCGCCCGTACGACCACAGCGCTGTGCCGCACTCGAACTTGTCACGCCCATCAAAGCGCGGGATAGTGTCTCCGCACCCACACCCTCTCCACAATCAGCGACAAGGATGCATTGATTGTGCCGCGAGGTTCATGGGTGAATGTTGACCCCACCAGCTCGCATCAGGAGGGGTAGGGTACTCCTGGCAGGCCGTGGGCGAACCAGATGCAGAAGGTGACAATGGTATGAGAGCGTGACGACCATGTGCCGCTGGAGGAGCACTCCAAGTATCAAGCCTCTATGTTCCTACTGCCCGTGGTATGGCACGCGGTGCTTCGCCATGGCGTTGGTGGATGTCGTCTTGCCGAGGCTTAATGCATGCCAGGCAATGCTAGCACAATGTCTCCTGAACGCGTACATTCCGTGTCAGACTTTTGTGCAAACTCTCTGAAGCCCATGTATCAAAGTTAAATCTTCATTGAGACACGAGTTGGCAGATCTTTGGATTATTCTAGATTCAATCCTAGCAGCGACTGATACATCGCCGATCATCGTACAGATACAGAGGTATAGAATGAAAAGAAATGAAAAGAAGAGAAAGGGGGTATATACACCAAGCCATCCAAACGCTATGCACAAACGAAGGTAAAGAAAAGCACACCCACATCTTATAAGGCGTAATTCTCGGCGTGGAGGAAAATCTCATCGCGCCCACTGTCACTCCACACACTCCTCTGGAGTTGCGCAATCGTCTCACTGACACTAACACGCATGGTGGGGGGTCCGCAAACAAACACACACGTTCTGCGCCCAAAGTTCTTGCTCAGTCCCTTGAGCAGATATGGTATATCTGGGCGTCCGTACTCTGTGCTCCAGCCATCCTTCTTCTTGACGGCCGCAGGCAGGAATGCGAAGCGCATGAGGTTCTTTTGGAACTCGGTGGGTGTCGACGGGAACCCGAAGTCAAAGCCCTGCCCTTCTGTAGGGTTGTGGAGTATGTCCGGATTAATCGCGCCGGATCCCGAAGAGACGGCTTGACTGATGTCGAGGGACAGGTTGCGTTCTTGACGTCGGGCAGCAAGGCCGCGTGGCGCAGGCGCTATAAGATCGGGGTTCGAGCTATGTGCTGATTCGGCAGAGTTTCGCCCGCTGTTGTAATTTGGATGTGGTGGAGCGAGGTGGCCCCGATTAATGGGGACCATGTGCGCTTGTGGGAGCGCTGTGATGCTGTCTTCGTTCTCGCGACGCAGTTCAGACTCCTTCTCTGGGTCTCCCTGCGCCTCGTCGCGGATAAGAGCCGAGTGTCGTTTTGAGGAAATACCGGAAACTCCGGAAAGGCGGTGGTCGGCGATGTTCTGGAAAGCGTCGTTGACCTTGTCGTGAAAGAACATCGATACAGGACGGGTAGGCGTCTTTGCGCTGACAAGTCCGCCGCTTGGGTTGCGCTTCGCGGCGGTAATGTAGAATTGGCACTCGACCGTTTCGGGAGGCGCATACTCGCGGCAGATGCGAAGTTCTTCTTTGAACCACTCCATGGTTTCGGGACGCTTGAGGGCCCAGATCACATGGATCTTGCGGGTAACAGCTTTGCCATCGCGCATCTTTTTGATAAGAGAGAGCAACTGCGAGACAATGGCGGTGATACCGCTGCCTCCAGCAATGAGTACGACGTCGTCGAATGCCTCGATACGCCTTTGCATGCCTCCATATGGACCATCGACAAAGGCACGGTATGTGTGCCATGGGCCGTGATCGAGAGCGTTCTGAAGGACCTTTCTCGTGAAGCCGCCGAATGGGCGGAAGACGAGGACCATGTCCCGGTAGCCTTCGCCGTACTCCGAAGGGAAGTCCTCGCTGCATAACGAAGCGATGGTGAAGGGGTGGTTTTCGAAAACCGAGATTCCAGGCATGCGGAGATAGACGTACTGTCCTGGTCTCCACCGCATCTTGGTTGGGATGGTGATTTTTATGGCGTTCTCTGGCATGAGTGTCACGGCGGCCTCATCGCCAATGAGCCAGGATAATTGGCCTGGGCGAGTCCAGTTCAGGTAGAACAGGCGCATGAAGTAGGAGAGGAGCCAGATCCCCAGAGTAGACAGTAAGTAGTGCCACGATGTGAGGTAGTTGTTGCAATGCCAGAACATCATTCCGAGGAACACAATGGCAACTGGTACGTGTAGAGCCACAAAGAGTTCGTACATTCGGTGGCGGAGGGGCGCAATAGAGTGCGTGCATAGGAAGCACAGTGGCACGAGTGCTGCAATACCTGAACACTGTCAGTACTTGCTCCGATTATAGAGAGGGTAGTCGTACCAGTCCCGTAGATGTACATCCCGCTCTGTTGCTGAAGCAGCTGTTGGAACGCTTGCTGCGCGCCCTTCTCCCAGACTGGCGTCACGTAGAAGGGAACAGTGTGCAAGATGCTTAGCAACAGGCAGATGTACGCCGCCCATCTGTGCAACACATTCAATCGCTCATGGCTAATGCCAGTGATCATTGAGATCAAATTGGCCTTGGTCGCAAGCGCAACGATCCATGGCATCAGTGCCACAGCCATCATGCCCGCGCGAACTGCCAATGGAGGCGAACCATAAGCGATGCTGTCCCAGAACAGCGGTTGCGGAAGGGTGCAGTATAAAACTCCCAGAACCAGAGCTAGGAACACAATCACAACGATGGCCAAAGATGGGAACACGATTGGCCTCCATCCCTTCTTGACCCTGATCTGTGGGATTGGCCGGTAGAAGATGAACCGGAAAAACGCCACCAGGTTGTTGATCGGCCCGACAGAAGAAACGCTGGATTGTTGTTTTGGCGCGCTGGGTAGCGGACCATCGCGAGGAAAGAACTTCATGGTGGACTTGTCAGTATCAAGTACCGACATTTCGTAATCTGTGTCGGGAGAGGATGTCGTCGAGGACTGTAATACCTCTTCTTGGTGTAGTGCTGTCCGGATCTTGTCCGTGAATAGATGATAGTATCGCATCAAGGCTGCGATGACAAGCAGAGGTATGCAAAAGTAGACATATGCGAGCGCATATTTACCACTTTTGCTCCATGGGTCCACGGTGTTGGCTTCTATGAGACCAGCTGGACTTGTGCTGTTGAAGGGTATGTTCACACGTCGAAGCAATGCCGAGACGGAATCGACAATCTCTCTTTCTGTGTGCGACACTACCACGCCCAGCTGCTCCATGGCCACACCCGTCCGCTCCACGAGAGCTTCCCGAAGGACCGGCATAATCGCGTTGTTGGGTTTGTTTTCGCAACAATTGGCGTGGTGATCGTGAAACACTTCTGCCAGCAGAAGCCGGAATACAGTGGGAATGCGTCCTAAGCCAACGGATATTGATTTGGGGTAGCAGAGGCTTAATGAACATCCGGGGGTCCGTTCCTACATGGGTACCGAAATGTAGGATTGACTGTGACAATGCGTGCAAGGTGCAGCGGAACCTGGATCCGGGGGTGCTGTCCTACGGTGGCGCAGAGGTTCCCGTGTAGCAAAGACTTATCCACCGCTTAATCCGACATACAATGCGATAAAGGCGATAAAGGATGTTCGGTATAGATGCAAACGGGTACGAACAAACAAAAGAACACGCAGCAGCGGAATGCGTATGTTCAGATGCCGTGCGCGAGCAGCAGTCCGGTTCCTTAAGTTCGATGCGCAAGTGGAGTGCGGGTGACTCGCAAGGGTAAGAGCCGTCGTATCGTGGCAGCAAATGGTAAATGATATTCAACCGCTCACCAAAACCCGCGCTATTGGGCCAAGGTGTGATAGCAAGTCAAACAGGGGTCCCTAAAAGAGAAATGACGGATCCAAAGCATCGTCACATTCGCGGGCTGCAGCAATACACATTAAATTATCGGAGGGCTGCTATCGCCTCACTGCGCACTGCGCATCATGCAGGATCAGCGCTGTGACTGGCGAGTGGCGGTCCGTCATGGAAGCGGACCGGCCTTGGTCATCCTCTTCGGGCGGGAGGCGCTCTCGGTTGCAGCGGACATCGCCATTCGATCTGTGCCCGTTTCTTACATGCTCTTCATCTCCAGAACGTCCTGGAGTTGCTGCACTGCATCCACGTCCCAACCCCCCTCCTTACCGAGTTACTATCTGATGTGAGACAACTCGTCATCCTGGGACCATAGCATAACCCGTTCAACAACTTAGTGTCATAGCGTGTTAGTATAGGTACCAAGACGCACCTCGCAACCGTATCACAGACTTCAGGGTTCCCGCCCCTCGGTAGCTCAGGTCCATATGGTGGACCTGAATGGACTGGCCTTTCGTTCGCATGACCACGAATTGGGCGAATTGGGCGACTGAAGCTCCGAAGGCCAGCAGTCCTGCTGGAGAGACTTGCAGCGAATGCATGGGCAAAAGCAGGCCGGTGGAGCGGGGTGCATTGGTGTTGCGAAGCTTTGACTGGATATCGATCGAGGTTTTAAGCGCTGACGATCCGAAACGAGACTAGCTCAAGGTCAAGCTTTTGATGGGCCCACTGGGGTCACCGAGCTCGGTCCTCGTTGGTTGGAACGATTCATCCGACACTTCACACCACGAAGGACACTACAGCACGAGCGTTGAAGCTCGGTAGATCGCTGGGAAAGCTCATGGAAAGAGTCGGTCAAGTCCTCAAGGGTTTGATCGCACGGCGTGGGTCGGTCCACCCTTCTTCCCGTTCCATCTCTAGGCAGGAGTGGGTCCTCTCTATCGCGAGGTTCTGCCACGACTCGGTTCTGATCTCAGATTCGCCAAAAGACAAGATGCAGTCACAGTCCGGCATCTGTAAGGTCCACCCTGCCTTGAAAAGAGATTGTCACCGTGATACAGTCATACCTTCAGACTCAGTCTCTTTCCCCTGCATGACCCTCGGAGCGCTCAGGCGTACCAGAACAGGCCAGTCGTACATCTCTGTAAGCAAACATGCAAACACAGACTCCATCAACCTGCAAAACTTAGGCGCCCGAAGACCACCTTGCCGGCCGCCCCGCATGTTGACGTACATGGACGATGCGTAACCGCCAGCCCTACAACCCTCAGCTTACCCAATGCGATCAGATTAGTGTGAGAACCGATAATGCAAATTGCCGGATCTTCAGGTACCGCTATGCTTTCAGATTGTCTACGCGCTCAACTACGTGCAGTGGGGTTGGTGGCTGCAACTCTAATCGAACGTGTCAAGTTGCCACGATGTAGCAAGCCCGACGTCTCAGATGGCGTGCACGCTGAGCGCTTGGATGATGTCGTGGGCGTCTCGATGGGCCTGTTGGCGCTTCAAGCGTCTTCGAGAAGCGTGACGATGTAGATCTTGCTCGGTACATGTTGACGTGCAGCAGACAATGTGGGCTCGGCCGAACCGAGCGCGTGTCCTCAACTGAGTACAGTGTTATCTTCTTGAAGCGCCCAAGTAAGATGATGTCAGTTATTGATTGAGAAGGTATCGAACTGCCAACAGCCGGCAATGTCGGATGCTATCCCACTAAGAGCACCATACGAGCACGCGCTGCATCGTGCTACAGGCCCCAGCTATGCCTCCCTTACGCACCTTGAGTAGTCTCACAGACTGAACGTCAATAACTGTTCTGATTTAGAACTCGCACCCCGCATGCACATCGGTGTCGCTTGAGCGCGGCAATTTATCCTATCTTACATGCAGGACATGTTTCGAAACATCCGCCCAATCGTAAGGCTGCATCGGAGCGAGCGAACTTGGTCTAACAGCGCTGCGCATGCATACTCATATATTCCCACTCGCCTGGGTTTTTGTCACGTATTAAACTTTTCGGACACTGCTCGTTGATCTATGATGGGCTGCTTCGCTTGGTCGGGCCATGTCGTGCTGTGTCAACGCGAGCATCGCAAGCACAGCGATCTAATTATGGAACGAAATCATTTTCCTCTGATGCGCCTGTGCCAGCAGCACATAATTAGGATACTCCAAGCAGCTGAGAACAATCTTCAGCCTGGTAGCAAGGGTGGCAAGAGTTGATAGTATCTTCACCTTATAGAAGGAAAAGGCTGAACAGGTCTGCAGCCTACATCAAGATGAAACCATGCAAATTCGGTCGCCTGACGTTCATGTAGGTTCTACGAATTTCTTTCTTTTCTTCCTTGTACGAGGTTTCTTGCTTCTGCATATCCAGAAAGAAGGAACGACGCACAGGTGCAAAGTTTTCTTCCCGTCCTTTCTCCAGGCCCCAGCAGCAGGATATGATTGTGGTGTACTTTGGTTGTTGAGATAAGATTTTACTGAGAACCATGGTTGCGATACACTGAAGCCAAGGCTTACATTCGACACGTGATTCTGCATATCCAGGTGGAGTTTGGAAATTCATCGTAGCACGGCGAAGCCGAGATGTGGGACGAATATGGAATGCACTATGATGATTGCCGAAGAGCTGACACTAGAATGAACATGGAACTTCTCTTGAGCTCTACAACTCGCTACAGTTATATCTCCGCATGCGTCGCAATGCCCCACTTCTCCAGCAGATTATGCCTGTGCCAGTAGCTTCGGTACTTCTTTCCCCAGAAGAAGAATACAGGGGTCGTGATAATCATGGCTCCAGCTAGACCTGCAAAGGTATAAAATACAACTGCTGGCCCGTCGCTGGCTGCCCAGTCATTGACAAAGTATGAGAAGGCATAAAACAAAAAGTTCTTGAACACCATGTTCATGATGAAGACTTCTGAGCTGATGTCGCGGAAGGAGTCCAAGACGTACGAAGACGCGGCGATGGCAGCTATGACAATGCCGAAAAGGTCCATACCGTGGAAGAAAGCTGTAAGATAGTATGATTTGCCTTCCTCTGCGAGAAAACCGAAGAGGCACAAGCCAATGACGATTGTTACAGATGGAATCATACCGAGTAGGCGATACTCCGGCTCGTACACACCCTTATTCTTCTTCGCGCACCACTTGATAAGTGGATCAAGTGTCGCACCGAGGAGAAGGGATCCCAGAAGACCACCAAGGAATGGGCCCAACGAGAGGTAACCCACACCAGCTGCGCTGAGCAAGTATGGAGGAGCCATGAAGATCTGGGCCATGACGTATGATTGCGCAACAAAGAAAGCGGTGAGCCCTCCGGTCAGTATGACCATCCACAGCACGGCCATGTTCGCGCAAACAGCAAAGGGGGCAATGACGAGTTGCAGAAGGTTATCGTTCGAGTACGTCCCGGTGAAAATAGCCAGTTCCTGTACAAAGGTCTTCTTTGGGCGCATAGCGGGCGGTGAGCTAGTTGCTGTCTCGATCTTCACCATGTCATCGCTTCCGGCTTTCTCGTCGTTCCCAGCATGTCTCTTTTCGATAGCAGCGAGATCGGCGAGGTTGTCGTTGGATAGCTCGTCGATATCGTAGCGATGGTCGCGATTGTAGTTGGTCTCCGGAACGAAGAAGAATAGCAAGACTACTTCGAGGGCCGTGAAAGGGATGAGCATGTGGAACAGATAGCGCCAACCGAGATTTGTCGCAATAGGTCCGACAATGATGGCAGAGAAGTTCGATGCGGCACCCAGAATGAACTGGATGAGTGTCATGAACCCGCCGCGCTGGTGGACGAAGAATAGATCACCGATCATGGCGACTACGAGAGACTCGAAAGCCGAGCTATTGAAAGTTAGCATTTGACACACAGTGAGAGGAATCATACGTACATGGAACCTCCTTGAATGATGCGCCCGGCTAAGAGACCCTCATAGCTGTATGCAGCACTGCCTATGACAGTCCCAAGCAGACCAAAGAGCGACGCTACCAGAAGCTGAGGGCGCTTCCCGTACTTCCTGGACAATGCACTAACGATGGGCCCAACACCTCCTGTCACCAGCAGCATGTATCCCGAGATGACTGTGATATCCCCGACGCTTTTTCCAAAGTCTGCTGCGATGACGACAAGTGCGGGCGACAGAAGAGGAGCCAGAACAGCAGCGTATAGCACGGATCCATACGCGACGATGACCATAATGGTCATCTTCTTGGTGTACGACCAGTTCAAGGGATCATTGGGGTCTTCGGAGCTATATCGTGTCAACTATGTTACGAGTGGAACGCGCCGAACGCTTCTTCCATAGGCACACATACGGTTGAGGTATCAAGATGACGTCTGCATCTCTACCGGTGCCACGCTTCAGCGTCGCAGCAGCCACCGTTCCTTCTGCAATAGGGAGAGTGCTCTGTTCCTCGCTGAGGACGACGGTTGCCGGCACATGAGCGAGGTGCTTGTCCTCGACGATACCGAGGAAACCCATCGTGACGGTTGTACCCGCACAGTACTGATGATAATCTCCGAAAAAAGAAGAGAAGGATGAAGCGAAAAGCAATGGAAGGATTCCGAGGAACAGTTCCAGGATGCAGCTGTCAACAACGTGGGACGGCGCGCGTTATGAACGATCGACGTCCCCCAAGTTTCGTCGACCTCCACGACCAGGGGTAGCGTGCGCCTTCTGGGGTTCAGTGTTCAAATTGTGGTCTCTGCGACCCCCGCACAACTCTCTCTCGTCTGAAGCCCCACAGGGGCCGGCATTTCATAGGCCTTTGCGTGCCAACATTGGGGAATGCCTTGTCGACAAACGCACGTCTAGGCTGGCCTTGCGTCTTATCTTGTCTGTAGGACGCATGGCCGAAACGGTGCATGCATATGCATCTCAGATGCGTTTAGCCTAATTGTGTCGTCATACAGAAATATTGGATGCCATCAATGGGAGTGTTCGAGGGTAACGGAGACGCGAAACTGCATCAAAGTTGCGCATTCTACAGGAAACTTTGGCCGTTGCGTCCTGCGAGGGCGGGAAGCAGCTGCCAATTTTGCGGAGAGCACGCTAGCTACCCCGCAAGCCCCACAGCTGAGACTTAGCGCGTGAATTGCCTTGCCGTGCGTGTCCGAGCTGCGCGTCGCGAATTTCGCAGTGGCGTCTTCTCCAACTCCTTTCTTCAGCTATCAAGATACCGTAGCCCTCACGCCAATCTGGAGTTCCGCCGTTCCCGTGGGGCGATGGTGATCGACTACACTGAGTGTTGCGGCCGACACCCACTGCGATCTTATCCCGGCAGACTTTACACGTTTGGAGGCCGAACCACGTCAGCAAGGTCCGCCAAACCCACATGGGCTTGCTCGTATGCCTTTGACTTTTGCTACCCGGCTTGGTCGCCTTTCCGCGAACCAGAACAGATGCATAGAAGCGTCCGCAAAGAACGCTCGATTCTCAACTAAGGTCCACGCCATGGCGCAAATTGCAGATTCGACGTCTTCCAGATGACCTCCATCCACAAAGATAGCAGGGTCGTTTGAGTAGGGATCTGAGATTGGGGTCCACATAGGGGCTCGCATGCGGTCATGAAGAGTACTCTTTCTAGTCATAATGGGTAAAAGCCTATGACATGAATGTATTGGAATTATCGACCTTCGTTCGTCGCGCTGCGATGGGTTGTGCATCTAATCGCGTGCAGGATATATCTCACGATTGCCGAATGGCGTTCAAGCAACGATACCCTCACTGGGTAAGAGCGGGTCCTCGAGAGGCATGAACCATGGAACGGTCTCAGTAATCTTCGAGCCCACAAGCATTTAATATTTGAACATACCAACGATTGTTTCCGCGTTCCTTCCTTCCTCACACCCTCAATCCAATTTCTACTCACCATTTGTCGACCTGACTCGAAGATCATGGATCCACCATCCTACACCCTATATCCAGCAGCCGCGGCAGCACCCGACAATATAAGGAGGGCACAACGCCTGTACCAATTCCTCTTCGAGAATATAGCCTTTGCGTATGGAGTCAGCCAGGAAGCACTTCTCGAAGCGCTTACTTCCGAACCTCAGTACCTACCACTCAGCGGAAGTTCGATGCCTGTCGTAGTATCTTCAACAACAGAGCAAGAACGTAAGGAGTACCTACCGCTCTGCGAACTCATCCGGATCTCCCGAAAACATGTTCGGAGCAACCAGTATAGTCTCATTACGGATTCGAACTATACCGAACTATACTACCAGCTCGTCCTTCCCTGCTAGACCCTAGGACTTTCTCCAGAGTACTCTGCTGCATGGCTCGCACCCTACAGCTATCATCAGTTCAACCCTACAAAACGTCTCGCAACTGACCTTTACGATGATTGCGCGCGCTTAAAGATATTCGGCTACACATTTCCGTTTCCTGTCGTGTGGTTCCGTGAAACATTGCGGAGGAAGCTTGTTGCTAGCGACCTCTTCGTCGAAGAAAACTCGCAGAACGAACAGACCCGGTTGCTTCTGGGCTCCGCCATAGCACGCTTTGGAGGCAAGCATCTGGGATACCGACAGAACCATCCGCAGAAACGGGTCTTGTGTTGTAAACTGGGGTTCCCGGAGCTAATGGGAGCTGTCGAGGGGTACAACCATGGGGGACAAGGGCTATTGATTGAGGACTCTTGTTTGTAGAAGGTCAAGGTCATACTGAGTAAGATGTGTACTACAGTTAATCCCTTGGTTTCGAAAATAACCATAGACGTCCCCCTTCCTACTTGTTTCCGATTGAGTCAAGTGCAGAGGCCGTTGTGATAGCGACTGCTATGTTTCAACACCGACAGCACCTTCTCGCGACAGCTGCATCTGTGACCTACGAGCTTTGTCGGGCTCAAGGCCATGTCTTCTCACCGATCCCGCAATCATGGTACGTAAAGTTTTGCGCACCCACGCTGCACATACTCTCCCCTTCTTCTGTGCCGAACCTTGCTGACTATTATTAGAGTACCAATATCAGTAAGAAACTCCGCAGACTTCTCCCATACCTCATGCGCACAAAAGCCACTCTTGACGTCCCGAGCGCGCACCAATATCGAACCTTATTCCTCCATCGAGCAAGGATGTGAAGGCGACATATACTTCACGATATCTGTCACGCATCGCAATTGATCACTACAGTCTTCAACAATGGCCTTTCGAATCCTTACGCATCGCGATCAACCACTATAGTCTTCAACGCTGGCTTTTGAAATCTTCACGCACTGATACATACTGGTATTTTAAAGATATGATAAGGTTGACATAGTTGTAGATTCGCTTTTAATTGGCGTGGCTTCGGGCCTGATCTCGGCCCTGCTCGTCCACTTTCCAGTATATTTTTATAGGCGATTTTTAGAAGAAGGGTGGTGGGGGTGGAGCGGGGCCTAGGGCTCCGCCGTGGGTTCAATGCCCATAAGTTCATGCCTTTCATTTTCTCTTTCATGTGCTTGGAAGTGCACTCGCCACGTCGCACACAATCAGCAGCTTGATCACGATCAACCAGACATCGGGGATACCACAAACGGACGTGGATATGCTAGCGGATCGGCTCCCTTGGATGGATCTGAACTTGGAGATATAGAAGGCGGATACGCCATGGGAGCAATGATCACTCGGAGCCTCTGTGTCTTCAGCACGACTAGCAGGATAGCCAGCTGTGCCACTAGGACTATTGGTTGAGTCTACGAGTTGTTCATTCATGGAACGGCTCGAACAAAGCCCGCTTGAGCAATCTCTTCGCTTGCTGCATTTCCGGCTTCGTGGATTGGCCAAGCTTCATCACTCCTTGCTCCTGGCATAGCTTCTAAAATACCTTCATCAAATCATCCTGGTTATCCAGCGCACACAAGTACTCTAAGCAATCGTTGTCTGGCCGTGGTCAACCAAGAGCACCCCGATCGCTGCAAAAGAATTCACATTCCTGCAATACTTCGAGCAGTTCTGAGCTCGAGTAGCTCTGAAGTGACGATACTCAAACGCGATATCATACTCAAGTCATGAGATTGCGGATGTTCACTTCTTGGGATTTTCTCCTACGTCTTCTTCAGCCGCGTAAAAGTACACAATGTCGCGAAGGTCGACAGGTTCCCCTATCAACTCGCCCACTTCAGTCAACAATAATCCTCGAAGATCTACGGACTCCCACATCAGCCCAACCACTGATCTCACAAGATACTCTGAAAGCATCCAGGCTCATGTGCCAGCTCGATACACCCAACTGGGAAATTGAGACCAAAGCGAGATATTCGACGATCAGGGTAGCCATTCGGCTTTCCCTGATGCTCGGTGTGTCATTGTGTTGACAGCCAACACGTCCCCTCACTGTCGCGAAGGGCGACAGGCTCATGCATTACGTCAAGCTTCTCTGTTGCAAGGACACCGTAGTCAGCAAGCCTACATGTAATCCGAAAGTTTCTTTGGTGCTTTTGGAAACAACTCACAGCCAACACTTGAGATAACGGATGAGAGGTGTCTTTCCGGTGAAGGTGCAACACATCGATGGCATGGGCAAGCTGCTCGAAACCGTCTTCGAGTAGCAGAAGCTTCCAGCGACGCACGTGATATCGCGACCGCACATAGTCCGTGCCTGTCGCGCCTTCCTCGCAATATTTGACCCCGCAAACAGAGCCTGATCTGCCAAGTCACCTCACAGAGAACGAAGACGGTGACTGCCGGTTGCCATCTCACCGGTGATGGCGCACCGAGGACGCGCTAAGCCCGCCGCCTATCACTGTGCGATATGTGAGCTATCCTTCTCCAGCAAAGCTGAGTTCAAACACCACACGGCCAACCACGACGATACTAGCACCACGAAGCTGGTGTGCGCCACCTGCGGCTGGTACTTCGACGACTCACACGCCCTCGAGCTCCATCAAATACAGAGCAGTCACGCGCCTTCCCAACCAGCGTTTACGAGCTCGACGGCCGCGCTTACCCCATCGATCGACGAAATGGCGGTTCACTGCGATCGTTGTCAGAAGCATTTCGTCACCCAGAAGCAATACAGTAACCATCGCAGCAACATGGCGAGTGGGTGCGCTGACTGGAAGCACACCACCACCACTACTACGAGGCCGCAGCCACCGACACCCACTGTAGTTGCCACGGGGTATGTTGACCTCGACAAGCCCAATGACGAGCCATCTGTAGTCCCCAACTATGATGATAGTGCATCATCGTCATCCAACTCTATTGACAGCGATATCGGCATCAAGTGCAAGGATTGCAAGCGCACCTTCCACTCCATGGGTCACTACAACAACCACATGCTAGGTTGCACTCCTGTATCGACGACCACACAAGTCCGCGAGGTGCTCCCGGGCACCGCATCAGGTAGCTCTCCACTCATCGTGAATCATATGAGGGCAGCAACTGCTCGTGTACGGACACCTCGAGCCCAAACTTCCTCTAATGTATCCTCCACGCCTACCAGCGACCCTGCTGCTTTTGTATGCAACTCCAACGGCTGCAATCGCTCTTTCAGGTCCGAAGCAGGCCTGAAACAACATAAACAGGATGCTCATGGTATTGGAGGTCAGGTATTGAACTTGGCAGGCCGCGATGCGTGGATGCTCAGCAACCGCGAGCGAGAACGAATGCGGCAAGAAGGTCTGCTTCAACAGACTCCTTCCTCTCGAGGTCGGGGCGGCCAAGGAGGTCGTCCAACCCCTCGTGGAGCACCTTCCGGTCCTCGGGCGACACCCCCTACAACAAGACAAAACATACCACAGCAGCAATTTGCCTTCGCCCGTCCAACGCTGCAGCAACCTCGCTTGCCAGCCCCACAACTACCTCATACGCCCACTAGCATCAACATGGGCGGTGTTGCGGACCTTGAGCAGGCCAAATCCATCCAGGCAAAGACCCAACGGTTGCTCATCCAATCAGACGTCTTCATTCTACACGATGGCAAAATCAACGTCTGCGACATCCTATGGACTCGGGTCGGTGTCGCCAAACAGCACGATGTCGTTACCATGCTTGACGGCATGTGCCATCTCCCAAAAATGCTGCAAGGCGAACACATACCTCCTCCAAAGGCCTTGAAAGAGGATTACAAGGCTCAGTATCTGTCAGGCGACTTCAAGCCCTCCCCCAAACGCAACATAGCCAAACCAGGTCTTGGCGCGGTCGCCATCGCATGCAGCAAGGTACTGCTAGGAGATGGCTGCCCAGAGGTTGTGAAGATTGCTGCTATCGACCTAGTTACCTCTCGCATCCTAATGAATCACCTCGTCTGCACGGATCCACGTGCGAAAGTCAAGGATTGGTACTCCTCAGTCACCGGATTGTTCAGCTGGGGTGATATGGAGGGAGCTCGCAAAGCCGGATACAAAATCTTTAAGGGCTGGGCGGCAGCCCGAGACGCGCTACACAGGTTCGTCGATAAAGAGACCATCATCGTTGGCTACAACCTGCGTTCGGACCTAGACGCTCTGCGTATGATTCACGGACGCGCTGTCGATATTGCCAAGGTCGTCGAAAAGGCTGCTCAAGGTCCACTCAGCAAGGCGCAGCTAGCACTGGATGGCTTGTGTCGCGATTATCCTGCCATCAATCTCAAGAGCGACCCAGAGTATGGCCGGGATAGTTTAATGAACGCTTTTGCGGTACGCGAGTTCGGTTTGTGGGCGATTAAGAACAGCGACAAGCTAGTATCAGTGGCTAGACAGAAGAGTCGGGAGTACCAGCTCGTCATGCCGAAAGCTGCTGTTGCAGGGGCTTGATGAGATACGCAGATTTTGAGAAAAGAACGATAGGATTACGACAACAAATGCAAGGAACTGAACCTATTTACTGATGATTGCTGTGATGTGACATATGCACTGCAGACTACATTAGTACAAAAAACGAACTCTGATAAGATCCGAAGGCGATGTAGACTCCTGGGTGATTTTCATGAAAATACCTACGACTTCTCGTTCTTTTCCTCTTGTTCCTTTTCCACAACATCAACCACAAACGCACCACCCAGCAAAATCGCCGGCTCCTCAATGCTATGATGCTCATAACTCAACGTCCCCACACCACCGGCCTCTAGAATCAAACTGGGATTCTCCTCCAACCTCTTCCCTACCCACCTTGCCGCAAAGCTCCTCAAAATATGTCCATGCGCCACAATAAGCACATCATTCGGCTTCCCATCCTTGCCAAACTTGCCTTTATGATACTTCTCCCGCAATTCCTTAATTAGCTTATCCAACCGCTCCGTCACATCTTCTGGACTCTCGCCGCCTTCGCACCCGTCTTTCCAGATGTCCCAGTTGGAGCCTAGGCCGCGTTTCTCGCGGTCCGCTTTTATTTCGGAAGTGACGCGGCCTTCGTAGTCGCCGTAGTCCCATTCTCGGACGGCTTCGGTTACTTCGATTGTGGCGTGTGTGCGGATGTCGGGGGTGTGGGGTTTTGAGGAGTCGTGCCAGGGGTAGCGTTCTTTGCAGCCTAGGTTGAGAAGCTCGAGGGTGCGTTGGGAGCGTGTGCGGGGGGAGACGTAGCTGTGTGGGTGTGGGAGGTTAGTGGTTGGGTCTTTTGGGTTTCTTGGTTCTATCGGGGGATTTCAATAAAGAGTTCAGAACGTACATGTGAGCTAGGTTGCTCGGTACGATCAATCTATCGTCGCCGACGAGCGCTTTGCCAGTTGCCTTTACTCGCTTCTCGCCGTTCTCTGTCAGTGGAATGTCCGAGACTCCTGTGTGGCGTCCGTTAAGTGACCATTCTGTTTCGCCGTGGCGGATTATAAAGACTCGTGGGTCAGGCATTGTATCCGTTCGTAGACTTGCTGTTGTAGCTGCTGGAAGAGGAAGATTGGAGTGACGAGACGCGACGCGAGGGAACTGGGTCAATTGAAAGTTCGGCGGTAAAAGCGCGTGCAGAAGATGAGGTCAGAACAAACGCTACAAATGTAAAGTCTAAGAAAAGCGTGAAATGATGTATGCAACCATCACGGCAGCTACCGGAGCTCAGTCCGTAGGTATGACGTTGACATGGGGAACTATTTAGCATGGTGGGGCGTGCAATGGACGTGTTGGAGCTACCCCACCATATCCGTTTCGCGCGCCCTGTCATGCTTCAACGTGCATAGTAAGCCTTGGTCATCACCTTGCTAGGTAACTTCAATGTAAGGTAGCTTTGATGATATGATTAGCGCATTCACTACCATAGAAGGAAAGAGAAAGCGGCGCGAAGGCAAGAGACAAGCGTGAGGCATCTTGGCTAAAAACATAGTGTAAACATAAGATTGCTAAGTCTGAAGATGCCTGGGCAGATATAGACCTGAAGACATGTGCGGTACTCCTACTTTAGACGCATATGAAAGCTGAACCATCTCATTACTCCGCCACAATGGCGTTGTCTGGCACGCACTGGAAATACCATTCTAGTAAAGATTAGTTTTGTAGCAGAGGAATACTGCATTAGTTTCCACATACCGTTCTGTTCCACGCATGTCGAACCCTTCTCGCAAACCGTGCAGCCGTCCCAAGGCTTGGTGTAATCCCAGCCTCCGCACTTGTAGTAAGCAGGCACAGGGCATCTCGTGCTGCTCGGGCCAGTCTCCTCAGTGGTGGTCTTTGTGGGCTTCTCGGTAGACTTTGTAGTAGTTTTGATAGTAGTCTAAGTAGATTAGTATGGATTCACGATGAAAGACTACAATGACTGACCTTTGTCGGAGTTGGCTCTGGCTTCTTGGTCGTAGTAGTTGATGGCTTCGTACTTGACTTGGGTGGTTCGGGCTTCTTTGAAGTGGTTGTAGGCGTTGGCTCGGGCTTCTTGCTTGACGTGGTCGGCTCGGGCTTCTTGGTTGTTGTTATTGTGACTTTGCTTGTCGTTGGCTGTGGGACACCCGATGTAGGTCGGCTGATGTTGTCGGTGCAACGACCTCCAATGCATGTAATGATGTACGTCTGGCGCGGCACGATGTCGACATGATTGTTTGCTTGCGCCTGTTGTTAAGTAAGTATGAGATACACTTGCAAGTATCGAGCTACATACCGCAAGGCATACTGCCGAGAGGCTTGTCAAAAGCGCAAGCGTGGTGAGCTGCATGGCGATTTGATAGTCAGACAATGATATATCTGTGAACGAAGATGCTGATCCAGCTTAGGGGTCTGAATCGATGGGACGGCGACAGCATCTTATACCCCGGAGCTTGTGCTACTAGTCGGTCCATGCCTAGGAAGTCAAAGACAGGCTCAATGTTAGCTTCGTGGCTACTGTTCTGGACACCCGCTGCTCCATCATGGACAAGCAGTCTAGCCAGGGCCGAGCTCAGATACGAGGCCATTCCAATCTGCTCTTGCATTCGCCTATATTGTGGCTAGCGAATTTGTGTGCCATTGTGACGGTACAGGCAATGTCAAGCATGGCGAAATCTCGTGCAGTCAGCCAAATACGACAAAGCACTCAGGAATGCATTTGGGGCCTTGGAAAGATAGAAGACGACGCCATCTGTTGATATTTCCATGCTTGTTATTGTGTATTGTAGAGTGCTTCTTGGACGGGCTACGCACGATACGCGGCTCCAGGGCCTTCGCCATGATTTTTTGCCCAAACGGCAAGTCGAAGCTCGCGTGCGTTCCGAGATGCTTCGCGACTGTTCTTGATGCTATTCTTATCCATGGCCACGCTTATAGACTAGGATGTGTTTTAGCCGCAAATTGATACCCAGTTGACCCATGTCAGAACACCAAACTCGCACTCACTCCAGAGCGATCATGATTCGATTCCCTCCTCCAAATGGCGAGAGGATAGATTGTTTGATACAAGCAGTGAGACTGGTAGCCGGAACACTTGACGGGAAACCCGCGCGACGCTTGAGACGATCGCAGGATTGTACCGTAATCCGGGTGCGGATAATTGAGATGCAGAAGAGTGGGCTTATTGCATGCTGAGCCAAACTTTGGGGTTGACACTGCTCGAGAAGGCTCTAGGCGAGTGATGGCAGTAGTGCGTTAAGAGGCACATGGGTAGAATGAACGGTAGTTAGTGTCCGTGGCCGGAGGGTAGTGCCTGATCATTCACCGCCTGCTCCGTTCTGTTGCTGAGTACCGTTTCCCAGAAGGTCTCCAACACCAATCCACTTCCTCACAAGGAAGGCGCCCTGTGGCCTCAGCTTCCTGTAGTATCCCTCTTCTCTCTCAAGTATCTCAAAGTTGCGCTTTTTGTACCATTCCATGCCTTCGTCATTGGCCTCCCACACATGTGCTGTGACACAGCGTACACTGTGAAGCTCAACGGCTTTCTTTACTATCGTTTGTAGAAGATGCATGGCGATGCCGTGCGAGCGGTAGGGAGCCAGGACGCCAATAGTGGAGATGTATAGGTTCGAGGAAGGAAGGATGCGACATCGGACGGCACCAACGAGATGTGGTTTCTCTGTGGATGATGCTGAGTCGGTATTCGTGGGCGACGAGTACCACACGGCTACGAGGGTAATGCCATGGTGTGGCTCCGTCATTGTTTCCTTGTAAAAGGTCTCTGGGTAGGAAATGGGTAGAGTGAGGGTATTCAGGCGCTTGAATGCCGGTAGCAAGTCTTCGGTCAGGGGTACAAGTTGGACGTTCGGCGGTAGAGGGCGTAGGTCGAAGAGCTTCGGGATGGCTGGTTGTTGAGTGGACAGGGAGATGGGCGAGGGTATGCGCGAGATAGCAGGCGTGACTGTTCGAGAAGGACGAGGGCTTTTCTTTGACCGCGGTCTTGAGGGAGCTTGGAGGAAGTCGTCGGGTATGTCGTTCCAGTTCTCCATGGCTGAGGGCGTAGGGGTCGGATTAGAGGGAACGCGCGTCGGCGCAGAGACAGACTTTGGGGGAGGCGGTGGCCGGTTCGTCTTAGATGATGCCATTGGAGGAGCATTTGAGGGCGGCGCAGGCTGTTTATCGAGGCTCGGCTTCTTCAGCCAGTTGTTCAAGGAGGACTGCATCGCGGCGGGAAGAGGGAGGCTGAATTGGCGGTGATGATGTCGTCGTAGGTCGTGGTCTGGACAATGATAACCAATGGATGGTCACGTGGAGAATAGCGAGTCGCTAAGTCGTATCCTCGCGATGCTTGGTGAATTGCCAAGTAATGGAAGCGCAATCTACAAACACAAACATGAGGGGAGACTTCTGGTGTTTCCCTGACGCGCCCTCGGATCGTTTGCAGGGATGCTTCCTAGCGTGCTTTCGTCGGCCAAGCCGTCAGCTCCGACTTCTTGCAGGAACAGCATCATCGCCCTAGAAATCCCCAGGAGCCACCATCGCAACCATGGGCGCCGAGAACTCAAAACCCTCGTCAGAGGTCAAGCAGCATGTCTTCTCCTCGTATGTCGCCTCTGCCTCAATCAATGGCTCCAGCCCCTCATAAGAGATGAATCAGCCAGTGACGTCGTGTGCTGATAATTTGCGCGCAGAGATCACCCTTACAGCTTTTCCAATGAACTTGTTGGGTCGCTGCAGAAGAACACTTTCGTACGTCTAAATCGCTCAAATGGGCGAATTAGGGCTAACGCACTTGTAGACAGACTCGGCGCGATCAAGACAGCAAGAACTCCAGTACCAGGAACGCCTAACCGCCGAGCTCGAGAAGCTGCGCGAGCAAGAAACCCAGAACTTCTCCAAGTTCAGTGAAACCCTCTCCAGCGAGACTCCACAGTCCGATGAACCCTCCCTAGTCGAGAAGATCCAGGATGCGACATCCAGCAGCTCAACCCTCGCCGAGAAGCAAAGACAAAAGGACATGAGCAGGGACAGTGTCACCAAGGAGATTGAGCAGCTGAAGGCGAAGCTCGAGCAGAGGAAGAAGTTGGAGCAGGCCGATGCCGATGTCACCAAGGCGAAGGAGGCTGTCGTCTCATGTCTGAGGACACACGACCGCCGTCCGCTGGATTGCTGGAAAGAGGTCGAGACCTTCAAACAGGAGGTCGGACGGCTGGAGAAGGAGTTTGTACAAAAGACCATCCGATGAGTCACGACGCGAAATCGTGACAGCAAGGTTTGGTACGGGCGCTTTTGTATAGTTGGGTTAGGTGGGATATAGCATCCTAGAGGGCATTTCTTATCTCTAAATTCCTACATTACTTCAACTTGCATCTCGCTGAACATACCCCTACTATGCTGCCTGCGTGGAACTGCGGGGCGGCCTTTACTACAGTACTCTTACGATTATAGCGCATGTCTCTTTCCACTCTCGGTTCCTCCAGTCACCACAACTATCTTTCTTTTTTGTCTCTTTGGAAGAAGTGATCACACGTTTTACACACATTCTTTCAGGACTGTGGCTACCAGTAGTCCGGCGTCACCTTCATTTGACAATGCTCCTCACCAAGTCTCACCTTCACCGCGCACTAGAACGCCTGAGCTCTCTAGGCTACCCACGCTATCTAGAAGAATAGCTGCTCCGCAGCCAGCTCTCCTTCCCCTTCGGGCGTCTGCAAGTTCACCTTCACCGTGAACATCTCAACGCTTGGGCCTCTTTGGTACCATAAAGATTATAGCGTCTGCCTCAGCTTCAACTGCTAACGCCAACACGACAACCTTTTAGTCGTCGCCCCAGCAACATCGTGCCCGCACCTTCGTTGCACTTCGCAATTGCAAAACTCCAATAAATCGTCAGCTGTCGTTGTTAAGGCACGCTACTGTCAGGTACATCGCGTGGACCATCGCGCCTTCCACTTCTCTTTCACGTCCGTTTTGCTGACAAGAAAGGACAGCGGCACCAGCATACAACATGTCGTCAACACGACCCTACATCGTATTCGACGAGGATGAAGAAAGGTGGAACGACGATGAGAGCGATATCGAGTTGCTTGACTATGGTGGGTCGCTACTTCCTCGTTCGACTGACTCCATTGACTGACATTCAATCTTCAGATTCCGATTCCGATCTTGAGATGATCGCGAGTAATTCTTGTGAGGCGTCTGCTACACCGCCCACTCCGAGCTCGAACGAGGGAAAGAGCCGCACGCGCAACCCTCCTCCAAGCAACGACATCTCTCTACCGCATGTTGCAATCCAGAGATACAGGATCAGCACAGGTTTCGTCATAAATCCGGGCGATACCGTAGAATTGAAAGACCGTTCGAACCATGATGAGGGTGCTATGCATTCGGGAGATTTTCTTCGCATCAAAACCATCATTATGAACATGGAGACGGATGAGGTGCGACTCCGAGGTTGGCGAATGCGACGCACTAAGTACCTTGGCCAGATCTTCGATTGTAAGTACGACAGAGACATGCTGGAGGACATATACTGACTTCCCTCAAGGGAAGATGAACGAGTTGGGCATGGTCCTCCGTCTCAACGAAGATGATCGTAGCCCACCTTTCGTCGCGGGCATGGAAGACGTTGAAATCGAAGAGATTCACCGAGTGCGCGAGTGTACGCTGACTAACAAACCCTATCCGTTCCTCAGTTTCCGATCTGACGGCTGTGCTGCATGGCCGCCTGGTATGACTAAGGACGACGTCAAGAAGCAAATATTCCACGGCGGTAGACTTACTTGCCGTGTTGTCAACATTCTCTACATGAGTGGAACCAAATCAAAGCCATACGGTGGTATTGTTCGTCATCTATATACCCACGAGGCGGATGCAACTGCGACGCCAGCTCCTACTCAAGATTCCGGTCTTTCTCGCGAGACGTCGATAGCGATAGAAGATACTGAAGAGCCTGGCTACGTTGTCGTGAGCAAGGAGCCTTCCGCGAAGAAGCGGCGTGTACGCGATGACTCTCCCGACTTCGAGATCCTGGATCATGAGCCATCAAAGCGGAAGACTCGTTATCCTTCGAAGCAGGGCCGTCTAATATTCGGCGATGTATTCTGCGGAGCTGGAGGTGCAAGTCAAGGCGCTGCCCAAGCCGGGTACTATGTTCAATGGGGTCTCGACAATGATGAACGCGCGCTTAGTGCATACCGCCTGAACCATCCTGGTGCGTACGCATGGAAAATGGATGCGCATGATTTTCCGCCAAACGGTATTAGCAAGGAGAACTGGAAAGTCGACGTACTCCACCTCTCGCCTCCTTGCTGTTACTGGAGCCCCGCACAGTAAGAGATTATTTTCATGATAGGATCATCTACTAATATTTGTTAGTACCCACGATGGACCTAAGGATCAAGAGAACTACGAAGCCATTTACACTGTTGGTCCAATCCTTAACAAGGTCAAACCGCGTGTCGCAACACTGGAGCAGACCTTTGGCCTCGCCACCCACGATCAGCACAAGAGGAACTTTCTCATGCTCTTGTACGATATTGGCAAAGCTGGCTACGATGTTCGCTACAAGATCCAGGATCTGAGCCATTACAGTCTTGTACAGAAGCGCAAGCGATTACTAATAATTGCTGCAAGGTTCGCCATCTAAGTTCTACATGCCCATAATACATACTAACATGTTTCAGACGGGGTACACCTCTACCTCCCTTCCCAAAACCCACACATGGCGCCCCAGGAAGTGGATTGAAACCCTTCGTGTACATCGATCAGGCCCTCAAGCATATCACCCGCCAGGGCAGGCGGGCTATGAACGACCCCTACCATCAGCCCAAACTGTTTCCCGTCCCTAAGTTAGCCTACGATCCGCGGACGTTCCTCCGAGGATGCATCACCACCGGTGGCACAACAGCTTGTCATCCGTCAGGAACACGTCACTTCACACCTCGGGAACTCTCCTTGTTCCAAAGTTTCCCATATGTGTATGAATTCACTGGTGCGAAGTTTGAGGCCACGAAGCAGATAGGCAATGCCTTCCCACCAATCATGGCCCAGACGATCTATCAGACCATTGCGAAAACCCTAGAAGCCTTCGAAAAGGGCCTTATCGGAGCGGAAGATGATCTTTCCGATCTTGATATTATTCTGGCACAGACCGGTGAGAGCGCTCCTCAACAGCGACGGCTCGACAGCTTCACCGGGAGCGCATCCCCTCACAGACCTTCCCGAAATACCAGCTCTAGGACGGCGAGGGCTACTGAGTCCCGAACTGTATCGCCTTCTACGCGCAACAGCACAGAGTCGACGCGATCACGACGCAGGCGTGCAAGCGGCTTTCCGTCTTTGAATCTTCTCGATGGTGTGCTAAATGGCATCAACAACTTCGCCAACAGGGACACCGCTTCAGTCAGCGGGAACACTAGGCGGCGTCGCGAGCCTAGTCTTCCAAACGAAGATAACGAGGTCATCTACATACCCAGCGACAACGAATGAACATACGAGATGCCATCTGAAGAGCGTGGAATCTTTACTGGATTGCTGGAGCTCTAGTGTGTAGTTTTCGTATAAAGTATCTTCGGAAGTCGCGCCGCGCTGTCCTACTTGTACAAAACGCAACCGCTGAAACATCGACTCATGTGCATTGAAGCAGTCGGTTGTCGTGACAAGCTACACACGATCTGTGCCAATACAGTTTGTTTCACATTCAGGTTACAAGGATAGGTCTGCGAGGAGTCTGTACAGCAAAGTACATGCATACTACGTTTTCCTAGTTCCTAGGCCTAGCCGACTTGTTTATAGAATACACGAGATGTTTCCACTTCTTGCTTTAGATGTAGGCGTGACAAGATGTGTTACATGCGATGCTACCCTTCTTTACTTGCCATCCATGGATCTCAAGAGAGTGCGACAATGCTCGATCTTGATAACGCGCCTCACTAGCTCCATCGCGTCATAGCACACCATGAATCCGTAGAATGTCTAGGAGTACACTCCGTACACTCCAAATTGAGGCCTTTATGCGCAAAGCATTCTACTGGTGGACATAACCGGAATACTCTGCGGGATATCTAATCGGCCCTGAGGACTAGATAGACAAAAGTAAAGCACAAGGCTACCAAAAGAGGTAGTGGTAGGGTTAAAGGCGATATACGCTATTGTCCGATACCCAAGCCAAGCGCTCCCCAGACTGCGTTACAAGAAGCACAAGGCCGTCATACCGTGTGCGATACCGACTCCCAGAGGCCAGGAACAACATCCGGACCGGCCAATTCCAACTGCACGCCGTGCACCCAAAAGCTTAATCGCGACCCAAGCCCGAGCAAACCCAGGTTTGACATGCTGTCACCCCATCTACAGGATCATCTCGCGAACCTGGGCTACAGTAACAAAACCGCGTAATGAGTATACGCCCACCCCCCAAGCACCGATGTCCGCCCGTCTTATGGTAAACATCTTACGATTCTGACCTCATTGCGTCCAGGGTGCCAAACTTTGCAAGACCGACGCTCTGTCCTTCCTCTCCCGCACCAATGGTCTCACCGGCAACTGGCAGAAACGCGACACAACCAGCATGACCCATGTTGGTCATTTCACTTTCCTTCCAAAATCTTACATAGACGTGGTATATGCGTTTCCCTGCATCCACCTAAAATACACGTCCTTACTTACATTGGCATTTCTGACGACCGCCCATCTTCATGTTGCGATGATGGACATGTGCTAGCCTCGCGTCTTTTCGTGATAAGGGAAGCGAGAAAAAAAAGAAAAGAAACAGGAAATTAAAAAGAGGGCAGCGAATCACGTCGTTTCGGTACGCCTTCCGGATGTAGCGCGAGAGGGCAGGAAAATCCAAGATAGATTGCTTGCTCCTGTCGACCCTCTCGGCCAAGTTGATGGATTTAGATTGCGAAGTTACATGCACGACAAATGCATCCAAAGCGGTTTCTCTCGCTTTTCCTTTCTGCTTGGAGAGCGGCACCTGCGATCGGACCGTTTGTGATGGTAAGCGCCCCCCCTCCCCGCCTCGTCACAAGAGATGATGTGGGCTATGCAGGTTGATTGAGGAGGTGCCTGCGGAGTTGAATCCGGTTACACACCGCTATCTATTGCTTGGTTCAAAGCGTCTTTTTTTTTGTTGCCCTTCCATTGGGCTTTTGGTGCGGTTTGCTGGCAGGAAGCGTCGACGTTGCTGCCCGGACGGTCTTGGTACGTCGTCATATGAGGCAGGGTGCGATGGGAGCGGAGCGGAGACAGAAGCCGGACGGAGGGGTATATCGACGATGCGCATGCAAGATAGGTGGGATGATGGATGTTCAGGGTCCGATTGTCGTTCGGAGAGATCCAACCCAACGATACGCCATGCCAATGCTATGACACGGGGGAAATCTCTTAGGTGGCTTGCCGCATGTCAGATTTGTTTCCATGGTTCGCGCATATACTTGATGGTTTGTTTCGACACGGCTGGTAGCTTGTGGGATCGTCTTTGTTCGACAAGCGCGCCAGATGTGCGATGAGTAGCGGTAAAGAGGAGACCACATTCAAGCCCAAAGTCAGGTCAGGCGATGGCTCGTTGGTGCATGACATTGCATGAGTGAGGCACAACGCCCTTTCCGGTTCAATGGAACTAGAGACGAGTGTGGAGCCGACTTGAGCGTCTCCCTCGTTTATCATTCGCGTGGAACTGTTCTTCCCGACCCTCTAGTGCTGATCTTGCTAGCGTGCCATGTGCGTTCCCGCTTCTGTTTCTCGTATCTTACCTGCTGTGGCTTTGTTGTGATGCCGAGCGTTTGAGCCTTGCGCGGCATGGTAGATGCACGGCGCGCCGTCGAATCGCATGTGAATCTTTAGTGCTGCAGCTAGAGCATCTACCACAGCGGAATTTTGCTAGTTAGTCGATACAGCGGGCTGTGCTTCAGGTCTTGAGGCTGTTTGGAAGGTCAACGAGGGTGGACCTCGGGAGTCGACACAAGGACAACAAAACGGCGCTGTTTTACGGGGTGTGTGCCGGAGTCTTCGGCCGACAGGCACTGAGTTGTTCAGAACAGCAGGAACGATTGCAAGTCTGCCCGACTGGAGTTTAGATAGCCCGGCTTGGTTACCCAGGAAAAAGGAACATACCGATTCGGCAATCCAGCGAAGAAGAAAAAAAGCAAGGGAGCAACTTGACATCAACTCTCCACTTGCACACGATGCCGCATTCTCGCCGTGTGGGCCGTTTGGGGCCTTACCAACGCTCTTCTTGAGACTTGCATCAGACAGGCGGCGGACTGACTCTTCCGTGCTCGCCCGTGGAAACACTCTAGAACAAGACTTGGAAACCTAGCGCATCCGACATGCGAGACTACCTTCTTGGACGTCTGTTCTCAATCGAATAAACCTTCTTTTCAATGTTTCTAGAAACACACCATGCCCGCGCTACCGGACTTTCTCCCTGACATATCGGTGCGTTTGCTTCGTGCCTGCTAGCCAGCCGCTCGACATGCCCTCCGGAGCCTTGCCGAACCGCCTTGAGCACCTACCATAGTTTCATCACCTTCTACACCGGTACATTGGGCGCAAGGATGTGTGCAGCCGAACGCCTCAGTCCTTCCACATGATCCTTGCGAACATCGATGATCTGCACGTCAATCGCGTCTTTGGACGGCAGAGCTAGGAGTATTTGGAAGTGTGCATCGTGAGCGCATGGACGTTTTTGTCTTGCTAAGGGTCTCCTAAGGCCGTTGCCAGTGAAGGGGTTCCTGGCTACATGGCTTCCTAGATAGCTAGGTGGAGCGAGTCAAGTGTAATAAATTCATGGGCTTGCAACAGGATGACGATTGCGGAATGGGTCACTTGATGCAGTCGTCGAGAATAAAGACCGGGGGTGTGCGCTGCTGTGGCTGATGTTCATGTTGTAGAAAGCTGCTCACTCTACTATCCCAACTCTCTCACGATCCATAGGGCTGGCCTTGCTAAGGATCTGAATCTCATTTCTCGATACGACATTTCGGCCCATATCCTCCTTCTCACCAACTAATCATCAGTTCGAGTTACTATAAGTTGACGGATAAACTCAATTCATTGAAGACGCCAACCGTCATGGCGAAAACAACACGCTCACCGTTCCTGGATATCCTTCCCCCAGAGCTCCGTCTACATATCTACACACATCTTCTCGTCGCCCCAACATCCATCAAAGGCTCCGTCGCCCGTCAAGACATAAAATACGACCTCTACACAGCCATCCTCCGCACAAACAAACAAATACACCACGAAGCCCGCTCCGTATTCTTCGGCAAAAACACCTTCTACATCACATCCATACCACCCACTCCATCCAGCAAAGATGCCATCGACGAACAACAAGAAGAAGAAGAAGAAGGATCCGGCGCCTTTGAACCCCCTCTCCAACTCACCGACCTCCCCCTAGTCCGCCATCTCGAAGTCGACCTCCTCTACTACCCTACCTCCATGACCACATCCCTAGACTCCCGCGACGGGATCTGGAAACCCGTTTGCACAGGCGCAGACCGCTACACCACCAGCCTAGCCTACCTCCTCAGCACCGTCTCACCCAGTCTACTCAGCTTGAAAATCTGCGCAGACACGCGCCGCTACGTTGGAAGCAGTACCGGCCAGGGCGCTCATGCCCTTAGCGACAAGTTCAAGGCCGATACCGAGAGATTGCGAGTTCAGAAACTGCTCACGGGGTTCTACATGGCGGATAGTAACACGTTGTTCAAGAAGGCGATGAAGGATTTGCTCGTCAGGGACATTACTTTGCACTTTGATTTTCCGGAGAGCTACTTTGATTTCGTGGTGGGAAGGGAGAGGCTGTGCGGACAGAGCTTGGTGGAATTGGCCGGGCAGGTGTTGGCGGCTAGGACGGAGATTAGGTTCAAAGCTGCGTTGCAGGAGGTGGGTGTGGGTAGTGAGGTTGCCGAGGCGGGAGTCGTGAATTTGATCCCGTTTCCGTGCTGAGGATTGGGTGTGTTTACGAAGGATGGGTAAATTGGAGGGATTGTTTGGGACAAGCATTTTGGCATGATACCATGATTTGAGAGTACACTGAGCATTTGAGGGCGTTTTTGGGTTACAAAATTTAGATCGGTGGTTGGCATTTGGGGGGGTACAGGCAGCGTTTGAAAGCATCACATTCACATCTCTACGTCTGTCCATCGAAGTAACGACCGGTTGATGTAAACAAACAAGCTATCAAGGTCGATGCGTATGACTCGCGATGTAAACAAACGAAAGCTAATCGTCCCTGACCACATCATTGATCTTTGTCGTATCCTTCATCATTGTCGTAAATCGTAAGCGTCGTCTCGTACCCATACATGATCCAAAATCGCAGTCAAAACTGAACACAGATGGAACGCAAGAAGCTCGAAAAGCAGAGGAAATATAACAATACACTCGTAGGGATGTCTACGCTTACCCACAGTCCTCGTCTAGACTCTAATAGTCCCTCCTGCGATGGCGTCTCGTTTTCACAGGGCTGCCATCACCCTCAGAATCGCTGCTGAAGTAGTCGTAATCATCGCGACCATAGTCGTATCCATGATCTGGACGGCGATCGCGGTCACGCCTGTCATCCTTTCGCGCGTCGCGATCGTCGTGTCCGCGCGACTTGGAACGGAGGCGGTCTATCACGCTGCGGCTTCTAGCACGGAGGCTGGGGCCTTTGCTGCGTTCGCGGTCATGCGCACGCGTTCGTGATCGGGAGCGCGAACGGGATTTAGAATGGCGATCGCTTCCGCTTCTGTGATGAATTAGAACGAAGACCAGTCAAACGTGTGCGCAATACTCACCTCGAGCGTGTCGCCATCTGTCTGGCACCCAACGCACCCGCAGCTGCTCCTGCCAGTGTGGTCAGCCTACTTTTACCCAAGGACCTGCCCGCGAGGCCCCCCGCCAACGCACCTCCCACCGAAGCCGCCAAACTCTTTTCGCGCAGATCCATGCCGTCAAATCTATCACGCATCTTAGTCATGCGTGAATCATCGCGACGGGAATCTTTGCTAGAGCGGGACTGGTGGGAGTGAGAGTCGACGGACCTAGCCCTATGGCGATGTTCGCGACGAGGCTTGGTACTTTCACGGCGGGAGGAGCGAGTGTCGGTGTATGCGGCCATCGACTGTTCAGCAGATGGGGGTATGTAGGTCGGGTAGACCGCGCTGGGCACTGGCGCGAAAGTAGGCTGAGAGTTGGAGCGCTGACGGTTGAAGGGCGGGGGAGATGGCTGATAGCCAGCAGCGCTCGCAGGGAACTCAGTGTGGTGGTAAGGGTTCATAGGGGAATTTGATCCCACTGGCGGAGGAGGGATAGGCGCATCCACGGCGGGCGAGGGAGCGTAGCCGGGGCCGGGAGCGTACCTAGAGCTTCGAGGCGCATCGTACTGGCCATAGTCCAACGAGACATTGCGTGGCTCTGTAGGTGGTGGCTTCGGAGTGTTAGTGAGTGGGCGCTGGAGCAAGGCCGCGAGAGGCGGCTCGTATGACGGAGTGAAAGCAGCAGAAACGGGAGAACCACGAGAAAGCGTGCGAAGTAAATGAGGTTGAAAGGGAAAGGGGCTGGCGCACGTCGACGTCGTCCGGCTTCGCAACATGGGCGGACAAGAGTTCGCCGGTGTTGGATGCTCAGGCATGGTCGCAAGCGTTGCGCGTCGAAAAGAGGAAAAATTATTTACCTGAGGAGAGTATCCGTAGGCTGGAGTGACAGAAGGGCGGCGATCTTGCACGGGGCTCGGTGCATATTCCTGCGGATTATAGGGCTTGTATTCGGAAGTGGGCGGAGGAGGGAAGTAAGGTTGTCCCTGCTGAGGTGAGGCCATATCTCTTGAATCGCTATGCTGTCCGTCCAGGTCGCTGCTGTGTCTCCCGTGTCGTCCGCGACTCAGACTCCTACTAGCAGTGGTTCCCGTACTCTTTGCGCGTCGTCGCTCCCTCTTTCGGCGCTCGCGTTCGCGCTCGTAGTCGGTGTCGTCGGTGTAGTCAGAGTACTCTGTCGGCGGGCTGCGCTCTTGCCGGGAGTTGCGCTTACTGAATCGGTCTTCGCTCCGGTGCCGTTGTCTCGCGTCTCGTTCGTTGTGGTTCAAGTGCTTGCCTCTCTTCTTGCCCTCTTTGGAATCTGGGGGTGCGAAGTAGCCGCCGGGTAACTTGTGGAAGAAGCTATCGGGAATCTGCTCTGCGCCGTAGCTGATGGCCTTGAAGGCTAGGGCCGCCATCGTTCAAATGGGGGCCGCGAAAGCCGGATGTCGTGATGTGACGTAGGAGTGTCTTGCGAGCAGCGCTGTGATTGGAGCGCAGTCGACCGGTCCCAGCGATTTGACGAGGGGGTCTAGTTCCAAAGGTTGGGAGGATAGTCTGCAGCAAGGCCGGATAGCGATAGGCCGGACTACTCAGCGCGCGTTATGGTGCGTATAAGCGATGTAGATTGCACCTGGAGAGGGGTGAGGTGGGTTGGCAAAGAATTTGTCTTGAAGAAAGTGCGCGGGGGAGTAGGCGAGGTAAAGGATTATAGGATGCGCCGCGGCAAGTGACCTCGACGGATGGCGGCAAGAAGCAATTACATATGGCAATTGGGTAGCTGCGCTTAAAGACGATGATATAGCTGATTCGGCGCATACGTGCGACGCGGTGGCAGCCGCCTCCTCCAAACTGCCAAAATGACGTCGTACGTCATCCGCCTGGCTCGTGCGCCGCTGTCATTGGAGCCGCAACCTGGGGATCGTCGCTCTGTCAGCCTCTCTGGTAGATGAATCCTACGATACAAAAAGCACCTCGATCAATGGTGATCTTGCAGTCATTCATGCACATGTGCATGTCATCGATGCGCCTCTTTTCTGCTCTCTACTCCCCATAGACGCAGCAGCAGCAACACAAATCTCGTCCACTGTGGCCTTCGGAGATCATGTTCAATGCAAGGGACGCACGGTCGGCATTACACCTACTCTCCGCGTGTAATCCTACACAGGTCTGGTCTCCTAGCCGGCTGCGGGTCAAGACTACTCGGAATACACATTCCTAATCCCCTTGCTCAAAAACCGGGTCGCAACTCCTTACGACGCAGGGTATCTACAAGGAATGACCAGGGTGCAGCCTATCGTGACATTGCTGTGCGTTGGCAAGGCTCGTCGGCTTCGTGACATCGACCACTCGGAGGGTTGGGGCTATGTGCGATGACGCCACATTCGAGCTTTTGTGCTTCACCGCCATCATGACATGGGTTACACCAGCATGGCTTTCTACGCGCACTCGTACGGATTTCATGGAGGAATGTGATTAGAATTTGAGCGTCCAACTGCATGCGCATGGACCGGGTATCTTATGCATCCTACTACTCCCGAGTAACCCAACGCCAGACCGACAACTGAGAGAATGAGATGAAGATCATTCAGTCATCGTGGGCCGCTCGACTACACTTGATCAGCAGCTACCGATGCAGGGCTGCGTATTTCCCCTGCTGGTCTGCCAGCGCTGTCTGGTACCTCGACCATTTCCTCCACCATCCCCAGGAATCTTTGTCTATATTCATCGCTTGTCGTCGTAATACTCATCGGCCCATGATCTTTTCCAAACTTTAACGTGTTGAAGAGTTTGACGAGTCCCGTCATCGTCTGGGCCTGGAGTGCGTCTTTCGCCCAGAAGAAGTCGAGCACGATGGCCCGGTAAACCCACTTGCCGTCGCGCGATACGACACCTGTGCGCCATGTAGATCCTCGGCCAGGGGGCGGCGGCACGTCACCCGAGTTCAGGTCGGCGGGATAGCGGACCAGGAATAGCGAGTAGTCAACCGCATTATTGGCTTGTAGTATCTTAGAATCCCTGGACAGCTGCGCAACAAGCTCCTCTTTCTGATCGATAGTCACTCGAATCTTGTCTTCAAATTCGTCAATGAGGCGCTCCTTGACGCTCTCAGGCGCCAGACGTCCGTTAGCCACGTCGCGTTCTGGGTAGAAGTAGTCATTGGGCTTGAGGTCATATGTCTCCCATCGCTTCTGTTGGGCCTTGCTGCAGCTCGACTTCCCGTACAGAATGTTCTCCATTATTATATGATGGCTCGGTGCGGTGCCTACAGCGGCTCCGACAGTAGCTGTGGGACAGTAGAGGAGGTCGGTTATGCGGACAAGGAGGGAGTCCTCATTCAGCTCCATGTGTTCGACATAGGGCTCGAGAAGACGATCCCGAAAGAATGATTGCTCAAACTTCCGTGGCAGGGACTTGATCAGGTACTTGGAATTAGGTGTTGTAAAGAATGTCTGATGCGCATTAGCTAGTCGTCTTCAGATGTCTTGTTCCGCGCGTACCGAGCCTGAGTAGCCCAGGTCCCCAATGGCGATCAGATCGGTCCGTTTGCTCTTGCTGGGGCGAAAGCTCTCGATGTATTCTTCCTCTTCAATGTCCCAGGTGTCATTTCTCAGTTTCTTGAACAGAGACGCGCGATAACGGGCGAGACTCAGACTGAAGACAGCGAAGAAGGCATAGATGCGCGCAAATAGACCCAGGCGCGCGCTTTCATCCTTGCGAGGCGAATCCGATCTGAAAACGGCGCGTAATATAGACGCGCTGATGAGACGGTCTCGACGCCCCATGTTGAGTTTCAATTTTGTCGCGGTTGTTGTTGGTAGAGTACACACAAGGCAGCGTTGCGGACGCGCGAAACGCTACCTAGGCACAGTCCCAAGGCCCGTGAATGTCAGGATGATGTCATTGCGCTATCGATGAGCCTCAAGGCCTGTACTGCCTGCGCCTTCGCATTTTCACCAGCGCGCCAAACTTCATCACCGTAAATTTTGAGCAGCTCGCACCAAGATTCGGAGTTCCCGCCATGTGGATGAGCGATTTCGACGATCGGCTAGACCTGACGAGACGGCTGGTGGGCATACCTCTCGCTGCAGCTAACATTTAGCACCCAGCATAACCGCCACAAAAGCGCCACAGTTTGAGTTCATCCGCCGCGTTCGAGGGCGTCCAGGATGGCTTTTGCCGATACGCTCTCAACCATCTTGTCTGACACGAGAGAAACTCGGTGTATTTCGTGCTACAGGTGGTTATTCCCGGTATCTGGTACGTTCATAAAGGCTTAACAGGTGTCTTGGAGCCGTCATCAACAACTGTGCAAGAGACACTACAATCAGAAGATCAGCTCCGTACCAAAGTTTGCAATTATCCTGAGACGCAACAAGCCGTACGGGGCATTACTAGCCGTACCTCGGGATCTCCGCGTGTTCGGCCTACTCAACTGTCAGGGGATTTGCTGGTTGTACACGGATAGTGCATGAAGCGCGAATACTGCTGCGAAATCCGCTCATGGCATTCTCCTAAGTCTAGATTTGACGCTCCTTCACGACAACACGATTGCTTCAACCTCTCCACCTTGGCCGCCTTGTTTACTTGGCAATATCACTGCATCTCGGAACCAGAGTCTCGAACGCGGATTTGGATAACTCCAAACAAGCGAGCTATATATTGCCTCCTCGGAGTTACGCCCCAAGCGATCTCCCGCTCGGCACGTCTTCCGCTGTTTCACCCTGGGCCCTTATGTGATCGCGCTAAGCGTGCCGCTACAGCGCTGCAACGGCGAGGAGCAGCGCGATGGCAAATGGGGTTATTATTACCTCAAAGAGGAGCAAGTGTAGTAGAGAGGAATGCAGCAAAAGCCTCGAGATGAAGTCTCTGTCGCTATGTAACAGTCTCACAAAGCTAACAGTCTGTGCAACCTGACTTCAGATCAATATAACGTAAATCCCGACATGGTACAACCTGACCATGTATGCATCTAGGCGTACTCGTCTAACGGACTAGACCCTTAGACCCAGGCAGTTCTTGCCCCGTTTCGTCCCGGCTATCAGTTTGACGGCTGGTACCCCACATCACTTTGCCTCTCCAGTCTGCTTCACGGTGGGAAAGTTCGCCCAGGCGCTTCAGCATCTCCTTGCGGAGGTTTCTACCCTTTCCGCCCGCAAACTACTGGATAGAGGCTGTGTATCACGGCTGCAGGGTCATCAAGCCATTGTTGACTGGCGTCGTCTCTTGTGGGTATTACCCTGCTTACAGACTACACCCAACATATAAAGCACGAGCGTCTTTCCCTGTATTGACAGCATATTCGTACCACTTCAAAACTCATAGCACTTTGCCACATCAGGTTGATATCAGGCCCAGTCGCGCGTACTCAGTGCTAGTCTTTCCCAACTTTGTACATTCTTTCCATCCAAGTTACTCCATCACATACCTACTATCCATAATGGCGAGCACAGACGTTCAGCAGCCACCTGCGCAGGAAGCTGCACCCGCACTACCTGACTACCTCACAAACCCTGATGCTGTCCTGGGAGATAACGATGCCAAGTGGCGTTACGGCAGAGCGCCTGATTACTCAAAAACAAGAAAGGTGTTCTCTGAGAGTAAGTTACCAAATGCGGCAACGAGCCTGCATGTCAGTCACCGTGCAGTTTACTAATCATGCACAGCAAAGCAAATGACACACGAAGCCGGGTCTCTTCCTGAGCTCGTACAGAATCTCGTCAAGAACTGGGAAGTCGAAGCGTCCTTCAAACCCAACATCGACGACTGGCGTACCATCGATCGGGAGAACTACTCATTTGCCATCAATGGCGGCAAGGCAGAAGGTGCAGAGGCTATGCTCAAGGTCGGCACGTACAATGCTATCATTGCACCGAATGAGTACTACTCGCCCGACTACTCCGACTTCGCTTCGTCACACAAGACGTTCAAGCGCATGATGCCTACCTTCGCATGGGAGGTACTAGAAGTCTACAGCGGCCCACCAACAGTCAGCTTCCGATGGCGCCACTGGGGCCAAATGAAGAATGACTACGTCGGCTTCAACAACAAGGGCGAGAAGGTCACGGCCAAAGCACACGGAGGCTCGATCGACATCCAAGGTGTTACAGTAGCCACAGTCAACGATAAGGTGCAACTACAGTCAGTTCGCACTTGGTTCGACCCTATGGATATGTTCAGGCAGATCGCGCCTGACGGCGTCGTGAAGAAAGAGGAAAAGCCTAAGAACATGTCACCAGCAGACGCCCTCGATGAAGCTCAGGCTGGCATCAAGGCGCCCGAAGAGCAGGAGCTACCCGACGAGTTCATTCAGAGCAAAGAGGAAGTCAAAGAGACTATCGAACGTCTTGATAAGATGACGACCGAAGAGAAGATGTCGACCACGCAGGGCTTGCCTCTTGATCACCCTGCTGTGTCATCGTCTTCTAATACTGAGGCTGAGGGCGGCAGATGTCCTTTTATGCCCGGAGGCTTCAACTGAGGTGCATGTACGTGTGTGAAGGTAGAGAGAGAGAGATGGCACATTTGAATTTGTTTGGATCATAAGGAGTTACCGGCGGTTGCTTAATGAGCGTAGCGGTGGTTTTGCAGTCCAGGTTCAAATTCTGTTAGCATATACCATATTGTTGCAATAGAACATCTTCACCGAGCCTCGCTTTCCAGTCATATCTAAGTACCACTTTCGATCAAAGTAACATTCCCTTTTGCCATGCACCCCCGATCATGAAGACTGTATTCGAGGAGTACCACCGATTCAACCATACGCACTAACATCACCCATCTATGCAGATACGATGATCGCACCCCTGCACTTTACAATAACTCAAATAACACGTCGGCGAAGACGATGCTGCGTTTCGGGATGATCTTCCGAGCAAGTTAAAGCTGTTTGGTACGATGCTCGCTAGTTAAGTCTGGCGCCATAGCGGCTGTTAGTTTACCGAGATACTGTCAACCTCGACAGCCCCGACTACACTAACAGCTAACACCGACACCGACAGTGACCTGACAAGCCGATGATCTTCAGCCTTTAGTCTCGGGACACGAATTCTCCGCATAGCGCTCGTTGTATACGTCAAGGTACCCGATTATCCATCACCCGCCGTCCGCGCCTCCGTCGTAGCCGCTACGCCGCCTCGTGGCCGGATATTCCCATTTCTCAATGACTGCGGGTATTCTCACAGGGATTTAGGGTACTGTCTGCGGCAGAGAAGTACCTCCACGCCCTATCGAAAAGCGATGTGATGTGTCTTCGGTTTGCCTAGCGTTTGAGCTACGCACAGCTATCTCGCCGTTCAGGAAATACTGAAACCGGTAACTAAGGGCCATCCTAGCTTGTCTTGAAAGATGAAGACAGACAGATCTTGAGACGCAGGGAGGAAGAGCAGTCGCTGCCCATACGTCGTGGTAGAGGAGACAAAAAGTTGCATTTGTGATATGATGTCAGGTATCGCTCCAACGAATGGCATGCTGGGCAACATCGCTTGGAAACGGGTAAAACGTATATTGCTTTCAGCATGAGATCAGTTATAATCTTAGGAGGTAAGCGTGATTAGTGGTGAGAGTACCTGGGTGGATCAGCATCGGCTTTCTTGTTGACGAACTGGTCCCGTTTGCGGCCGATCAAGTAGAGACGTATTATGACTATCTTGCCATGGTATGTGCCATTCAAATCCCTTGCCTTGAGCGTTGGACTCTCGAACTTGGAAGCAGTGCCAGTGCCGAGGTCATATCCTTCTTTCTGCAACTACGTTGCGATGGTCTAGACTTGATCATTTGTAAGGGCTTCGCCCGGAGCTATCTCGAATCTTTTCTGGTATTTCGTGATAAACAACTGTTTGTCCATTTCGCTCTGGAATACCTCGAGATACAGAAACCCGGCAGTGAACAGGTATTGCTGATATGCGGCGCCGGGTTGGGTAAACTTTGTATGACCAGTAGACTTCTCGATGCTCTTAGTCCGCCCCAGAACTGAGATTAGAGGTCGAAATTCATAAATCTCATGCTCCGACAAGAACTCGGCTTCATGTCCCATCTCTGTTCGTTCTAACCCCATCTTAACTCAGTCGATATCGATATGAGAGCACCTTTTCAACGGGCAGAATTATACAGTTGATGTTCTCGAGTGTCGAGCATTGTAGTCATGCTTGAACCATGGTAATGATTCTGGTACTACCCAAACTTGCGAGCTTTCCCAGAAATGAACTTTAACATTCAAATCTTCGTTCATCCTCAGCAGCATCAAATAATCCGTCAAAGCCTACCTCCTCATACTACAGCACTACTCGCGGCCAACCCAGTGAAAGTGGCACTAACAATGCAGGCACACGCATCATCTGATCCCTTGATCGCCCAAGAGGAGACCAAATCCTCATTCCCCGGAGTGATTCACATCCAAGACGCCGTCGCGGCCAAAGACTTCGCGCTCAGTACCTACACCCAGCCTAGCTGTCCTCGCACGCTAGTCGTATGGGCCGATGGCAATGGAGGTAAACGCCTTGACGACGGCCCATGCACGGCAGCTATCGGATACCACGATCCCTTATCTGGGGAATGGGAAGCGCACATCACAGTGAGCCATCATCCTTCTTGGATTGAAGCTAGCCTCATCGCGATCCAGGAAGCTTTCCGTGCTGCTGCGACGCTGGCCGACCACATCGATCACTTGATCGTGTTCTCGAATGCACAAGCGGTACTTGCTAACATTGGAAAGAGCCGCGATCTCTCGTGGGGCCGGGACGAGATCCTCGTAGAGTTGGACCTTGCAGCTCGTTGAAGCACGAGTGGAGATTCGAGGCACGTCGTCTACGAAGGGAAGCAAAGAGGGGGTATAGAGAGACGAGAGAGCGAGAAGGAAAGCCGCTGAAGCCGACAGCCTTGGAAAGAGTGACACTGTGGGCGCGGAAGCGACGTCTCAGGAAGGCGTCCGGAGAGCTGAAGGAGGATGAAGAGTTTACCATCGACGCAAAGGAGAAGATTCTGGGATGGAAGGATATATACCAAGAACTTGCAGGTAGGTCGTGGGAAGATAGACGGCTACTAAAGAGGCGACGCCATAGCATCGTTTGAATGTAGTAGAGTGCGAGCGACTGTACGTTTTTCAATATCGAACTTCTTCGCAATTACCTTTGGCTGCGCGAACACACTATCGCAGAGGGCTACATGCACGGCAAGAACGACTGTGGGTACACCTTGAACCGATGTCTTCTCCTGCCGGCTAGCAAGATTCGATAGTTCGTACGTGTACAGTGGGTAACACTAGGTATACTCCGGTTGTACTATACACCCGTGTTTTCAATATGTCATTATCCATCGAACTTGGACATTGTAGACCCTGAGCGTACCCTTATTGAGCCACCGCCATCTTATCGAGAGATATGTGTCTTCGTGTTTGAAGATTTGGAAGTCGATATCGGAGTGGCATGACGGTCCCGCCACAGCCTTCCGGCCGCCCATGGTTGCCTGCCCAACCCTCTTGGGCTGGCCTCTGTTTAGGAAAACTTCCGCAGGCAACAGTGAGTCATAACTCCTTTTCTCATTATCCATAAGACGTGTGATCATGGTTTCATGCTAGTCTGTGGCTACGCGCCAGGCTACTCGACGCGACTGGTGAAGACACGGTGTCAGGTGCCTCGCAACTCGTACAAGAAACTTGGAAGTTGGTCACACAGGATGGCGCAAATCTGCGCCGTTGAGTGAGGCTATGGATCTAGTCCGTGGCACGCTAGGACGAGTGTCTCTTCTGCCTGCGCGGAGATGGTGAGAGGGCTCTCGTTGGTGTGTCGAGGTGACTCAGCCCTGGACCAAGGCGGATCATCTCGGCAGCCGATGGGCGCTCATGGGGGGCGGGCAACGCCGATGAGTCGTCAGCTCGTCGGGCGCTTGGCGCTTCTGGAAGGGGCGACGATGAACATGCAGCTGCAAACTCTGCTGTGAGCGTGGGAGGCGCGAACCATGGTCATCGCGCGCTCTCGAGACACGGTCGAATGGTCGCGGCTGTAGAGAGCCGAGGCCAGAGACAGATGCACGCGTTTGGCATCGCTTTGGGACAGAGGTCCGGCGTCATCAGCCACTGCGGTGAGGGGAGTGGAGCTGGGCCGTCGCAGCGCAAGGCGGCGATGTGTTGGCAGCAGTTCATTGCTGCTTGCGCCGTTTGCGTCATCGCGATGGCTTTGTGTGCCATGGCGACTGCGCTGAGGCATTTCCTGCCGTGTTTGCATCGCTGCATCACGGCGCCGCGATGACCGGCTAGGCTGCAAATGAAGGCGTCGCATGCTGAGCAGCTGAGATTACGAGCGTCGCAGCAGCCGTCGAGGGGGTCGGCCGCAAATATAGCCACGAAAAGCACGGTGAAGGCGCAAAATGACCCTTCCTGGCATGGCGTCGTCTCCACGTCCAATGGCGCTGCAGGCAATGGGAAGACGCGTCCTTGGCTCCCAGTCGGCCGGTCCCTTCATCTCAACACAGCTGAGAGGCAGAATGAGGGGGTGTAGCAGGCAGTCTGGGACTCTGGCGCTACCAGCGTACCATGGCACGGAGCGTTCGAGAGCAAACGCGCCTAGTGTGAAAGAAAAGGAGACGCCGTGTGTCGCAGCAGCTTGTCGCGTCGCAATCAGCGTGAACAGCCTCAGCGCGCGCGCAGGGAGTGGGCGGGTTACAGAGGGCCATTTACCGCTGCGCCAGGCATGGCGGCAGGCCGTGTTGGCATGCCTGTAGCCTTGGAGCCATGCGTGATGATGGAGCGTCTCACGCCTCACGAGATGAGGGTAGAGCACCCGCAACTGCTTCACTGCAAAAGCAGTGCGGTGGGGGCAAGAAAGCGACATCGCTGCCCAAGCAACGCAACTGCAAATCACGCACTGCCATGAGGGCTGATGGCAAATGAAAAAAAGCCAGCGCGATGAGTCTTCCAAGGTTGGGTTGTGTGGCAAAGAGGCAAGCTGGCCATAGCGCCCGGGTGCGATGACTGGACTGGGGGCGCTGTAGGTACGGGGTTCCTATTAGTATCGCCAGCGCCGCCCAGCCCGTCACCCTCATCAAGACAGCAGCAATGGACTTCACGAACATCTACAGCGCCCCCTGCGGCCTAATCTAGGACGCCAACCGCTCATAGTGTTGTCTGTTCTCTGTCGCCTACCCGTCTACCCACCCAAACCGAACCCATTCCATCCTTGTCCAGGTAGCAGTCTCCGCATCGACCTTGGTCGCCGCCACACTGCCGCCTACCGCATAGACTCATCTCGCGCTTCCAGTCATAGACGAGACGAGAGAGCCTGTCCTTTTATACCTCCTCTTCCCGTACCTGCGTCGCGATCCGACGCCCTCTAGTCGCGCCTTCCCACCTTTACCGACTCCCCGACCGCCACTTCCTCACACGTCAGACCTACACCTCCCAACTCCACCACCAACAGCTCTTATGTACCCCAACACCCAATAATAATACAACAAACACTTGCAACAAACAAACACTCAAACACCCGCCCGCCCTCCACCGCGAACACGCGAAGTCGCTCAGCTTGGTGATCCTGTCAAGGTAGTCGCCATCCTCGAACGCTTCCCACGTCGCACCCCGTTACCACAATGTGCCATTCGGCCTACACTGCTTCAGTCACTCGTCGCTCAGAATTCACCACCATTTCCGAAACCAAAGCCTTCACCCAAGGCTTCGCTTGCTAGACCCCCGCACCCCCTCAGACATCCAGCTTTTGCGACAGCGCCCGCTGTTCAGTAGCTGTATCATCAGAGTGCTTCGCGGACGGTCTTCCACCACGGTCTTGTTTCGGTGATTCTGCAGTTGACAGTGACTGGAGCCCGCTCTAGTCTGCACCTGGCAGCTTTTCGACCACTTGACACTGCTCGAATCCTACTTCCACTTGCGACTCGTCAAACCCTACCAGCCTCCTACGTATACGTCCCGCCTTCGAAACCTACCCTCTCCCAGCTCTTCAGACCGTTAGACCGCTTCCGTCACACCACGATCATACACGATCAGGCCACTTGACGGACGAGATTTCGCGATCGAGGAAAAGATTCCAACAAGAGAACAGCGTCTCGAATTATACGTCAGAGGTCATAGGGTTGTCCTCTACGGTTTGTCCTATCGGTTAAGTTCTCGGTCACCCCACGACCACCCGATCACGCTCTGCGCCACCCCTCCAGGTCTACCTAACGGTCAGCACTTCGAGACGTAACGACAAAGCCTAGTCACATCTCCGCTCACTCCTTATTGTCTACCTTTCCTTACCAGGCCCCGTCCTGTATACCCCTCCTTCACCATGAGTCTTGCCATTCCTCTCCCTAGCCACGGCTACATGGCTGAGACCCACCCTTATGCCGCTCCCCTTTCTTCTTCCGCTTCCTCTTCCACCTCATCAGTATTCTCAGACGCTGCGTCACAAGCGTCTAGCGCAAGCTCCACATCGTCTCACTCAAACTGGGACTCGGAAGAATGGAGTCGCAACCAAGTGGCACCGCCGACTATTGTCGACCCTGCGAGCTTGTCAGCTTTCCAGCCCATCAGCCGAGTTAGCACATATCCTCAGTACCAGTCTACGGTGTGCCGAGAGCCTGCACAGGAGAGGTTACCTTCCCTGCGCACTGAGCTATTGGCACCTCTGGAGCAGCGACAGAATCCTCGCCGATCGTCGACCACTGTCAACCAGAAGCCCCCACCTCAATTGGTACGGCAATCCGACCGAAAGGTCAACTTCGTCGATTGCCTCGTCGGTTAGTACACGCTTTATCCCTGGACCATGGTTCCCCCGCTGATTATTCCTCCTTAAGATTCCGCTACTCAGATGGTCGAGGTTATCTGGCAACTTTCAGAGCCCAAGAGCCGTTGTGAGAATGCTTCTGGGCGCGGAGTGCTCCCTCTCCGTATGTTCATCCAGGAGACCCTCCGTCGCTCCCGCACCAGCTACTCTACTCTCCAAGTTGCCCTGTACTACTTGATCCTGATTAAGCCTCACCTGCCCAAGCACGACTTTACAATGTCGCAGCCTGAAGATGCATCTCTTCGTGCGCTGCAATGTGGTCGTCGCATGTTCCTTGCTGCGCTTATCCTCGCTTCAAAGTACCTTCAGGACCGCAACTACTCGGCTCGCGCATGGAGCAAGATCTCCGGTCTTAAGGTTTGCGAGATCAACACCAACGAGATGGCTTTCCTCGAAGCTGTGAACTGGAAACTGCACATTGTTGACTCGGTATGGGAGAAGTGGCAAGAAGTCGTCCTGCGACACACGCCTACCCTTCCTCCGCCATCACCTGGCGCTAGCATCCCCAACACTTGGAAAGATGTCATTCCTATTTTGACACCTGAGTTGGATATCGTCCAGTTGGCTCCCAAGAAGTCAGCAAACGCTCCCGTGCGTCCTCCTCTGAGGCCGCAGTTGAATGCGTCGCCCTACCGCTGCCCATCAATGGATGGCTACGGATCGCAAGAGAGCACACCAACTCCATCCCGCTATCAGGTGCCTCGCTTCCTGGAGCCGAAGCCTGATCTTCCCCACACTCCGTCACTGCCATCCCTGGCTCGCTTGGGTCCCCTACCAACCCCGTCCTTGACGCCGCAATCCATCACCAGCAACACTCCTGCAGCGAGTGCCATGGCTTTCGGATCGCGCCGCCCATCGATGTGCACGGCAATGCAACAGGCACAGTGCTCCTCACTGGCACGCACTTGTGTAGACCAGTTCAACCCAAGCATCAGGAACGGACTGGAAGCTTACCACTTCCCAAGCCGACGACCTTCCCTGGCTCCTTCCAACTCGTCTCTATCGTCCTCTCCAGAGTCAATGATCTCGGACAACTCGCGCACTTCTCGTGCTTCATCAATCTCGTCGGTCTCGTCTGCCGGCTGGGCGCCAAACCAAAGCCAGGCCAGCTTGGCTCGGTTGGCGACCTGCCGCAGCGCGAAGCTCCCGTACCCGGTTTTGTCGAAGTGCAAGGAGCAGTACGAGTATGCTCCAAGTGAGCCCATGTCCTCACCCGATCTGGACAGCTTCCATATTGATGACTCGGATTCGTCGCCAGGCAAGGTCGACAGCCCTGCGTGCATCACCCCCGCAAGCCGCAAGCGTGGAAGGTCTTCGGTCGATCTCCAGCAGAATGTGCGCCATTTGCTTCACAGCACTCGCTCCGCATTCGACCTTCGCGGTCAGAAGCCTGTGCTCCCTGATAGATCAGTGTCGCACTCATTCGCCCTCTCATCGCGCAGTGAACCAAAGGGGCTGCAGTCCCCTAAGAACACTGTTCCTTATTGCTCGCGTCTTCCTATCCAGAAGGACTTTGGCAAGAAGAGGTCGTGCTGCAGCACTGAGGTCGCGCAAGCCTACCGCCCACAAGGCCCAGGCATGTGGGCTGGCATCCTCTAAACATGACAACATCGTCATCACAGTATTGAAAGCCCAAAGAAGGCTAAAGAACAAAGAAAGAGAAGGAAGTATCAACGCAACTACTCACTGTTCGTATTTCACACACACAGTCACACTCTACATTACCGTGTATATTTTCCTTCACCACCTCCGAACCATCCACGTGTGTATTCTCCTTTGGGCGTCACAACAGATCTCATTTGCTACTTAGCTCCGGTATACCTATTTGGGTTACTTTTGGCGTTTTCAACCTTACTACCAACTTGGCGTTTATATCTTTTCACGGACAGCTCGGTTTGAGCGAAAGGTGGGGGAAATACCTTGATCACAGGCAGGTGCATTAGCATGGGTTCAAGGGGATCAGGCGTAGTTTGTGTTCGCACGCACATGCGCCCCTTTAGTCGGGATGGATGTACGTTTACGCTACGGCGACGGTTGACGTGCTGTGGTATGGTTTATATCCAGTGAGTAGGTAGTGAGTAGTAAGCAGATGTTGATGATTCTAAGACTTTTCTCGTTGCTTGTGTACGTGATGATGTGTTGGCGGAGTTTGCTTTCTATTCCAACAGCTCTCATGTTTTGGGTGTCTATGCTGACGGTACTGTAGGTCTTGATACCTTGTAAACCTCAACCTGAGACCGCAAGCCCACCATCAAATCTTCCGAGTATCGTTAACATGCACCTCCTCCCCACCTTTCTCCCCAATCCTCCCCATAGCCCTAGCAACCGTAACGCTCTCCCTCAACGCCTTCCCCAACACACCCCTCACCCCACCTTCTTCCAGCACCATAATCCCCGCAATCGTACACCCCTCTGGACTCGTCCCCATATCCCTCAACTCGCCCGGCTGTATACCGCTCTGAAGCATCTCCGCACTGCCCCTCATACTTTGGTAGATCTGCTCCTGAGCCAATTTACGGGGAAGTCCTACGGCCACTGCAGCATCGACGAGGCTGTCGACAATGATGGCCCAGAATGCGGGTGTGGAGCCTGATACTGCTGTTGTGGCGGGCATGAGGGCAGGTGGAATGGATAAAGGTTTACCGATTTGTGTGAAGATGGCTGTTGCTAGGTCTTTGAAGTGCGGTGGAAATGAAGGTGAAGGATGGTTTTCGATAGCAGTCGAAGACTGTGAGACGAGCGCCGCCACATTCGGTAGTGTTCGTAGAACCCACGCTCCTCTTGTATCTTGATCCCTTATACCCTCCCAAACCGCCCACTCCGCGTCAATGAGCTTTTCAATAGCATCACGCGTCCAGCCTGCTACTATGCTAATGAGGAGTTTTCCACGTAATGCCTCTATAACCACGATGTCGCTCAGTGTGGCTTCTACTTGTGAGGGGTCGACGCCCAAGATGATCGCGTGCGAGTTTTTGATGGCGGACACGTTGTCGTTTCGAGTGATGCACACGTTTTCGTACCGTGAGAAGACGAATTTGAGGCGTCTTTCGGAGGCTTCGCTTGACACGCAGGCGATGAATTGGGTGATGCCGCGTAGAGAGTCTGGAGGGGCGTTTACGAGGCTTTGGAGGATGGAGGTGCCGAGATTGCCTGTTCGATGCTGGTTTAGAGGTCTTGTTCGTATTCTTCACGGGAGACACTTACCACATCCCAGCATGCATAGTGTTTTGTCTGACATGGTTGCTGGCGAGAGTGTTGATGCCTGCAACTCGGGAAGCGCGTCTCTCGTCGTGACTCTGTTCCACAACTCTTAATCTGATTATCTTGACCTTTTCAAAAGAGTTTCAAATTCTTCAGCGTACTTGACTGATATTATCTCCGCTCTACACATTGGATCTGATGACTACGTATGATGGTCTCGGGAAGAAAGCCGGTCCCCACTTTTCTTCGCGCCATTGTCAGCGGGGAAAGCGACTACGGCCGTAGACCCACATCTGCGCTTGCATCTCCTCTGCATCCGAACGCGCTCTTGACACAGATAACGCCTAGACGCCGAAAGTAGCCATGTATGTGCAACGAAGAAGTTGTTTTCTTAGGCTATGACTACGACATTTAAAACATGAACGATACTTAATGCGCATCCTAGGAGCATGCATCGTACAAGCCCCGCTACCCTCATGCAACTTGATCACCTTCACTTCCTAAGCGTAGCCTCGCGACCCTCCATCACGCCCAAAAGAACCTCCTCCTAACTTCCTTCTTCAACGCGGTAAATTCATCCTTAGTCCTCAATACGGCGTCGCGATTCTCTACTGCCCTCCTAAGCAAATAGCCCACACACTCGCCCATGCTACCCCAGGTAGTACACTTCAACACTTCAGGCGCCTTACCGCCTTCGCCTTTTTCCGCCAACAAGGAGAAGCTGACTTCGTCTGACATGCCGTGAAGTTGTCCGTAAGCGACAGGAACAGTAGGAAGACCAGCTTCCGAACGTTGACGGTGGAGTCTATGAGCCGAGAGTACGCTTTCGCGATTGTGGGATGCGAGGAAGAGGTTCACAGAAGGGAAACGACGGGTAGATGATCCGGATACCCCGAAACTGCCTATTTGCTGACGAAGCGCACCCTGTGCTATCGTATTGTAGGCGTTATCTGTGTCTTCTTTGGTGTCATGGATCAAGGAGCGGTTGTCGGAGAGGATGTATGCACCACGCACGAGCTTGAGACCAAGAGTAAACCCATCTCTTTCCGCTTCAGCCATATGATGTGCGAGGACTTTGGGGGTATCTTTGAGGTAGGCTTGGTATGTATTGTAGATGACAGCTTTACCATTGCGGTTGAACTTGCGCATTAGTTCGAGTGTCGTGCGAGCGATGCCTGCTTGCCAGTGTTGAGACTCAGCGTCGATGATGATCTGGACATTGCGTGCTTTACATTCGGTCGCTATCTCATCCAGGGCGTCAAGCATTTGCTGGGGTGGAAGTTCGCCTTTGCTGAACGCTGATGAGACGGCTGGACCACCGCCTGTCGTTCTATAAGATGTCAGCAATGCATCTAGTAAGTCGTCGTAATCACACCTACTTCAGAGCTAAGATGTCTCCCTCGGATATGAGATCAAGCGTTCCTAGTGTGCCTATCCTCCAGGCTTCGATGTCTGTATCATACGCCACAGCAACCTTCTCATTGACGAAGTTGTCCGAGGTATGATGGTTTGCAGACTTGGTCTTGTGATCGAACACCATTTCTTTTGCATACGTCAAGATCACCCCTTTGAACCCCAGATCCTTCAGTTGCTTTACACAAGCTCGTGTCTCTTGTTGGGTTTCTCCTGCGCAGAATTGATTGTATAGCGTTCTCTTTAAGATTGCTTTCAATGCGGGGTTTCGATCTACATTGAACAAGAGGCTTCGATTCGGTTTCGAGAAGAAGGAGAGCAGGTTGAGTGATGGTATCAGAAGGAACTTGTTAGATGATATTGTGGCAACGAAGAGCGAACGGAGCAACATGTGCGTCGGCATTGCTGATAGCGGGTATTGTGCGAGTGATGGTTTTGGTATTTGTGTAGCCGTAGCCTTCATCCGTGGAAATGCAGTTGTAGAGCTGAGACGTGTCTCGAACGTATTGAAGCCATTAATGAGGCATTTCCTGCTGGCTACACATCGCAGTGTTAATCTAGTAAGCCGTTGATGAAGCATTATTAATTCAATGTGAGGTGGCGAGACTAAGGAAGCCAGGCAAAGATGCAAGAGTGTTTCAAGATAGACAATTGAAGCTGATGCGTAGAGTGCTCCTTCAACCTTACCTCTTCATGACCTTCCTTATCTCAAACCGTATCTCTACCATCTGATGCACGACCCCGCTCCACGTCTCGAACGTGGGGCATTGCCATGCTCGTGACTGTCGCGTCCAGGTCCATAGCTCGGACGTGCAACCGAATCGCGTGGAAAGTCCGGATGTGGTCGGCACTACCAATAGTATAATGCAAAAGGCGAAGTGATAAGCAGAACGAGACCAATAGTAACAATGACCGAACGCGACATCCTTCTGGAAGTAGGCCAAAGCGGGGTTGATTGTCGACGCGGCTTGGATCGGGTTATGCATGACGATGTCGGCGTAATATAAGGGCGAAGCTACCTTTTAAGTATTACGTTTGTGGACACTCGTACAATCCGCTCGTATCGCGCAAGGAGGTATGTCTTGTCTCGATACATGATCTCGTTGCAGCGTTCTGAAAACATGTCTGGACAAAGTGCACGTCTTCCTCCTAGTTGGAGAAGTGCGTTGGCGAAGCGTCTTGACAGAAGAGAGATGAGGATGGCAAGCACCCGATCATTCTCTCCGTTCATGTGGCAACTATCTTGTCTAGCTTATCGTTGGTCGTATATGGGGTGCATAAAGCGTCGATATGTAGGACACAGCTTCGTTGCGAAGAACAGCCGTGGCTGTCGCGATGAGTTTAAGAATCGTGTCTCAGACGTATATAGCAGAACAAGACTGTCTAAAAATTGCTCTTTTGGCTACATTTCTGGCATGCCGTCAGAGGATGATACCTAATGCACGAAGATGAAGGGCTTGCCGCAGGCTGTCAAGGTGGGACTTATCGCTGAACGAGCGACTTCGGTCACAGACATCACGGCTGTGCTCGGTCGTCGGTAATGCCAGCAATTCGATTTATTATCGATGCCGGAAGAGGGCATAAGACACGGTTGGATACCAGTCTCGCTTTCGAAGTGTCGGGAGGCCATCCGATCTTGCAGGAGGAGAGAAAGAACGGACCAAACAGCGTCAGACATTTTGTGGAGACGATCTTATCGATAACACTAGCGTTCATTGGGCAAGTCAAAGGGGGCATCACAACAGGACGATAACGCTCGCAACATCTGCGGGTTTCGACAATCTATGTGACAACGGGAATGGTTCCGTATCGAAAGTATGATCAGACTTTAGTCAACAGCTTCGTGTCGTGTGTCGACTGGGCACTCATGTCGCACGACTGCACCTCTACTTCGAAGGTCTCATGACATACTGTAACGCCTCAAGTTGTTTGTCCTTGCACTCACACATCACTTCTCTTGTGGCTCTATCACCATGACACTTTCTAAAAGTGATGCGATAGCTATCATCGGAGGAGGAGCGTTCGGTCTCTCCACCGCTCTTGAGCTCTCTAGAAAAGGCTACAAGAACGTAACGGTCTTCGAGAAAGATGAAGACATTCCATCGCGATGGTCGGCTGGAAACGATCTGAACAAAATCATGCGGGCAGAGTACGAAGACGAATTCTATACAGATTTGGCTGTGGTAGGTAGCTGTCTGCAGCCTGCGCAATGCCAATAGGGATTGATCGTTCGAACAACAACTGACTGATCAAAAGGAAGCCACCCACGCCTGGCAAACGCCACTCTACGCGCCTTACTTCCACCGCGTCGGCTACCTCAATGTTGTTTCCGGTGCTGCATCACAAAAAGCAGTGGATACGCTTCACCGGTTTCAAGCGGCTGCTGAGAAGCACCCGGAAATGAAGCCGTTCCTTCATCCCATCTCGGGCCCTCAAGACGTACGTGATATAGCTGGAGCTTGGCAGTTCACAGGGGACATGTCTGGCTGGAAGGGATACGTGTGTAAATACGACGGCTATGTGCACTCAGCCAACGCGCTGAGAGGGATTCATCGCGAGGCTAGGGAGAATGGCGTTAAATTCTTTCTGGGTGAGAAGGTCGGTGCGGTCGAGAAGATCGTATATGAGGGGTCAGGCAAGAGCAGAAAGAGCGTCGGTGTTCGAACAAAGGCTGGGCAGTTTCATGCTGCCAAATTGGTCATTGTCACTGTTGGTGCCGCAGCCCACAAGATTGTTCCTGAGATCGGTGCCGAAGTGTCCGCGAAATCGTGGTCAGTTGCACACGTCCGCCTTACCGACGATGAGACGGCAGCACTTCGCGGCATCCCAGTTACATACGCCCGCGACCTCGGTTTCTTCTTCGAACCAGACCCAAAGACAAATCTCCTCAAGATTTGCCCGATGGGAGGTGGTTATATCAACACTAACCCAGGCACCGGGATTTCTGAAGCACCGCAAGAGCTTATGCGCTTCGTGCCGAAAGAAGACGAAGAACGGATGCGCGAACTTCTCCGCCAAACACTGCCCTGCCTCGCCGATCGACCTCTGGTCGAGAAGTTCATATGCTGGTTTGCAGACACAGCAGACTCGGACTTCATTGTCGACTACGTGCCGAACACTTCCTCTTCTGTCATGATACTGACGGGTGACTCCGGTCATGGTTTCAAGATGTTCCCGATCGTCGGAAGGTGGGTGGATAACCTGCTGAACGCACCCGACGGAAAGCAGAGTATTCCGAGGTGGCGTTGGAGAGTGCCAAAGCAGAAAGCCAAGGGAGAGATCTTTGACCATGATGTGAGCTGGCGGATAGGAACTGTTAGAGAGATTCGCGATGTGCAAGAACAGGAAGCGGTGAAGCCGAAGATGTAGAGGTTTCGGCTTATGTCCGCCATCCGTGAAGCTCATCTTGATCATTGCGCGTGGCCCGTAGTGTGCTGGTATTGGTCATCGAATGCCCGGATCAATGATCTGGTAGTCGTCCAACGTTGCGAAAGAGAGCCAGTTCGTTCCTTCCATGTCCATAGACTCCGCTACAGCCAATATTTGCTCGGCAGTCAAGTCATCACCAAATCCACTCCCCTCGTCACTGATTCCTGTATAAGATGGTGGCACCGTATCTTGCAAATTCGGCAATCCGGCTACAGATTGATAGCCCGGGGGGAATGAAAGTGAACGTTGCATGTTTGTTTCCACGCCAATAGTGTTAGGTGACGTCAATGGTCGCTCCCTGTTCTCGGAGTACTCCGCCAACATCTCATCAAGTTTGCGTAGCTCCACGTAGCGAAACCTCGCGATGCGATTGCCGCTAGACGCAATGGTCTTAAAGAAGCTGTAAGCTTTGCCCAGATATGGCTTTTGGCCGTCCATTAGACTATGATCGATGAAACGAGTCAAAATAAGGACCACAGTTGATACGAAGAGTGCATCAAGATCCCACGGGAGGAAGGTCTCTGTGTCATGGTCAGCCCACGGCATGGCGGAGTGGCTGAGCTCTATACCTAGTAATCCTTGATCGTGTAGAATCTCTAGGATATCGATGATCTTCTGAGAAGATTCAAGTGACATGCATAGTAAATGGCGTATCTTGCGTGATGAGATCAGCGGTTGCACCTCTCTTGGTGACTCAAAGACCTTCTTCATACAACAGAAGAGCAACGGTCTAGTCACAACAACGATTGTCTAGTAGTTTGTCAGAGTTTTTCGGTATCGCAAGAGATGTGGATCCTACTTGATAGTAGAGTAGATGTAGATAAGCCGGTGTCCTCGAGATTCCGCCAAAGCGCTCGTCCGCATGCAGTGGGAATGAACGTCGGAGTTCTTCCGCTAAGGACGTAAGATCGTCTAGAACGGCCTTGATGCTTAAGACAAACTTCTTGCGTAGCCGACCTTTAGAACCATAAACAGCTAGGTGTTTGGTCAGCAATCGCGTATATGAGATAGATGTCGACCCACACACTCCTAGCTATTTCCGCATAGATACGTGCAAGCTTGATCTGCATGTCGAGGGCTGTTACTCTTTGAGCTGAGCCCCCAAAATCTGGAAGCTGACAAGTTATATCCTCATCTCGAATCGATTGAGGTAGTCCCATCAAAGATGTCATTTGGCGGTCGAGGATATATACCGTCCACCAGATCTTACGGCATCGCTGAACAAGAGGCTGGCCTAGATTTTCCACCGGCATATCGGTATGCATTCCTTCAATCATTGATATGCGCATGGCTTGACCAATCTAGCAATGTCAGTCAGTATCAACAAGATCTAATTGACGCCGTACTGTTACATGTGCTGCATTTCTTGAGTCCAATGCTTGCAGAAACAGCGCTATGCAGCAAAGTATTTCGACTGCCATCAAGGGTTCGCGGCAAAGACGACTGGTATCAGGCAAAAGTTGAACAGCGTGGGTAAAGAAGTCGGCGCCTGGCGGTCGCGGCGTCTGACTCTTCCCTTGGATGAAGGTCTTTCCAAAAGCTAGGATGAGAAGAAAGTGTATGTACCACAAGCTCTCTTTCCACATATCTCTCTCATTGTTCGAGTAGAAGGCAAGCAAGTTTGCCATAAACTCGTCTTCGTCAAAGAGATGGATAAGCTGAGCGCAGTGAAACTTCACAGCATTGAACAGAAAGATGGCGTAGTCGATACTAGGTATGATCGGGCAGTTGGAGTCTGGAAGGCTACGTGTGCCATCCCAGAGATGTTCGTATGCCGAGCCATCGAATAGCAATTCGGCGCTAGGTAGCGGTGATTTTCGGATGTGCTCGTGCACCAAATTGAGGATTTGTCCGTGGAATGACCAGTTCGAAGACGTGCCTAAATAAACTACGAAAGCTCTTAGCTGTGATTCATTAAGCGTATGCCAAAAGCTTACATGGCCGCCCAGAGGATGAAGACATGAACTTAGAGGACTCAATAAGCGGGTTCATCAGATTTGCTTCATCTGGGTCGGGTCTAGGCATGGGTGAATTTTCCCTTGTCCTCTCAAAGCTCGATGGGTTCATCAATGGTCGATTGTCATCCGCTGCTGGTGAGCTTCCATCTCTGGCCTGAGCCGTCCTATTGTTAGCCGTCGTCCTTGCTTGTGATGCACCCGGCTCGTATGTTGGATTCTGCTCCAACCGGGCTATCTTAGCCTGGAGATCGGAGAGATATCTGAGCAGCATTAGTGTTTGCTCATTCAGATAGTAGTGCTTAGAAGCTACCCTTGAGTCACTAGGATCTTATTCTCTCTATCATCGAAGATGCAAGTAAGGCTTCGTCTGCCACAATTGGAGCACGGCTGCTGTCCCGAGCATTTGATCTTCTGCCTCCTGCATCGCGAGCAACTGCCCGTAGTTGTCAATAGTGCACCACATCGGCACCATGCAAGCTGCGTACGCGTTTGATGATCGTTTAGTCACTCTTTGATGGTCGTTCGAGGATGGCATCGTGCTTGCCGAGGCTCTTCACGAATCGGAAGGACACCTGGCAAATTTACTGAGTCGTCGGTAACGACGCGAAAGTAACGCGTAAAAGCTCGCATGCAGAAGCTCTGCAGTCGTGAGCCAGAGACATCAACGGCCGATTCCGGCTAGATACCACCCGGGCACTAATGCGGGGACTGATAGGGAGATGATGTAATCGCTTGGCACCTGCCTTCGTGTGAGTGCGTGGGCACCTCTGATCCCCATCAAAGACCATCCGTCTATCAGGTGAGCTTTCTCACGCATACCTTCCGAGATCGCAACGTAGTCTATAATATGCCCGCGACTTTGAAGTGACGCGTCGACGTAACGATGCCCTACGCGTTCCCCTAGATGATCAATCTAAGCGGCTGGGTTAGCGCATCGCACACTGAGCCGTGCGTCGGGTGCGCTTCCGTCCCTCACACATGAGCGTTCCTCATCGGGCGTTCCAACCACCGCTTTACAGATTGATCCATTGGAACTCTTAGCCTCGTTGGGAAAGAATTTGTGGTCGAGAATGGAGAGGCGAAGTTAATCTGGGTCTGAACGTCTTTTCCTGTCTGGTGCCCTGACCGTAATGCCATTTACGCGACCATATGTCGGGAGGCCTCCCGATCAACTTGCGCAGCGATGCGAAGGCAGGTATGGCATGGTAAGCTTATCAGCCGACCGAAAGTTGCGGTACTGTTTGTCGCAAACGGGTATTCGCGGGCAAGAGGGTCACAGCGATATCGCTAGGCATAGTATGTGTCGTCGGAATGCATTGCCGTTGCGAACTATCGTGGAGAGGCGACTATAGAAGATAGGTCCGCGACAGAGTGCTCACTCATACCCCTCTCTACCCCACCATGTTGACCGTTCGAAGCCTCACACGACTCTCTGAAAATACAAAGCGACCTCTCACAAGTATATCGAGATGCCGCCTCCAGTGCCAGCTACGTACAAAAGCCACCGTACCATTTCGGCTACCTGACGCACGCAATGAGCCAAATCCAACTTACGAGAGAGGCTCTCCGGAGCGCACTCAGCTGGAGGTGACTCTAAAGCGCATGAAGTCACAAATTCCCCTTCAAAGCGAGATTCACTTCAATGGCAAATCACAACAAGTTTCTAGATCTTGGGATCAGCCATTACCGGCGGACCACCAAACTACCTTCACTAATTACCCACTCGCAACCAAAGAGCAGGTCTCAATAGCCATCGAGTCGGCCCTCAAAGCTAAGAAGTCATGGGAAAATACAGCTTTCGTCGATCGAGCAGCAATCTTCCTCAAGGCCGCCGAGCTAGTCGCGACCAAGTACCGGTATGAGCTCATTGCGGCAACCATGCTTGGCCAAGGGAAGAACATCTGGCAAGGCGAAGTAGACGCTGCTGCTGAGCTGGCGGACTTCTTCCGGCTGAACTGTAACTACGCGGCGGAGATCCTGGGGAAACAGCCTGAGCGAGGTACAGATGGAATGTGGTCCCGTATGGACTACCGCCCGGTGGAGGGGTTCGTCTACGCTGTTTCGCCGTTCAACTTTACTGCTATCGGTGGTAACCTGATCTCGGGCCCTGCCATCATGGGTAATGTGGTACTCTGGAAGCCGTCTCCTTCAAACATCTACGCAAGTACCATCGTGTACAAGATCCTGCTTGAAGCTGGTCTGCCACCTGACGTCATTCAGTTTATGCCTGGCGAGCCTGAAGAGATCAACGATGTCGTGCTGAATCACCGAGACTTTGCTGGGCTCAATTTCGTAGGTTCTTCAGACGTCTTCAGGTCTCTCTGTGCTCGTATCGGCCAGGGTATCGGAAACAATACCTATCGTGAATTTCCACGAATGGTAGGAGAGACTAGTGGCAAGAACTTCACCCTCCTTCATTCAACGGCGGATGTCCAATCTGCGGTGAAGCACGTCGTTCGCGCTTCATTTGAGTACCAGGGTCAAAAGTGTTCGGCGACGTCTCGCCTGTATCTCCCAGAGTCTCGATCCAAGGAGTTCATCGATACGTTAGTCGAGGATGCGAAGGGTATTACTCAGGGTAATCCACACGAAGATCTCGCCGCTTTTATGGGCCCAGTCATTCACCGTCGCTCATTCGAAAAGATCAAGGCTGTCATCGACGAAAGTAATCAGGATTCTTCGCTCAAACTCCTAGTTGGCGGTAACTATGATGACTCTGAAGGCTTCTACATCAAGCCAACCGTCTACCTTGCAGACTCGCCAGACCACAAGCTCTTCAACTATGAGATCTTCGGTCCTGTACTCGCCATATACGTCTACCCTGATGCGGAGTGGAGCCAGATTCTAGAGAATGTCGATCAGGCTGGTGGTAATTTTGCGCTCACAGGTGCTGTTTTCGCCAACTCCCGTACCGCTATACGTGAGGCGGAAGATGCGCTTCGTTACTCTGCTGGCAACTTCTACATCAGTAAGTTTGACGCGAAACGGCGCTCGACGCAATCGCTGACGAGCCATCAGACTGCAAGACCACTGCCGCGCTCATCGGCCAGCAGAGCTTCGGTGGAAGTCGCGCCAGTGGAACCAACGATAAGGCAGGCTCTTCTAATCCTATGTTTCGCTTCGTTTCTCCGCGACAGATCAAGGAGGAATTTTTCCCGGTTTTCGACTACCGTTACCCTTCAAACAACTGATTTGACGATTGGATGCTGAAGAAGAATGAGACACATGTAGAGAACGTAGGCATCGCGTGAAGGTATTGTGGTCAAGATAGTTGCGATAGGACATGTACATGAAAAAGCTAATCGATTCCGCCCTTTTCGGTGAATGTGTCGGGCTGTGCTTGTACGGCCACGAGATCGTGGTGAACTCTCACTCGTGACGCATGCATTTGCTTTGCACATCCCTGCTTGCTCATAGCTCAAAACCACCCTTCTCTAACACTTCTTCCATGAAGCTTCTAGAACTCACCGCAGTTCCCAGTCTTTATTCCCACCACACTGGTATTTACTCAACCCCTTAGAGCAAACCACAATGGATGTATTATACGTAGAAACCCCTCTAGCGCTTGAATTGTACACTCATCACTGCAGTACTGCGTACACCGCCTTTGCTTTTGCCGCCGCCCTTTCATCCCTCATCCCTCATCTTTCGTATCATCATGGCATCACCGATTAATATCAAGAATTGGAGTCCCTTCAAGATTGACGCGCTCGGTATGGTAATGCTTCTGGGCGCCGATGCGATCCGCAAGTCTACTGACCGTCTCGTCTACTCCCCCTTAGAATATCTTCCTTTCCTCGCCGGTCACATCTTCGCAGATAACTCAGTCATGGAGCCGGTTCCGGGCTTTGAGTTATACAACGTCACAGAAGCCTTCAAGGCAACTGATCTAAGCGCTTGGTTCACACGCTGGCTGTCGTGTCAGAAGTTGTCGTACAACTCTTCGCGGCATAGGATCCAAGCTGTACATCATGTCCCTGGATCCCAGACTGAGCAGTGGCTTGGAACTGGGTTAGCTGTTGTAGTGAACGCTTTCTTGATCATCTGGCCGATGCTCATAGAAGACTGGTATGGTCTCGCTGCTTCTTTCAGTCTCGTCGCTCTGGTGGTAATCCGGGCTTGCATCCTTTACGACTTCCGCGACAGCATCGACGAGGCTATCAAGAAGTTAGACGATCAAGAGACGAAAAAGACGGAAGTCAAGCTCTTCATCACCTCACCGAACGGCAAGCGCCTGACTGTTGTTACCATGACGGGCATCGCGCAAGAAGTTCTGCCCATCGAGGCTCGACCAAGGTCCGAGAACCTCCACCTGGTTAGCCGTGCTTTCTGCTGGCTGGCCTTTGGTGTCCACGCTGTCACCCTGGGTATGACATGCCTTGCTATCCAACTTCTCATCATTACAGTCACACTGGTTTCGTCTGTCGCGATGATACAAGGCTGGTTTTCGGAGGGGTCGAATAGTAATGACACCTGCATCCGTAGCCGTCTGCTCATTAATCGGCAGATTGATGAACGCATCGGCAGCATGTCTAGCATATACGTCCTTCTCGATCTGACTGAAGAGGAGGATCAAAACATGATCGCCTGGTCTATCTTTCCGACGCAGCACAACAAGCTTTGGTTACCGCCGTATGAGAAGTTCAAGGAAGACTTCATGACGACACGTGATCCAAAGGTGTTGAAAACATGGGGTAAGCCTGTTGTTTTGCGCAATAGGTGTCTTGGTGTGTTCGAGCGATCAGAGTGAGATACCTGCGAGGTCTCTTCTCAAACCAACCATGGGCAGATGGATGTACGTTAGAACCTCTGACGATCTCCCAATTTGCCGCAGTAGTTCGCGTCCGTTGATGATCATATACGTGACCGATTTTCGCAAAGGCGTACTCGATCTTGTGACGGGATTGCTCGTTAAAGAGATCGATGGTGGCTTCCACGGTCAATATCGTGCACGTATTTTCCAACGTGGAGTTGCGCGCATGTTGTGGGAGGCACAAGATGGCCCATTGATAGATGGGGCAATCGATGCAACGGTGGTAAACGATGAGGCGGTAGAGCTGGATTTGACGGATTGGTGTTTGCAGTAGTTATAATGGCGTCTAATTCATTCGTATGATATTGATTCGGTGTGTAAAATGTTGGTAGTGAAGGATGTGGTGTCGTAGTTGGCTGAAGGCGACGCGATGGGCAGGTACGATGCGAGGACGAAGCACAGGCCGCCTAGACTGTGGACATCCCTGTCATGACGGCGCAGCTGTCAGTCGAGATCCACCATCGTCACCAACCCTCAACCTGGAGTTTGTTGCTATCACCGTCGTCTTGGGGGTCAATTTCTAGCAGTCGCCATGCCGATTGACCGCTGTACCAGATGAGCTGCCTACGAACCCGCAGCCCGCGCCGCTCAGCCTCCCTACCATGTCCGCGTCGAACATCCGGGTATTCGTACAATGGAAGGACTCTACCGTGTTCGCCGGCGAAGACATAGAATGCACCATTACCTTCAAGAATGTAGCCCTGCCTGAGGGACGCGATCGCTCCCCGGTCCGGAGGCAGAACGGCTTTGCGACAGGCGGGGAGAGACAGCGCAAACTACCACCCGTCCACTCGTCGACGCGCCCCTCGGTATCCCGCAATTCGTCCTTTGCCTCGCAGCTACCGCCGTCACAGCTTCGCGGACATCGCCCTGCATTATCACTACACACGCCGTCGACAGCTGGAGACCGCCCATCGTCTGTTGCGCCGAGCATCATCCATGCCAACAACACGGGAACACACAAGCATGGAAGATCCGTGTCAATTGTGTCTTTAGGGGCAGATGCGGGAACTGAAGCCAGTCACGAGAGAGGCATACCCATCCGGCGTCCAGCAAGAGGGCACGGAAGATCAGCCAGTCTGCAGGTCGTGCCTGGCAGGCCAAACTCATATCCAAGTACGGACGACATATACAATACACGACATTGGCTGACATGATAGCAGTCGCTTCACCAGGCCATAGGTCAGCTACTCATCCATCCCCACTATCTGGCGAAGCGTCATCTCCGCTAGCCCGCGACACCAACGACTTTGCCTTTCCTGCGCGTCAGAACAGGAGACGGCCTGGTGTCACGACCACCCCGAGTACCCCAGCCCTTCCTACTACAGGGCGAAAACCGTCCAACTCCTTCTCCCAAAACTTCAGGTTCCCCGCCGCACCTCCGCCCGGCGATGCCACCCATACCCAGCCCAGTAGCAGTCCGACAAAGCAGCCCATACATGTACGGCGCAACTCGCCACAACCGCCGCATGATCACCTACGGCAATCTGGAAACCACAATCTCGAGGTGCTTTCACCTGTTGCACGGATAATATCTGGGTCGAGCATGAATGACACCCCGCGTAGTAGTGGAGAATTCTACTCGATGAGCAACAATTCCAACGAGACACTGGCTTCTGAATATGCCGCTCATCCGTCAGCGCGTCTACTACAACGTCCGATGCATCATCGACGATCGTCCCATCTGGCACCACCCAATAGGCAGGCTCTTCCGGAGTCGATAATGATGGGCTATGCGCAGATAATGGGTTCCTTCACGCTGGACGGATCCTTGATCAATCAGGCACCTTTTGAAGAGGTAAAGAGGAAGGGAGTAGTAGGCGGCCAGGGTGGAGGTGGTGTAGTGGGTGTAGAGAAGACGAAGCGCGAAAGTGGGCTCTTCGGCGCGCTCGGTTGGGGTAACATAGGAGAGTCGCTGGGTGGACTACTGGGCGCTTCCGAGCCCTCCAGTATCCGAGAGATGAGAGGCGTTGCCAGCTCCAAGACCGTGCCGCTGATCACTACACCCCAGTCTATTTTGTTCGTCGATTTGAGGCTTGCGCCTGGAGAAAGCCGCAGCTACACGTACAGCTTTACAATACCCCGAGGTCTGCCACCTTCACACAAAGGGCGGTCGATGAAGGTAGCATACAATCTCATCATTGGCACACAACGCGCGGGATCGACCAAAGAGCAGCAAGTGAAGCATGTGGACGTTCCGTTTCGGGTTTTTGGCAGCGTGAACAGTATGTTTGGTCCGAGTATACACGTATTGACATGCTAATCCTTTGCAGGCCGCGGCGAGATTCTCGGACATGACCTCATGTCCCCGTACATCATATTGCGCGATCAAGCTCGAACAGCCAGCATAGACCCTTTGTCAAGCGCGAAACTTTCCCTGACTAAGAAGGGCGCTTCTTCAGGCAAGACGGAAGAGAACACTTTCAGCGACTTTCTGGAGTATGTCGACAATCTTCTCGATCGGCCTAGGCACAATTCTAGCATGGGTTTACTTTCACCTACAGGCACCATGCCTGGGCGCTCAACGATTGCTGAAGGGCCTCAGACCATGAAGGAGGCTATTGATACAGCCATTTTGCGCAGCAACTTGACAGGCGCTGCCAATCAGAGCGCCAATCGCTTTGAGATCGCTCGCAGCGGCCGCCGTGTCGCGGTCATCATGTTGGCGCGACCCTCTTACCGGTTAGGCGAAACAATGTCTGCCGTAATTGACTTTACAGATTCACGCATTCCCTGCTACTCAATACAGATTTCACTGGAGACTTCAGAGAAGGTCGATCCGGCGATAGCGCTTCGCTCGAATGCTTCGATATATCGTGTCACAAAGAAGGTGCACGCATCCTTTTCAGAAAACGCGCTATTTGCGCAAAAGCTTGCCTTCTCGCCTACTATACCACCGAATGCAACACCGGAGTTTATTACCAGCGGCGTCAGTCTCGAGTGGAAACTCAGAATTGAGTTCATCACTCCGCGACTAACGTATGAGGACGGAGAGGAGACGTCGTGGGATGATCTCTTGGAGGAGATATCCAGCGACGACCGAGGCGTCATACTAGCAGCGGCGCAACGACTGCCCGCTGAGAGCTTCGAGGTTCATGTGCCAATACGGGTATATGGGGCTGTGAGCGGGGCGCCTGAAGCACCTGATGAACAGGGACTTCCTGTGTGAAGTTGGCCATACAAATGGCAGCCATTACCACCAGCTGCACGCTGAACTACAACGCAACAGTTGGGGCAGAGCACTGATCTTCCGCCTCTCACTACCCAGCTTTCTATCAGCCGCTTACCCTTAAGGGCCTTTATAACCTTTTGTACATGACTATGGGTCTTTGGCATACATATTGGAAGGAAAAAGGGAGCATGTTGGAGAGCACTTGTAGTATACCAGCTCGTCACTTGAGCAAGTCAGGGTTCTAGGACACAGGGTCCACGGTCCATAGTGATTTCATCTATCTATATTCATTTACGTCCATCTGTTGTGTTATTCATTATAGGCGACACCCCATAGGTAGAACCAAAGACCTAATCCCACGGCACGACCACAAGTACCATGTTTGACACAACGAAAGATCGCTTCTGCTTCCCCTTCCATCACTTCAAAATTTTAAATGTCTTCGCATTTTACCACTTTTTCACAAATTTCGGAGCAAGGCAAATCCTTTCCCTACTCAAAATGGGCTCCCTCTACGAAACATTGAATTGGAAGACGGCTTCGATCCAAGAACTGAAAGACCAGACCAAGAAACTACGGCATGGAAACGATATGATGGACCTGCAAAAGACAGTAAGGGACAGTATCAGAGCGGGGACTCTCAAAGAGGGTATCACTCTTAAGATCGAGAACGAAGACGGCCAAGTGTACATTTCCCTTGCCCCCTCACCCAGCAATCAGAACTTCATTAACATACATCTCCTATTCTAGTTTCTTCCGCCCACGCGGCACTATGATGGGCAATTCAGCACTGAACATCGAGCTGAAGAACAAAGGGGTCAGAGGCAACATCTATGTTGAACCCGCCTCCTCAAGCTGGTTCACGGGTGGATGGGCTAAGGCGCTCGTCCTGGCAGGAACGGTATATTTGTACCGTAACGAACTCCGCATTATCGGTCGAGGTGTGCTAGCTGGAGCGAATCTAGCTGTCGAGCGGTGGGAGCAATGTCAGCGTCAGCAAGATGGTGATGGGAAGGGGAAAGAGGTAGAAGAGAAGAAGGAGCAGGAGAAGAAGAAGGAGGAGGAGAAGACGTCTGTCACGCCGAATGAAGAGAAAGGCATCAGCCAAAGTGCCTCCGCATACCCTAACCCACCACCCATACAGCCACCTCGCGGCCTGTACGAATCTTCACGTGTGCGGTATTTCGACCCAAGATCACCTTCGTACCCAGCTCCATACTGTCAACGATCTAGCGAGCCCGAACACACGCCGACTCCTGCTCCAGCTCCAACTGCCTATATTCGCCAGATGTTACATGATAGGGAGGTTCAGGAGAACCGCCGCAAGAAGGCTGTGCACACATTGGCAACGGGTGGTATTGATGCATCAGGAAACTTTGATAGGACAAATTCTGTGGTTTGAGCACAGATGGTGATGATGTGATTGTACCTCCAAACAGCCCATACGACAGCAGTGGATTCGACGCAGACATGGACGTTAGTGAGGAAGAATCAGTGGTCTGTAACGGAACACGCATAAGTGGCCATTGGCCATCATAGACGAAGTCAGAGACGAACGAGGGAAGCAAGACGGAATACATATCACGCAGTGTCATTCACTGCACAAGCCTTGAAAACACAACTCAGCTCATAACCATATCGTTGAAGTCATCATGTCTCGAAAAGTGTATGTAGATGTAATCGCAGTCCATCGCCAAGAAAGCCTTCTTCACAATCGAATATCAGGCAGAAAGTGTGTCCACGAAGCCGATCATACTCGCCCGGGACCTTTATGCTGGTCGCTCACAATCCATCAATCATGCTCCCTTTGTTCGTTCGTGTCGCTTACAATCCACCGGGTCCGGCAGCCGAGTGTGCGCTGGCTCCAGCGCCAGGGCCCAGAGACGCATGTGTCGCCTCGCGGTGGGCTGCTTCGCGTGCCTCGCGCTCCTTGGTCTCGGCGGCGATTTGGTCTTCGGTCTTCTTGTTGCCTCGGGCGATGAGCTTTTCGAGGAGCCCGCCCTTCTTGGGCGTGTCGTGCTTGTCTGAGTCTTCGAATTCTTTTAGGTAGGCGACGCGCTCTGAGGGGGGCATGGCGGCGAGTTCAGAGTCGATTGAGTCGCGGTTGTCTGGTGGAGTGTGTTAGTTGTGGGTTGGAGTGAGGCTGAGGGTTTAGAAGTCTGGGAAGGCGCGATGTTGGATTGGTGATTCGCGAGGGATATGTGTATAATAGATCATCGAGAACTCGGGGGCGTGACTTACCCTCGATGGTGCCGACATTGCCAGCTCGGACATCGTCCTCAGCCGTCTTGTTCTTGCTGCTGCCAAGGTGGAGCTTCTCCTTGATCTTGTCCATTTTCAACTGATTGTTCTAGGTTGTGGGTTTGGGTATCGGGGTACGTGTGTATTGTTGACGTGGAGGAATACCAGAGGCAGGAGTTAGGTGTTTGGTGTGTTGTCTAGGTTGGAGGAGGCGCGCGGGGATGAGGGGTGATGGCAGCTTCAGCCATGCGTGTCACCTACGTCATAGCTTCAACATAGTCGAGCTGCCAGCTGCCCTGTTGGAGGTGGATCTAGTCAAGCGCGATCCATGCAGTTCATTTCCAGGTCATGCAGCGAACGCCTTGTAGTGGCTTGGGATTTGGTGGTTCTTCTCCTTATGCTTGGACTGCATCTGCCTACGTGGTGTCTGACATCAGCCTCACGAGCGGAACGCGTCGCGGACAACCCTGGGAAGCTGCAAGTGGTAATTATGGCTCTAGCATTGTTGTCCCTGCGTCTCGTATTCGACTGTCGAGAATTAGTTCGTGGAAGGGCCAGGGGACATCTACAAGATTATAATTGCGATACTCCAGTGGTTAGACTTCCACAAAGGTCCTTGCCTGAAAAAACGAAGCACGCACAGAGTTGGGAACCACATACATCAAACTCATCATAATCGACGTCTCCACTTCCCAGATGGAGGTCATGATGCCAGTAGCCCACAGTTCCAACTTCGTGTTGCTACCCTGGTCACGATAATGCGTCCCCATCAGCCCTACGAGCCGATCACCCGGGTAGTTCTTGGCAGATCCTCTTTGTCTGCAAAAGCCAGCATCAAGTTGCTTGTGCATCCCAAGATATTGTAGTAGCTTCTCCGGTCACCATAGTGCAAGAATATCGTTTGATGAAGGACTTCGGGCGTCGTGGTCCGCGCATGCGACGCTACCGGTGGCTGAGTTGTATGCCTCTTTGTGAATGATTATTATTATATTCGGTTTCGTGTGCTCATAACCAAAATCCCGCCCATTCCCAATCCACGAGTGGTATCTCTAGATGTACGCCAAATCCAAACGCCTTAGTATGACTGCCGCCCAGGATTCAATGCTGGCCATTAATTTTTATGATGCGGGAACTGGGGTGTCATTGGTGATACGCCAGAGCGCACTCCAAACTCGCCTGTCGCGTATCCGTCGTCGCTAGCCATGCCGCTCACACTGCGCCCTGTGCTACTCTCGGCATCCGCTTCACGTGGGCCAGGGTATTGCGGCAGCTGTACTTCTCGCCACCTAGGTGTGACTGGCATCATTGACTCGCCGTGCAGCTCTTGTGGTTCGTCCGCCATGCTGATGACCGTCTTCTGATCCTGCGGATATGCATGGCCGACGAACTGCTCGTTGACAGGAGAAGCGAGCTCAGTCAACGGTGTCCCGTGGAGTTCCTGTGGGCCCGCAGCTTTGTGTGGCTGGCTGCCGGCGAGAATGTCGGTTCCTGAACCAACTTCCGATATGTGCTTGCTTGCGAGTTCGTACCGTTGCTCTTTTTGCTGCTTGCCGCGACGCTTTCGGAAGAAGAATATGCCAAGTGCGACCAGGGCGAGAGCAGCGATTGCAGCGATTACTATGCCGACAATGGCACCTACGCCGAGACCCGAAGACGAAGACGAAGTTGGCGTGGCAGCAGAATCGCTCGGAGATCTGATCGTAATGACGTCTGACGCCGGTAGAGGATCAGGAAAGACTGCCTGCGCGACCGTAAAGTTTGCGCGCTGATAGTCTACTATGAGATATGCCTCCTGTAAAAGCGTCCTGCCCAGTGCATATTGTGTATCGTTCGCGGCACGGCGGATTGGAAAGTAATTCGTTGCGTTTGTGTAGTACGGGTACGAGGCTTGGAGGTCAAATGCCGCATACGGCAGCTCTATATTGGTGTAGTTTGTGGTCGTATCTTCAAGGGAGTCGACGAGTTTGAACGTGACGGTCGGGTTCTTCGATAGGAGTTCTTCGTGGATCGTGTCGTTGACAAGGTACAAGTCTGTTTGAGGATCATAGGTCAGGCCAAAGGCTGTCTCGAACTCAGCACACACGTCTGCGGGTAGCCACAGATGTGGGACAGTAGAATCGATGACAGAGAAGTGTGCTCCAGAGGTCAGGGAGTAGGTGCCCTGCAGCGTGTTTGTAGCCATGATCGAGTCCACCCCAACAGTCAGGAGCCGCGAAGGGTCTTGTGAGAAGGTGAAGGAGAAGTCGTTCGCGCCGGTCTCGAACCGTGTCGCATCGTAGCCACCCAATATCAGACTACCGAACACAGATTTCAACCTGTATTTCGCGCCTGCCGTATACGCATATGCGAAGCTGGGTATCTTTTTGCTTTCGCGCAGCAGGTAAAGGAACGAGTCGACTGGCTGGCTCCCACTGTTGAAGCTGGATTTTGCCTGACCAAGGCCCAGAACTCCCAGGTAGTAGTCCGGGTCGGCAACGGCAGCGACGACCTGGCGCGTTAGCGACACAGAAGAGCTACTGTCTGCGGCTGCTCCCAGAGTGACAGTATCCAGGCCAAACAATCCTCTCCCTGTGTAGTTGAGCGCATCCTCCAAATCGACATCGTATTGCCCTATCGCCGACCATGTTGTCGACGCGTCGACCTGGAAGCCGGTGCTTTGCGCGCTTTGGAAAACCTCTATTCCTCGGAGTTGTGGGCAATCTGTTGGGTCGACTCCATCCAAACAACCTTCAGGCGCAATGACGTATGTGACACCTCCCTTTGTGCTCGGCAGTATACGAAAGTCTTGTCCTGGAGTTCCAACGCTTATCTTGAAAGTACTCCAGCTTCCATCGGCACCGTCGAACTTATTCGAAGGTGGCACAACATACGGCTCCGGGGCCTCGGTAGCGCGCGGTGTGAGGCGCATGGTGTAGCGAGCGAATGGTAGTGAGGGTTGTGAGATGTCCCTACATGGACCTGGCGGCGATCGGTCGTCGACTTAGAGGGTGCGAAGCGTGCAACACATAACGGGGTTGTCTTTCGGAGGACTTGGTATACCGGCTCGAGTCAGCTCAGCTACCGGGAATGCGGTTCCAGGGCCATCGGAAGCTTTCAAGGCCAGAGCGGTTCATGGGCGTTTTGCTCCAAGAACCCACTTCGACATGTGCGGGCGCTGCGTGACGATCGCCCACACTCTAATTATTAGATTGGCATGGCAGTGCAGCCTGATTCGGTAACAGCAACAGGGAAGTTCGGCTAGTCTCGAAGGTCAGTCGAGCTGAATACGAGGGTATCATGGAAGAGGCGCATCCGTTGGCCTGCTAAGGGGTAGCGCGCCGTTAGTCATCGCCCCGCCCAATGACGGAGCCTTGGGACGACTTCCCGCTGATCCTCTCAGCCTCCTTTCGATGCCATCTCGGCCCAAGCGGCCACGCCTCAAGCGCCTTCGTCATGCTATTCCATGTTTTCTCTGATGGCGCTCGACCTATGCATGCCAAAAGCTAACGGCGACCTCTCAGCCAGTGTGGTCGCATGTCGCATGTCGCATGTCGCATCGGCTAAGGCACGCTGACATGTCACATATTCGCACTATCTCGCCTGACATGGTCGTGTTGTTCTCGCCGAGAACCTGAGACGTAGCCCAGCAATCTCTTCACTTGGCCCTAAAGGGCAAACCCAGTAGTTCGTCGCTCCAACCTCCAGGAGATCGGTTCAAGGCTGGATCGTTCTTGCGGGGCAGATCTCCTAGGTGATATAGGGTATGCCGATTGACACCAGGAAATCGAGACAAGCCTTGCATATGGCGCTACTGATAGCTAAGTCGTAGACTGCCACAGTTGCTTTTGGAGACAGTTATTTGCAGGTCGTGTCAGCATTAAGCTTGGTTCTAGGCGGACTTACTAGAGCATGCAAATCCAACTGATCAGCATGGCAGACGAGGGTTCAACGATGCCCTGGCAGTCATACGCGTCAACGGTATGTGCCTCGTGTTTCCGCTAAGCGTAGCTATCACTAGGGCCGTGCATGGATCGCAACCTGATCATGCGTCCGAATAGCCTCCATCGAATGGTTCGAATTCGAACAGTTTAGGGCAGAAACTGGCTGTTTTCGCTTTTGCGATACATACTCTCTTTCGTCCACAACTTCTTGCTTGACCTTCACACTGTCACTCGCTTGGTGTGAAAGGCTCATAGCAGGATGCGGAGATTTATCAGTCTCGTCGGGCCTGCACTGGTTGCGGCTGGCTCAGACGCCAACGGGCACAACAAGAGAGGTACGTCATATTCCCCATCATAATCATGTATCTGACATACCCCAGATGGTATGTAGCCGTGTTGGAATTGAAGGCATTCGTACTAATGGTTCTAGGCAAGGAATTCTCGGCCACAACACTTTCGAGTGACAGTCTATCACATGATTCGACTGCGCCGCAAGCGATTTCATCTCTTTCCCCAGTCACCAGTCTAGATTGGGTTCATGAGGTGCACCCCTGGGACACACCCACACCATTTTCTCTTGTTCCTCCTCCAGATATACCTACCTCTCCACTGGCTCCGATCTATACGAATAGCAGTAGTACCTTGGTTTCACCAATGATACCCGCAGTCGTCACATCTACTGCCTACGGACAATCGCCGCCATTCCCGAACATCACGTCAGTCGATAGCAACTCCCCAATACCTACCGACGTGTGTACCGGATGTATCATTGCAGCGTATGGCCCCATTACCACGTCTTACAATCCTGGGGAGTTTTACAACCCATGGACCAGTATAGTGGTGACCGAAACGATTGTCACAGAGTATGCGACTTACTTGCACAATAACACTATCGACACTGTGGTCACCGAGGAGCGGACTGTCAATCAGACCAAGACCCTTACCCTGGATGAGGGTCAGATAATCACGCGCTCGACACCAACATTCACCATACAGCCAACGCCAGGTGTATTCTTTCACCTTGATGCAGGTCCAACTTACGTGATCTACAACCGGCTCTCTGGTGGAGTAGAGAAATACCGAGAGGTGTTCTTGCCTCAGTATAACATGACAGCAGCAGAGTGCTCGCCGAAAGTCACACCCTTAACGAGTTGGGCCCCTGCAAGAACGGCATCCGCAGACTGGAGTTACTTCATCGCAACCCACACTGGAAAACTTCCTCCAAGCCCAGGAAGGGATGAGCCCGTGCCTTTACCATCCAAGCTTATTGAGTATCTAAAAAATGACACAGATATCCAGAGACAATTTCACGGCGCGGATATCGCTACGTGTAGCTACAGTAGACCGCCACAGTCGAACTTACGTCCGATGCCCTCTGGGACCGCCGCACCGGCTGCACCAGCTTTACCATCGGTTCCTGTCTTCCTGTCGCCCTTGACAGGCACGTATCTTGCGACCAGCTTTGAGTCCACCTCCGTTCACGTCACGGTCCGAGGTTGCTTAAGATGTGAAGACACATCTGTGAAAGATGCCGTGGACCCTACGGTCTCAGCCAAAGTTGCAGATCCTACTCCCACAAATCACAACGACGACGATGGGCATGACAACAACTCTCCGTCACCGGGCCAGCCTGATAGACCGGCTGATAATACGGCCAAGCCGACCCAGGGTGGTGGGAAGACTTCACCGAGCATTCCAGACGCGACCTCGACCAAGAGTGTGACGATTGGGGGAGTGGTCCTACCCGTCAACACTCCCAGACCGACTCAGACCAACCCCGATAGACCGAACGACGATAATCACGATCAGATTCCCCCAGTAATCATTATTGGAACCGTAACAATTACACAGGGGCAAACGAAGACCATCAACGGCGTGCCTGTAGTCATACCTACAAACGGTGGAGGAACAAGGATCGTTGTAGATGGCAGCACGGTTGCTCTCAATCCGGCAACGACGCAAGGTTTACCTCTGCTCATTGTGGGTGGGGGGACCGTCACACCAAACTCGAATGGAGAGTATGTTCTCGGATCCGAGACGTTGAAGCCGGGCGGCCCTCCAATTACTATCAATGGGAATACCGTCAGCATGGCACCGGACGGCATGGCTATCGTCAATGGTGCCACACAAACTATCGCAAACCTTCCGGCGCTTACCGGAGCCCCCACTTTGACGGTCGGCAGTCAAGCCGTCTCAGCAACCGTTGTGGGAGGGTCAACAGTCTTCGTTGTAGCGCCTGGTCAGACGATTAGTGCAGGAAGCACGCTTGTCGTCGATGGCACGACCTACAGCATGCCGGCAGAGGGTCATGGATCAACCCTCGTCATCAACGGACAAACATCGATGTTGAACGCCGGACAATCAGCCATTACTCTGGACGGCGGAAGATCCGTTACTGCGCAAGTCGTCAGCGGCACGACAGCCTACGTCCTCGCTCCCGATCAAACCCTCACACCAGGTGGCGTCCTCACGATCTCTGGGACCACATACTCCATGCCCACGGGCGCATCCGGTTCTGTCATCGTCGTCAACGGCGTCACGTCCACTTTAGCTGCTGGTGCTGAGATCACAGCCGCACCAGCCTTGACCATCAATGGCGTGACGTATGCACACACTGTCCGAGACGGAACAACTGAGTACGTTCTGAACGATGGAACAACCCTCGCACCCGGTTCCTCTATAGAAATCGACGGAACTACCTATTCTCTAGACGAACAAGGCACGGCCTTGGTCATCAAAGGGCAGACCAGCACCATTCCGAAACTTCCAAAGAGCAACAGCGCCAGCACGACACGTTCAGACTCCGCTTCTACAACGAGGAGTCGCGACGCTGGAGACTTGATTGCGAGCGGAATAGGCGAGACAAGCAAGGGAGTCGGACTCTCTACACATACGGGCGGTTTGGACAAATGGATTGAGAGTTTGGTTATTGGTGCGGCGGGATGGCTTACGCTGCTACTGTGAGGAGCTCGGCCGCCGCAGGACTTGGAGAAAAAATTGGGTGGTAACGATTTGATGCATTATCATATAGCGCGGCGCTTGGTACTATGGATGGGATATAGGGATATATAACGACTTGGGCATGCACTGAGAGGACTACAATCTGCATTTGGGTGGAGCCGGGCTTTTTGGTGGATATCGGTATAATGCGTAATGCTATTAATCTATATACTTCGTAAATCACCTCGAAGTACTATGTGACGGTATATGCGCGATGGCCTGATGTTCCACGCCGCTATGCTCAAGATGTCCTTCGAACCCATTTGAGATCTCGGCAAGTCCAAAAAGGATCTTCAAGATGGCGTACTAGTACACAACATCCGTATGTGATACTAGGCGACGATACAGATGCAAGTCTTGTCCTCTCAACCGTAACTGCCACAAACCTACTTCCCAGCCTTCTTGAACAACTCCCATGCCTCAATGAAGCTTTGCCTAGTCTCGTCCTGCTTGGCTCGCTGCTCATCACTCAGATCTCTAACAGCACAAACGCTGCCATCGTATGCCTCGCCCGAGAACAGGACGCGCAAGTTCATCCAGATCGGAACAGTCTTTGTGTCTGTACCCTTGACCTTCATCTTCTTGAACAGCTCTTTCGCCATCTCTTCCCGCAGGCGCTGAACGTAGTCTGCCCATTTCTCTTCAGTACCATTCCTAGTCCACGTCTTTCCGAAGCCTTTGCTAATCGAGTCCATCTCCAGAACGAGAGTGAGGGAGACAAGACCGCGGTAGTAGCTTTTCATGACGTTGTATCCGCCACGCAGCAACCAGTGTAGATCGTAGAAAGAACGGATCTTGATATTGAGCTTTGTAACAAGACGCTGACATCCAGTAGGAAACAGCCTTACACTGTAGTCAGGTGGCGGGCAGAGTTCGTTCGTCGGCCTAACGATCTCAAACATGTTCTTTCTGTACAGTACGGCTTTGGCCTCGGCAAAGATCTCCTTGTTCGCGCGGAGGATGTTGATGTTTGTGCGGCCGACGAGCGAGAAGCGGGTTTTGTGTCCGTCGACATGGAGGTGAACGAGCGCGTATGCAATGCCAGGGAGGAACTCGCGGCGCTCGGCGTGGAGGAAGGCTTTCTTCTCGTCGTGGAATACGGTGTGCTTTTGGCGGACGCAAATCAAGCCGGGGACGACCAGGAGGTGCGAGTAGATGATGTTGCGGATGGAGATGGGGAGGTTCATGAATGGGAACGGTTCCTTGTTGGTTACGGGGACGTCAATAGCGAGAGCAAGAGAGGCGAATGGGTCATGCTTCTCGAGAGCTGTGGATTTGGCAGTGTACGAGTCTGCTGGAACTGGAGAAGGGAGGTCGAAGTTGCCTGCGGTTGAGGCACTGCCCTCGTCGTTGCTAAAACGAACGCGTTTAGCCATACCGCCGGTCGAAGGTGGTGTCATAAGGTACGATAGCGGAGGCGTCTGTGGTCGCTCAACTGGAGGTCCCATGTTGAATGTGGATTGCGATGGGTATGAGTAGAGTTGATATACGATGGTTGATTGAGCAGTAAGGCAGGCAAGCTGTTGATAGATTGACCGAGGGAGGATATGTAAAGGTGATATATAACTACAGCAGACTCTAGGCGGGGTGTCTCCGCAATCATGGTGACGCAGAGTTCACAATAGGAAAGCTATGATGAGGTGAAGGTGAACAATGATAAAAGACCGCTACTCTTTTTCTAGTCGACCACTAATACGTGGGCTCATGTACAGGTCGCAAGCATACTGAAAACAGGAAGTGATCAGACCATGCATGACACCAGAGATCTTGTTGCGATGGGTTGAGTTGGTCGCTAGACTACATCACCACAATAGCAAGAGTGTTGAGGGGTAAGAAGAACTTCCAGAGAAGGATCGCCTGCTGCGCATCTCTTTCGCTGCAAAAGCCTTCACCTCAGCCAATTCTGTACTTCCAGGAAATCGTTAATAAATGCGTCCCGCCTAAAGTCTACATGCTTTTGGCTCTTCTAAGTTCCAAGACGCTCCTTGAAGGTGGGACGTCAACTACGTCGACCGCTACCCTCTCTAGGTAGCCTCTTGAGCTGCGCAACACAACTCAGCAGCAAAAGCGACAAGTATGTATTCAAATAAAGCAATGCAGGTCCCGAAGAGTGGATGAAGATATTGATGGAGTCGCGCAGTGGTTGGGTGACATTTCAGGTCCCGCGACCCAATCGGTGCTAGTCTCAGCGAGTGCCGAGCCGGGCTCAGAAACCTCATCGCAGCATCCTCAACTGCACCCGCGCTCCGAACGCTGCCCCATCCCGCAATCCATCTCCCCTCTACCCACCATGTCTGCAGCTCGTGCCTTCAGCACCGCTTTCCGGGCGGGTGCGCCCCGCGCCCCAATGGCCGCCCGCTACGCTGCCACCCGAAGCTACGCTGCCGCCGCCGCCCCGACTGGCTCTGCCAACAAGCCCCCGGTTGCCCTCTTTGGCGTCGACGGAACCTACGCGAGCGCTCTGGTACGATTCCCACGACTCCAATTGGCATACTGGCGATGATATGAGGATGGAAAACGGGCCAATGGCTGGGGAACAAGAGCTTGGCTAACAATTGTGGCAGTACACCGCGGCCTCCAAGACCAACGCCCTCGACCCCACCGCGAAGTCTCTCCAGGCGCTCCAGGGTGTTTTCCAGAAGGACCCCAAGCTTACCCAGATCCTCCACGCCCCCTCGCTCTCCGTCTCGGACAAGCAGCAGATTGTCCAGGAGCTCCAGAAGCACATTGGCGGCGCCGACAAGGACGGCATTGTCAAGAACTTCCTCGGCACACTCGCTGAGAACAACCGATTGGGCGTACTACAGGGTGTCGTAGAGAAGTTCGGTGTGCTCATGGGTGCGCACCGTGGTGAGGTCGAGCTGACCGTCACCAGCGCTGCGGTACGTTGATTCTGCGAAAGGACGGAAGGATAGACCCCAAGAATAGAGGAGGAAATTGCAGGGACCCAACAACTGACAACGTGCAGCCCCTCGACAACAAGACCATCAGCCGCCTCGAGAACGCCATTAAGAACTCGCAATACGTCGCCAACGGCCAGACCCTCAAGGTTGTCCCCAAGGTTAACCCCGAGATCCGCGGTGGACTCATCGTCGAGATCGCCGACCGCACCATCGACAAGTCCGTCGCCGCAAAGATGGCCAAGATGAACAAGCTCCTCAAGGATACTTTGTAAATATAGAGCGAGTGCGCATGGCGATGGATGTGAGGGGTAGGCATGTGTATTCTAGATGAGTCTTGGAAAAGAGCAATTTACTACCGTCTACCACCTGGCCACGCGCCATGACCGACTGATGACTTGAGTTTGGATTTATCCAGAAATGCATTGGAGCAGCTGATGATTTACAAAAGACAGTCAACTACCGCCCTCGTGTTCCTCTAACATGTGTAGCAATGAGCATGCCCCGCTAGCTCGCGAGATACCGTCTCAACCTGTCCAGAACCGACGAATGCCAGCTACCTACAGCGCTACAATACGCTATCACATTGGCACTGTGCTCCTACCTACCACGCGAAACCCAAGACGCTCACTGAAATGTTGTCCTGTTCATACTTCGTTTTCCGGGTTGCAGTAATCAACTCTCTTCGAGTCGTCGAAGAGTCCTGGATAAGCCACGCGTATGCTCGGTAGCACGCAAGGCTCATCTCCATTGGCCGCAGCCCACGCAGCAGCATCGTATGGCTTCGGAACCAACCATTTGTCGCTTGCCATTGGCATATCCGGTTCCACCGTCCATGGACACTGCGATGGCAGCTGTGCGCGGAAAACCCACCCACGCTTCGCATACCAAGTTTTGGCCCTGAAGACATAATACTTTCTCAATAGCTCGTTGAGGCGTTCTAGGGTATGTACCTCTTCAGTGGTGTCCTTTCCGGGGACTTCGTAGTTTGGTTCGATCTGCGGAGAAGTCAGTATGCTTCACAAGTTATTGCAACCTCAAGTACTACTTTTGAAGGGTTTAAACGATATGTACAAGGTTATAGCGTACTTACAATCGTCAGTGGGAATTTCATAAGAGAAATGGGTGTCTCTTCGATCTCGCGGATGTCGAGTGTTCGTTGATAAGGAAACTCCTTTGGGGTGGATGCTGACGTTGTAGTCGTAGTTGGCGACATTGTAGCCGTGGTTGACGACATTGTAGTGTGCTTGGTCGATCGTGCGGTAAACGGTATGCTTTGGGAATGATGAGAAAGTATGCAGGGTCCGTCATGGCTCATATACGATGTTCGCAGTGAATGTTTGTCTCGAATCCGGCGATACGTGGTTGAGGATATCTGAACTATGGTTCACCACCACAGCTTGGTTTAGCCACTTGGGAAGACAGCAACGAGGCACTCACAACCAGGGACTTTATTGTCTGCGCCAGTCATTCTTCAACAAAAGATATAATTCGATTGGGTATAGTACTGCATAACTCAAACACGAAAACCAACCAACAGGAAAAAGCTATCGGATAGCAGCCAAAAACAGCAACCCCCTCCTCAGCCTCGACACAGCCTTCTTCACCCGATTTCTCTTCCTCCACTTCCTCGCACCCAGTTTCACAGTAAAAGAACGCCCATCGCCTCCATATACTACTTCAGTCTCTTCCCTTTTGAGCCATTTGGCGTAGTCTGGAGAGTCTGAAGAATCGGAAGAATCTGAGGATTCTGCATGTTCGACCGCGAGACCGCCTGTGCATACGAGCTCCCCGTCGATGAAGTGGGAGGACAAGGGAGTGAGGTAGTCGTCCGTGAAGGGATTTGATGGGGATTTGTCGTTTGGAGTGGATAGGTCTACTACGCTGTCGTTTCGTTGTGGTGATGAAGATGTTGTAGTTTGTATATCGGACGCAGCATCCCCATAGTGTGTTTTGAGCAGGGTGTCTAGTTCGCTTTGGGAGGAAATGCGGGTTTTGCTGCTGGTGTCGTTGGTGGCCTGTTCGTACTTGTCAGATACTCTTTCGCTCGTTTTCAAGATTTCTGTGAGTAAGAGGGGGTAACTTACAACAAGAATCGGAAAGCAGAGGCGAGTGCTATCGAAACCCGGTGCTAACGTGGCGATGTGCCAGGTTTTTGGCATGCGCGGTCGTTGCGCGGGCATGTTGATAGTGGTGATGCGAAGAGACACTGGTTGAAGGTATAGTTTGTTCGTTGTGGTGTAGCCAAGGGTATGAGTATGAGACGGCATGGAAGATGGGCGCCGGAAAGAATAGTTGAGAGATAGAGAGAAACACATGCCACATATCTACTATACGTGTCTCTAACATGACTCCCTACTGCGGTATTGCTAACTGTAGTTCACTCATAGGCTCACGTGTAGACAGACGAGGCGGATGGACCATGGTTATGGTGAGGAAAAGTGGATCAGCTCGTGACGTGTATCACGATGTCGCTAAGGAGTGGAAAATCAGGCGAACGTCATCACTTGATCGCGCATGGGATCGCCAAAGCCAGAATGACAGAAATATGGATACAGCGATGAAACACTTCGGAGGATACAATTCGAATTCGAATTCGAATGTGCGTGTGTGAAGACTGATGTCTAGCCTCCCTCTGATGACCGACCTAAACCTGCCAAACATAGTCCATGCCAACACAAGGCTCGGCGCTTACCTTCTCGTCAACTTCCATGACAGAGTCGCCATCATCATCTTCTTCATCGCAGACAGTGCCCCTGACAAGGCTGTCTGCATCTTCCATGATGATTTCCAAACCCACCCTCACATCCTCATCCCCGTCATCGATACGCAAACAATCATCACTCCCCTCACACCCACACATATCATTCCACTCCTTCTCCCAAGGATTCACCAGTAACTTATCCCTAGCTTCCTTGCCCGACCTCTCTCTCACTTCGAGGCGCAAACTCGCTACGTCAACCCAGCTGTTGACAATTGGATTGATTTCGACACCCTCATCTATGACCTTGATTCCGATCTAGTGAGTATGCGTTAGCAAAGCTCAACCATAGTGTGACGATTGGGAGGGCATTTTACGATTTGTGCGGGATAAGCGGCGATGAAGTCTCTATCGGGTTGCCATTTTACCAGTATGGTGGCGATGTGGTATTGTGGTAGAACTTTGACTTGTTGCCCTGGCCCCCAGTCGTGATGCTCGTAGTCCGTATCGCATGCTGTGTCGGACGTAGCGCAAGAGAGGGTTGAGAAGACTCCCCGGGTCTCAGCCGGGTCTGTCGTGAACTGCATCGACATGGTGTAGTAGGTTAGGACTGTTGTGTGATGAGTAGAAATTCGTGGTGAGTAGAAATTCGTAGTGAGAAGAAATTCGTGGTGAGGTGTGTATGCTTTTGAGAGGAAAAGTTCAAGACGAGTATATACTATAGATAGCTGGAGTTAAACTGTGGTCCTGTTTCTGACTTTATGTCATTATTGCTCACGTATCGTAGCCCTCCAACGAGATCGAGAGTGTTTTTAAGGGTGAGGCGCGACAGCTGGAGTCATAGGATGTAAAGTTGACGTAGATGGATTTCACTGCAGCTTGCAGTAATTTCTGCCATGATTTACTTGCCAACGACACAGACTCACCTCAACAGCCATGCCTAAGAAACCAGCGATACAGATACCTCCAGAATCACTCACACTAGTCGCGCCCAGGCTGAATTCCCTATCCTCTTTCGGCACGTTATCCGTAATCTCGGCAAAGGTGCTGACATAGACCAGCCCACCTAGGAGACCTTCCCAAAAGATGATTACGCAAACGATGTAATAGCTCGGGATGAAATTGAACATGGCGTGCAGCGTGAGGACAATGAGATTGGCGACTTGAAGAAATGACGGGACGTAGAGGTGGTGTATGCGTATGAAGGGTGTGGAGGAGCGCGAGATGAAGACACCGACCTGGTAAATGGCGCCGTATGTGCTGTAGAAGGAGCGGTATTCGTCGAAAGGAGAGGATTCGAGAGGGAAAAGCAGAGTTGGTGCGACGCCTTGGTTGATGGTGTACTCGGCAATGTAGACTAGAAGGAGGGGCAGCATGCTGTGATGGATTAGTCTGGAGCGTTTCAGGTCTTAGTAACATGCTTACTATGGGAAGAACAGGCCCCGCGCGCGGTTGAGGTTTGCGCGGAAGCTACTTAGCGCACTGTTAGCACCGTTGTTACTGACAGAGGGGAAACTGCGCCCTGAAGCCGAGTGCATGGATGAGGACAACAGGTCGTCTTGTTCCTGCGCCTGGCCTACTTCCTCTTCGTCATCGTCCCCGTGGTCATCGATGGCTTCATAGTCGCCTTGTTTTTGGATGCCAGCGCGCAGTGGACCGAGTGGAAGGATGATGAAGAAACTCAGCACCATGATTTGCGGCAAGAAGGAGAAGACGAGTAGACTTGTACGAGGGGTGATGCCGAGCGTGTTGGTCGCAATGGCATAGGCTCCGGCGCCGATCAAGCCGGCGCCTCCCGTGCCTGAGCCCCAGGAAGCCAGAGCGAAGTGGCCGTAGTAATGTGTCAGGCCAAGGAAGCTCAGTTCACCAGCTCCACTGCTCAGACTGGCAAGCATCACTCCGCACATCTTGATGGCGATTGTACCCGAGTCCTGCAGTGGAGGCGTGAGGGCGATGATGAGCATGCCGCATACGGAGAGCCCGACGAATATGACGATGCGCACATTGTAGGGGATCTTGTGGATGAAGTACGGGGCGCACAGTTTGGCCAGAAACGAGGGAATGACATCGGCGAGGAGCACGACGCCTTTGGGGACATTTGGGCCGACGAGGTCGAGGGCGGCTGAGAGGATGATTACGTAGAGCACGTTGTTTATGAGGCCTAGGCGTGTTAGTCGCGTTGGACAGGATAGTGTTGGTGCCCCTCTTTGAAGGTTCAGGTGCATGCATACCGAACAACCAAAAGGCGGCGCACACACGTGGGTCGGCGCCATGGAAGATAGCCTTGAGGCGCGCACGGTATACGGCCCAGGAAGAAGCGGGAGAGCCAGGCATGGGGAGGAGCGGCATAGGATGCAGAGGTTGGTGTTGCTTCACATATCGCAGGTTTGGAGGTGATGGCTACGGGCACGTGTGGCGCGGCTCAGACGACGAGGGGCAGCTGCTGGCTGTGTCGGTGTTGATGGCTGGGCTGGACTCGGACATGGATGGGTGCACCTGCCGATCGGGCTTGGCGCGAGGCGGTCAACTGGGAGGAACGATTCAGGAACAGGCTGCATGGGAACGGGCGTCGCATGTTCCGACGAGCATGGGTGTTTCTTTTTGTGCGCAGAGCGGGCAGTCTGGGCGGGGCTACGACGAACTATTGCCAGGGGCTCTCTGATATACGCATCATCATGCGCCCGAGGGCTTTGAGTCGAGCAAACGTCCTGTGGCCTTGTGGGCGTGGTGTAGGCGCTTTGTGCGAAGCAGCCCTATCACATCGCCAGTGCCTGCCCTCTAGTCGGGCTCGCGCTTTCGTCGCTGCATGCGGGGCTGCGCTAGAAACCTACAGGGATCGTGACGCTTGGTCCCATTGCGCCTTCTCGTTTCCTCGCATGCTCGAGGCCTCTTTTCTTCCGCAATACTGCTGCTTGCTCTGAGCCGCACCCCTCCACACGACGACGACCAAGACGGCGACCATTGTACTCCTCACACTACGCTAGCGAGCGGGAGCATATACTGCTATCCCGTACCTGCGACACTTTCATCCTCACCACCTCTCCGATGAGCCCAAGCCGACTATGGACCGCCCGCCGCCGTACCAACGTCCACCAGATCGCCCTATGAACTACCATCCGCAGACAACGCAAGCCTACCCAGGCCGCCCTCCAGCGTCACAACCACAATCTCAACAGCCACTCCACGCTCCCTATGCCGCCGACCCGTACTCGATGCCCCGGCGCGACCCATTCTTTCCTTCGGGGCCACAACACGTTCGACGCAGTAGTCAAGGACTACCGGCTGGTAATAATGCGCCGCAAGGCCAGAATGAAGGACAAGGGCAGGGTGGCTGGTCAAATACAGGTACGCGCTGCCATTTCCACAAATGTCTTGAAGAGCACATCTGCGCATTACGCACTGAGGGCGGAGGGTCTGTGTAGCCTGGAGACATCTGTGCAATTTTTTGTACCTCTTACCAGTCACAAAAGGTGCCCAAGTCACCCAGGCTGCATTTTGACCTCTATGTCTCAAGTCTGTGGCACCGCTCGCGTGGCTGTCTGGTGCTCGAGGAACAGGCAAGAGAGACGGTAGTGGGAAGGCATTGCCTGCATGGATGTCTGCATGACACGTCAATTGCGAAAAAGCACTTCACCGCCTGTCGCCGTCATATCAACGCAGGCAAATGCAGGCAGTCTTTCCTTACTAGTGTCGCCATGCCATCCCGAGCCACACCAACATCTGGGTTGCTCAACGGTGCGCGCCATTTGTCGGTGGAGATGGCATGGGTCTGGCGAATTCTATGGCGCACTCCGCAGATGTGGCTCCTAGCTAATGCACGATCCGCGGGCCTCTAAACCTCTTTCGAAAAGTCGCGACTCGCCGTCCGAGCTTGTGCTGATCCATGTCTTTAGCGCGACCGATTCACTACGAGACTCATCACTCCCAGACGAATCCTCCACCGCAAATGACTACTTCCAACAATCCTCCAGCCCCGGCGCCCTATAGCTTCGATGCTGCGCGTGCCTCGTCGCTGAACGCCGCCAGCTCGCCGAACCCCTATGGTACAGCCCCGCTTCCAAAAGCAATGGTCAAGCTTTGTCCCAAACTAACTCTCCTCCAGGCCCGTCTCACGAACCTCCACCTCCACCATCCTTCGCGCGGCCCCAAATGCCTCCTCCATCGTCCCCCACACAGCAGCATCTGCATGCATCCCAGCCGCAGCGTTCGCAATACACGTCCAACTTTGGCGCCAACAGAGAGCTTCCTGGCCTAGGTCAGGCGTTGCGACCGGGAAGCAGCATGTCCATCTCATCTCTTATCGGCGGCGGCGGCGGCGGCGGTGACACAGGTGCGCTCAACCAAACAGCGCAATCACAGCCCTCGCCTCCCACCAACACTCAAGTACCCAACGGCCACAGCATGCAGCCACCTTCGCCTCGACGTGGCCTGCCTGTTGGCTCACGGTCGGATTTTCCTCTGTTTCGCCGTCAACCCACCCCAGAACGCAACATGTACGGCAGCAATACCTCGCGGCCATCTGAAGGCCATGCGTTCTCGGTCGGCTCACCCAGACAGTCCTACAGCAACCATGGCTCGCCTGATCCGGGCCGCCAGTCGCTGCCACCAACGACACAACCCTACAAGCCCATGAACTTTGCCGGCCACCGCCCCTATGCGCAGGATACAGGTCGACAGCCCGCCGGGAATGTCCCACCCCGACCGAATAGCCAACCGATGGGCCCTCTAGCAAACACCGAACAAGAGGGCAGATCTTCGTACGACGGATTTCCAGGCCGGCGCAGCGCATACGGGCCAAACGAGGAGCGGCGACGCACACTGGGGGAGTCGCATCATGCAAGGCCCAATGCCGCGGAACTCTTAGCAGGCACAAACCACAATGCCTCGGAGAGGGATCGACCCGTGACTGTTCACCCTGTGTCGCAGTCTGGCTTCAGTCCACCTCAGGCGCAGCGCAATATCTCTGGCTCATCGGAACCCCCACGCAGTCTGTGGCGGCAATCAGCGCCCACCGGTACTGTCCGTGAACCTCCTCATGACAGTCGCGCAGAGGAACCTCCGCCGATGCATCGCACCTATGGCCCTTACCCCCCATCCATGCTGGGCGCTCCCCGATATGGCGCCCAAAGTTCAGAGGAGATGTTGCGACGCAGTGTAGATCAGTTGGGCCATCGCGTAGTCGAGCAGTACCACGCTCCTCCTACCTCCGACCCCAACTCCCTAGAGCGACAGAGGACCGAGCCACTCGCACGCTCTTTATCCTCCAGCGGAAGATCGCTTTACGACCAGCCTTCCAGGATGGGTGAGGCCATGCAACACTCGAAATCACACATTGGCTTTGGTTTGGAGGCGAGCAGACGAACGGGCAGAGCGTCTCCGCTTCCACAGGCTGTTCAAGGGGCCTCAATGCAGCCCTTGTCCGTTGGCAAGGATCCTGGCATCAAGAGCGAATTCGGGCGCATGTTCTCCGGTCTCGGCAGCGGGCTGGGATCGACAACCCCCTCGCGGGGAAGTCCCATGCCACAGAACGGCCAGGGCTCATTTGAATCGGACAACGGCGAAATGATGAGAAGGATCGGTTCTCAGCAAGGAAGGAAGCCGAAGCGAGTCAAGGATGAGGAAGGAATCTTCGATATCGAGAATATTGATGGTAGAGGAACACCTGGCGCGCGTGGGACCAAACGGAACAAGCATCATCATCATCAGTGAGTTCCCTCGGTGCCATTTCAGATGCGTACTAACAGCATAGTCACCACCATCATCACCACCACCAACACAAGCCCGACGAAGATACGTCAATTCAGCCAACCTCAACTACGATCAACGGGCGGCACCCCAGTCTGCCACAAGCTGGCCCTGGCCAGTCAGTTCACCACCACCATCACATTGGAGGAAACCCACATCACCATCATCACCACCACCATGCCCCTCGACCTAACCATCAGCCGATGCAGCAAGTAACAAAGGTCCTGACCAAAGTCCACGATGTACAGCCTGTTCTTGACGAAGCTGCGAAACGTCCTCGCAAACATCTTGGATCGCAGCTGTACGATGCAAAGACAGAGCTACCCAAGCCCAACTCATCGTTAGATGACCAGTTTGGATACGCCTCGAAACCGCAACGACTGCCTCGCTTCGACGTCAACCCCATCAATTGTACGTTCACTATCAGAGTACCGCGATACTACCTGAAGCCACGACAACGCCAGCATGTCGTGTTGGAGAGGCATCTGTGGGGTGCGCGCGTGTACCGCGACGATTCAGATCCTATTGCTGCTGCGATCCATTCTGGATGGATCCGTGGTGAATGGGATGATACTGTCGATGTGACCATGCTCGATCCACGCATCACTGCGCCGAACGACCCAGCCGATGCCGCTGACGTTCTAACAAAGGTGCCAGCGGCGCCAGTAACACCACCCGCCGATATGGACTTGCAGATTGAGATACTCATCCTGCCGCAACTCCAGGAGTACACCGGTTCCGTCGAGTATGGCATCTCGAGCAGGAAGAGCAAGGCTCATGAGGGTCTCAGCTTCATGATCAACAAGATCCGATGGGTTGAGGAAGGCATCGGCAGTCGGGGACAGGAGCGAACAGCGGCGGCGTTGAAGCGACGATTGGATGCCAGCGCGACTCTACTTGCTTTGCAAAGTGGCATCGACAATACCCACAGGGTTAACGGCATGGCCAAACTGCATGCTTGATATTTAGTTGGATGGATCAAGGTCCATGACATATAACGGCCGTATGGAGAGTGATTTCACATGGCATTTGTAGCGCAGGATGATTTTAGCATTGCTAGATACCCGCATCTTTATAGCTTGACTCTGGCGTAGGATTGCACATAGCGTCGGCGAATCTGGGAAACGATGTAATGAGTTGTTGCACACGACATGATAAAAACTGTTTACTTTTCGCATTATTAATCTGTGTTGATGGGTGCTTTTTCAAATGTACGCAATGCGCTGTTATCAGATCAGCCACACGTGGGGAGAGTGAACCAATCCCGCGGCGATCACACACTGCAGTACCAGAGCGATAGCGGCCTGGACGTACCCCGGGCTTGCGTGTACGCACCTTAAGCAAGAGCAGTCTATCCCGTTTGCGTGTTGTGTATTTGATCCTTCCACCTCCAACACCCAAGCGACAGATTGCGAGCGAGGTACACGATACTTTGGCAGCCCACTGCCCCGCCACGACGAAAGCTTACGTGACGCCCTCATCACAACGCGTACAATAACTGATGTCAACAATGCATCACCGGACTTACTCCATATCTACTGTAAGTAGTCTTTTTTTCCTTGCTAGCATCTCCAGGATGCACCATTGTTTTTTTGCCGATTTACGACGACTGGCGCGCGACTACGACAGTGTAAAGAAATTTCGCTCCCATCCATCACGTCTTTCCGGGAATCGGCGGCTTTAGGCAGGCATGTTTCTGGACCCCCTAGCTATGTCGCTGGAGCCATTGTCGTCATACCGCAGAAGCATGTGGCATCATGGCACACGACCCGGAGAGCTCGTTGCAGTACGGCAACGGCTTGAAGTTTTGGAGCTGTCCTGATGGTGCCCATTGCTGCGGGCAAGTACCAAGGAATGCGCATGGTAGGCGCCAACGATGACCGTTGCTGGCACTGTCACGAATGCCGGACATGTGGACACATTGGACTGCAGCCACACGTGCTATCGAATAAGAATCACCCGTTACATCTGCTCCACTGCGCCCGCTAGCCTGGAGCCGCAATCCGAACGCTTATTGCTCTGGCTTGTGAAAAGAAGGACGCCGTACCGAATGCGGGGGAATCATCGTCAATCAATCCATCTCCTCTCGCTTCTTGACTGCCGGGCCGACCTTACGACCCTGCAACACGACACTCGACGTCCATACACTTATTGCTTCACCTAACAGACGACTTCAGCCGTGCGACTCCACAGGCTTCTGTTGACCGCCTAGCATCTGCCCTTGCTGCATCGTTGATTAAAAGCCGCATTCTCGCTGCATCTCGGAATACCTTCGGCTAGATTTCCGATTCATATAACTTTTACTTCGCTTCGCCAGTCGCATCGTCACTGGCTTTCAGGGAGCTGGACTTGCCGCATACAATGACCGACTCCAATGCCGACTCCAATGGATTCTACGCGCCCAATATGCGCGCGGTGCCTGCTGGCGACTTCGTAAGACCAAGCAGAAAGACTAACGGTGCTGGTGTACAGGCCGAAGACACGCGGATATGCGTCGTCATGGTAGGCTTGCCCGCGCGGGGCAAGAGTTTGATTGCACAGAAAGGTAAGCTTCTCCTGCGCGGCCTCATATAGCCACTGACGAATTGCAACGCAGTGGTTCGCTACCTACATTGGCTATCGATCAAATCCAAGACGTTCAACGTTGGCCAGTATCGTCGTACTGCGACCCCAAACCCCTCCGCCGAATTCTTCGATACCTCCAACCCAGAAGGAGAACGCCTCCGAAAAGCAGCCGCTGAAGCAGCCGTTAATGACATGTGCAAATGGTTTTCCGAGGGCAGGGGCTTGATCGCGATACTAGACGCCACAAACTCGACCAAGAGCCGGCGCAGGTGGATACAGGAGCGATGCGCTGCTGAGAACATCGAGACACTATTCGTTGAGTCAAAGTGTGACGACGAAGACCTCATCATGAGCAACATATTGGAAGTAAAGACGACATCTCCAGACTATGTCGGTCAAGACCCCGAGGAAGCTGCAGCGGATTTCCGCAACCGTATCCGGAACTACGAGAAGGTGTACCAGACCATAGACGAGGACGAGCGCGACCTTACATACGTCAAGCTCATCGACGTGGGCAAGCAAGTCATCATCAACCAGATCCAGGACTACCTCCAGAGTAGGGTCGTCTACTACTTGATGAATCTCCACATTAAGCCGCGCTCGATCTGGTTATCGCGAGTAAGTACATGTCACAAACCCATGCTATGAAAACTAATCAAGGCAGCACGGTGAATCCGAGTACAATCTCACGGGTCAGATTGGAGGAGACGCAAACCTGTCAGAGCGAGGAGATGCTTACGCGCATGCGCTACCCGGTCTGGTTGCGAAATCAGTCGGCGACGGTCGTAAACTTACCGTCTGGACCTCAACCTTGAAGCGAACGATTCAAACCGCGCGATTTCTCACATTCGAAAAGTTGGAATGGAAAGCGCTCGACGAACTCGACTCCGGCGTCTGCGACGGTCTCACATACGCTCAAATCGAACAGAAGTTCCCTGAAGACTTCAAGCAACGCGACGAGGACAAATACAACTACCGCTACCTGGGCGGAGAGTCATATCGGGACGTTGTCATTCGTCTGGAGCCCATTATTATGGAGTTGGAGCGCAGCGAGAACATCTTGATCGTTACACATCAGGCCATCCTGAGGTGTATTTACGCATACTTCATGAACGTACCGCAGGAGCAGAGCCCATGGATGGAGGTCCCGCTACACACGTTGATAAAATTGACGCCCAAGGCGTACTCAACACAGGAAGAGAGACTGAAAGCCGACATACCGGCGGTCAGCACCTGGCGAGGTAAGGGCAGCAAGGCTGAGCATCAGCAGGCAAATGGCGGTACATAGCCTAACTCCTATCCAGCTCCCGGGGAAATTTGCGGCGCGCCTGCTCCCCTGGGAGCGGATGTTGGAAGAATCGTAACGAACTAGGCCAGTGCAAGCCTGGCTCGACACTATAGACGGGCAAAGAAGGTTACTCAGGGATTTGCGCTTCGATCAAGTCGGATTTGATCTCTCGGCGCGTGTGTTAAGCATTGGGCATAGATTGGCATTTCAGCGTTTTGGTCACATCACTAGACGGCAATATCCAAGGTCGACGGTCAAGATGGGAAGGAGTCGACGTCTCCAAGCATAGCAGTAGCTACTAGATATCAATGTCAAAAACCATTCGATATCAGAACGGTCTCGAGCAATGCATATGCTCTTAATTCATTAGAACCTAAGACGCAGGCACCACGCGAAGCACTAACAGACAGGCACGTACCACGAGTCTTGGGAAGCATGATCGTAGTGCCTCGTCGCTGCCACCTTCCCATCTAGTCCTCCCCCGCGGACATTGACCATCATCGCAACCCCACCCCAACCCCAAGCTCCTTCCACACCGCGCATACGCAACGCCTCATTAACACATCCGTTCTGTAAACGCCTCAATCCCAGAGCTCCCTGCCCAGGCCCCAGCAATGCGATCATGGCATGGCCACCCCCGAACCCCGGCGGCGTAAACCTCCAATTCATCGCCGAAGCGCAACAAATCATAAACAGCCACAACCAGCACCACCAGCACCACCAGCACCACCAGCACCACTCGCACCATTCGTTCACTCCCGCCACCGGCGGCCACGCTCCCATTACCAACGACGAAATTGAATCGGAGGCTGCATTCAACGCCCAGTTCAACGAGCTGGGACGCAGCACGTTAGACTACGATGTACACACCGGTGTTGGTTCCAGTAGCGGAGGATACGGCGCGCATCGTTTACATGGACAATCGCCACAGGCTGGGGGAAGTGGTAGTAGTGGTAAGGGGGAGGCTCCCAGCAAATCCACGTTAGAAACACGAAAGAGTCTACAGGCGCGGGGGAAGAATTGGCATTCTGCGTCTGGTGAGGTGCAGGGGAGGGCGTGGGAGGAGCGACAGAGGAGGGATGAGGCGGTTAGTATATTGGAGAGTGAGGAGATGCTCATGTGGATTGCGGGGGTGAGGAATGAGGTATGTCTTTTCTATCTACTTCTCTTCTTTATGCGATGTCATGCCATGTGCTGCGCCTTTTACATGAGTTGAACAAGAGGACGACTGCTGATTCGTGGTGCATGGATAGAGTATACCACAAACGCGCGCGTTTTACCGTAACATCGTCCTCGGTCTTGAACAGCCGCCTGCGGATTGGAACGACGAGTGGGAAGTACAAGGTACTGGAGGGTCTGGAGCCGCAGAAGGGCAGGGTACTATGGGAAGTGGGAGTCCAGCGAGGAGTGGAAAGGGCAAGGAAAGGGACATTGCGAAGATGAGGAAAAGGGTTAGTTCAGGACAAGCACCTGCTTGAACGGAAGGTCATGGGTTGATGACGAGATATTTTGGCATTATTTTGGATTCAAGGCGGATCGCGTTATACCCCAGTTTTTGTTCTTGTCCTATTCATATGAAAGAAGTTTGTACTGGCAAGACGTACAACATTACTATTTTGCGTTGCGTAACTATTTGTTTCTTCCGTCTTATTCTCATTCGTTGTTTCGAGATTCATACATGGCCTTCGCCAAACGCCGTGTCTTTCTTAACTGCTAAAGCCCAAGCCTTTGCCAGCCCAGGCCAGACCGAACCCAAAGAACGATTGATACCTTTTCACCAAGGTCGCGGAAAATGCCAAAGCCAATCGGTTTCCCCTAACTTTCAACCGCATCTCTGAGCGATATCTGCCAAACCGAAAATCGTACATCTCACATACCCTCCTCCATACCGACATTCCTCCACCAAGGCTTCTCCCCCTCGCTACTCGCCTTATCAGCAAACATATCCGCCGCATCGCCCACCTGTCTTCTCTCACTAATCTCCCTGCTAACCTGACCCGAAAGCTTGAGCTTCATTGCTTTGCTCGCCAGGAAAGGGTTATACTTTCGCGAACCGTTACCTTGCGCCATTCCTCGGGATGACCGGATGAGTTCGCTCGACGTCCATCCGCCCCTCATGACGGGTAATTGCTATTGCAGAGGTTCTGAAGAGGAGGAGAGGCGATTGAGGTGAAGGTAGACGTCTGTGCCGTAGCTGTAACCGATGTTGTTAGTAAAGGGATTATCTTGGGTTGTGAGTGGGAAGTGCGTACCCTTCCATGGAAATCAACTTCAAATCTCCTCCAAAGTAGCGCGCGTATAGCCTTGAGATGGGCAATCCGTAGCCGAAGCCAGCCATAGGTGCTTTGAAATCGCTCTTGTTGAAATCGGGGTCCAGGCTCGGTGTTTGGTCGACAGTCGTATACATGTATGTCCATACCAGCGGGATCGATGATCTAGGGATACCACCTCCTTCATCCGAAATCTTAATTGTGATATCCTCCTTGCCCTCTGCAACGATGACCTTGGTCACAGGGAACTCTTGTTTATCCTGTCCATGTCTTTCCACCACAGCGCGAAGAGAGTTCTTGAGAGTCTCAAACAGCATGTGCGACAAATGCCCTGGCACATACATGAAGCTGATATCCGGGTTGCATACAAGCTGGACCTTTGGTGCATCGAAGAGTCCGTAGTGGTCCTCGCAGACGAAGCGCGCATTCTCGATGGCCTCTTGCGCCAGTTCTTGGACATTGGTTTTTGTGCAGATTATACCGACGTAGTTGGGATCGTTTCGCGAGCGTTGGTCTGTGAGGGCGATGTGCTGGCCGATGAGCATACGGATGCCGATACGCGACATGTAGAAACGGTCGAGGAAGGCTTGGATGTTGTGGTCAATCTGCATCCTTTGCCTCTTGCGCTTCCATTCCAGAATGCCTTGTGCGACCGTCGTAACGACGCTGTCGTGCCGCCTCTTGATCTTCTCCAATGTGTCTGCGAACTTTGTGTTGTATGCGCCCAGCTCTGGCGGCCATTCCTGTCCGTCGTCTGCGGCGGCATAGTATCTCCGGCTTGCGCCTTTCACTTCTTTTGTGATTGTGCCGCCGTTTCCGTTGGCATTGCCGTTCCCGTTACCATTCGTCGTCGGCGCGGACCGGTATTGTCCCGTTTTGATGCTAGGGTTCTGCGTCGGCTTGCTCATCAGGTTCTTGTCGCCGGCTTTCTTCGCTGGTTTGAGTAGTCGCTCCTTGACCTCGCTCGAGAGGGTCGGCCGGGGCAGTTCGACGAGTTCCTGTCAGATGAGTCAACGCGCTCCAGCAAGAACCTTAGCAATACACACTTCGAATGACTGCGCATACCAGTCGCGCACTCTTTGGATCGACGGCATCTCATTGAGGCCATCTGGGAGTTCATTGAGCTCTTCCACCCGGTGTGCTAACCGTATGGGCAGTTCTTCGGAAAGGAATTGTGACGCGCGGAAGAGGGTTCCTGTAGATGGCTTCTCTCCAAATTGTACCATTTGCCGTAATGATACACCTGATTATGTGTCAGACGAATGCTGTAAGTGACCATGCGGACTGCATACCGGTTGCTGGAAAGTTGCTGTAGTGCTATCCCAATGTTAGCTACGACCGCGACTGTGCGATAGGCTCGCCTACCTTGATGGTGTCCATCAGCCTCTCGCTGCGTTTCCACGACATGGTGTCAATTGTACAGGCCGAAACGGCCTTTGTCGCTGCTTATTCGCCAAAGTGGTGCTGGTGATGGTGGTGTTCACTGTCGAGCTACCCGAAGCACAGTTCCCGCCCCACTATGACGCTAATTGGCCTTGATGATACAGGCCGAGGTAACGGCGCGTCTGGATACTGCGAAGCGATTTGAGTAAGAGGAGGGTGAAGTGGAAGAGAGACGCATGTGCTCGTGTGCCCTATGGCACAGACTAGATGGTTGATGTACACGGAGTCTTCCGGCGATGACACCACTGCGACGTGCACCTGCGCTTCCCCCACACTTGACCTGCTTTCACGTGGAGATGATGTGGAAAAGGCGCCACGAAGCCTCACGCTTTAACTACTGGCATCCCGCAGCTGACGAGACACAATGTGTCTACTCTTTTGAGTCCCTATTGCTTTTACTACCCACGCTGTCTAGCGAAACGATTTGTTGCCATTGCACGTCTTCCGCAAGCATCCATGAGCTCCAGCCACACGATCCTCGGTTAGCTGTCGGAGAAAGCACCGGCAGAGCGCATGTTCCTGGCTGCATGTTCCTCAGGTCCGAGGGTGCAAGGTGCTCGCTGCTCGCTGCTCGCGTGAGTCGCTCCCTTAAGGCTAGCACTAGACTATTACCCTAGTCTGTACATTTTGTGGAAATGCCGCTCAACGTGTCAGAAAATTTGCGATGTCTGCAATTGGCTCATCATCAGCTGGATGTTTGTAGCCTGAGATTAGAAAACGATGCTTTGTCCAATTCTGCCGGGTCTGCAAGTCAGTCGAGAGGAATCACTGGAGGTTGCACGATATTGGCAACTTGTTCACGAAGATGATGAGCGTATTGGATGATCGGTAGAGGAGATTTGGTATTCCGAAAGTGCCACTAAGTCCAAACAGGCTCTATGCCGCACCAAAGTCGAAAAGCGCCTTGAAATGATACACCTAACATAATCTACATGAAGGGGTATTGCGGTCTAACTGCGCTCACCGCCTCCGTCGTTCGTCTATCATCGATGATGGTACAATCCAAACAGTTTTTGGGTCGAAAAGGTATTATAGAAAGGTCATGGCGTGTCGATAGGATGGTATAAACGTTCGAGAGGTGATACGCTTATTTGGTCTCGTCCTGGAGGAAGGTGATCAAGTCGTTGCGGTCCTTGGGCTTCTTGAGACCACCGAAAGCCATCTTGGTTCCGGGAATGTACTTCTTGGGGTTCTCGAGGTACTCGAACTGTGCTTCGTCAGCATGCATGCCTACCACGTAAGCGTCTTCTTATGGTATAACGTACGAGAGTCTCGTTGCCCCACTCGACACCCTTCTGCTTGTTGGCGTCGGTGTATGAGAAACCCTCAACCTGACCGGACTTGCGGCCGAAGAGACCGTGAAGGTTGGGGCCGATCTTGTTGCCCTCACCCTCCTTCAGGGTGTGGCACTGAGCGCAACGGGTCTGGATAGTCGTTAGATTGCTTTCGGGAGTCGTGTACGGTGGCCCTGGGACCAGCTCAGCGTGTTCGTACCTTGAAGAGGTTGGCACCCTTCTTAGCATCGCCTATGGAAAGTGTTAGCTGTATGTGTCGTGATGAGATTTCTTTGCCCAGCCAAACAATCCGCCACCGTCCTTGCTTTGTCGCAAAGCTGCCACCTTGCGCTCACCGCTTCTTGAGTTGTCAATTATTCGGACGGTGCACCGGGAATAATTGATTCCTCATGGGAGTCGAATACTGGTATGCGCGCAGGCTCAATGGGTGGCAGACGATGGTAGACAAAGTAACAGATGGCCAATGACGTCTGACCGCTGTCAAGATAACGTACCCTTCTCGAAACCCATTTTGAAGATGTGGTGGTGGTTGGGGTAAGATTAAGTGTTGGTAGAGGTGGAGTGGTGAAAGTTAATGTAACTTTGGTCGTGACTGAGAGGTAGTGAGAGAGAAAAGATGGCCAAGTAGGAGTTGAGAGGCTTGAGAGAGTTTTAAGAATCTTGCCGTTAGCCGCGACGAAATGACGGGCCCAGGGCCCTGACGCGAGCACGGGTCACGGGACTGGCCAATCAGGCGACAGGTATAACTCAGTAGCAAAAAGTGCTCGGGTGGAACCGGTCCGGGATGGCAAACAGGAATCGCGATCAAATGGCGGTGCTCTCGCCGCATTTGGTCTCTGTTTCTCAGCCAACTTGTCGTCGCTACTTTGACGCCACGCCGTCGATTGCGACTCCTGACTCCCTAGGCTATTTCGCAAACTTGCTCGGCAATCTTGCATGAAGCTTATGGGATGATGCCGTCACCAGATGCTGCGTCGGCTGCTGCGAGTATTCTTAGTACTTTTGCTGCCGTCAATCATCGTGAAGAATTTCGCTCTTCTTTCCTCCGGTGGTAGAATAAGCAGCGTCTGGCCTATTTCGTTGCCCTGCAGGACGCTTCTTCCCTGCTTTCCCTGGACCGAATTCGATATGTAAAGCCTGTACAAGGGTCCGCAAATCGATGTGACATGCCCACTAACCCGCGCACCTCCACGCACCTGATTCCCTAACGTGACGGGCCAGGGTCATGAATAACGTTCTCTGTTATCTGCACAGCAGCACATTACTATTTCAAGCGCCGGCCAGGATCGACACTATTCTGCCCTCTTTGCAAACAGCCTTCTAGTGTTGGTCAGTCGCACTTCAGCCCCAGCTCGACGATTGACATCATCGTGCCCCGCCACACCTCGACCGACCGGATGGACCAGATTCCGGGCATTCTATACGCCGATGAGGACTTTACCACATGGCTGATACTCGGCGCCAGCAGAGGCATCGGGCTAGAGTTTGTCAGACAGCTGTTGACGAAAAATGAGCGCATCATCGCTACAGTACGGGAGCCTTGGGCCGGCCATGCCAGCGGTCTGTGGGGACAAGCGGGGAGCGATCATGGCCGATGCCAAATGTACACATGCGACATATTGTCAGAGCAGAGCATAGAGGTGTGTGCTGTTGCGTATGGCGTTGTGATTGCAGAGGGGAACTAACCGGCAATCCGCAGAAATTCGTTGCGCAACTGGCCATGATACCGAACCTGAAGATTGACTATGTCGTACTAAACGCAGGAGTGCTAAGATACCCAAACGTAAGTCTGACATTGTCGACAGCATGCAAGGGAGCCGCACTAACCGATGTAGAGGGCCACTGAGCTGTGAGTCTTCCATCAACTTTGCCGTTACGCCTTGCTGGTTATGGCTAAAGCGTGCATTTCGATAAACGACAATCAATCTGAAGTGGCTGAAGTACTGGAAGTTAACATTCGCCAGGTCGTTCGACGAGTTTGCCTTCCATTTGCATACCAACACCATAGGGCCCATCATCACAGCACAGAAGTTACTGAAAACAAACATACCAATCGGCACCATCGTCTTCATGTCCAGCGATTCAGGCTCTCAGGGTAACTTCCGTGAAATGGAGGACGGGTTCGCTGCGTATGCTGCCTCGAAAGCTGCACTCAACATGGCAGTAAGACACATGGCCGCTGAGTTGAAGAGGAAGGACGATGATACCATCATCTTGTGCATGCACCCAGGAGAAGTCGCAACAGACATGGCAAATGTTCAACTGCCATGGGAAGTCCAGGGCATAATCACACCAGAAGAGTCAGTGATGAAGATGATCGAAGTGATCAAGAGCAAAGGCATACAGCACAGCGGCACTTTCTGGACTTACGAGAACAAGGTCAGTATCTCACACTGGACTCGCCGATTAGTTACTGACTTAATCTTAGCCGTACATTTGGTGACAGCTGGATGTATTTATGACGGTTACGACTCTCATATCCGTGCATACTCTTCGCAAAATCTCCGCTAGGCAGTACCTATACCCACATACTAGATTGTATATGCATTATTGTTTCATGACCTTTGTCACCGCTTCATTTCGGGTCAAGTCCTCCATGCCTGTCATCGTAGTCCAATCCCATCGATCATAGCCTCTATCATGCAATCTCCCCGATCATCCGACGAACTTCGTCCGTGTCCCAATCCAACCTCTCAGAATCAGCAGGTAGACCATAGTCAACCAAAATCCGTACCGGCTCGATCTTCTTCGATGTCTCTTTCTTCATCCAGCGACTCTTCAGAGCGCACTTTGCTGCCTCCTTGGCTTGTTGCATCTTCCTATCAGACTCTCCAACCACGAGTTTGTTGGCCATGTACGCCGAAGACTCCGATGGCGAGAGACCAATCACACTAGTCTGGGTGACTACACTATCTTCGCGCTTTTGTCGCTTCTGCGAGGCATTGTCGTAGTCCGGCTCGCCGTCGATGATGATGAGAGCTGCAGACGAACGCTTCGTAGCTGAAGAAGACACAGTTCTGTTGTCGGGCGTGGGTTTGGCTTTCAGATACCTCCAGAACGAAGGGCAGCCGCATACACCAACTTGATGTGGGTTCTGTGGACACCTCCGTTTTGCCATTTTGATAATGGGCTGTCGGTATATGTTGGGGTGTGCCAAGCGTGAGCTCACACGGAAGTTGTGTTGTTATTGCGATCGAGATTGCTAAGGACAGAAAATGGAGACGGGGACGTGAACTTATATTTGATGATGCTATGGTCAGTGGAGGCTGTCTATATGTGTACAACGGTGGTGACTCTACGGAACAACGTGAGGGTGAGCGAACTTCTTACCGAAGTAAAGCTATATGAAAAGATGGGACAGGGTAGAAGTGACCGGTAACTTCACTTGGGTATATTCGTCGAACTTCAAGTCTAATAACAGAGCCCTCAACCCATCATATCCCGATATCATACAAACCCTTTACAAGAATATCTACCACAACCTCCCAACAACTCTTACCGCAATCTTAACCGCAACCAACGTCCCCACCGCGAGAACCCCCACTCCAATCCCCAACGCCTTCAAATTCCTCATCTCATTACTAAACGCCACCTTCTTCCTCTCACCAATATCCCCCAAATGCGTCAACGTATCATACTGCGGCACGTACTTGAAGTCAAACGACGTTTCCGTCCCTGCTAATCCCCACTTCGCCTTCACTATCAGCGTCCAGAAAATCTCTTTCGCGCGGTCGATCCTCCTGCGATCTGCATTAGGGAACAAGCGATATGTGTAGCAGTAGAAGATGAAGAAGAGACACTGCCCCGCCATAAGGGACCAGTAGTATGCAGAAACGCGTTTCAATCCGAGGCGGTCGCAGAGGGCGTTGCCGTTTAGCCAGCGGGCGCTGGCGGTTAGCATGTCTGCGGAGGAGAAGGTTGGGGGCTCTTCCTTGAGCGCGAAGATGATGTTGTTGGCCATTGTTTTCGACATTTCCGAGGGGTCGACTTCGTGGTAAAGGAGCGATTCCATGATGGCTTTGGCTTTGGTTGAGGTAGATAGCCATTCGTCGGGTGTGCCCATTAGGTAGCCGATGTAGCGCCATAGGGCTAGGTAGTCGTCGATTTCTTGCTTGCGTAGGAAGATTCCTTGGCGGGGGAAGCTGAGGTAGATCAAAGTTGAAGAGAAGGTTCCAATTGTTGCGATTTGGTCCAGGTCGTTTATTGGAATTCCCCATTCTTCCACGTTGAAGTAGCTGGGCCGTTCGTTTGCGAGTTTCATGATGCGCTGCCTGACTGCGGCATGTAGAAAGCGAACGCGTATTGATGAGGCAAACCCTTCTCCACCTGGTTTGAGTCCATCCAGTGTTCGTGTGCATTGGAGGATGTGTTGTGTAGTTTCAAAGAGTCTCCCTCTTGCGACCTTCGTACTGAAGCCTCCTGTTCTGGCTAATGTCTCCACCACTCGCGCAGCGCCCATGCCACCTAAGAGTGACTGAAAAGTGAGACCAGTCAAGGCGGGTCCGCCATATCGATAGAACACATCCTGTCCTCTTGCGATTTGTTCCCAGTCTACCCAGTCCGGTACGGTGTGCACCTCGCGCCACAGTTCCGCAAGCTTAGGATCGGAGTTGTGATGTTCTTCCAGCAAAGTGTATAGATCTCTCTTGGGTACTGGCAATGGCTCTTTTTTCTCTTCTTCGGTGCCCGGAACTGATGATAGCGCGGCGCGGTTGCTGTCATTCCTTGGCAGAGCACCCTTGTGCGGTGGCGAGATAGCGTTCAAACGATCAAGACATTCCTCTGCCAAAACATCATACGAGAACTTCATGGGCCTCATTTGCTCCGGTGTAAGATGTTCAGGCGTCCACTCGAATCGGTATCCCCAGCAACTAATAGCGGTTAGTGTGCGCCATCGATGGTCTTCCGCTTCTGGACATACTCTTTAGTGTTGGCTGTTCGCCTCTGAAACAGATTTGGCATAGCCATATCTAGGTAAATGAGAGCGAAACACAGGTAAACGTTGTCGACACCGTCAAACACTCAGATATTCGACAAGAGATAACTATTACACGATGTACGGCGAAGATGGTCCGTCATATGATACCGAGGCCCTAGCGTGCATGGGTATGAGGGATCCACTTCCATTTTTGCCGCGATCGCCCCGCGATCGATCTTGCCAGGAAACTGCCACGGAAGAGTTCGCTGTCGAGATAGCGTGAAGATGCAGGAGGCACTGACGCATGTTCGTTGATGTCACCACTCCGGGTAGACTCGTCGCGTACTAGTGCGGAACAGATTTCGAGCCGCAAGAGCGAGCCGGTTCCGACATAGCGTTACACCTAGTGCTAGGTTAAACAGAACGCATCCTTAATACCGACAAATGCTACAAGTACATCATGTGTAATAGCATTTCACCGTCTCGCCAACGCGCATCTTAGAATGTGAATAGCGGTAGCCTCTCAACAACCCAGTACGTGTAATACAGTGCCCTCACTTGGTTCGACGGTGTCCCCAGCGTACTCTTGCTCACGATGGCCATGCCGAAATCACCAAACCAGAAGAGTCCGCAGCTGAGCAGAACTGCTGCAACTCCAAATGTCGCACATCTCTTGAACTTGGAGAAAATGCATATCAAGATGCCGATCAAGGTTTTCAATCCAGTCAAGCCAATCCATACAATTAGAACAATAAAGATGGCAGTACCGAAAAGGCTTCCGACATTGCCCTCGTCTCCTTCGACTGTGGAGTGCATGTCAGTCTACCTTGCATACGATCGAACTCAGCGCAACTTACAGGGAAACTCGTAAAAGGCATATATCGAGAAGCACGACACCACTACAAGAGGGATCGCCCAAAAAGATGTCGAGTTACTCCAACCAGGAGATCCAACGCACATGCGATGTATGTGGATGATATCTATCAGAGCATGGAGTACGATCTGCATACCCGCAAGTATGAGAAGCGGGCGGGAGCCCCTTGTTCGTGCCATGGTAACCCCGGAAAGGATGATCGAGATGAGCGATGAGAGTGTGACCACCGCGATGTTCCAGCGTTCCTTCTCCAGTGCCATCCACGGAAGCAAAGGCTTTCTTCCGAAGAAGTGACAGAGAATTACGTAGAAGGTTAGGCCATGGGAGACCGCGCCGAGAACTCCATATGGTATGCCGTAAACTTCAATGTGTTCTCTGAGGTTCTTCGCGTCTGTGGTTACGAGGTCGCGTGGCTCGGGACTCGATATATGAAGGTCGGTCGGGAATGCGTCTGTTACGAATGTAAGATAGGCTCCGATGAATGCCATGGTAAGGACTTGGCTAGGTCGTATAGTCATCTTGGGAACGCTCAATTGCTTGCTGTCTAAGAAGACCGAAGAGGGCTCAGGATAGGGTAATTTGGAGTTGACCACCAGAAAACAGGAGTAAGCAAGCACATATTTGAACTGCCGTTGTGCTCTCTATGATATGCCGTATAAGATGGTCGCCGAATTGCCATTCCTCAATAGGACGACTTTGACCGAAGGCGCACCGCAACCTGCACAACGTTATACGTTTCGGGATGAAGATAACGACGTTGTAGCACCCCATACATATTAGCGACAGCCTTCCGTTGCTTGGGAGTAATTTCCGACCAATCGAAAAAGCCATTTGAGTCAGCCGCAGTTTGCAGCCTTGTTGCAATTCCCGTCACTTGCTCAGCAGCCGCTCGGTATATCTGCGGAGGCTTTTACAATCTTGTGTGTACATGGGGTGAAGCTGAAAAGGGTTCGAATTGACGAGAGCTGGTCGCAGGAAGCGAGGTGTTGTCTTGGCTTTTGGGGGCCGAAGCAGTACAACGATGAGGCTGTTGTTCGGTTCATGGGAAGCAGGAGAGACCGGAAGGTGCTTGAAGAAGTGGGAGTTCAAGAGATATCAATAATAGCAGAGAATGGTAGAAACGATAGAGATTATGAACAGGAGGAATGAAAGACGGATTCAAGCTGTTCGTGTGGTACGCCAGGCAAGGAAGGACCGAAGATACAAAGGGAAGAGATCGACGAGGTTATCGCATGAGCTCTTGCAGACACTGCTATTGGTGTCAAGTAGCAATATTCGTATTGCTTTCCGACTTCCCAAAGATATCGGGTATGAGCCTTGAGGGTGTTGTCATGCGATAAGATGAGGCTCCTGCTTCCGGAGTAGCGGCGACATGGGCGGATCTTTGTTTCAAGCAAGACATAGAATGCTTTGATTCGGCAGTGTCGTTGCCTTGACGTATTGAAGTGTTCCGTATTCAAGTCTATTGCTGTGTTGTCGGTGTTAGAGTGCATGTTAGTCGCCCGCCTGTAGGCTGTGGCAAGAGATGAAGGTCCGTGCGATACCCTAAGGAACTTCGAAAGGAAAGCACTATCGATACTCGGACACCAACAACCATGAGTTGCCACAATTGCGCCAGGACGACGCTGAGCCTGTTCATCCGCTCTTTCGTACCCACCGAAAAGGTCTTCGCTGCTCAACGACCGCTCTCCCGTCCGCAACAATCGCGGTTCTCGACCGACGCGCGCCGACTACGAAAAGTTGGACCCATAATACCCACCGCTGAACCACAAACAGCGGAACCGAAAGAAGTCGAGATAGAAGATGCTCTCACGGGAGAGTTCGAGCGAGAGCAAAGGCGCGAACGTCCAGCATGGGCTGTACAAAAGGAAGCGCTGAAAGAGAAGCTGGGAGGCGAGGCATGGAATCCGCGCAAGAAGTTGTCGCCCGACACCATGGAAGGCATACGGCATCTGCATAGCACACAACCCGATAAATTCACCACACCCATTCTCGCGCAACACTTCAAAGTCTCGCCCGAAGCCATTCGCCGCATACTGAAGAGCAAGTGGCAACCTTCCGACGCAGAATACGAGGCTAGGATGGAGAGATGGAATAAACGTGGAGAGAGAATATGGTCCAACTTGGTGGAGATGGGTGTTAAGCCGCCCAAGAAGTGGAGGGAGATGGGCGTAGGTCGGGCTGAGAATGGGGAGGCGCCCAGGTGGAAGTCAAGAGATCGGAATCAGGTGGACGTTAGGGACAGCGTTCATGACGACTTTAAGGACTTTGTTCCGGACGAGGAGCTTATACCGACTGTGGGCAAGTCTGGGAGGTCGAAACCGACGACCAGCCGTGTGCCACTTTTTGAAAGATTATAATTATGGAATGTGGTAGTCATTGATGGGATTCTTGGTGTTTGGTGTTTGCGCCCAGGCACAGAGATGCAGAACGTACGTCTGCTTCTCGCCTTTGGGGGCTGCAACCCACTTCGGACGGCAGAACTCATCTGACAATAACAAAACCATCTACCAGAGAACCTACTGTTGTGTTTCGCACCACCATGCATCTTAGCGAATGATTCTGTTCGATCGCTCGGAGGTAGTGTCGAAGTCACCATCAGCCTGGAAACTAACTCTAGATTGCTTCCGTCCGGAACTACACTTCCACGATGTCATAGTTTCAGCCCACCCGATCTCTCTCTCGCCTATGGCTGCTAAACACAGCGTTGGTGGCTTCTTTTCATGACCGAAGGAAGGTCACCATGTATGAGGCCGATACCCCAGAGTAATACTCATGCCGTCTGCATGTTGCCGCTCGTGGTAGCACGATGTACCCTGGAACGCAGCTTTGAGCACCGACAATGCAGGCGTGAATGACGTCGCGGGGATGCTGCACATGGGGATTGAGTTGTTCAGGGATGATGCATTTGTAGATTGCGCCCATCTAGGATGAGAATCCGGCTGCACTGTACTTAGCGGCAGGGCCTGCACTTGGTCACCAATCAAAGCCTCAAGAGATGTGGCTGTGCATCAGCTGTTTCGTAAGATATGCCTATGCTGACCAGTATCATACATGTGATATGCGACACGATGAGACGTACACCGATTCCGGATCGACCCAAGAAAGAGAAAGGGAATTGCAAGGTCTAGGTCTAAGAAAAACATTGCTTGGTGTTGGTGTAGTAAGGCAGACATATATGATAGGTGACACGATGACATGTACACCGATTTCGGGTCAATCCGTTAGGAAGAAGCAAGCGGTGGGGGCCTCGCTGCGAGAAAGACACTGATTGGTAACAGGGATGCATCAATGTTCGCGGGCGCGGCGCCCACACGCAGCACTGGTTAGGATTTTGACGTGCCCTAGTCTGCATAGAGACCTTGCCGGTCATCGGGGAAGCAGACGGGTATGCCGCCCCACTTCGGCTTTGTTTCAAGGCTTATAAGGTCGAGTATGGTGGTGGTCGGAGCCGAAAACAGTGGGTGTTAATGCCTGCAGTTCACGGGCGTGCAGGCTGAGCCTTTCCCAGGCTGGTAATATTTTCATTGTGGACTCGCTAAGATCTTTGGAAGGCATACTGTCATAGGTCAGAGTAGCTGTAATAGCTATATGATTGGTTGGACATTGAAGTAGTGTATCACCGCCTTCAAGCCGCAGGTCCAGGTATGGTACTGTCCGCAAACCAGTGGCGCCTGCAGCAACGACGCCATGCAGCTTCAACGCCCTGGCCCAGTCCCTCTAACATCTGCGGCCTTCTTACACCGGATGGGTGGGCACGAACATATATATACTGAAGATTAACCACACTGAGTGGCTTTCTTATGCTCTGATCATGTCACAGTCACTTGTTTGCTTCTGATCTCCTGCCATCGCCCCTTCTTTAAACCCAGAAGGCTTGAGACATTGCTTCATTTCTCTGGGTGGTTGCATACTTCTGACCATCATCTTCGTTCCGCCCTAAGCGAGCTTCTGCAGATAGTAGCTTCGCCGCTGTCGTTCAGATTCACTTTACATATATGAACTACACTCCTCTCTACCGTTATACGACTACAGCACAACCATCGCTATACCAGCATGGCACTAATATACTTATGTGTACTATTTCTGTTCCTTTTTGCAGCGAAAGTCAACGCTGGCTCCCGATCTTCGATTGCGCCTCGACAAGACGGCAACGTACCCGATAATCATACATTGACTGGATGGACCAACGAAGCCATCTTCACATTAGTTGGCGTGTGCGTAGCTGTGGCCGGTATCTTAATCGGATTGGCCTCTTCGCCTAAACTGCGGCAGTGGGTGTGCAAACCATTCAAATGTAAGTAACATATCTAAGCTGCGTTCTATCAGCATCTGACATCAAACTTCCCACAGACTTCTCAAGGACCAGACGAATAGAAAGATCACGAAAGCGTATGGACGCTAGACGACAGTTGCAAGATGAGTATAACGAGTATCTCAGGTTTAATGATTTTCTGGAGTTGCGGGGAGGGATTACGAGTTCCAGTCAGTCTTGGTAGCATTTAATCATGTAGGAACTTAAAGTTGGGGCGTTGTAGTCGGAGGAGGTACGTTCTCTTTCATATTTGGACACCCACCGATGGCATGTAGCTGCCTACCAAGGGTTATCAGTACAACCAATTAGATATAACTTTCACCAAACAAATCCTTTATCCCATACAGTGTCTTCGTACCATGGTTCAGCTACGTTGACTCATGCACACTTCCATCCATCAAACTATACAGCCAGTCACAAAACCCTTATACTTTCACAACAAAGTCAGCAGTGTATGCGCGTACCGTATTTATTTTCACACATCCAGTATCACATATCACCCTCCGTTCGAGACAAGTTCTCTTGTGCTCATTCTCTGCTCTACATTGTTTGCTACAGCACAACAAAGCGACTCAGCGCACTGCTCGAGCACTCAACACGTCGTCAAACACCACCTTCACCAAAACCAACACCACCAGCAACATCATGCCATTTCCAACTTCCGCTGCACCCACAGCACACTCCCACATCCAATTCGGCGCAACACCCCACCGAGCATCTGTACCACGCCACCCGTCATCCTACAAACACAGCGTGCACTCAACTCGCTCAAACCAGTCCACGCACTCTACCCAACCGGCAGCGTCTCCAACTCAAAATATGACGCGGTCCTCGTCGTCGACGAAACCAACCCAAAACTTCACAGACATCCTGTCACATCAACAGCTGAAGTCCATGTCTGATCTTGACAAAGAGGAAGAAGCAAGGCTGGCAAAGACACATCGTGCCAAGGCGGTCAAGATGGGTGTCGGGATCTGTCGGTGGGTTGGGAAGTTGGCTAGTACAAAGGGGAAGAACGGAGGTGGGGATAAAAAGGGTGAGGTGGTTAAATAGAAGGCGCGGGTACGGGAAAGGGGGGGAATGATGTATGGACGAGATACAAGTGTCGAAATGCACATATTCTCTATACGAACTCCGATTTCTCAAGTCATATGTATGTGTGACAATGGCTTTTAAATTTTATGAAGTTGGTGACGTTGCATCGCGCAAGAGAAACAGCAAGAACATGTTTCGGGGTCTCTTCAAGAAACTCGCGTAATATTGTACAGCGACCGTCCTTTTCGACAAGATAACCAGACAAGGAGATCATAACGACATGAAACAGGGTATGTGACGAAACCAGTACAGAAAACGAACAGTATGACTTGTGACTAAACCAGATATACACCGAAAGTAGAAGGAAAAGTGGCAACAGCGACAGGAAAGTTCGGGGTATATGTCGTAAAGTCGTAAATTGGGTGGGGGCCGATGCGAGCCCGTCTTCTAGCGACATGACTGCCTAGTAGTGACAGAGGTGGTTATAGCATATGCGGTCATATTCTTTAGTTCCACCTCGATCTCAGGTAATCATCGTCGTCGTATACGGATCGGGCCTGAGAGTCGAAAGATGCACCCATGCCATTGGTACCGCTTCGTTGACGAGTGTGCCTCTTATTATCAGACTCGCGGCGGCGATGGGGATCATCTGCGGCATTGTGCATGTTGGAAGCGTAATAGTTGCTGGGAATGTCGCGCACTGCGGGATCAGACTGAGTGCCGAAGTTGGAGAAGCTTGGGCTCCGCGGCCTAACATTCGGGCCACGAGGGGGAGGTGGCTGCTGATGGTAGTGAGCGTCCGTAGGAGGAGCCGCCCATGGTCCTTGCCCGGCATTCGACTGCGCGCGTCGACGCTTCTCGTTCGCTGAGGTATCGGAGTAGGTGCTGGAGCTCATGTCTTCGGTATAGGACTTTCCGCCACCAGGAGCTGCTGAGTAAGGCTTGCGCTCCCGCTCGATAGGGACAGACGTAGACATGGGCTCATCTTCAAAGTCCATTGGCCTCACTTCGGGCCTCGAGGAATAGGGACTGCGTTCGCGTTCAAGACTGGGCCCTGGGGGAGGGCCTCGGGTCTTGGGCGGCGGTGGTGGGAAAGTGGGTGCCCTACGAAGCGGCCCGACACCCTCAGCAGACAAGGCTGCGGCGCATCTTTGCTGGGCATGTAGGTTCTCGATGGTTGGGAACATCCTGCGAGGAAGTTCTTTCGGGAACCGTTCTTTCCGGTCGTCTGCGTTGCTGATCGGCATGTCCAAGATGGCCTTTACTAATCGTTCGTACTCGGCGTCGGGATATGCCTGGATCATGGTCGTCATCCATTCCTGGAAGCCTTCGGGAGTAAGCGCAGGGATGTAAGGCGCTTCTGCGGGATGCTCTTGGATGAGATGGTGCTGGCATCGCATGTCGCGGTATACTTTGGAAAGAGCAGAATACGAGAGATCTCCAAAGATGGCTGCATACATTAGCATGTCAGTGAGAGAATAGAGTTACGCGTGCTTACTTTGCCATGGATATATCTCATCCTTGAGCTTGACCTCCTCATAGAACTTAAGCATCTTGGCCGGGGAGATGACTAGACTGTGCTTAGGTTCATAGTCTTCAATCTATGTCATCGTTAGCGCATGATCTCTACATTGCCATGGGTACGGACCAAGTGCAGAGCCAGTCCACGCAAGAGCTGGCCAAGACGAGGCAGAGGCTGGCCGTCTGGCTCGAACAGTCGCTGCCACATCTTCTCGATCGGAGTATAGTCTTCAGTCATCATCCTGGGTGCCGGGCCTGGTCGCGCAGATGGCCGTTCTCGCTCTACTGGTGCGCTTCGCTCAGAGCGCGGGGTAGGCAGGTCGCTATTGCCATCCAGCAGTGGATCGCGATACAAGGGGTCGCGCTCGGGAGACTGCTGGCTTGGAAAGTCGGTGCGCTTTGGAGATGGCGGGGTGTACACGTCTCGAGGCGGAATCGAGTTGGATGTCGACACTGGCGAGGGCGGGACCCATTGCTGCGGAGAGACGGGCATGGTTTGTGCTTGTGTAGCACCAGTCATGCCGCTTGATTTGATCTCGTCCAAGACGGACCTCTTCACTTGCTCCGTAATCTGAGCAATGAGATCTGGGTCCACAACCCGCGCAGCGTCAGACTTGTCGAAGGCATGTCCGATGGCATTCTTCAGTGGCTGCTGGATTGGCTGCGAGCCACTGTCGAAACTGCGGCGGTCCCAGGCAGGACTGGAGTCGCGAGGCTGAGAGTCGGAGGCATTGGTGCCAGTGCGAGACTTGGGTCTCGTGCCATAGTCGGGGCTTCTCCCGCGATCGTAGTGTTGTTTGTCGAACGGCGATACGTAGGAAGCGTGGTGAGGGTCGGGTTGGTCGCGATAGGCCATGCTGGAGCCCAATGGCAGGCGCTCGGGAGCACCTGCAGTATGACGTTGCGAGGGGGAGTTGTCGAGTAGGCGAGCGTTTGTGGAGCGCAGCGAATAGGTGCTGCTGCTATTGCAGAAATCCCATGCACGCGCGACAGTGACAGGTTGCTGGAGAGGACTAGCAAAATGGAGATGTGGGCACGGAAGAAAGAAGATGTTGGCAGAAAGGCTGTGGTGACAAACACGGCTCAGCCCGGTGGATTGCGGGCTTTTCGTTTTCTAAGGCAGCGATACCCTGGGCAGAGGGAGTGTGAGGAGGGCAACAAGCAGCAGGTCGGACAAGCGTGTCTTGAAGGGGGTTTGACTGGCTGCGAAAGGCCATGTTCTACGTGCAGTGCCATCGACGTGCCGCACCGCAGGCTGGGTGCAGGGCGACTGCTGCGTCATACGCAGGCCTGGGAATAGCAGGACGTCATCACGTCTATTTGCAGTCAACCCCAGCCGAGGGGCAGACGGGCAGGATCTTCAGGACAGGCAGAGGATCTTCAGGAGCAAAGGATTGGGGGCATGATGACCGCGGACTGACGGTGATTATGTTTGTTTGGTTTAGTAGTCGTCAGTTCTAGCGCATGTTGAGCGCGGTAGCGACAGCTGTCAGTGACGGCGAGGTTCCGCTCGTTTGCATGCCTTTTGTTTCAACCACACGGCGCTGCCAGCTGCTGGCCACTGCGCGTCCAGGTCACGGCATGACATTGAACCCATTCATCCCCGTCTACCTTATGAGAAACAGCGCAAAAGGGGTGCCGAGCCGGTGGCATGAGGACGCCTTATCACGGTCGGCTTATGCGCATCGGGGCGGTTACGGGCCAGCTCATAGCAGAGGAGCCGAGCAGTCTGTACTACGAACAAAGCAAGTTAAGATGTCTGCATTGATAGTCGCACTGTACGTGTCTGTAGTCTAGAGTAGCATGAATAATAAATTCTTGTTGCTTTCACGCAGTAGGTAGTGTGTTCAAGTTCCCTTGAATACGGTCACGGGTGGGGCACGAGTGACGAGCAGTGAGGCGGCTGAAGTGAGACAGTGTGCGTGAGAACAGGCGCAGAACCAGTGAAGAAGCACAGCATGGCGTAGGCGCCAGTTATCTTCGTCTTCCATGTGTACGCGTTTCCAGCGGTCTGTAACACGCCAGGCAGAGTCAGCAAACAGAAACACGAGGTCGAGCAGAGTCGCCAGATAGATGACAAGTGACAGGTACCGGGATGGATAAAGGGCCTGTAACTATTTCCAGCTGGCGAGGCAGTCCCTGAACATGTCTTGTCGAGGCGGCCAAGATTATATTAAGTCGGTCTGCGGTGAGGCAGATGCGGGCTAGTCGCTAACGGCGCCGGAGCCCCATGCATACAAGCGCCCGCTGAACTCAACACTCGACGATGGATCTACGGCGACGGGCGCATGAAGCTCAACACGCGTCTTTGATGAGGGCACGGGAAGTTACTGCGTGTCGCGACGTGACGGTAGTGTGTAGCTGCGTGCGCTGATAAAGACAATGCCGTGTGGGCGCGCCGATAATGGCAGCGCCGAGGGCGGGCGCGTGCGATTGGCGGAGTGCTGGGACCCCAAACCCACTAGCGTTTCAGGCTTGGAGCCATGGCAAAAGGTGTCTCCGCGCTCGCGCTGGCCCTCAGCAGACGACGGGATCATCCTCTGTTTCGAGCCCGCGTCTTGTTTCCTGCCCTCGTCGACCACCTCCGAGCCAGCATCCCGGGCGCCCGCGTACGCCGCAATATAGAAGGCCGAAACCCCCATTGCACAAGGACAAGGCCATCCGCCTGCAACCCACCGCACCAACTCCACGACGCCTTGGACCCGCATTCAGCATTCCACAGACGCAGACACCGCCCTCTGTTTGCGACGCAGCTTCACCTCGCCCACCCTCTTCTATCCTGTCACGCGTAGCAAACATAATGCATATATGAGATAGAGTGAATAGACCGACCGACCGACGTACGACCAACCGCCCTACCTACTACCTAATTAGTCCATCACTCCTCTTGAACATCCGCACACATGGCCATGCTCGCCGCAAAGTCTCCGTATCCCGCGCCCTCCATGAGTGGGAGTGCCTCGCAGTCGTCCGCCCAATACAACGGCGGTCTCTCCGGCTACCGCAGCCATGCCTCAAATACACGAGCCGAGCAGTCCATGTTTGCTTCTCCCACCGAGTCAGAATTCTCGGAGATATACGACGCTCCCGACGCCATCAGGTGAGGCTCACAGCTGTCAGCCACAAGTTCATCACTAACATGGACAGACATTGGGACGAGGACAAGGTTGGTGACTGGTTAAAGCGCATCAACTGCGCTCAGTATGTCGACCTCTTCAAGCGTATGTCACTACACCCACCACAACGACGACTACTAACATCACCAGACAACCACATCAACGGCGAGAACCTGATGGAGATGGACCAGACCCACCTCAAGGACATGGGCATCAAGAAGGTCGGCGACCGCGTCCGCATCGGCTCGCAAGCAAAGCAGCTGCGCAACAAGGAGTACAAGAAAGCCTCAAGACGCACATCAAATAGGCAATCGCTAGCCACGCTCGACAACGCAGCATACACTCCGCCATCCTCCGGCTCTCCTCGCCCGCTCTACTCTGCACGATCGAATCCTCCCGTTTCCAACTCGAATCCCGTCAGCTCGCGAACCGAGAAGCGCATGTCGAGACAAATCATGAACTCCGACTTGAGCAGCTTCGCATACGGTGCCAAACCTCCCTCGCGCCCCGCATCTCCCCTCGTCGACCAAGAAACCCGGAACCTTCGGTCACAACGGCAGGGAGGATTGAACAGCCCCAAGGAGCTTGGCAACAAGACATACGGCGCGCATCCTCTCAGTGCCTCCAGCAGCTCCGTCAACATCGCTTCCCAGTTCTCGCGCAACCAACGCACTACACCAACCGAAACACCGCAGACAGCCCGCTTCGCCCACCACGTTCGTGCGAGTCCTAGCGTAGACAGTGCCACCAACAGCGCCATCTTGCCACACGACAAGGCTCTAGTTCGTGTCATCTACGATGGCGGGCGCACCTCAGTTGTGAACATCGAAGGCTGCAAGACTGCCGAGGAGGTCATGCTGAAGACTCTGACCAAGGGCCACCTCAACACAGCCCATGTCAAGAACTACTGCTTCTACATTCTCAACAGCCCAGAGCCAGACCCTTCGCTATCTGAACGCTTGAGTGACATCGAGCTCTTCAGACTCGTCAAGGATGCCAACAGGCACGAAAGAGGCCGCTTAATACTTCGCAAGGTCCACGCTGGTGAGCCCGATGAGGACCAACTGAAGGCCGCCGCAGGCATCTACGCACAACAGAACTTCCAGCAAGGTTCTAACGTCTACGTGCCGTCTAGCAATCGCAGCCAGATCAAGATTGAGAAGCTGACGGGCGAGTCCCTTGCTGCTGTCAGCTACCCTCTGTCACCAACCTCCGCAAGAGAACGAGAACGCCACATCAACTCAACAGCCCAGAATCTGGAAGGACCCTCTGATCCAAACAGGTCACCCATCTTCCAAGCTCGTGCCCGGAAACTCAAGCAGTTCTACGGTGCTCGACCTCCCAGCGAACTCATTACCTCTGACCTAACTTCTTACTTCCCTGACGTTGGGAAAGATGAGATTGACAAGACCGTCCGCATGTCAATACGTCGTTCCCACCGCCTCAGCCGCGCGGCCTCACGTCTATCGATGGCATCAAACTTCAGCGTTGCTTCCAGCTTGAAAGATGCGCCGCCATTACCATCCATCGCTGACACTTGGCTCCAAGGAGGTGCCCAAGCCCGGCCACTCCGCCCGCTATCCGTCATGCGACTGGGTCTACCTAACCAATCTGGGTACCGTGACTCTATGGCATCTTCGGTTTTGGAACCCCTCGACGAGGAATCACCTCTCGAGCCAAACCGAAAGTCGTACGTGTCGTTTGGAGGTGAATCGGATACTCTTGCCATCACGGATCCAGAGGGTAACACCACTCTACAATCCTACTTCGACGATGGCGGCAGCAGCCTTGCGGGTAGCAGTAGCAGCAATACCGAAAACGGCGATTCACTCAACAAACGCCTTTCCGAAGCCATTGCCGAGGATGGCGAGGAGTCAGACGACGAACTGGCTGAGTACCTGGAACAGGACTCTTGGGATAACGTCAAGTACATGAAGGGAGCTCTCATCGGTCAAGGTTCTTTCGGCAGCGTTTACCTTGCCCTACATGCCGTTACCGGTGAGCTCATGGCCGTCAAGCAGGTCGAGCTTCCTTCCGTAGCAGGCGCCTCCCAGATGGACAGCAGGAAGACTAACATGGTCGAAGCCCTGAAACACGAGATCGGCCTGCTCCGGGAACTGAAGCACAAGAACATCGTGCAGTACCTCGGCTCCAACTCTGATGAGAGCCATCTTAACATTTTCCTCGAATACGTCCCGGGTGGTTCCGTGGCGACCATGCTGGTGAACTACGGCCCCCTTGGCGAATCCCTTATCCAGAACTTCGTACGCCAGATTCTGACCGGTCTTTCGTACCTTCACTCGCGGGACATCATTCACCGTGATATCAAGGGTGCAAACATCCTCGTCGACAACAAGGGCTCAGTCAAGATTTCCGATTTCGGTATCTCCAAGCGCATTGAAGCCTCTACACTAGGCGGCGGCAAGAAGGGAGCTCAGCGTGTCTCGCTCCAAGGCTCAGTCTTCTGGATGGCACCAGAAGTAGTTCGACAGACAGCCTATACCCGCAAAGCCGATATCTGGTCGCTCGGCTGCCTGGTCGTCGAGATGTTTACTGGAAGCCACCCGCATCCCAACTGCACTCAACTGCAAGCTATCTTCAAGATCGGTGGCAGTGGCGATGCCAGCCCTACCATTCCCGACAACGCTGGCGACGACGCCCGAACCTTCCTGGCGCAGACCTTCCTCATCGATCATGAGAAGCGTCCCAGTGCTGACGAGCTTCTCGCCAGCCATTTCATAACTAATCAGGGTGCATAAATTTTTCACATACGGCGCACAACATATTTCTAGCATGGAACGGAGAAGCATCATTGGGAATTTCGTGGTATATCCTGATCATCTAGTGGTCCCCAAGGTGTTCTGTTCTCTGGGAGTTTTTTTCCCTTTCTAACGCCCCTAACGCTTACATGCGCGAATGATTCTGTACTATACCACTTTTCGATACGCTTTTCTAGTAGAAGGAAAGGGAGGTGCTACGCAGCATGTGCATACGCTGCCAAACTTTTAATGGGTGCTTTGGACGGGGTGCAGACAGTTTGTACTATAGCTGTCTATTAGATCTATCTTAGCCCCTTCGCAACCACTATTTTCACATACATATTCAAACAATTCTCTAGTCGATTAGATTTATCTTGACCCCACGTGCTCGCCACAATGACGTGCCTTCCATAATAAAGTTCAGTGGCTGAAGCTGCCACAGTCGCATCACCACAAGCTCTACCCCACCGTCCCAGAATCGATGCACATGAACGCAAAATCCAAACCACCGACTGTATCACCAAGTGAAGAGAAAATGTAGATCCACTGCACGCCTTGATACGTCCCAATCTCCGATGAATCCACTTCTTAGACTCCCAGCTTACTCATTTGTACAGCAACGGGACTTCGGAAGTCTTGGCTCAACCCCACATCCGCGCTCACATGCATCCCGCCCGACGTAGTCTAGTTCGGTCCCTCGTTCCCAACCCACTTACAGCTTCCCCCCAATCGCGGATGCGGGGTAAACCTCAGCTATATGTGGTCACGCGTTTTGGCTGTTTGCCTCGGCTTCGGTTGTGAAGTGGGAACCTTGGAACTTTGGACTGTGGGTATGTCAGACGCGTGTGCTTTTCGTGGAACACATCTGGGCAAGGGCGGCGGTCCGAATGTGTTTGGAGTTCATTGGCCCGGTAGATGGATGAGGTAGATTGTGGGTGAGGGTACTACACTGTTTCTAGGTATGTACTTCGTATCTATTGTGTTGGAGGGCCGTTGATGGAGCTGGTGTGGGGTAGAGATAGGGCTGTTAGCTAGGGGAGAGTCAGGGTAGCTCGACGCGTTATGGAGCTTAGGTGGTGCGGGGAAAGGTATATGTATTGAGGTGTCTGTCATTCTGCTTCTATTCGTCTTCAATCTACCCGTTCTTATTGCTCATCCTCCCCTGCCCGAATTGCCTCGTTCGCGTAGTAGTCACTACATCCAGCGGTACACCACGTCAACCACCCAACATGTCTCTTCCCTCCAAATACAAAGCCGCCATCTACGATGCGCCCGGCTCCATCTCCACCAAGATCGTCGATCTCGACATGCCCGAGCCAGGCGCCGGCGAGGTCCTCATCAATCTGACACACTCTGGTGTCTGCCATTCGGATCTAGGCGTGATGATGAACTCCTGGAAAACGCTGCCTTTCCCCACACAAGCCGGCCAAGTAGGTGGCCACGAGGGCGTAGGCAAGATTGTAAAGATGGGACCTGGAACAGAAAATTCTGCTGTGAAGATGGGGGACCGCGTGGGAATCAAGTGGATGGCGGGGATTTGTGAGGCGTGTGAGGCTTGCAGGGCGGGTATGGACGCTTCGTGTTTCTCAGGAGTGAGTTCATCTGTTCATAGAAGCGTACCAATGATCTTTTGAGCCTGGTAAACTAACGTGAGGGTGAACAGAAAGTATCAGGATACTACACACCAGGAACCTTCCAACAATACGTCCTCTCCCCCGCAAACTACGTCACGCCCATCCCCGCCGACCTCGATTCCGCAGCCGCAGCACCGCTCCTCTGCGCTGGTGTAACCGTCTACTCTGCGCTCCGCAAAACCAATGCCGAGTCAGGTGCTTGGGTCGTGATATCAGGTGCCGGAGGTGGACTGGGTCATTTGGCTGTACAATTCAGTGCCAGGGGAATCGGACACCGCGTCATCGGCATCGATCACTCTTCCAAGAAAGATATTGTCATGGAGAGCGGCGCCGAACACTTCATCCCCGTAGACGGCACAGAGAATATGGTCGAAGCTGTTCAAGCACTTACCAATGGTCTTGGTGCTCACTCCGTTGTTGTCTGCACAGCGAATAACATGGCCTACGCCCAATCTGTAGACCTGCTTCGTTTCGGCGGCCGCGTTGTATGTGTTGGTATCCCCGAGGGCGACGTCGTACCCATCAAGAGCGCGAACCCTGGTGTCATGGTCGCCAAGGCGCTGCAGATTGTTGGTTCTGCGGTAGGATCAAGGAAGGAAGCGATTGAGACGATGGAGTTTGCGGCGAGGGGTATTGTTAAGACGCATTTTAGGACGGAGAAGATGGATAAGCTTACCGATGTATTCAATGAGATGCACGCGGGCAAGCTGCAGGGTAGGGTGGTGTTGGATATGACGGCGTAGGATGGACGACTAAATTGGTGTTGAGAGGATTAGAAGTGTACGACAGTATCATGAATGTCAATTCAAATTTCCACGAGTAATCTTGCCAGCTTCACTTCAACTTCCGGTATTCGATCTCCTCCGTCAAACATAACCGGGGGGGGGGGGGGGGCCTACAGCACGTCAACTTCAGGACCTGCTCACCTGCTCGTGTTGGGTAGTAGCTTTTGTACCTCCTGTATCTTTTGTCTAGCGTCTAACAGTTAAATCTGGTAGCCTCGAGTTATGACTATCTATTCATATCCCTAGTTTGCGCTAGTGGATTCAGTGTACCAGGTGTGTTGAGTACCTCAACCTATCCTGCGTGCACGATATGCAGTCACATTCATGAAAATATTTGTGTAAAAAGTCGTGCTGCCAGCCTATGTTCGCTGCGGAGGGCAGGATCGGTGCGTTGAACAGATCGTGAAGTGAGGAGGCTGCTGGTGAGCCGTTGCCGAACGCGTGTTGTTGTGGTTTGGACTAGCTGAAGTCAGTGTCTTGCTAAAAGACATGGCCAGATCAGTACGACATACCTGCACCGCTTCCCTTCTGTCCCTTTCAAGACATTCCGTCCAGTCTTCTCCGCCTCCTGTGCTGAACCTTTCATACCGTACCTTGACGTCTGCGCCACCGTCCCTCGCACGATAGTGTACCGATCCTACCATCTCATACAGACTACGTTCGATACCGGGCTTATACAGTATCCCTTCAGGAGCGGTGGGAGCAAGGAAGCAAAGCTCCAGCACAACAGTGTGGTCTGTATAGTTGAGCGTCTCCAAGCCTTCTAGACGATCAAGATACGTTACACACGTTGACAACACGTCGAGTGTGTCATGTTGTGAATTGCTTGCTGTTTGAACCCTGCTTACACCCGTTGCAAAGTCTTCGGCTTCGTGAAAGGCGGCATTGCTGCGAAGGTAGACACGTAGATGGCGGACAAGATTGCGAAAGTATAACCCCCCGGCCGGATCTCGGTATCCAGTAGGTGTCTGACGTTCAGAACCCTTCTTGAGCCACGGAAGTAGAAGGGCGTTTTTCGCAGTACCAGGTTTTTGATTTCAGTACTGGTCTGTGAGCCCATCACAGCGGTGGAGAAGCAATAGTCTTGCATGAACGGATTCAACTCTTCATGCATGGCTTTCATATGCTCGCCCGCTCCAGCGCTGCCAGATTGTATTCCTGTGTTCATGAACTTGGTGTTGGTATCTTCCATTCTTGGGATGACTATAGGCTTGCTGGTGTCGAAGACATTCTCATAGATACTCTCACGGACCCCCAACGGAAGTGAAGCGTGAATGTTGCTGAGGAGAGGCGCGAGAAGCTGACCAGAGCATTGTTCCAGGTCGTCCTTGATTTGACTTGGCGGTATTAGCGACCACTTTTACGATCATAGACACACCAGACTCACTTCTTGATGGCGCTTTCCCGACTTTCCAGAATGTTGAGCTGTTCTGACCTAGCGATGCGGGTGATTTTGATTTCATCGGCGATCCTGAGGTTAGTGGTAGGCCTTTGAGACAGGCTAAGGCCCATATTGCTCTTGAATTTGCTTGAGCAATCTGCTCTTCCTGGATCTAGTCAGTAGCGTATCTACAAATTGCAAGGCGGTTGATATACTTCAGGATCGTGCGCTGACATTGCTCGGTGCACTGGTTAGCATCCATATCTCGCTAAACGTCAATCTCCCGCCGTTGGATCCAGAGCGATCGCTAGCTTCAGTAGCGCTGGGTTGCGGAAGAAGCAATGAAGCGTCGAAACTTTCTCGACATCACGATGATGTTGGATTGATAACATGGTCCTCGTTACTAGCGCAGAGTACAAAGAGGTACTTTCAGCTCTATGAGCAACGTTACACAACATGTAGCGTGTTATCTTCCTACAATCGACTATGTATTGACTGTCCGAAATTCGGGAGCGGGATAACAAGACTCTCTTTGCTAACCTTTGAGTGTTCGCAGCATTGACACGTTCTCATTCTATCGAAGCCAGCAAGTACGACCTCCAAGCAACGAGTCGCTACGACGTGTAAGTGTTTGAAACCATGCCATCTTATCTCCTTATGCGTTGCAAGGCCATTACGGTAGGAAATTGACAAGTGCTCCGATGATATGAGCCGAAACCACCGTCACGGGTGTGACCGGCAATTAAACGATACGCAACAGGGTCGCAGTCACGGACCCTCGATCATGTGCGGACTAAAAGTTGATCGGGGCACTAGATGGGCGATGTCGAAGTCCGTGTGGGCCGTAGTGTGTATCGCCGCGCCATACGCCCATTCCTATTCGCATGCGCACGCCTTACATGAAGGGTCTGGAGGGGCCAGGTTTCTCCAAAGAGCTCTGATCCTTCCGCTTCGGTTGAAGACATTCGGTGTAGCCAACAGCCTCACTCTAGTAGGGCCAGCACAGCTCCTTGCAGTGCGATGTCAGCGACGTCATGGTCACAGCTAGAGCGAACCTTGAAAACCGCTAGTCCATGGATCCAGGCAGATGCGAATGATCAGTGATGTTGGGGTCGAGAAGCTGAAACGAGATGGAAACCGATGCACGGTGCCGTGGGATTTAGACATACATGAGGTGTGCCTCAGTAAGGCGCAGTGCTTATGGAGTAGTTCGAGGCGGACGTCGTGTCCGGCACAATGGCCCCTAATTAGTGCGGCACAAGGGCTGAGCAAGCAGTCGCGCCGCAAATAGCACGGCCCCAGCGCCAAAACACAACAACCTTGAATGTCTCTGATTGCTCCCCGTTGCTATGCCTCACTACAACGCATCCTTGTGATAACGTTTATTGCGCAATGAGGAGCCGTATATGTCCCGGGGGGCGTGCGTCATTGGGTTTCCGCCAGCCTGCCTACCCATGCTGTCCTGGCCGCCCGCACGGAGTTGGCCTCCATCTCATCTCACTCAGCTCAGCTTTCGCCGGGCGCTGCATGCATCTTCTGTGCGGAACGCCACGGCCGGGCTATTCATGGAGCTCGCTGGTGTCTAGCAGCGCCTTAGGTTATGTTTATCTTGGCTTCGGACGATATACAGTCCCTGCCCTGCCACCATGCCCGAGTCGCGGCTCCGATGGGAGATCCCTTATCCAACTACTCATCCTCAGCGACTCCAGACAGCTCCTCGCACATTTTCTGCAGCCTAATACGTCATTAATCGATTTGCTCAAACCCAACTGCCCATGTTGACACATTGCTCTGAATGATCAGCCTCACCTGGCGCACTGAAGAGAAGGATGTCAGCGTTACTTAAGCTAAAATCGAAAAAGTCAGCGACCATCTTACGCGCAGTTCCAGAGAGTACTAAAGACGATGCGGCTCTCCCCTTTCACAATCACAACACAGCGACCCAGGATCGCAGAGACGCCAACGACGGCAACCGACCGTCGTCAGCAGGTTTGACCGTACCGTTGCCTTCAAGATCAACATCTATCTGGGGTAGGAGACGGAAGAGCACTGCTTCGGTAGCAGTCGCGACGGGAGCCAGTAATACTGCAGATGGACTGTCGGCATCAAGCCACGCATCGCTTACAGGCACCATCGGCACTTATAAGCACGGCAAAATCCAATGGCGAAAGAAGAGTCGCAAAACGACCACTAAGCACAAGAAGAACATTCCGAGCGGGAACAGACATCCGGCTGCGAAGCCTAAGATACAAGTAGTAATCCCTTGTGGAAAGCCACTGCCCGCTCTTCCATTACTCGAAACGAACCCTACCGATCTCGGAAGCTACCACGAGGTCTCGCCTCCGTCAGCAAGCCACCATCGCATGCGGGATTCCATTGTATCTCCACTTACACATCCGCAAACACAGCCCACAATCAGCCAAATTGCCCCCGTAAACACGCGACACACACCGAAGCAACTCAAGAGTAGCTTCGAGTCAAGCAGTTCGTGTAATGAATCGCAAGATAGCGATGCTTCATCACTGCACAGCAACCACTCTTCAGAGACTAGCGTGGAGGTCGATAAATCTCCGACACAAGGAAGCACTTGCCAGCCTAGAGGTACTCTACATGCTCGCTCTGAGTTCACCCTATCTTTCAACGGGAGCCAATCCCATGCTCCACCGTCGATACCGCCCCGAAAATACGTCCACCCGTCCTCTAGCGATGAAAATCTCCCTTTCCGACCAACCTGTGCTCTCCATGTATCTCAGCGCAAGCCACGATTGAACCGGAAGTCCTCAAAGCGGAGCGGTCCGCGGCAGAACTTAGCCGAGGACGCAAGTATGGGCATGATCAACGACGCGATAGCCTCCGGATCTGAAGCGTTTCCAATCTATCCACGTGCATCTAGCCCTACGTTGAGCGAGGCTGAGTTCGACCTGCACGTGCAATTGGCTTCTTCGTTTGACAGCAACAGCGATCCTCGCATGCCTGCCCAGGATGGGACGCCCCTTGCAGAATGCAACCCTCCCTGGACAGGCATGCGTCAGGCGTCAGCTGGAGACGGGAAGCTTATTGATATCACAGGCCAGCCCCGAAAAGATTTCGCTAATGTCGTACTACCTGATATTGCTCCTCCGGCTGTCCCTCGTAAGTCCAGCAGGCGGCGATTGGCAGCCAGGACGACTGTTGAAGTCAACCGTCTACCGCGAGATCATATCGCTTCACAGCTGAAGCGAAAATCCTTTCGGACGAGCAGAACATTGACACTTATGATTCCGCAGTACAAGCGTTCCAGTGTGGATCTGGTGTTCTCTCCGCGAGCAGTTTCTGCCAAAACCACCAAACCGCCGATCACGTCTGACGGAGCTGAGAAGGTCATACTCAACATCTTCCAGCATCTAGATCACTTCAACGATCTTTTCGCCGCGGCCTCTATCAACCGAGGCTTCTATCGTGTGTTCAAACGGCATGAACTTGATCTCATCAAATCTACCCTGCGGAAGATGTCACCACCAGCCTGGGAGTTTAGAGAGATCGCCTTTCCTGGACATGAACTTCTGCTTGCAGCAGACCTTGAGACCACACGACCTGCAGAGGAATACAGCCCCACGTCGTATCTCAAGCTCCAGAAGCGAGACATTCAAGTCATCCGCACAATCAAGTTAGAGATTATGGAGAAATGCCAGTCCTTCGTACGACCGGAGATATCAGCTGCGCTCATGAGCGCCTGTCCAGCTGAGTCTGCTAGAGTTGACGACGCATTATGGCGCATATGGACATTTTGTAAGCTATTTGGCTCGGGCAAAGGGCGTGAGGAGGATATTGTTGCGCAGATGGACTGGCTCAATGGTGGTATGCTAGTCCATCAGGCGACCTGTACCTTCAGCATGATGAGCACAGACCTCATGAGCGATACATTGGTCGGTGCACCTGAGTGCTTCGGGCAAGGGAATGAAGGCGGCCTTACCGCCGAGCAACTCTTTGACATGATGGAGTTATGGACCTGTCTTTCTGTCCTGCTACAAAACTTCGAAGGGCGCACTGTTCAAGCCCGACAAGCTGGTATCTACGACAACACTGACATTCGTGGTGGCGATATTGACGGCGAGGAGATGATGCTTGGTTCGTCTATCCGCTGCATGATCATGGATCTTGCTAACCAGACCAGACGAATGGATCTACCACCTCCTCACCTTTGGCCTTGACACTGTTCTCAAGCTCACTGGCCCGTTTCACCCCTCGGATCCCAAAGCCTTTGTTATCGCGGCGGAGAACGGATGGGTCAACTGGAAGCCTCCTGTGCTTGACGGTACACGGCAATACTTCCTCAAAGAAGCAGCCCGACGCGTCTACGAAGACAAGATTGCGCATACATATGCTAAGATCTCAATCCGCGACGTGCAGCGCCAGCAGTCCAAGATACGTATCCAGAAACATATTGACGAACTGAAGGATCGCAAAAAGAGTGGTGAGCAACCACCAATGGTTCTCATGTCTCAAGAAAGACCCATGTCAGACTGGGATACTGTGATTCGAAACTTGACACGCCCTCCACTACCATCACAAGGCCCGGGAAAGGACATCATCACTCATGTCCCGGCACTGAGATCATCTTCCGTAGAGGACATGTCGACATCTGTGGCTCTTCCTAGATCAAGGTCGACATCCAGCAGAACAGCTTCACTGCCTCGGCGAACTGTGGCTCAGCCTCTGCTTCCATCACCGCCCCCCTCCACAGTACCCAGTAACTATGACCGACATAGCATTTCTTCGATCCTAGGACGTATCAGGGAACGAACACCCTCACCGCCACGTCGAACCGTTGCTCAGCCCCTTCTACCATCTCCCTCAGTCACAACAGTCCAGAGCAACCGCGATCTATACACCATGGGCAGCGTATCAAGCGCAAGCTCTCCACCCCGCCGCATGTTCGCTCAGCCGCTTCTGCCGACACCCTCCGCTTCCACAGCGACAAACAGCCGTGATTGGCATCGCTACAGCACAGGCACATCTATGCCTTCTATCCTCGAGGATCCATTACACCATCCTCTGTCAGAACCACCCGGACCGCCTCACCCCGCATTCCGCCCTCATCCCATGTCCATACCTTACCGTGGCCGCCACATGCGTCAGAGTAGCAGCCAGTCATCTGCCGGAAGCTCCACTCCCAGAAGTGGAGCCCTTCAACAGCACGAACAACAACACCACATCTATGGATCTCTGAGTCATGAGAACACTGCCGATAAGGCCATATGGCGGATTGTCGAGATGGGATTCACAGCCGAGCAAGCCCGAGAGGCGCTAAGGTTAACGGATCTAGGAGACGGATTGAGGGTCGACCGAGCGGTGGAATTGCTGCTTAGTCGGCAGACGTGAGCATCGCTGGTGTTCGCAGTCGGAAGGATTCCGCTCGAGACAAATAATTTCCTTTTGTGGTAGGCGTTGCGATTTTGTCTTTCGTTACAGCGTGTGCAAGATACCCCATCCTTTCGTTCAGATCTTCTATCATCAACAGTCTACAGTCGTTCAATGTATACTTTTACTTTCGCAAAACGGTCGGCGACCACAGCCCACTTTGACATTATCATCTAACGGAATACAACGGTTGAAGCCGCTGATGAGCAGTGGAAATTACCCAAAAGGGGACGGGACGGTATCCAATTTTAATTTCGCGGCCCCTCGACCCCAACGCTAATTCGGGATGACCCTAGCTCCATGGTTTGCCTTATTCGCATCACGATCAGGCAGTGCAAGGAAAGAAGTGGGAGCCCGTTTGTGTATTTCCGCTCAGATCGCTCCTCAGACTCTTCTCTTCCCGCTTCTCTCCACCTTAACTTTCAGCTGTTGACAGCGACAAAAAAAAACAACCTTCGCGGAGTACAGTCCGCATACTCGATGCCCGGCATGTTGTCGCAAGCGTCGATATCGCTACAGTTTCTCCTTCTCGTAGCGTCACTGCCGTCCAGCACGCCCACCTGCTTCCTCCCCAACGGCACCGCGCACCAGGACGAAGGAACATCGCGCTGTTCTTCCATATCCTCCTCCCCGCTCTACAACACATGCTGCCAAACGCAATGGCCGAACCCACCGGGCGGCGATGTTATAAACGGCCCTACAGCGGATGAATGCATGCCGAACGGGCTGTGTCAGAACAGAGGCTTTAGCAGCGCACCTGGACAAGAAGCAGAGCCGTGGACACATTTCTACCGTGTTTACTGTGCGAATGCGAACTGGGAGGGTTGCTTGGATGTTTGCAGAGATGGGGTATGTTGCTTTTCTCCGTTTGTGGCTATGCATGCAGGTGCAAAGTTTCAGAGAGCTAACAAGAGACTAGAACCTAGCAGACTCCGTCTCACAATTGACGCCTTGCGACGGAACAGCCAAATCAGAGTACTGGTGTTGTGGAGACAGCAACGCGTGCTGTTCGGCCTCCGCTGATGCGCTGGTCTCGAAAAGAATCAGGATTCCAAAGGAACTCGGAGGCGAGCAAGTGGCTTCTGCGAGTGCGGAGGTGGCATCGCCAAGTGCGAGTCCGGCTTCCTCAAGCGCAGGCGCAGGTGCAGCATCCTCGAGCGCGAACCCGACATCTTCGACTGGAGCACCGGCAGCGACGGGGACGAGTGAGGAACCCACGCCGTCGTCTGACGCAGCGAACCTGTCCGGCCAGAACGAGGAGAAGAAAGATGAAGGCAAATCGAACTCGGGACGCAATATCGGTATCGGCGTGGGTGTTGGTGCTGGTGTGGGAGCTCTGCTGGGTGTTGCAGCAGTCTTCCTATTGCGAAGAAGGAAGAGGCATCAGAAGACCCAGGAGATCGAAAACGAGATTGCGGTAGAGAGGCAAAAGCAGGATGTAGCCAAAGCGTACCATGTAGCTGAGATGCCGCATCAGGAACCGGTACGTTTGAATGCTAATCTGGATAGGAGTTTGGAGCTAACGTTTGGGCTAGGTGTACGAACTTCACGATGGGAGCAGAGCGGATCTGGAGTTGGATGGGGCGAACAAATCGCAGTCGGCGATGTATCGCTAATCCGCTGTTAAGCTCTTTCGAGTCGATGTTCTACTTGACCACGGAGTGGCCATCGGGTCGGGCATATACGATTGGGGAGGTAATGACTACTGGAAGTTTAACCCACATCCTCTTTCCATCACAACGTTCTTGATGTGTTATCTCCCGGTACATGCTTCTTCCATGCTCTTGTGGAAGCCCCCCAACTACGTCATCTGTTCCGTCTTCAACTTCCTACACTGTTCGTCTTCCTTAACAGCTTGCAAAAACGCCAGAGCTGCGATGCCGCAAGTTCCTGTCACACTTGAGCCTACAGCAATCGCCTGGACGATCACAAGCCCATACCCTCCCATCGCGGCACTAGTGAGAATGGCCGAAGCGCTACCGGCAGCGATGGGAGCGACGCCTGCCTGGAATGTAGAGGCCACAGAGCCTAATTCATGTGTTAGAAGTCAGTCCGGATATGTGATCACGGATCGATACGTACCAGCAGCGATACCGATAGGGGTGAAGCCCACAAGGCCCAGCATAACTGGTGTGACAGCAAGAGCGATAGGGCCTGAAGCGATACAAGCCAGCAATGTCGTAAACTGTTTAGGGTTGGCAAGAATCCATGCTTTGAGCCTCTCACTGAACCCCGAGAGATCTTCCTTGGTGAACTCAATGTTCGGGATAGCGACCTGACCAATGTCGTGGATGATGTCGCCGCTGCCTAGCTTCTCCCAAAAGTCGCCTGCTGTACTGCCAAGCTGCTTTGCCATGTCCTCGCCAAACTGTGCGACGAACTTCCAGTCGTACTCTTCATTTATGTATCCGCCCGGGACTTGTGGTAGGACTTGTAGACCTTCTTTGCCGCTGTTGTAGGCGGCGCGGGCAAGTATAATAGCATGCTTCGAGGCACTGCTGGCGATAGGAGCAGCATGCTTGCCCGCTTCTTTGCTGAGCTTGTCCAGATGAGCTTTCGCATCTGCGGTGGCTGGACCAGCACGCTTTGCTACTTCTTGACCGAAAGCGCTACCGTGTTTCCACGCTTTGTCTGCAGTAGATGCTACATGTCGCGCCGCCTCTGGCCCGTAAGTCTCGGCGAGTCTTCGCGCGTCTTCAAGCAGTCCCATCTTATCGGAGATGGTGATCTGGCTTGTGCGTGTGGTGTCGTGCGCAGTGTTGACAGTGTTGCTACGTGACAGCGGTCCAGTGTTTGCACTAGCGCGGGATAGGTGAATGTGGAGGTGCTGCTGTGTAACACCACAACATGCAGGGTCCACGTATGGATGCCATTGCTGACGAGACTACAGTCTCAATAGCTGGTATCAGTCGCAGAGGCCAGAGGTAGTAGTGACTCGATACTGTATACGGAGGATTGTTTGCATAACGTTGATGAAGTTGGTACGGAACAATGCATGCACTACTCGCACAAAAGAAGTAAGAAACCTGGCATACTAGACATATGACAAGGTTAAGTCGTACGACAAGTCTCATGAGTATAGGGTTCATTCAATCTCCCATTGGCCAAGTTTAACATCGATCGTTATGAAACATTGGGGTGAATCGTGCCCAATGGGGCATGAACGATGCCTGGCGATTGCTGTTGGAGTTTCGCGACTATGACTCTGTCTTGCTGGTCCATCAACGATAGCCAGCTCAAGTTCAAAATCCTCTTCTCATCTACTGCCGCTGTAGATGGGAAACACCTATGTATACAATGCAGTTTGCTCGTGGTAGGCGATAAGATTAGGGACGCGGAAATGACCGACCCGGTTCCACGTTCTAGAAGCTTGGCACGGGCCCGTTGAACGAGACTTGGAACCTGGAGGCGAGCGGACCGATATAGCGTCATAGGCAACGGCCTTTAGACCACGGCGTGGATAGTGCAAACGGGTTACGAGTGTCTGATTGATGTATGCGCGTCGTGTAGGCGCAGTGGCGCGCTGCTAACAAGAAACGTGAGTGTCTGGCGTGTTGTGTCTGCAGCTACCGAGAGGTGCAGGTGGGCTGGCCCCATGCAGGGCCACTCAGCCGGCGCGATACGCTGGACGTCATCCGTGGATTCGTCTGATCGCCCTGGCTGATGTGCGGGACAGGGACCGGCTGCGGCCTCGCACCAACCATCGAGACGTGCGCGCCTGTCAGTACAGGGATGGCTGCCATGTTTGACGTGCATGTGTGCAGCCTGTGTCGCGCCCAGCCTGCTGAGCTTTGTTGATGTCCCCTTATCCCCTTATAATGTCCGCCGCCAGTATGCCTCGCCTGCCTGCTGCAGGCCGCCAGGATGCTGCGACGACTGCACCACGACATGGTTGACGAGAATGCCGGAAAGCTGCTGCGGAAGGACAGCAAGAGGCAGCGCGTCTTGAGGTTCTTTAGGGCCTTCAAGCATAAGCAAACACAGCGTCACGATGAAGTGGCTGTACCTGTAACTGTATGTCCCCTGCTCCTTCTCTTTGGTGGTATCGTCACGGTACTCGCATGATGATCAAGAAGCTGATAGCAAACTTCCCGACAAAGTCACCGCCAAAGCACCATAACACTGCCCCGCAATCAGCCCCTCCACAAACACTCGATGTGATACCCCAAGAGGAACCGAGTGCCGCAGTCGATCATGAGAGCATGGCGCCCGTAGAAGAACTGGAGCAAGATCGCGTCCCTACACCACCGCAAGAATCCAAAGAGGAGAAGTTGGAGACTCTTGGTGAGGGCCAGCTTCGTACGCTCTTCGCTGGGGCCCCGCAGTTTGGCATCACAAAGACAGGCAGTCGCTACGTACCAACCGTCACTCATCCTTGGAACACGGATGCTGTGCTCAAGGAAGCAACCGATACAGCTCCACTCGCCGAACCCGCCTTCTCAGCCGCGACCCTGCGCGAAGACTCATCCAGGACCCGACAGCTACCCGAGACTTCGAAACAGTACAATGGATATCAGGTGGACGTGATGGAGATGCCGAGCATGGTCAGTGCCCAGGGTATCGAGCCGGGGACTGTTGGCTTCTCGCATTTCCTCGAGTTACCAAGATCTGACACGCTAGCCAGCGAGCTGGACACATCTCAGTCAAGTCGAGACTCTGCTGAGTCGAGCAGGAACAAGGAGGTCATGCAGGCAGCTCCTGAGCGGTTGGGTATTCGTCCGGTGGACCTCAACCTCATATACGACCGCTTGGCTGAGTTCCAGGATATGTACGAGGCATTCCAAGACAGCCCTGAGCCCATGACAATTCTCAACAACCAAAGCTCTGGAGACCTGTACGCAAACTTATTCACCAAGTTCCTCACCCCTCCGGGCTATGACGATTCTGCGGCAGATCCAACAGGCTTGCAGACACAAATCGTGGCTCTACTCAGGGTGTTGGGACTGAAGGGTGTCTGGTACGACTTCAGCCTTGTCGAATGGAGGATAAGGCTTGGCCAGATACTGTGGAGTGAACCCGAGCCAGCCCCCGAGCATGAGCATAACCCGTTGTGGACGGAGCGGGAGATACTATTACTGCAGATCACCTTGGCTTGTGAGTTGCTGCTTCGACTGGATGCCTTCACGAATGCCGATGCGACCGACGCCGAGATCCGACTTCGAATTGACGCAAAGGATATTGAAGGATTCCTCAAAATCAAGACGAGGAAGATTGACTGGGATTTGGTGCTCGCGCGGAGATTCCTCGACAACATCGTCATTATGAGAGGCAGCGATGCGCCGGTCTCACCCAAACCCAAACTACGTGGATTACTTTCGTTACTAGGCCAAGGCGCCCACGCCCAGATACCGCAGTCGGACCTGATCATACTTCCGCAGCATCAAGCCAGACAGCTTTCTGGGCTCCTGCACTTTGCAAAGACACTACAATGGCCTAGCCTTGATGTAGTCTCGGCGGATTTGGCTCGGAAGCTTGGAGAGCAAGACAAGATCGAGGAACCCACGCCATCATCACCCAGCGGAAGGTTACTCGACATGGCCATGGCCACACCTTCCGGTATCAGTGTCTACGGAACGCCACTGCAAACACCCCTCGCTTCCGGTCAACAGCTGGACAGCTACTTTGGCCATATTGGGAAGCCGGCTCTGAATCGCAACAACTCTCGTGCCCTACGCATGCCACTTTCCCCTGTGTCGACCATCTCGGAAAACGATGCCACGTCCAGCTACAATATCGGAGGATGGCTCAGCCGGTCTTACCTGACTGGTCTTGTGCTCCCTGGAGAAGCCATCTCACATTTTCTCGTTTCGACTCTGCTTGAGAACGACGGCAATGCTATTGCCAACTTGGGAGAATCAGCAAACTTGTACGGTGGATTTACCTTTGGCGATAGAACCTTCTGGAGCAAGGCTTCTGTTGTTGGACGTATTCTGGCGTGTGCCAAGGGTTCTACAGAGTGTATGGGCTGGATCTCATCTCCAAAGCTGCCTGACAGCCCTGCCGACCATTGGTACTCGATTCACAGCGAACTTCTTCCGCACGAGGACCGGTTGCGACTGAGAGATGGCTCGGATACAGTCGCCCAAGAGTCCGCCATTGCGCCGGTTGATTCTCTCACTTCATTGCGGCCGGAAGATTTTGTTCTTCCTCAAGATCCTGATTCCTACCTGGCTCCTTCCTTCGTCTTCTCCCAGTGGGAACTGGTCCCGATCAACACGGACCTCATCGATGGTGACAGCTTGACAGGACCGCCAACCGAAAGTGACATGCATGCCCCATCGATGACGTTTGTCTCCAGAGGAGATGCAGCGAGCCACACCGTCACTCTAACATACGATGTTCAATTTGTCACCTCTTTCCCTTGTACCACCGCAGCGTCTGCGCCTCCCTCGTTCACGCATCGCCCCAAGGTCTTAAGGCGCTCTGGTACCGGTACAATTTCGAGGTCCTCTTCAAAACACAGCGTGACTCTATCACGCCGCAACAGCCACGGCTTTGAGCCGCTCCTATCGCATCCACCGGATGCCGCAAATATTGCGCCGAAGCGGATGTACGAAGCGCCTACCGGACCAGAAGTCGAGACGCTTGCGACTAGCAGTAAGCCCATGAACGCGCATCCTCTACACCAGTCGTACTCGTATAAGATTGTGCCAGTTACAGATGTTCTGGATCCTGACTTCTTACTACCTTTCGAGCTGCACACATCCAAGTCTACGGAGCGCCTACTTGATCTGTCACGGAGCAACGACAGCGAGACAGCGCAGACAATCAAGAATAGCAAGAAGGCTGTGTTGGTACTAGATGCCAGGGCTTCAACTGATCTTCAGTTACTCGCACGAGCATGGTGCGCGGAAAAGGGCCTTCATGCGATCATTAGTCGCGTAGGAAGGACTTGCTTGGGCTGCTCTATTCGCGAGGCCAGAGGCTTGGGAATCCACATCGTAATTCGGGTATAGGCTGCGGCGTGACTGCCCGGTCACCTACGTTAGCACTGGAGTTTTCTGATGTTTCTCAAATTGTCACATTGTCCTCCGGACAGGGAGTTGGGGTTTTAGTTTTGCTACAGGCCATTACTGCGGGCGCGCATACAAGATACCCACATCGTGAATGAACATTACTGTTACTCTACATTGACCATATACGTATTGCGTTGTCACATCCTTTACCTGTTTGAGAATCGCGTGAGACAGAAATAACGTGTACCCACTATTTGGCCGTGTTCGCGAACAGCCACAACCTTCACTTTCTGAGTGCTTATCGCGGCTTTCGACGGTATTCGTGCGATTGCAGAGGCTGTGTTTTTCTGCCCTCTGTTCAGTTAGCAAGACCGGTGGCGCTCGTAGCCACGTGCTGCTAGCCGAGGGGGCGGGCTGTGTCTGTGGGTGGCCTGGCGTGCCTGACCTCACGCGAAGCGCGTTTGAACTTCGCGGGTCGAAAATCAAAAACATCGAACATCTCACCAAGGCTTATATTGCAGTAACATCTACATCTACGACGTGTCAATTATCGTCATCTTGCTTCGTACCCGCTGTTGACAGAATACATCATCGTCCCTGACTTACAAGCTTACCTGGTTCTTTCTTACATCATCCTTCGTTCCTCCTTCGTTCAGCATCGACCCTCTACCACCAAAACTCAACCAGCACTCGCCACTCTCTCCACACACATTCAAGATGAATTACGCTCCAGTGAACCCCGAGACAGAGGAGTTTACACCCGCGCACGACGAGCCGAAAGACTGCTGCACACGATGCATCCAGCGGATCGATTGCACGTTGGCAGGCCCATGGTGCATCGAATCGATCATTGCGTGTTTTGCAAGTATGGCGGGTTGTTTGGGCGATGCGTGTAGTAATTGCGGAGACTGCTGTGGCGAATGTTGTGCTGGGTGTTGCAAGGCATTCACCTGACGCAAAAAACATGGAAAGGGAGGAGAAAGAGGATGGAGGCCCCGTCAGTCAGAAAAGTTTGCGGTATTTATCATTCGATGAGCGCGCTCTTGTTTGGGGCATCGCCTGAATTACTGGTGTCGTGAGTGGAGCGTTAGGGGTCCATGGGTCATCGCAGAACCAGAATATGGCGAACCAAAATCTGGCATCAAGCACATGTGAAAGTGGAGGATGGCTGAGAAAAAGGTGGAAGCGTGCTAGGAGGGCTTCGCACGCTGGACGAACGCGATTACCTTGGATGCGTGCCTACACGCCGACACGACAGAAAGCACTCGCCATTGCGACTCCCAGAGATACCGAGCACGTGCGACATGCCATGCTGATGGTCCTTAACCCTCGAAGTGGTATCTGCTATACTCTTCTACCACAACGTTCTGTTCATCACTCGTCGCCTCTATCACTACAGCTCTATCGCTATCGTCTATTTATATCGAGGCCGATCGACAACGTCATCAAAGGTGTCCAGAGCATGACCGATTCGGGACTGTTCTAATGTGATGCAGCAGTCATTCCATCTCATTCTCAGCACTGGCATCCAGTCATCAGAGGCACCACTTGAAGCATTCGCGCTTTGCTCTCTCTTCGCAAAGAACATTAATAGCAGGTGCCTCTATCTATCCCCAGGCACATATCATACGACTATACGCTAATCGACGTCCCAGTCATGCCCGGGAACGCAGGTCGACGAGCTCGCCATATGCGTCGCTGTGGTAGATTCTACATAGACCGTAGGATATGTTTTAAATGTGGAGCGACAGTATACCTATTTTCCAGACACACATCTCAGACTTGTAGGACTTGTAAACACAAGTTTGTCTGGAAAAGTGAACCAGAAGTCGTACCAGCGCGACCTCCTCCTCCACGTCCTCTTGGTCAGTCTGATTCAACTTTGACGTGCCGTATTTGGGCTGATTGAGACTAGGCCGCGGACTCGTACGGGTGTTGAGCGATATAGAGGATCGCGATGAATCAGATCATTCAGACGAGGAAAGCCTGAGACCGAGAAACAGTATCACGACAGACGATGAGGATCCTTCCACCGACTGTTCGAGTTCGACGACCGAATCCAGAGGCGACAGTGTAGTCGGCCCACTCCATGACGAGGCATCAGATCGCAGCTCCAGATCGAATCACACAGACGAACATGAACGGCTGGCGACCCCTCCAGTCAGCCCTAACTCGCATAGCACAGTCCACAATTCTCGACCGATACCCTTCATCCCACATCTACTGTCCCGCATACATGTCCCGAGGGAATTCCGAAGACACACCGACCGCATACGAGTGGAACCCGTGGCACCTAGTCCGTCCGTGATAACCGCCCATGCTATCAAGAGAGTACCTCGTATGGTTCTCGTCAAACACGCCTTCAGTCTCAATTATTTCCTCAAGGCCCTAGCACACGATCCACCTAGGCATGGAGGATCTCTCAGACATCCGTCTCCTGTGATCGAACCGCGGGATCCTGACGGTGTGGTTCTGCAACACTGCGCTGATCTCCATCATGCTCTTTTGCCGCTTGAAGGATGGGAGAGAGCTGAAGTGGCTGAGGAATGCGGAGCGGCTGAAGAGGAGGAGCGTGAACAAGACGAGGAGGTCGAGTTACTCAGCTTCTCTAGTCCCATGGCGCTGTTCGAAATCAACGATGCCGATGAAGTTGCTCTCCTACAGCCCGAACAGTCTGGTGTCAACAACAGTGTTGAGAATGAGGCTGCTGCGCGTTGCGTAGAGGAGATGTCTTTTCGCTCTCTCATGCGAGAATTTTCTTGCTACAGGATGATGCGTAATCTGGGTATCAGGCTGAAGAACAAGCTGGGTACTGGGCTGAAGAACAAGGCACGCAAGTGGAGGAGATGAGACGGGATGCAGCAATAGCTTCAGGCTGGACATATGCGTTTGCGCGCTGGTGTCATCAGGTCTGTTGGAGGTACTGTGCCTCAGCATCGCGTTCGAAACTACCGATGATTTAGATGGAGAGCATGCTCTTGACCTGGCGCATTAAGTACCGGGCGGAGAGGCATGATCAGGAAGTAGGACAGACTGTAGATCCAAAAAATCCGAGCATGCAAAACTTTCGAATGTCGACGTGAAGGATTTTGATCGTTGAATTTGTTTGCTACTTGAAGCAAAAAGGTCATCATCATACTGACATGCTGGTGCATATGCTCCAACATAATCCCGTAGTAGATATACATCCATCTCATCCCATTCCTTATCCTGCCCGCAACCAATGTCCAGCTTTCCGACCGGGAGTCCACCGCCTACTCCCTCAACCTTATTTTCTGCAATTCCAAATCTACTTCAACGCCTTCTCGGCCTTCTTCTCGGCCTTCTCAGCAGTGTGCTTAACATCCAGCATCTCGCCCTTAGCCTGGCCCTCAGTGTTCTCCAGACTCTTGTTGTACATGTAAATGCGACCGACTTGTGTGGCACCAACGCAGAAGACGAGGAAGTTGACACCAGCCAGAGCGACGTTCTTGGGGCGGATGACGAAGCACCAGCGCGTCCAGATGGCGCCTGTGCACATGAGAGCGAAGTTCTGGGTGAAGGAGAGGGATTCGGCGGGGCGGGAGAAGTCGGAGGCGCCGGCGAGGACCATGCCCCATTTCATTACTGGGGCCCTGTTGGGGTGTTAGCATTTGTGTGGTAGATTGGGTGTGGTGTGGTGGGTTTTGGGGGTGGGTGTTTGCTGCTGCGGATGCGGATACGGATGCGCTTCGGACAGTGCGGGGAGCTGGCAGCGCATTGCGGGTGGGCATGGAGATGGTATGGAGGCAGCGTACCAGAAGTGGACAGTCTTGGGACCGATGGGGCTGTTCCAGAACTTTTGGAAGCCAGCGGGCTCAGCGCCCGCAGTCGATGCATGTCGGCGGGCATTTGCGCGTTGGAAGAAAGGTCGGAAGGAGCTGAAGATGCGGGAGCCGGGGCGGAACGACATGATCGCGAGCTGTTCCCTGTACTCTCTCGGTCGGCGATTCGAATGGGAGAAGGAATTGGGGCGTCGAGAGTGAGGTCGAGGCCGGAGCGAGTGTCGTGTGCGTGTGCCGTCGCGATGTCGGGCTCAAGCACTGAGATGATAAATCCGGGCCTACGATGGGGGTGCTCCGACTGCTTAGGCCCGAAAGGGTAAGGCGTGCGCCTGGCAGCTTGACGAACATTGAATGTCGCTGCCGGCCCAGTGACGACAGTCACTGATTGATACCCCCGCACACCAGTACCGGTCCTTACCATGGCGTCAAAAGCATTCGCAAACGGCCTCAAGGAGCTGAGGTTCCTGTTCTGCCAGACCAGCGAGCACAGCGCTGCGACAAGGTATGCGACAACCAAGTGAAGGAGCGCAACGCAACGCGCAGGCCATTGCACAAGAGCGGGATAGATAGGACAGACAGGATAGAGCGAACCGCGCTGACCGACTGGACAGGAATTTCCTCACGCGAAGCTACCCCGCCATGAAGAAGGCCAACCCATCCATCCCCATCATGATCCGCGAAGCCAGCAACACCCAGCCCACCGTCTACGCGCGATTTGGTGCGTCACACCCAAGAAAGACACAAGAGAGCGATGCTAATAATTTGGGGGCAGACTTCGGAAAGGAGCGGAAGCTGTCACTGAAGGGCCTGGACGACAAGGCCATCGAACAACAAGTCACAGAGCTGGTACAGAAGGGCGCATGAATACATACTGGGAAGGAGGACGAGTGAAGAAGACGAGAGTTCTAGGTGAAGAAGCATAGGCATACAAACAGCTCAAAAGAGCACACCATAACAGCTCTGTATAGCCCGAATTCACCATCTTCTCGCAATAATTCCCTTTCACCTCGACTTCCAATTCTCCATTCACCCTCACCAGCCCATCTTCTGCTTAGCATATAATCTGTCCAACCGCCTCCCATCTTCCTATTTCCTCAACCGCCAGAAACCTCTTTGCAAAATACATCCTCTCCACATCTCACAAACATTCTGCAAAACATCACCGAGACTACCACATATACTAATATGTCTCACCAAGTTCCCCTCCGAGGTCACCACTACGCCGACATCGTCGCCGCCGAGCTCGACATTTTCACCGCCAGCGACGTGAGTAGCTCCCGGGGCCCCTCTATGATATTCAGATCAGCACTGACAAAATATCTGTATAGCACCCCGCTCTCGCCGCCGGCCCCGCCGTTGATGCGCTCAGGCGTATCGAGCAGCAGTACCAGCACGTTGTCGAGCTGCTGGTGAAAGAAAAATCGGCTGCGGCCGCCAAGATCGCAGATCTTGAGACCACCAAGGACGCCTTGTTGGCAATTCTCCGCAAGAAGATGGCGGAACAGGTGAAGGGGGTTTTCGTCAAAACCCACATTGTATCTGACAAGAAGGTCGTTCTGCGGGTTGGAGAGGAAGTGCGGAGCGGCATCTTCAAGGAACTTTGAAGATGGGTTGGGTGGTTTGGTGCCGTTCTGATTCCTCATCTTGTTTTCTCTTCCCCTTTCCCGATTTTGTTTTTTGGTGTTTGGTAGATAGATTTCGACCTTCTGGCATCAAATTCCATCGCGTGGTGTGCCGCATATAATGTCTTCTCAGTGTGTGTACAGTGGTACCTTCGTGATTTTGTGATTTTGACGTTGTGAATGCAACATGTTCCACACGCTTCCATATAAATCTATACCTCCATGTACCGCAAACATCTTCCAGAGTAGCAGCAATAGACTCAAGTTCAGAGTCATTGTAGCCCTCTCAGTATCACTTGTCCGGCGTCTTGCACTGCAGAAGTCCATCGGCTCACATCACGCCCACCTAAGAACCTAGCATCATGTCCGCGTCACTGACTGGTAAGCCTCAACAAAGCGGCTTCTTTAGCCGCATGCGCCGTCGCAACGACTCGGTAATGGGCTCACCAACAGGCTCTGCTACGCCTTCCATCGCGCCTTCTCTCGCATCTTTGAGTCAGGACAACGATAATCTGGCTGCGATCAACACTCATCTACACACTCGTAACCAAGAGTTGATGCAGCAGTCTGAAGTCAATCAATTTCTCTTCCAAGAAACCTCTGAAGCGCTGACAGCCAAAGAAAGCGAACTTGCGAAGCTGAAAGAACGGATTCGCTCCAATGCCGAAGCTACCAACGAGACTATCCAGGCTCTTGGACATCAGCTCCAGATTCTAGCCGAGCAATTAGCGGAATCGCAGGACAAGGCTGTTGGTCGTGAGACTTCCCTAGCAAAACAATTATCGCAAGTCCAAGACCATGCCAATGAGCGTGAAGCACAGCTAGTAGAGCAACTATGCCAAGCCCAAGACACCAGTGCCGAGCACTCAGCTCAGCTAGAAAACCTAGAAAACCTACAACACCAACTCTCCCTGAAAGCCGCTCACGCGCAGTCCCCGACCCAAGAAGACGTCGACGACTTGATCTGGGCTAAGCTCCAGGACAAGAATAAGACTATCGACTTCCTGCGTTGTCGGCAGGCCAAGTCTGATAAGCGCATTGAGAAGCTGCAGGAGCGATTGGAGGTTGAGCAGAGTGTGGGGAGGGATTGGGTCAAGACTATTATGATGGTCAATATGAAGGTAAAGGCGAGGGCAGGAGATGGTGCTGATGCTGACGCTGATGTTGAGGTGTAGATGTAGGTGGTCCGGCTTAATGGTATGATGTGGTGAGTGACATGTTGTGGTCGGGCTAGGTGGTATTTACATAATGCACTCTACGTTTCTCGCAATATCTGGATTTGTCTTCCCTCCAATCTCTCACTTGGTTCTCTCTCTCCCTCTTCGTAGTTGCTATCCCTTAATGCTCATTGCGGTCCTATCCAAGTCCCGCTCGTCCATGCTGCAACATCCGTAGCACACTTCACGGTAACACCCTCGACGTCAGTCTGCTGCACCCCCTGTTCACTTCTCAACGGGAGAATCTCGCCGGTGTCACGTAAGGCAAAAGACGCCACCAATGTATCGCGTAGTCACATGATCCGTCATGTACTGCTGTTGGGTGAATCCTTGTTCCGTGTGGGACGCCACCAATAATGCTCCTATGGCCCATCACATACATGCGCCTGTGTCGCTGTTGCGCCGCTCGGGGGTCACGATAACGTGGCTGACGGGGTTGATGCCTGTTGGAGGTTCGTGTTTCATGGGACACGTAGTGGGCTGTCAGGCGCCTGTCTTCACTGTGTCATCGTCCGCCTTTGGTCTCCGAGACTCCGAAAGAAAATGTACTTGCATATAAGTCTCATGCCAAGATGCATGTTACCGCTGTCTTTGTACTTATCCGGTTCTTTTGCCGAGCAGGTGCGCTGATGATCAGAGTGCTGCAGGGTAATCCTAACGGAGCAAGAGTTGAGTGTAGGCAACGGGTACTGTACACGAGGAAGACTATCTGCCTCGTTTGCCTTTTCCATATGGTATCAAGAACCTGGCAATGACGCGTGTGCCTTAGTTGGCAGTGTAACTGAATCAATTGAGTTGGCTTGGTTGGTTGAGGTGCTAAGACCCTTGTTTCATGTGCAATTGGTTTGCCGCGAGATACAATCGTGGGCCACTGATCTGTGTATTCCGTGCAACTCTCTCTAATTGCGATAGCGTCATGCGGTATTTTCAGTCCGCTCTTCCGTCATACCTACTGTCTGGCGCTTGGTCCTCGCGGCAGTCAAGCGAGAACACCGCAAGCATCAAGCGTTACATCGGTCGAGCTGTACCTTGTTTGCGCAACGGCCCAATACTCGACCCTGACGGCGCTTGCCTTGTCAACATGATCACGGGATCACGATAGATTTGTTGCTCATGTAGACGCCCGCTGAACATTGGACGGCTGCAGCTTACTAGCTTCCTTGGGTGGAAGACTGACATGGATGACGACGACTTGGAATGCAAGCCACAGACGGGACCTTGCGGTAGGATGTGATAAGTTGCATGGTTGACGTACTGAGCCAACTCTAATTGCATTAGATATGTCGAGAAATTCTGGCATCGGTCTTCCAAGCATGAATCATGCGTTCTGTAGTACCTCTGCGCTGTAAGGCGGTTGGCTGCTCTGACAGCAGGCACTACAGTCTGTGGCTGCTGTCTGACAGCCCCTGTATTCATGACGATACTACTGTAGCCTATAACAACGTGTCTTAATTTCGAACAGTTTATCAACGTGCAAGCCACCTCGAGAGGAAGACGTAGTGTATGTCGTGCGGGCACGTTGATACTGGCCGCCCGGGTGACGCATGTGCGCTCAAACGATCGCACAAGACCGGTGAGCTCGATTGGGGCAATTTGAAACGAAGTACAATCGTTGATATTTGAGAGTTGGTGGACTGACTTCTTATCGCCAAAAGGAGGGCCTAGTGTGGTGCGAACGAAGGTCCATCGAAGTAAGATCGATGTGTATTACGGCAATATGCTGGAAGCTTTGAGTACCTCAATGCCTTGCTGGAGCGTAAGATTTGAGTCATCCGATTGTACCTTTTGGTTTGTCATTGAATGAGGTTTGAGCCTAATTCTGGATATTGTTGAGCGATATGGCTAGTTTCGCTCCTTGTACCTCGCAACGCCAACTCCTAAAACAGGCATTACGAAGCAAACCCGACCTTGAAATGCAAACTTTAAGCCACCGAAGAGAGAATGGCATGCGTAATATCTGCTGGAAAGGCTGATGAATGCAGAAACGTAGTTGAAGGCCTGGTCAGGGTTCAACCGAGGAGGACCTCCCATTCCCATTCTTTCATGACACTCAACCAATGCAAGCGACTTTTGACCGTGACTCCCGAATCCTGGGGGTCTAAAGTACCAGACGGTACCGATATCCCGCATGGTGTCTCTCGTGAGCCGAAATCGCGATCGACGTCGTAATCATCAGAATAGGCGTCGTTCTCGCATGTTATGGATGCGTCTGATGAGAAGCTGTCGCTGCGCAAGTTCTCCATATTCATGGTTGTACGCTCAAGCACATGATTGTCGCGCCGATTCCAGACCTCTTTCGTGACTTCCAAACATCGTTCTATGATCCCCAATTTCATTCTGGTAGACATCAGAGACCAGCGGTCTTTGACCCATTCCCTATCATCTGGCTTAGTCATTTCGCAGCCAGCGGCCATTAGAGGGTAAATATGCACGATAATCGAACGCGAGCGTGGATGAACGGTAGCCAGGGTGCACAGTACTTTGTTTGCGAGCACGCGAGGTGGCTGAGATGGAACCTCCGGCACGGCTTGGTGAAGATACAGCAATGTTGCGTATTGGTAAGCGATCGCAGTCTTGATGGCATCTTGCGGACTTGTTGTTTCATCTTCTGGTTCTTCGATGTGAGAAGGCGGGGTCCATTCTTCGAGTTGGGATTTTAACTGCACTGCTTGTGATATGATAGTGGGCCCGTTGCTATCAGATCTCCGTACCTTCCTTACCAGATTGGCCACCCGGCCAATGATGGGAAAGAGCGTGTGCGCGCAACCCATCAATGGGTCAAGAGCAGAGTCGGTGTCTCCGGCAGCATATATGCTTTCTCTCACATTGTCGACATCGTATGCGTCGTCTTCGTCGGCAGATGTAAGGCGAGCAAGAACGTCCATGTAAATCCAAGTGTTGCAAAGAAACTTTAGCCGAGCCCATTCTTCGCCTTGCTTTGGCATAAGACGGTGGTTCACAAGTGCTTGATTGATCAAGATCTTAGCTCCTTTGATGTGGTTGATACCGGTACTGATATGCTGATCCCAAGATTCGGCAAAGGCCAGAACAAGTGTGGTCGAGATAGCTGCATCGACACGCATGTTTTGGAGTCCAGCAGCTAATGCATGTACGGCGCTCCGCATATGATCTATACCCTGAATGCGCAAGGTAGGCATATCTCTTGCCTGATGGAAGGAGGTCATCGATGCGATGGCATGATAGAGTGCTGGACAGTCCCTTGTGAGAGGCCAGATGAGGGTCCGCCACGGGTTCTCTGTAGGCCCGTCCTTCACTGACAGTACGCCGCACGTGTCTCTATGATAACGCCGTGTGAGTGACTCCGCCGATGTCATAGATAAATGCAACTGGGCCGGGATCTTGAAGTCGGGAGAATGCGAGGAAGAGCCGGACGAGCTTGGTGTCGCGGGCGATGGCAGCCACATCACACAAGCTGCAGACTCGTCAATCTTATCGCGTACAACTTCTTCATCAACATCGTCATCCAATGGCGCTGGCGGCGTCAAACCAGAGGGCTGGTAGAAAGCCTCATGCTGAGATACGAAGGAAGAGTACTCCTCCGGTGGCACATTCAGATCTGTTCCTGGGATTAGGAGGTCCACTATTCGGGGAGACTGGCCTGACGAAAGACTTGAGTCAGAGTTCGTGTTGGTCCGCACAGTAGTCGTACTTTCGGCTTGAATGATGCCAAATGGCTCGAAAGGACCTGGCGCATACGACTCCACTGGTGATATTGACTGAGAGATGAGGAATGGCGATGTCGTCGGGACAGTGAACAAGTTTCCCATAGGTGCCAAGGGAGGGTTCGAAAAGGTTGGTTGTATAGGCGGATCATGCATGAAAGGGTATGAGTGTTGAGGCGGCGGATAGTATACCTCATGGTGGGGCGGGCCACCGAAGGTGCGTTGGTAGTCTTGGAGATCGGACTGCCGTTGGAATTGCGAAGACACAGCTGTTGGTAATTGGGAGACCGGGGTTGAGCCGGTCAGACGCGTATCAGTATATCCGTAGCAAGAATGACCTTGACGTGAATTGATGGACGGTTTGCTTGCAGTGTTCAACTCTTCGTAGTGCTTCCATTTGTAGTCTTTGGCGTAACCGCCGCATGTTATTGCACGTCTCTCGCATTGCTTGCACGAAGGGTGCCTTTCGTCACATTTCAAGCGCTTTGCTTTACAGGAAACGCATCCTATGTAGAGGTGTCAGTATAGTCACAGGCAGGAACAGGTCGAGTGACGCTTATCGTGTAAACGACAAGAGATGACGCAGGGTGAGCATACCATTACGGCTCTTGGACTGCTTCCTCTTGGTGACGCCAGAAGTATCGGAGGTTTTGGTTGTCTTCTTCTTCGCGGAACCTGATGCAGATGACGCCTGCTTAGCGGCCTTGACGTCGATCGGAGCCGTCTCGGGTGATCTCAGCACGATTGAGGATGACGAAACAGCGATAGCCTCAGCCATCTGCCGCGGAAGGTGCGAGCGTTCGGTCGCTGGGCGAATTTGTCGGCGGCCCGAGATATCATATGCAAAACAACAATTGACTAGCTACGCGCGGAAACGAGAAGAATCATCGGAGGTTTGGTAGATAAGCAGGAAGGCGGCGGTATCTAAAGTGGAGAAGAAGCTGGGGAGATGCACGCCTAGTCATTAGCGCCACACCTATCGGGCTCGCCAATCACGCGTAGGGTCTGGCTGCACCATCTTTTTTTACCATGCGCGATCGTGATTTTGCTTCTTCGAGGTCTTGTGCTTGGTGATGTACGGCGGTCGCTACTCGAGTCCAGAGACTTGTGCGACGGCAGGGTCTTGAGATTAGCCGTTGCTTTGGGACGTGGTGCAGGCTCCATCGACGCTATCCGCGTTCGTAACCCTTGCAGCCGGCGGTGAACCGCTCCACGAACGGCTCAGCCTTGTTTCGGGAGCGACGCAAAGCCATGGGAGATCCCGTCGAGCATGTGTTGCGAACGTACTCTCTTTGGGAACTCTACGTCAGTGAATCTAGACCGGCCTACTTGGAGTCGGCCTCTTTGGGTGGCACTGTGCACAAACACATAAAACAGTAGGAGGCTAAGCTTTTTCGTATCTTTACGTCGTCCTTCATGAGACGGAAACATGCGGTGTCAGTCTCAAGCGACATGTAGTGCCCCGGCATCTTCACACTCTCCCATCACCATCGCAGTCCACAGCCACTCTACTGATCTGGTGGCGAGGCCTCTACCTCTCCTTTGTCCTCGATCTCGTACATGATACCATCGACAGTGACTTCCTTCTTGCCTTCCTGCATAGCTTTGATGAGACCAGGAGCCGTAGCAGCGATAGCAACTGCGGTGATAGTGCCCGCGGCGACGCCATTGACAAGTATAGCGGCACCGCCGCCTGCCGCTGCGCTTTGGAGAACCGCAAAAGTGCTTCCAGCTGCAACGTTTCCGACACTAGATTGAGCTGCAGCAGCGGCAGATCCTATGATTCTGTTAGTCGGGTGCGTAACATAAAAGACAAGGAGATCGTGACGTACCCACAGCAACTCCCTTAGCCGTGAAACCCACCATACGTAGAACGCTGTGCGCAGCGCCGATACCGAGAGGAGCGGCAAGGACACAGGCGATCATACCCGTGGTCTCTCCGGGGTGCTCCTTAATCCATTGCCTGGTGTGCTGTGCCGCGAAACCAGCGTGCTTTCCAGCTTCCTGTCCAACGCCATCCAAAGCCTTCCAAGCGTTGTCGAAGAAACCCATGATGAGCTTGAGACTGTTTGTGGTGTGGCAGGCGATGAAAATGGGACCTAGGTAGTATCCTCTAAAGAAGAAAACTTGAGTGTGTAGTGTACCGGGGGAGAACCGAATGTGTGAGCGGGTGAGTAGTGAAAGTGAAGGGCGGCAGAGGGGCGCGGAGTAGAGTACAGTTACACAAGGTCAGTTGAGCAGAACGCAGCTAGAATTACATTACCAAATCGTACATGCGCTGTTAAAAAAGAGCCGCGCAACATGCAAACGCTAAAACAGCAAAGACGCCTAGGAAACTAAACACTATGAAAGCCGAAAAGGGTATCTCCTCTCGTAGTCCTACAGTCAATAATAGCTTAACGCCGAAGCCCTAGCCTTCTTCTTCCCCTTCTTCTTCGTCTTACCCGGCGTAGGACTAACCACGTTACTGCGCCCACCCAGCCTCTCCTTCCTCTTCTCCTCCCCACCATTCATACCCGCCATCTTACTCGCACCGCCCGTCATGAAGTCACCATAGGCGCTCTCGGCATACAGAGCAGGTGTTGTGGTGCCGCTAGGTAGCCACTCGCTGCCTTCTTCCCACGCGATACCAGCAGCGTTCGCGGCGCGTACGCCTTCGATGTAAGCTTCCATCCTGCTGCGCTCGTCGTCGTTTTCGAGACCACAGCCGCATCCGCAGCCAACTACGCATTCGCCGTCGTCCATGCCGAGCTCGTCGTTCATGCAATCCATGTGTGCGACGTGTCCGCATGAAGGGCAGAGATGGAAAAGGCCTGAGACGCGGATCCAGCAGATACTGCAACTGTATACGGGGTCTGTTTTGGTGGGCTTGGAGGATGTAGTGGTGAGGTTGGTGCGTGAGCGTCCGTCGCGCCACGATGAACCGGCTGAGACGGTCGATGTGCCGCGTGATAGGCTGGGTCGACTTGCCCTGCTGGGTGGAGGCTGCAGTCGGTTCTGGCCAGGCGACGTGTCGAGGCCGGCAACGCTCTCGTCTAGCTCTTTCGTTGGGGTTGGGACGGGGATTGAAAGTTGGAGATACTGCTCCGTTGGAATGAGTGTGTTGAAAGACGGTAGACCTTCTTCTGATATACCGCCAGATATCGTTCCAGGTTGGAACTCCATTGCTTCGGGGTTGAAAGAGAAGTGGCGAGGTGATGCGCCAGGTGTGCGCTTCATTTGCGTTGTAGTAGGGGTTGGCGGTACTAGTGTTGATGAAGCTCGAGATAGGTGTCTTGATGCTTTTTCATCGCCGCTTTCGTCGGCGGATGTCTTTAGTGCGAGCGATACTGAGCCATGCTTTAGGCCGGTACGGGGAGCTTCGGCTGGGAAGTATGACACAAGGCCGTTGAACTTCAGTACTTCGGCCCGTATGCTGATGAGACCCCAGCGGCTCAGCATCTCAGCATACTGCTCGCGCCAAGCCCGATGCAACCAGTCTTTACTCGTGTCTAGTAGTGGCCTACTAAAACAAGCCTCATCATCGAACTGATCCTGGTTCTTGAGCGTGACCTTGATGCCTCCTCTGTTGCCTGCCCCGTCTTTAGGTTGGTCAGAGGCACCACTCTCCTTTGAATTTGCTAGTTTGTAGCCGCCTTCCTCCTCGACTCTCTCATAGTCGGAATCAGAATCCTCGATATAGTTGACATTGACTTGCTCTGATTGCCCAAAGCTTGCTCGCTTGCCGTGCTTCGAACGTGAGGTTAACAGGTTGTTTTGATCGTGGGAGTCGCTTCCATAAAATGTGGTTGTCCCCCAAGTGACACCACTGGTCGGTGCTGAAGTTGAGAGATCGTCCATGCGTGACCTTACAGGAGGTGAAGAGGACATTGCGTTTGCAAAAGGACGCGACAATGCGGCAACAGCACTTGCAAAATTTGCAGTGGAGCTTTTCTTATGCGCCGTATGACTTTGCTCTGGCGATGTTCCGTATGGCGTGTGATTAGCGGTCTGCGCACTTCTCATCGTAGACGCCCTGGACAAGGCGGGAGGCGTGTTACCAGTAGAGTATGGCGTGACAGGGTCGGAGCTGATATGATCGCTACCCCAAGGGCCATTCGAGCTTCCATGACTGCCATACGTATCGAAGTTCTTGGCTAGTCTCTGCCATGCAAACTCATTGGCCGGCGTTGCAAAGCGCGAGTGCGACGGAGTAGAGGGCACAGAAATTGTGGGCTGAAACAAGCTCCACGCAGCATCCACTGAGGAGAAGTAGTCCAATGAGAACGCTGGTGCTTCCATGGACATGGGCAGCTGAGATTGTCGCATCTTGGCCATAGCTGAAGTGACACCTTCGCGAGCAGCAGGTTCCGCAAAGATGCATGACAGCATAGCAAGCATCTGGGTATCTGCTAGGCGTTCGAAATGGTCGAAAAGTGATGGTATCAACCATGTGACGACAATGTGGTGTCCCCATTTCACGCGAGCTTTGAGCCTAGGATTGGCCACGGTATCTGCCTCGTCGAATTGTAGGTCCAGCCCACTATCCTTGCGTTTGATTCTCACAAGAGCTCTTCGGGCGAGCACAAGAACCTGGTCCCTCCGGTACTTTTGAGGTAGTATTTCCAAGGGCACCTCATTACTCAAAATCAGTTTGCAAAGGATCCAAATATCCGCGAGATCTTCATAGCCGTGCTTCCGAGCTACTTCAGAGTTGTGCTCGCATATCACTGGTCCAGGTCCAAAAATCCGGTATTCCTCCGCGAGTTCACGCTTACTGGGTACCAGATCGTCTGTGGCAGAAAGTAGTATTGTCACAGTCGACTTAGGTTTGGCAGCCTGCTTTCCTCCGCCAGTCGAAGAGGGTATTGAGTTTCGCGACTGGAAGCGGGATGCCGATTTTTGCCAAGCAAGCGGTGGCTGGAAGTTGCCTATGTGTGAATTTCCTGCATGATGGGAGTCGGACGATGAAGATAGGGTGGAGGATGTTTCCCATGATCCAACGGAGGAGGATGGCGACGACGCGCCATCGGAGGCTCCCGGATGACGATTCGTAAAGCGGCCGAACGAGTCGAAGATGTCATTCTTCGAAACACCCTGTCTGAGACTCCTGGTAATCTGGAATCTGAAGGTATCTGAGCCAGGCATGGATTTTGCTACGGGTATCCTTGCAACTACAAGGGATCCATCTACCGAGAACCGTGCAGTACACTGAACCGGCAGCGGTATGTTGGCATTAGTATGGGATGATTGCATGACGTCATCAGTGAACTCGCCCTCTTGGTCTTCATCCTCACTAGAGCTCTCGCCAGGTAGTGGTCCAAGGTCTGCGAGCGGGTCACCATCTTCGGCTAGATCCAGGCTGTCATCCAAAGCTCGTTCACCCAACGCATACGATAGGACTGCTTCCAGGCCCTCTCGCTGTTGGTCTGCGCAGGTTTCAGCAATGCGGTGCATGTTGTTCGTTAATTCCTCTTGAGTTTCTTTGCTAATCGCCGCTGTCGTTCTCTCAAACTCAATGTGCAAAGGAGTCGATATCCTGCTAAAAACGGAGCCCGATTCTTCCCTTTTGATTGCCCTCGGGTAGGAGACTGGAAAGTTGATGGTGAAGCGAAGAAACACTAATCTAGGTTCGTTAGTGACTGCATCCCAATCACCCCATGGACCGCTGAAGGAGACCTTGATGCGGCGCCGGGGAATATCGATTTCTTCAAAAGCAAGCTTCTTGTACTTGTGGCCTACCAACGCAATCTCTGCACCAAGGTCGTTCTGCTCCTGAAATGGCTGCTTCTTAGCGCGGTCGTGATGGTTGGTGGGAGCATGGAGGTCATTGATATCGTTATGACGGTCACTCCCGAATTTGATGCCATTAATCCATTTCATGTGATTGACTACGCGTGGATCATGTCGCCGAATCGGGCGAGCCGTCATGGTTTCTCGCGGAATTGTCTCATGCTGAATCCGAGGATGCGTTCGGCCATGGTAGCGCGGAGCGTAAGCATCTTCTTTCAATGAGTGGTTTTGGAGGAGAGTGGAAAGATTGCCTTTGCGTTGTCTGCGAGGTGGGCCAAATTCGTCCTGAGTGTTTGTACTTGTGGTAGTAGGAATAGGCCCATCGCGATACGAAACATACGTGGCACCCTTTCGCGTCGTGCTGGGCTGCTCGACAAGCGGCTCGCCTTTACGGTGACCGACCCACTTCTCCAAATCTTCTGAAGAAAGACGATGAAGTATGAGTCGCCTGTCAGTGCCATAAGAAACCAATTGAAAGTCCCTATTGTCGAACCCGTCATCGGTGGAGCCACGCGTGCGCCAAAGGAACTCGCGAACTTGAGCATCAGGGGCGTGCTCGGGAAAGTGTGTAGCAGATGTATTGGTAAAAGTCGAAGGGTCGCTACCATCAACGTGTTTGTATAGCCAGAGAGAGGAGTTGCCACGTTGCGGCATGGCGAGGATACCGTGTGGAAAGGGCGTGTGTCGCGCTCGCCACACGGGGTAATCAGTGCGAATGACGCGGCGAGGAACACTTATGTTGTCTTTTAAGCCTACGTTGTTCCAGAGTTTGATAGTCGCATCGAGCGAGCAGGTCATAATTTTGTTCGCGTCGTTGCGATTCCAGTCGATACCGTAAATCTTGGTCGTATGCGCGGTAATAGTAGAAAGAGGATTGGCTCCATGACGAGTGTCCCAGATGTGAAGGTACTTGTCGTGAGCACTTGCGATAATCTTGTCGTTTTGGCGGTTCCATTTGACTTGGGTGGCTCCTGCGGTATAGTCGGCAAGCTTCAGCGGCGCCTTTTGGCTGCGAAGATCATGGACGAAGACGAAGCTGTCAACACCACACGTTGCCAAAAGGTCTGGATGATGTGCAGAGAAGTTGATGTCTGTTATAGCTCGGTCATGCGCGCGCAGGGTATACTCGATGGGCGCTTTATTGTTGTTGTAAGGCATGGAGAGATTGTATACAAGCGCAAGCTGATTTCGGGTGGACGCGATCCACTCGGCGCGTGCTGCGAAGGGAGACCATTGTACATCTGCGACATCCCATGAAGACTGGTTTGGGATGATGAGGG